TCTCTCTCTCTCTGACCTGCCTGTTACAGTAGCCCTGACCTGGGGCACCGGGAGGCCGTGGGCTTGTACACGGGCCATTCTGGAAACCACTCCTCCAACAGCAGGTAGTCTGTCTGGCCCACACCTGTATCTAATGAATTGAGACGATAACAAACACATGTTCACCCAACCTATATGGGATATGGGTCAGGCATGTATGTGCATGTGTACAACCACCCTGTACAGAATATGACGTGTGTATACATGCATGTGTACCCTAATCTGTATAGGACGTGGTGTATGTGTACATGCACATGTACCCCGATCCTCTACGGGACATGACATGTGCGTGTATGTGTACATGCACCCCACCCTGTACAGGATATGATGTGTGTCTTTTCGCCCTGCATGGGATATGGAGTTTGAAGGTGCGCCTCTGTAGTACATTTATCCTGTAAGGATATGGCCTGTGTGGGCAGGAGCGCGTGTAGCCCCACTTGTATGGGATGTGAAACGTGCGGCCGGAACACGTGCACCACCCCCTATTCTGGATTCGGAGCACAAGCGTGTGCCCAGGCTCCGAGAGTTGCCTCGATGGCTCTGGTGCGTGCGCTGCGTGGCCTGGGGGTGGTGTCACGGTAGCTGCCTCGCCCTGAGCCCAGAGCTCCCAGCCTTACGGCTCTGGGGCCCCACCACAGGGGATGAGGTCTTGTGCCTGTGCCTGTAGGTGACCGTCACGGGTGCCACGGCACCCAGGGGAGGAGGAGAGGCCCCGCACGAGGAGAGCTCAGAGGGAGGCTTGCGCGGTCAGGAGCACAGGCACCCCCCAGCCCTGTGGGCTAAGCCTCGTGTCCCCGAGGGCTGCCGTGAGCTGGCTGCACGCGGTCACTGCAGGGGCCGGTCCCTGTCCCCCGTGGTCGCCGCGGCTCTCCGCCCGGGTCTGTGGGACCGGGTGCCACGTGCCGCTCACTTCTGCCCTTGGTCGGCCCGGATGGCCTGCTGATGCGCCGCCTTCTTTGCAGCTTGGACGTCCACGGAAGTCGGCACCGAGACCACCTGGGGAATAGAGATCGTGGCTCGGATCCGCCCTGCCACCGACACGGGGGTGTTGCTGGCGCTGGTGGGCGAGGACCGCACCGTGGCCCTGTCCGTGGCCCTCGTGGACTACCACTCCACCAAGAAGCTCAAGAAGCAGGTAGCGGTGCCAGCCAGGGCAGCCCCCCCCCCCCGCCACGGGCTGCCCTCTGCCATGGAGTCCGAGTGCTGTTGGGGTCTCCTGCACTCTGGGGTCCATCTCCCCTGGAAGGGCCGAATGCAGGCTCCACGCTGTCCCCCCACAGCCCGGCCAGCAGCTGCTGCTTGGTCTCCCTGCTCCCGAAGCAGCCCGAACTCTCAGTCTCCGTGGCACAGTGCTCATTCCCCCCAGTACGGGCCCCGGGTCACAGGGAGCACTGGAGTCTCCCAGCAGCACCCAGCAGGGGGCAGGTCATGCAGGGCATGTCAGAGTGTGATCCTGTCCCATGTCAGAGCGTGATCCCGTCCCATGTCAGAGCATGAGCCAGTCCCATGTCAGAGCATGATTCTGTGTCCCTGCGTGTTGTCAGAGCATGTGTCTGGCCGTGGAGCCCCGCGTGTGTTCTGTAGCACACTGGCTCTCTCTGGCTGGGCTCGGTGCTGGTGTCACGTGCGGCCAGTTCTCTGGGCACGAAGCTCCGCGTCTTTGTTCTTGGTCCCAGAACACCCGTGTTCTGTGGCCCGGGACTTGAGTCGCTGGGCCTCAGTGAGAGGTGGCCTCAGCTTTCTGTGGCCTCCTGCTAGAGCTCGCCAGCGCTCTGCCCGTGGGACACCTAGAAATAGCCGAGGCTTTGCTGTTCACAAGGACACAGGTCACGCTCCTGGACAGCGCGCCCTCCCTCCCGCACCCGAGTGCTCACTGCCTCCCCCCACAGCTGGTGGTCCTGGCCGTGGAGAACGTCCCCCTCGTGCTGATGGAGATCAAGGTCTGTGACGGCCAGGAGCACGTGCTGGCTGTGTCCATGAGCAGCAGCCTGGCCTCCCTGGAGGTGGACGGCACGTGTGGCCAGCGTGAACTGAGCCCCGCGGGGCTGCAGGAGAGGCTGGCCGTCCTCGGGAGACACCTGCAGGGCTCGGTGCTCACCTACGTCGGGGGACTGCCAGGTAGGACGGGGTCGCCCTGTGCCGGGCGCTCCTGGACTTTGTTTGGGGGGAGCCGGCCCGGGTGCCCTCTGCTCTTGGCTTGGCTTAAGCGCCAGGGAGGATGGTCCCCGAGATCCAGGCCCACGGGAGCATCACAGGCCCGTGGCCACCTGTGGGGGCTGGCCACGAGTGCGGGCGGGCGGGGGGTGGAGAGGGCCCAGGATCCCAGGGCAGTGGCCCCTGGGCCCCCGCACAGATGGCGTGGTGTGTCTCCCGTCTCCTCCTCCCGGGCGGGCACTGACCAGAGCCGGACCACAGTGCTCGGCGCCAGCCCACGGCCGGGGCTGGAGGAAGCAGGCGGAGGATCTGGCGGGCAGCACCATCAGGGCTCTGACGTGGCCTCGTTCCCCCCGCCCAGAGGTGCCGGTGACCTCGGTGCCCGTCACGGCCTTCTACCGCGGCTGCATGACACTGGAGATCAACCAGAGGACGCTGGACCCGGACGAGGCTGCCCACAAGCACAGCGACATCCTGTCCCACTCCTGCCCCCCGGTCGCCCCCACCGGCCCATAGCCCGGGCAGGGAGGGGGCAGCCCAGGCCGTCTCAGGGCCAGGCCGCCTGGAGCAGGACCCAGCCCCACCACGCCCAGCACCTGAGCACCTCAGCAGCACCCACAGACACAGAGACCGTGGGAAAGAAGTCTGTTATTTTTATTACCAAATGCTTCTTTCTGATTGGAACGTCGGGGAATTAAATATTTACAGCCACTTTTTAACTCTGGCCGCCTCTGCTCCTGCATCCCCAGCACCCAGAAGTGGGACGGGGGGCGGCAGGGACGGGAGGGGGGTGAGAAGCCTAAGGTCACAAAGGCCAGGGGTCAAGGACTGAGGTCAAGGGAAAGGGCTGGGGTTTGGGTCGGGCACCCGGAGGTCACAGAGGCCAGGGGTCAGGGGGCTGAGGGTCACGGGGGCTGATGTCGGGAGAGCCTGGGGGTCGTCGAGTCGAGGCCATAGGGTTACAGGAGCTGGGTCTTGCAGGCCTGGTGTGGGGCTGGAGGCGGGGTGGGGGCGGGGATGGGCTGGGGGCCCGAGGGGCGCTCAAGCCCAGCCTGGCCCGCGGTGGCACAGGCCTTGAGCAGAGGGCTCCAGAGATGGCTCCAGTGTCGAGGGGCGGCTGACGGCCCCGGGACCCGGGCCCTACTGTCTGGCCGCTGCCGTCTGTGACCCCTGAAGTGCCGCATCGGGAGTTCCGAGAGGCTCTTGGTGAGCGGGGAACAGGGGCCTGGGGCTGGGAGCCCCGGGAGACCCCCACAGGGGACACCATGACCGTTTGGTCCTACCGGCACCTTGGACCTCTCCCCAGTGCCTCCTGGTACACAGCGCCCTCAGGTGGCTGCGTGCTGGGTCCCAACTACGGCCGGGAGTGGCGGGCAGCGGTGGGTGGGCGGGCGGGCAGGCCCGGGTGCGGCCTCAGCTGTCCGTACTGGGGCGGGAGGGCTCCCAGCCTGGGTCCCCGGGGCTGAGAGGGGACGGTTCCGTTCCTCCGGGGGCTCCGTGCGCCTCCCTCAGGGCCCCTAGGCCGTTTGGAGCGCCTGGCCCTCTCTCCAGCCTGTCTGTTGTCCTGCTCTGAGGCAGCTCCGGAATGTTCCTGAGGAATGTGTCCCTGGCTGGCGGGAGCTTCTTTGCAGCCAGCCCCATCTCTCGAGTCAGTGGGTGGCCAAGAGCAGAAGACACAGACGGGGCCCGAACCCAGGACCCGCGGGGGTCAGAGTTGGCTCGGCCGTGTCTGGGAGGGGCACGGCTGCCCCGGGATCCTGACGCTCTGGGCAGACAGGCCGCCTCCAGGGTCAGAGACGAGCAGAGCGGTCACTCGCAAACGCCCGCGAGCCTGTGCCAGTGCAGAGGGCAGAGAGAAGCCAGGGTTCCTGCCGGGGTGGGAGGGGAGGAAAGGGGGGCCAGACCCTGAGGGGGCGGGTCCTACTGGGCCGGCCGGCAGGGGAGCCTGGAGCAGAGGGTCCATGGCTGGTCCGAGGAGGTGCTGCCGCCAGGTGGTTCAGGGGAGAGTGACGCCCGGTCCTGCCTCTGCCTCACACACCAGCCCCCTCCCCTGCGGCCCCTCCCTCCCCAACGCTGCACCACCGCAGTGGGGGCCCAGGGGTCTCAGCCCTGCGTGGCGGCCACTCGGAACCACAGCCTGCACACCTGGCCGGCAGGTCCAAGCCTCAGCGGAAGGTGGTGGCGGGCTCCGTGGACGGCTGGCCAGGCCAGGCGTGAGGGCTTCTGGTGGCTGTAGGCCAGAGCCTCGGGGGTCACTCAGGCCCCAGGCAGTGTCTCCATGGCTGCCCCGGCCAGCAGGGCCGAGACCACGGCTCCCCCCAACACATCCTTCCCGGTTCAGGTACTGCCCTGTGCCTCCCCGGGCTTGGGGTGGGGCAGTGGCTCTGGTTAAACAGGGGAGACCCCCAGCCTGTCAGAAGTGGAGGTTCGGGCCCCAGCAGGGTCAGACACTGCCCAGCCCTGGGGACAGGCGGGAGCGGCGGGTTCTCCTGACAACGGCACAGCCCCAGCAGGGCTCCTGGGAGTGGGGGCCGCCTCTGGCCCACACAGGCGCCCGTGGGCAGTCGCAGGGGCTGTGACCGGGAGAGGTGGCCCCGAGGGTCCGGTGGACACGGGGCTCTGTGGGGCCAGGCCCACCCGCTGGGCCCCCTCAGACTGCAGTCCTGCTCTGCCTGTCCTCCCCAGACGGTGAAGAGGGGTGCGCATGGGCTCCGGGAACTGAGGCTGCTCGGAAGGGCGGGTGTCGGGGGCTGCCTGTCTCCTAGCAGGTTAAACGGGCCAGCCGTCTCTCTCCCACCCACCCCGCGTCACGGTGCGTAGGGTGGGGGCTTCTCCCCCGGGAGAAGGTGGACTGGAACATAGAAGGGGGCGTCAGGCGGAAGCCCGCAGCTGGAACTGGACGGATGTGACAGGTTCTCGGACAGGGAGAGGCCAGGGGCCAGCGAGACGGGGCAGTGACCAGAGGGCTGCAACCAAGTAGAAAGTTGTCCTCAGATGCCGAGGTCGCAGCTGCCATGGGCACAGGCACGCAGATGCCCCGCACCCAGCTCCTAGGCCCTCCTGCACCCCAGTCCCGCCCTCGACGCTAGCAGACACCAGCCCCCGACCCCTGCACTGAGTCACTCCTGGGGCCCGGTGCACCCAGAGCACCATGCTGAGAGGGGGCCCAGGTCCGCGCTGGACCTCCTGGGAGGCTTCTGTGGACTCGCAACGGGCTCCGTCTGCCGACACCTGTCTCAGCGTCCCTTGGGGGAGGGGGCTTGGCAGCATGGCTGACACTAAACCCACCGATTCGTGTCAGAAAACACCCTGCACCTTGCTGGGCTCATCCAGCCAGTCGAGAACGTGCCCCCGCCCCACGCCGCCCCACGGGAGTCACTGCCCCTGGCCCTGGGCTGGTCACAGGCTGGCGGGCTGGGCAGATTTGGACTCTGCCACCTCACAGTGCCCGTCGCCACCCTCCACCTGTTTCACCATCTGTCCTTACCCCCTTCCAGCTCCCCGTCCCTTCTCTCTGCCGTCCGCAGCCCAGGGGCCTCTCATCGCCAGCCCGCCCCACCCCCGGCCATCCCTCGCTCCCCCATCTCTGCCCATTGGTCTCCCATCTGCTCGCTCTGCCGGTCGCCTCTTATGCCCCCGTCCTCGTGTTGCTACGTCTCACTCCGACTCCGCCCGTAACAGACCCTCTGGGGTCCTGAGGTGCGAGGGCGTGCTACAGGCACCTTAACTGCTGTTGAAGTGACGTCAGATTTCAGGGCACAGGTTGTGGACCAATACGGTTCTAGTTTTCCCCCGTGTGCTGACGACTCCTTAAAGTGTTCCTTGCGTCTCGGTTTCTGAGGGTAAGTCGCCCTCGTGAAGCTGGTGTCAAGGCAGTGACACACAGTCCAGGCGAGACCTTCTCTCTGCCCCCCGCCCCCCCCCCCCAGTGCTCAGAGCCGGAAACGCCAGCCTGTGGCCACACCATCCCCTCAGCCTGCCCCACGAGGCTGCGGTATTCCGGAAGGACCTTCACAAGCTGCAGATAAGCCGGGAGCGTCACCTGCTCGGTTCCAGGGCACAGGCCCCTGTCCCCAAACTGCCTTCGCTTCTCCTAGCTCACTCTCCTTTCTGATCACAAAAGGGACATCCAACCACACAAGGTGCACATACCAGTGAGCTGGCAGCTCCCGGCTCCAACCGCACATGGAGCTACCCAGCCCCTGGCTGGAAGTGAAGAAAGCCACTGTGGTGTGTACAACAGACACGAGTAGTCGGCCATAAGCAAGGCGAAGTCACCAGGAGCCACGATGTAGGCACCACAGTCTCCAGGGGACACCACAAGTGGCCCTGGGTCAGCCACACAGACCCTGGGTAAATCATCACAGGCCACGTCATAGCAACCACTAGAATGAATGAAACTACCACATGTCAACACCGCGGTGGCAGAGTCAACGTCCTTGACCCCAGACTAAACCCTCAAGGGCCACAGAATGGGAGCCACAGGCTAGAGGGTGTGACACCGCGGACCACAGAGTAAGCGACCAAGCACAGACTACCACCAACAACCAGCTGAGTGTATCAGCACAGCCCACAGGGTCAACCACCACCGACCACGTAGTAAATGGTCACGAAAGATGAGGGAAACACCATAGACCACAGGACACACCACCGCAGCGGGCCAGGGAGTGAATAGCCACAGACCACAGGGTAATCGACCAGGGAACGTGGAGTCACCTGCCCGCCAGGCCTCACCAGGCAGGCTGTCCCCACAGTGACCTATCAAGTGAGCGCACAGACGCCCTGTCATGAGACTGAGTCAGGTCTCTGCCGGTGCTGAGTCCTGAAATCAGGCATGACGTAAGCTTCCGGAAGCTTCTCTTCTGACTGACAATGGAGCTGGAGTAACTCTCCCCGCTCCCAGCATGGGGAATGTTCCCTGCTGAGCGTGAGGGTCTCCTCCATGGCCGGGGTGGGGTCTCTCCCACTCCACGTGTGTTGAGCAGACACCGCTTCTCCCTGCTGTGGGCAGGACAGGGCAGTCGCTCTCGGGTGGCAAGTCCGAGGGCTGCTGGCCCGCAGGTGCCTGTGTCGGCTGTGATGAGAGGGTGCCGTGGCCAGGAGAGCGCCCAGGACCTGGCCGCTGAGGGGGCCCGTGTGGGAAGACTGGGTGGGAGGGGCTGGGTCAAGCTAGTCGCTGGCCAGGCCCCTCCGGGGAAGAACCATGCCTGGGCGCATGCTCTTCACAGGCTGAGCCTGGTAAGCACGGGGCACCCCCTGAGGGCCAAGAGGCCCTCCACGACACCCCCACAAACCCACCACAGGCTCTGCTTCCCCTCACAGTGATGTCACTTCCTCCTCGCGGTAATGTTCCTCCCCCACTGACGTCACTGCCCACTCACACTGACGTCACTACCCCTCGCACTGACGGCACTTCCTCCTGCAATGACGTCACTGCCCTGCACTGACATCACTTCCTTCCCACAGTGATGCCACTTCCTCCTCTCACTGCCAGCACATCCTCCTCGCACCGATGTCACTTTCTCCTCAGGTTGATGTCACTTCCTCTATGGTAGCATCACTTCCTCTCACACTGACATCACTTCCTCCCTGCACTGACATCACTTCCTCCTCGCACTGACATCACTTCCTCCTCGCACTGACGTCACTCCTTCCTCACGTGGCCGTCATTCCTTCTCCTGTGATGTCCCTTCCTCCGGCAGTAGCATCACTTCCCCCATTCAGTGAGCCTCTTCCCCTTGCTCTGCTGTCACTCTCTGCTCCCCCGACACCCTTCCTCTCTCCACAGTGTCACTTCCTCCCTGGGCTGGACCCCTTCCTCCTGGTGGCACTGCTGGCTCCCGCTGTGGCATCGCTCCCTCCTCGCAGCCTCTCGCTTCTTTGCAGTGTCTTACTTCCTCCCTCTGGCTCCTGGCAGAAGCCCTGGTATGTGGGTGGCCACCGCCTGCCCTGCACAGGGTGTGTGTGTGTGTCTGCCTCTGCCCTGTCTGTCGGGGTCCCAGGAGCGCTGGCTCGCTGTGGGGCCAGCTCCCATAGGGTTAGCAAGGGGTCCAGGACAGTGGCCGTGCCACGGTGGCACAGAAGCTGGAGAGGGAGTGCCCTGCGTCAGCCCCCTACCTGAGCCCCATCTCGGGGGACCTGCTCCACAGGGGAAGGGCAGAGGCCCCGCAGGACGCAGGAGGGCCCCGGGTCCCAGGAGGCCACGTGAGACGCTCAGGCCAGGGCGTGGCTGAGGCCGGGAGAGTAAAAGAAACCAGACAGGGAGATGGCCCGCACGCCCAGTGCCACCTGCCCCACTGCCATCTGTGTGTCCCCCGGCCTCCAGCAGGACCCCTCAAATCCTTCACTTTTTTCTTTTTTTTCTTTGCTTTTTGGGTCACACCTGGCGATGCTCAGGGGTTACTCCTGGCTCTGCCCTCGGGAGTTGCTCCCCGTGGTGCTATGGGACGCCAGGGATGGAACCCGGGTCGGCCGCGTGCAAGGTCCTCCCCGCGGTCCTGTCACTCCGCCCTCAGAGGCTTCGCCTTTTGCCCACCTCTGCCAGGTGCAGCCCCCGGAGCCACCAGCAACAACCTCCCACAGGTGTGAGCCCCCAGCCCCCTGCAGAGCTCAGAGCCTCGTGGGCTCTGCCCAGACCCCGAGGGGAGCCCCGAGGACTCCGACAGACGGGGCAGAGGGGCCACGGGGCAGGGTGCTAGGCTATCACTGGGAGCTCCCTACAATGAGGATATGGCCAAGTGGGACCCCCGACCCAAGCCGGAGGCAGAGCAGGCAGAGTCTGTGCCGTGGGCCGGAAGGACACCGTGCCGAGCCAGCAGGTGGGGGAGGGGCTCCCTCCCAGCCCTCCAGCTGAGCTCACAAGCCCATGTCTGTCCCGCTGCCACCCCCTGCTCTGGGAGGGCCCATGTGGGCCGCCCTGGGACTCAGCCCTGGGTGCTTACCTGGAGGGGCAGCGGGTAGGATGAGCAGGTGGGCAGTGCAGGCACCGGGCAGAGGTCTGGGTGGGCCAGAACCTGGCGGGCAGGGCCATGGAGGGTCTGCGGGGAGCAGGCCAGGCCAGAGGCCAGCTGGTTCCAGGGGACCTGCGGAGAGGAAGTCAGGCTGGAGACCCCGCCCCCACGGCCCCCGAGCCAGCCCTGAACCCAGAGCTGGAGGGCAGACTGCTGACCCTCCCCTGCGATGTGCCCAGTCCCCTCACCGGCCCCGCCGACTGCCTCCTCCCAGCAGGTGAGCCCCCAGGCCCAGGGGCAGCAGGGGCCGTGGAGAGCCAGGATGCAGCCTTGACTCCAGCTCTGGATGCATCTCTGCAGGCAGCAGGCACCGCCCTCAGTAACTCCCCGAGGAAGGCCGGGTCCCAGGCTGTGGTCAGTCCCCAGGCCAGAACTGGGCCCGAGTGGGAGGACATGCAAGACTTGTCTCCGCCACTGGGCTGGGCTGAGGGCGGTGGGGAGGCCGGCGGGGGTGGGGGCTAGTGAGGGCTGGGCTAGTGGGGGCTGGGGTCCCAGGGCCTGAGCCTCAGGGCTGACCTCCCCTTAGACTGAGATTATAAACCTGGAAGTGACTCACCCCACCAGCCACATCCCGGGGCCACCCCTGAGGTCACCAGGGCAGCCATGGGAGGACGCGAGCTGCCCGCAGAGGGGAACCCCCGGAGCTGAGCTTCAGGAGACTCCAGAGAGGGACTTGACGTTCGTGGCAGGCCCTGCAGAGTCCTGCCCGCCCCAGAGGGCACTCAGCCGCCCGCTGTGAGCTCCCAGACGGCTGTGCCCGCCTGTCCCGCATCCCAGACTTGCCACAGGGACCTTTGCCGGGGACACTTTGCCCTGCCATCGGGCCTCCCTGGGTGTGCGGGGACAGAACCAGCCCCACGCTCCCTGGACCCTCAGCCCTCCTGGGCATGTCCCCGGGTCCCGGCTCCCGTGGCCCAGAGCCACTCACCATGTCCTTGAAGGCGCCCAGGACGGCGGCCGTGGCAGCGCCCAGGAACAGGCCCAGCACATTGAGCACGGCCGAGGCCCAGAGCAGCCGGTAGAGGTGGAGGGCGTCCCCACAGCCGCGCACACCCACGAACTCGTAGTAGGGGAGGGGAAGCTCCGTGCTGCAAGGGACAGCCTGGTCACTGCAGCCGCCTGGGCAAGCAGGCCGTGGCCAGGGGGCGGGGGCCCAGCTGGCGAGTGGTCTCGGGCCTGGAGTGCCGGCTCTACCCGGGCCTCCTGCAACCCAGTGGTCAGCAGGGACTGGGCTCTGGCCTGAGCCACCCAAGAAATGTGAGGGCATGTGGGTGGTGGAACATGTGCCTGTAACAGGTGAGGGGCATGTACTATGGCAGGTGAGTGTTGTGTTCCTGTCCCAGGTGAGGGGGCTTGTACCTGTCCCAGGTGAGGGGGATGTGCCTGTCCCCGGTGAGGGGGCTTGTACCTGTCCCAGGTGAGGGGGATGTGCCTGTCCCAGGTGAGGGGGCTTGTACCTGTCCCAGGTGAGGGTTGCATACCTGTGGCAGGTGTAGAGGTCACAGCAGTAGCAGGTGTTACTCTTCACCTTCAGTTGGCACTTGCCATTGGAGGAGTGGCAGGTGACCTGTGACAGAGGACACAGGCCTCCGATGTGTGCACGAGCCCAGAGTGGGCGCTGCCTGGGGCCGGCCCAGCAGCTCATCCATGCCAAGCCTGTGCCAGGCCCATCCCTCCCTCCCCCTGCCCTGCATGCCTCGCACCCGTCCCCGAGACTAGAGGGCCTCACTCCCGGGGAGCCCCGCGGCCAACACCCCTAATGGCAGGGGGTGTCTGGCGATGTGCTGCCCTGGGGGAACCCTAATTTTGACCCTCAGGGGTCCTCGTTGGAGACTCTCCACCGGGTCCCTCAGCTGCCCAGACTGACAGAGCCCCAAGCCCCGGGCCTGGGGACATGGTTCTCTCTCCCCAGTGCTCCTCGGCAGCAAGGCGAGTGTGTGCCCACGTCTGGGACAGTGACCCTGGCCTTGGGGGACCTGGGGGGCTCCCCACACTCTGGGATCCGGCTCCAAAAGGTCCCAAGGGTGGAGCACCCACAACGGCCAGGAGCGGGGTCTCAGAGCCCCGGGGACCCAGGGAGTCACGAGGCTTGTGGGGACCCCGCCCCTTCTCCACTGAGCTTTCACCGGAGCCTTGGCACAGGGTCTCCTTCCAAGATCCAGTTTGACTTCTGGACGCCCCCAACCTGGCGGTGGGAGCCCCTGAGCTTGCGGACGAGGGGCAGAGAGATGAAGCGGGGCCAGCCAGGCCAGCAGGGCGGAGAGCACAGGCGTCCACCCTGGCCCAGAGGGCAGGCAGCTGGTCAGACAGCAAGGGACTGTGGTCACGACAGGATAGGGCAGGAGGGGAAACTGAGGAAGGGCTGGGCTCAAAGAACCTAGGTTTGGAGGGGCATAGGAAGCCTCGTGGGCCCAGAATGCTGCCACGGCCGTGCTCACCTCTGCCTGGTACACACCCTGCAGGTGCCCTGCCCCGCTGGAGTAGAACTGGCACCGTCCTGCCGCGAGGGGACGTGGGTCCTGAGGACAAGGAGACACAGAGGGAAGGACACGGCCATCTCTCCTGATACCCCCGTCCCTCCCCGTCCCTCATCTGCAGCTTCACACGCCCTCGGCTCAAGCCCCCACCCACGCCCCCCCATGCCAGTGCCCGCTGCCACACTCAGCTCCCCACCATGGGGTGTCCCCACCCTGGGTCCCCAGAGTGTCCAGCCTTCAGCCTGAGGTGAGTGAAAGAGCAGGACCACCAAGGGACCGTCCAGTCTCACGTGGTCTCTGTGAGCTGCTGCCCCACGGGGTCGGCACTGTGAGTACCCCCTGGTCCCAGGTACCCCCTCTGCTTGCTCAGCCCCCGGGACCACCGCACCCGCCCCGCGCTGCTGCTCTGGCTCAGGACGTGAGAAGCCTGGTGACGGCCTCAGTGCGGCAGGAGCCGCCCCCAGGGCCGCTGTTCTGGGTCCCTGCAGCGTCCTCCTGCACAGACCGAGAGGAGAGCGCCGAGCGGGCGGCCGAGGGTGGCGTGCACGGCCCCTGCGTGCCTGAGTCTGTCTGTGAACCCGCTGCGTTCCCCGAGTGGGCGTGTACGAGAGTGCAGGACTCCTCTGTGCAGGGCACATTTGCTCTCTGTGTGTCTGTGCGTGTGTCCTGGGTGCTATGTGTGTGGGTCCCACACACATGTGTGCTTGAATAGGCATGCTCATGTGGGGGCATGTGTGGGCGTGTGTGAGTGTGTGTGAGCCTATGTGAGCGTGTATAGCATTGTGAGCATCTGTGGGCATGTGTGAGCATGTGCGAGCATTGTGGGAATGTGTGAGTATGTGTGGGCACATGTGAGCACGTGTGGTCATGTGTGAGTGTGTGTGGGCATGTGTGAGTGTGTGAGCGTGTGTGGGCATGTGTGAGTATGTGTGAACCTGTGCGAGTGTGTGTGAGCATGTTGGGCATGTGTGAGCGTGTGTGAGCATGTTGGGTGTGTGTGAGCATGTGTGAGCTTGTGTGGTCATGTATGAGCATGTGTGAGTGCGTGTGAGTATGTGTGGGCATGTGTGGGCATGTGCGAGCATTGTGGGCATGTGTGGGAATGTGTGAGTATGTGTGGGCACATGTGAGCACGTGTGGTCATGTGTGAGTGTGTGTGGGCGTGTGTGAGTGTGTGTGAACCTGTGTGAGTGTGTGTGGGCGTGTGTGAGCACGGGTCGGCATGTGTGAGCATGGGTGGGCATGTGTGAGTGTGTGTGACTGTGTGAGCATGTTGGGTGTGTGAGAGCATGTGTGAGCTTGTATAGTCATGTATGAGCATGTGTGAGTGCGTGTGAGTATGTGTGGGCGTGTGTGGGCATGTGTGAGCATGTGTGAGCATTGTGGGCATGTGTGGGAATGTGTGAGTATGTGTGGGCACATGTGAGCACGTGTGGTCATGTGTGAGTGTGTGTGGGCGTGTGTGGGCATGTGTGAGTGTGTGTGACTGTGTGAGCATGTTGGGTGTGTGAGAGCATGTGTGAGCTTGTGTGGTCATGTATGAGCATGTATGAGCATGTGTGAGCACGTGTGAGTATGTGTGGGCGTGTGTGGGCATGTGTGAGCATTGTGGGCATGTGTGGGCACATGTGAGCACGTGTGGTCATGTGTGAGCATGGGTCGGCATGTGTGAGCGTGTGTGGGCATGTGTGAGTGTGTGTGACTGTGTGAGCATGTTGGGTGTGTGTGAGCATGTGTGAGCTTGTGTGGTCATGTATGAGCATGTGTGAGCGCGTGTGAGTATGTGTGGGCGTGTGTGGGCATGTGTGAGCATTGTGGGCATGTGTGGGAATGTGTGAGTATGTGTGGGCACATGCGAGCACGTGTGGTCATGTGTGAGTGTGTGTGAGCATGTCGGGCATGTGTGAGCATGTTGGGTGTGTGTGAGCATGCGTGAGGTTGTGTGAACTTGTATGGTCATGTATGAGCATGTGTGAGCGCGTGTGAGAATGATGGGCGTGTTTGAGTACGTGGGGCTCCTGCAGGAGCCAGGACAGGAGATCAGGGCATGAGGGGAGAGGGCGAGGCCTGCGCTGGCCAGGTCAGGCGAGAAGGCGACCAGCAAGTTCCAGCAGGGGCGCCTCAGACTTACCATGTGCCGGGCAGCGAACACGCCGTCCACAACGGCACAGCAGAAGGCAGCCGCCACGCCGAAGCTGATGAAGATGATGGCGGCCACCAGCTGGGGAGAGACGGAGCAGCGTGGGGGCCAGTCCCACCCGCGTCCCACGAGGGAGGCAGGCGAGGTGTGTCCCCACCCAGCTGTTCTGGAGTCCCTGCGTGGCCCCTGGTCCCACCCTCTTTTGTCCCTTGTCCCTCTGGTGTTTGGCCTAGGGTGGCCCAGCCCAGGCCAGCTGTCCCCTGTGGAGCAGACGAGAGGGACTGGCCGGCTTGACCAGCCGCTGTCCCAGAGCCCGAGAGGAGGCCGCTGTCCCATCCTCTGCCCCTCCGACGTTCGATCTGTTCTGCACAGAGACTTGGGGGGACCCCAGGGAAGGGGCCCCCCGACAGGCCTTCCCAGCAGGTCAGACCGGTCGGGCAGACACCGCTCACTCCCCCTTCACGGCTCTGTGGCTTCCTTTGACTCGTTTTCTCTTCAGACAGCCGCCCTCGGGTGAAAGACAAGGGCCGGTGTCCCACCCAGACCCTGAACTCCTCTGCCCAGTGTGCCTGGCTGGTCCAGTGTCCATGCTCCCCTCCCAAGCACTCAGGCATCAGAAAGTGACAGGTTGGTGCTGGCCCCTCGGGCCCGCAGGTGCCAGCTGCTCAGGCCATCAGCCCGGGAAGGTGGGGTGGTCAGGGGCCAGGCACCCCACGCTGTCCGAGCTGGCCGGTCCCCCAGAACCAGCCATCTCCACAGTCCACTCACGTCCCGGCCAGGAGCAGCTCCCCAGTCCTGGCAGAGACAGGCAGCCAGCAGGGGACATCGGGGCAGGCAGGAGGTCTGGCTGCTCTGGGCTCTGGGCTCTCGTGTGCAAAGCGGGCTGAGGGTCAGCACCTGTGCAGTGAGTGGACACACGGCACTGCAGGGCACACTGGGCGCAGGGAGAGGCTGCATTCTGGCCACTCATGGCACGGCTGGGCAGAGGGGAGTGGTGCTCTCCGTCCCACCCGGGGCAGTTACGGGGTCTGTGTCCGGCCTGGCCAGTATGGGGTCTGTGTCCAGCCCTTCTCAGGAGGCCCAGGTCACCTTGCACTCAGCCACCATCCCACAAATGAAATCTTTGATTCCAAACAGTGAAGGTCGTCCTGATAAGCCAAGGAGGACGGGGTGGGGGACGTCGGGTCCCTCGCGGCTCCCCGCCTCCTGTCCAGACCAGGACCACAAGGTCACAGCCATCCTGACCAGGGTGGGACACGGGGTTCCTGTCCCTTCCCCAAGGACCCCACAGCTGGAGACGGGCTCTGGCGGAGCTCCAGGTCTCTGTAGCAGATGCAGGGACGCAAGGGCCACCGCCTGTGACCGTCCACAGCGTGGGACAGAACCAGGAAGGGCGTCAGTGGGAGAGTGGGGGAGGGGGGAGAGGCAGGGAGGAGGAAGGGAGGGAGGGAGGGGGTGGTGAGCCAGTGACGAGGCTCGTCTTCTCTCTCCACCCAGTGTCCCCAGGGAAGAGCCCCGGCCTCTGCCCCAGTGCAGGGTCATTGGGGACTCAGAGGGACGTGGCTTTCCAGGTGCAGTGGAGGCCCCGCCCTTCCGCCCGCGTGTGCCCTCCCCTCCCCTCCCCTGTGTGCCCCCCGCCCCTGCAGGAGCTGCCCGCCCCACCGGCCCTCTCACCATCTGCCTTCTGTTCTCCACCAGGTGGACGCCGAGGATCCCCAGGAAAGAGCCAAAGCCCAGCTAGAGGGAGGGGACGGAGCACCATGAGGGGGTCAGACCCTCATGTCCTGCCGGGGTCTCTGCGCACAGGCACGGGCCAGGGTCACAGTGGGTGGGATCCCAGTACCCACAAAGGGCCCCGGAGGGACTGGTGGACCCCAGCCCTGTGCCTTCTCCAGCAGAGGGTTGGGCCCCACCGGGGGTCACCACGCCCGCCTCCCCCAGGACCCTGCAGACATGGCACCACACCAGATGTCCCGGAGTGACCTGTGAGGACTCTCCAAGGGCCGGGCCTGCACACCTGACACTGAGGGCCCCTGGGTCAGCACAGCCTCCTCGGGAAGACCCCTCCCCCGAGAGCAGTGCCACCCATTGGTCCTGTCACCTGAGCGTCTGTGTCCTGCCCTTCAAGTGTCCCTATGTCCTGTCACCTGAGTGTTCCAGTGTCTGTGTCTGAGTGTCCTGTCACCCAGTGTCCTTTCACCCATGAATCTGTGTGTCCCATCACCCATTGTCTGGGTATCCCATCACCCAGAGTCCAGTTGTCCTGTCACCCAGTGTCTGGATATCCTGTCACCTAGTGTCCGAGTGTCTGTGTGTCCTGTCACCCAGCACCCGTGTGTCCCATCACCCAGTGCTCGTGTGTCTCTGAACAGCAGACAGACTCTGTGTGTGGGAACAGTGGCTCTGCTCCCCCCCAAGGCCCCGGGCCTCCTTCCAGGCAGGGTGGCGGCACCCCTGAGGGACAGCCCGGCCCTCGCAGGGAGGACTGGCAGTTTCAGGGACCCCGTCACCCGCGCCATCACTTGGCGTCCCTCGCGGCCCCGCTGGCCCACCCGGCCCTCTGGCCACACTCACAATGATGCCCGGGTAGTAGCCGCCCACAGACACGTTCTCCGTGCGGGTGGTGGCAGCGAGGCCGATGGTCAGGATGAGAGTGGACACGGCCAGCAGGGCCAGTACCGACCACAGGGCTGTCTTCTTCCTTCCAGCAAACCCTCCTGAAAGCACAGGGGGGGGGGGGCAGTGCCCGGTGCCCAGCTCCTGTCCGGAAGCAGCTGGAAGAGCTTCCCCAGCCTCAGCAAGGCGCCACCCACCAAACAGAACCCGGGGATCCTCCCCTCCCAGTGCCCGGTGAGATATGGTCGAGGCCCAGCAGCCACGATGCCCCATGAGGGACCTGGCGGGACCCACAGCCGCAGGCCAGGGCCATAACACGCCCTGAGGCAAGGCCTTGAGGCACTGCTGGGGCAGAAAGTGAGCGGGAGGGGCACCTTCCCAGAAGGCCATGCTGCCCCTGCCCCTGCCCATGGCCCCAGACACACCCGCTCCTTTCCGCCGAGAACAGCAGCAGCGACAGGAGGGAGGCCGGCAGGGCCACGCTCCACGCGCCCGGCGCTGGGCTCCGCGGGGCCTGGACTCCAGCAGCACAGCGGGTGGAGGGCAGTACACGCTCCCCCGTGTCGGGTCCACGGCCAACAGCACAGGCGTGCACACGTGCTCTGGGATGCCATGCCCACGTGAGTCCTTGTGTGTGTCACGTACACATGCTTGCATGAATGTGCCACTGCGTGTGTTGTGTGATCACCTGTGCCCAGTGTAAGCACATGTGCAAGATGCATGTGTGTGCTCACACGTGTACATGAATGTCTGCCTTCATGTGAATGCAGTCTTGCATGTGTGAGCGTGCATGCCAAGTGCACTTTGTGTGCGTGGATGGGGCTGTGGCAGCGGTTGTATGGTTGTGTTGGTGTGTTGTGTGGAGGGGGGGGACTGGCACCCCCTGGCTCGATGGCAGGTCTAGCCACACACACCACCACCCTCTGGACTGCCCAACCTGCCAACTCACGGCCGGCCGCAGGGCTCTTGGCCGCTCAAGGTCAGGCCAGAACAAAGGCCAGCACTGAGTGCTGTCACGCAGGAGAGCGTGGCCCCCTGGGGCCACACGCCCACTGCAGGCTGGAGGATGCAGCTGCTCAGCCCTCTTGGCTCCTCCCTTTCCCTGGAAGACCCCTGAGCCCCTGAGCCCCACCTGGGACACGGATCAGGCTGTTGGCCACCCAGAGACCCCAGCCCCATCCCAGGCAGGGCCGTGGACGCAGCCGGGTCGGGTGGTCCCAGCACGAAGCCTGCACCCTGCGGTGGCTGGCCTGGCCCTGCCCCCTGTCTCAGCACCCGTCCCCACCTCCCTGCTGAGACGGGCCCCCAGCCCAGAGAGCGACACCCAGGCCTCTGGGTGTCGGCCGAGCCCGGCCGTCGATGGGGAGCAGGGCCGGTCCCGGGAGCCACAGGGACCAGACTCTTCTTTTTATTTTGTTATTTTTGTTATAGGGACCAAACCTGTTGATGCTCAGGGCGAACTCCTGGCTCTGTGCTCAGGGGTCACTCCTGGTGGGCTCAGGGGGCCACGGGGGATGCTGGCAACCAAACCCAAGTCAGAGCATGCCAGGCCAATGCCCTCCCCTGTACCATGCTCCGCCCTCAGGGTCCGTCTCTGGAGCCCACCTGGGCACACTCCGGGTCGCAGCAGCCCCCGCAGGCAGGACACCTGAGCCGATCCCGGGCACACCCACGTACCGAGCCCGTCCCGGGGGTTCTGAGGGGGGCAGCCGCGCCCAGCACAGGTGAGGGCCGAGCATGGGGGCCCATGCACGCCAGGCCAGGCCCCGGGAGGACGAGCTCATCGCGGGGCCTCTGGGGGCTGAGTGGCCGGGGCAGCCGACCCGCCAGCATCCGGGGCTGCCCGGTGCGAGTGACGGTCAGCAGGGACACGGCTGCCCTGCCCGTCCCACAGGCAGGTGGCTCCTGCCAGCTCCCATCTAACACTGCACCTGCTTGGGGGGACCCTGCCGGAGGCTCGGGGCAGGCCTGGGGGCAGCGAGGGGGAGGCCGCTGCTCTGTGCTCCCGTCAGACATGAGCAAGCTCTGGCGACACGGAGGCTTCCCAGGTCCCGGCTGGGCCTTGAGGCTGAACCCCAGTGGCCCCCAGGGCCCCCCCCCTCTGGGCCCACACCCCCCTCGGTCAGCTCTCTGGCCACAGCTGCCCCAGCACCAAGACTAAGGCTGCTGCCCACAGGGAGGAGGGGGGGGAGGGGAGGGCAGGAGGGCCCAGGGCCTTCCCGGGAGCCTCACCTGTCCTGTCCAGCAGGGCCAAGTGCCCCGGCTGCGGCTGGGGCACCGCGGGGCGCTGCATCCCCTGGCTGCGGCAGGCACCTGCACCAGGAAGTCAGCTGTCCCCTGCCAGCAGCAGCCAGGGCTGCGGTGACAAGTCTGGCAGATGGCCCCGCCTCTCGCTGCCTCCACCCTCCCTGCACCCCTCCCGCCCCAGCCCTGCACCTGCTCACCGCGCGGGCGCCCCCACCTGTGCCTGCAGGGGACAGGTCCCTGTCTCTCCGCGGGGCCGCCCCCACCGCCCTGTTGGAGGCGACACAGCACGCACTGCATCTCCACGGGGCCTCTGCCCCACGAAGTCACACGCGTGTCATAGGCCTCTACCCAGGGGGCTGCACGTGTGTCGTGAGCCTCTGCCCCACGGTGTTGCAGGCGTGTCCGTGAGCTTCCGCACAGAGGGCGGAGCACGGAGGACAAAAGGGCTGAGCGTGTGGAAGCCTTGCCCACCGTTCTGAGACCCTCTCCCACAGAAGGGGAGCCTGGAAGGGTCCTCAGAGCTCAGGACAAAGCGGCCGGCTGTGGGGGCACGACAGGGGTCTGGGTAGGTGTGTCTGAGACCCTCAGTTCTCAGGCTGAGCCAGCCTGCCCACCTCACAGGCCGTGGAGGGAGTCTGCAGATGGCCCCGCTGGGCAAGCTGCAGGGTGCGGCGCAGAGCGGGCACACACGTACACACACGCACACACATATGCACACACGTGCACACACACACGCACACCCATATGCACACACGTGCACACACACGCACACACGTGGGCTCTGGACATCAGCTGTACGAGAGCAGAGTCCCCACAGGCCAGCAGCAAGCGAGCCCACGGCCCCATTGGTGTCGGGCGAGACCAGCCTCAGGGACCTGCCTGCAGTGTTGGGCACATGAGGAGGCCACAGCGCAGGACCGGAGCCCCACCCTGGCCTAAGCTGGGCCCCCGTGGCCTGCCGGGGACCATGGAAAGACCCCACAAGCCCATCAGGCCCCGACACGGGCCAGGAGCAGTGGAGGAGCCGCGTGAGAGGGGCCCAGGGTAGGACAGAGAGGGCCACAGGCCGGGTCAGCAGGGCCGCGTCCGGGGGCTCCATGTGGCCCCAGGGGCTGGGACTTGGTCAGCAGAACTGGGGGGGGGGCTGACGGCCAGGACCCGCCAGCTGGGCCTCACCTGCCCTCGCGGCCCCTCTGCGGCTCACCCAGCACCTCTGGGCTTCAAGGACAGCTGAGAGGCAGGGCGGGGAGAGCCAGGCTCCCCGAAGCAGCACCCACGCAAGCACGCGGGTCCCACTGCAGGGCCTGATGCCAGGGCCGACCCCAGAGCTGAGCCCTGCGGCTGGCTGAGGCCTATCGTGCCGCTGAATCTGCGTCTTTGTACAGAGAAACGACTAGAATGTTCACGTAACGGTGCAAGTACAGGGCTGCCCTGTGTCCTTCCCAGGGAGCGTCCAAGGCTGCATGCAGGTCTGGGGGGGGGGGGGGGGCAGGGTCCCTCAGGGCGGCGGAAAACCTGGCTCACTCTGTGTGCCCGCACTGTCCAGCCCCACAGAGGAGTTACATGACAGGGACACATATGGACTCAACCTCGTTGTATGCACAGAACACAGGTGAGTTTGACCACGCATGCACATGTCATCACACATGGCCACATAATCATGTCAGTGCACACATGTTAACCCATATGGCCACTGCAGGCATGTGCACACACATGGTTACACACATCATCATGCACTGACACGTGTGTATTAGACCATATTGGCACATGTGAGGCACACACAGGCTTGTTCATGTTGGCACACATGTGAGCACATGGCTTTGCTCACTGGCAGTGCACATGCTGGCATGCCCTGGCGCACAGGTGCACGCATCCACTCATGTGCACACCCCCCAGAGGGCCCTGAGCGAAAGTCTCTGTGATGCCATGCCCAAGGGACAGAGGGGCTGGGCAGGGCCTTCTGGTCCTCACACATCACTGATGCCTGGCACTCACAGCATTGGCTGCCTCAGTGACCAGTGGCCCTCTGCTATTTTGACACAGATTCGGAGGACGTGGGCAGCATTTGAGGCCAGTGCAGGTAAGGACTAGCCTCTACTCTCCCCAGAGCCCCTCCTGATCCGGGGCCCTTCCTGATTTGGGATCACTTCCTGATCTGCAGATCCCTTCCTAATCTGGGGAATCTCTTCCTGATCTGGGATCCCTTTCTGGTCTGCAGATCCCTTTCTGATCTGGGATCCCTTCCTGATCTAGGAATTTCTTACTGATCTGGGGACCCCTTCCTGATGTGGGGACCCCTTCCTTATCTGGGATCCCTTCTTGATCTAGGGTCCTTCCTGATCTGTGGATCCCTTTTTGATCTGGGATCACTTCCTTATCTGGGACCCCTTCCTGATCTGGGAACCCCTTCCTGATCTGGGGATCCCTTATTGATCTGAGGACTCCTTTCTGATCTGGGATCCCTTCCTGATATGGGACCCCTTCCTGATCTGGGGATCTCTTCCTTATCTGGGGATCCCTTCCTGATCTGGGAACCCATCCTGACCAGGACTCTTCCTCTTTTCTGAGACCCCCTCTCCTTGTTGCCTTCTTGGGTTCAGGCATGCGTGCTCTCCTGTGCTTGGGCATGCATATGCACATGTACTGGTAAACATATACATGTGTGCATACGTGGACATGCACATGTGCACACAATGCCCACGCACAGGTGCACACACAGCTTTCTGTCCTCTGCAACAAACACTGACAGAATGAACAATCTTCCCCCAGGCAGGCAGTGAGGGAGGCCCTGCCTGGACCAGCAGGTCGGCCCTGGTTTGGACCCTGCACCCACTGCTGGAAGATTCAGCACATTGCTGCCAGCCTGGGCACACGTGAGCAGAGCCCAGCCCCGGGGGGCACCCGTGGGAGCAGGACTGTGAGGACATGCCTGTGGGGACCGTGTCCGTGGGGACATGTGGGAGCGAGCGGGACTTGGGGAGCTATGATGTCTCAACCAACTGGGCAGAAAAGATCAGCCTTGTCAGGACCACAGACTCCACGACAACTCTACTTCGGATGGAAATTCACAATACACCAGCGGCCCCAGAGACTCCAGCCCAGAGCATTGCTCTTTCTGATGAGGGGGCGTGGGCTGGGTCCACACCTGTCCATCGGGACATCTTGTAGGATGAGTCTGGGCCTTCTGTGCAGTGGCCTGGGCTGGCTTCAGACAGGGAGAGCAGAGTGGGTCTGACCCCACAGTGTCTGTCCTGTGCTCGGGGCCGTGTCTGTCCTGTGCTCGGGGTCCAGTGTCTGTCTGTCCTGTGCTCGGGCCCTGGGGGCTGTCCTGTGACCCAGCCAGAACTGGCATGCATGAGCAGACAGGGCCCCAGGTTGTATTCGCTGGCCCTCAGAGGGCCTCAAGGACTTCACCCACCCTGCCCAGTGCCATCCAGGACGAGTCCTGGAGCAGAGCAGAGCACAAACAGAAGCAAACCCCGGGGCCGAATGTGATCCCTGAAATAATCCCAGTCGTGAATAATGCAGGCGGGCGGAACAGGTGCTGGGCGGCAGCGGCCCTGCCCCTCCGTTCCAGGAGCCCAGCGAGGGTGGGTCCAGATTCAGTTCCGAAGTGTAAGGTGCCCCTCGGAGGCAGGCACCCCCTCCTGTGAGAATGGGCGTCTCCAGGCCAGCCTGAGGTGGCCTTCTCCGGGCCCCTGATGCAGAGGCGCGGCTGAAAGGGGAGCCTCACGCTCCTGAAATATTGATGTGCCGGAGGCGTCCGGAGCACGGGGACAGGGAGGCAGAGGGCGAGACCCGCTGGACAGAGACAGGCACAAAGCCCCAAGGAGGGAGTGGGGCCGAGCTGGGACGCTCCCTCTTGCCAGTGGGCGGGAGAGGCAGAGGGACCCCCAGCCGTGGGCTCCCGCCTCGGGGCCAGCTCTCCCGCCCAGCCACGCTGCCTGGCAGGCTACGGAAGTGGCCGCACGGGCCCGACCATCACGGCGCCAGCCTCTAGCCCCACGGCCTCCGGCTAGGACAGCAGGCACAGCCCCGACTTGGAGGTGGAGGCCGCCTCCTCCGCCCCCACCCCCGTCATGTCGGCGGGCATCTGCCCGTCCGCCCGCCACACGTTCAGCTCCCCGAAGACGCCCGTCTCGATCATCTCCTCCTGCCAGGGGATGCAGCAGCTGCCCGTGGCAAACTCCTGGAAGAACTCCGTGTCGCTCGCGTCCAGAACCACCCCCTTGACGGTGGAGAAGGCACCAACGTCCTGGATGTTCTTGGCATAGACAGTCCTGGAGTCCGGGATGAAGGGCGGCTCCAGCATCCCTGCGACAAACACAGGGACACACGTGATGGCGATGGCGTGTGGTGTGACGGCGACCCGGCAGGACATGCCCCTGCCCCACGGCCACGGCACGGCCTCTGCCCCTGACCTCGGCCGGGGCCTGAGGGAAGGCACAGGCAGACACGTGCACTGTCACCCTGTACACGTAGGACCACGTGGGCGTGGGCGCACGTACGCACAGAAGGGTGTGGTTATGTGCACACGTGTCCACACAAACTCAGGGTGTTTGCAATGCAGTGTGTGCAGATTTACACAAAAACACAGACCCACACATGGACCGGTGAACACACGTGCACACACACACTTGAACACGTGCACGCTCATGCATGTCCATGTACACACACATACATGTCCATGCACAGGTGCACACGCAGCTTCCTGCCCTGCACAACAAACACTGACCCAGTGAAGGATCTTCTCCCAGGCAGACAGTGAGGGAAGCCCTGCCGGGCCAGGGCACCAAATGCCAGCAGGTCTGCCCTGGCTTGGACCCTACACTCACTGCCAGAAGATTCAGCACATTGCTGCCAGCCCGGGCGTGCGTGAGCAGAGTCCAGACCCGGGGGGCACCAGTGGGAGCAAGACTATGAGGATGAGGATATGTCTGTGGGGACCGTGTCCGAGGGGACATGTGGGAGCCATGAGTGGACGGCGAGGGCCCTGCCCTCGTCTTTTTTTTTTTTTCTTTTTTGGGTCACACCCGGCGATGCTCAGGGGTTACTCCTGGTTCATGCATTCAGGAACTACTCCTGGCTGTGCTCAGGGGACCATATGGGATGCTGGGGATCGAACCAGGGTCAGGCAAACGCCCTACCTGCTGTGCTATCGCTCCAGCCCTGCCCTGGTCTTCTGTGGCAGCACGGCCACGCGAGTAATCCATGGGCCAGCAGGTCTGCCACACCCCCGCCCGCCAACGGTACCCGCCCCCGCCCCTGCCAACGGTACCCGCCTCCAGCTGCCTCCAGCGGATGTCCTGGAAGAAGGGGTGGCCACGCAGCGCGTCGCAGCTGCCATCGCGGAAGCCCGGCCGCTGTGCCGGCTCCCTGTCCAGCAGTGCTGTGCACAGGTCCCGGCAGGCGGTGCTGAAGGTGTCAGGGAACTGCACGGCCGCTCCCAGCACCCGCTGCTTCAGCTCCTTGTTGTCCACCTGCGTGTCCGTGGCCCTGAGCGTCAGGCCGGCCCCCCGCCCTCCATGCTGGGCGCCTGAGAGCCCGGAGCACCCCAGGGAGACACTGGCACTGGGGTCCCCCACCCTGGAAGTAAGCGTGGGAGGACTCAGTCTCGGGCCAGCCAGAGCCGGGGCCGGGCCTCTCCGGGCCTGTGGCTGCACCTCCCCCGTGGCACCCGCCCGGCACGGGGACAGACACAGGACAGGGGGCTTGGGGGACAGTGGGGAGCCTCAGGGAACAAGGCCCCTGGGTTCCGGCAGACAGCAGAAGGGACCTCCCACCTAGCCCGCCATGGTCCTCCCTCTCCACCCTGACATCCACTCTGCTGGTGACAGCTTGCTCAGCGTCACTAGGGCCCACCTACCTTCTCTCCACGGGCCCGGAAGGGTCCCCTGGCTGCCATCATCTCATATAGGGTGACCCCCAGGGCGAAGTAATCCACAGAGAAGTCGTATTCCTCCCCCAGCAGCAGCTCGGGGGCCATGAACCCTGCAGGCACAGAGCACAGAGCACTGGAGACTGGCACAGAGCCTGGGGTCGGGGGGGGGTGTCACAACACGCAGACCAGGTGGCCACAGCATAGAAGGTGTTGGTAAAGCACCAACAGGCCAGAAGCACAGGCCGCCGGAATGTAGGCAGGAGCCAGAGCAGGGAGGGCATTGGCCTTGCACGCGGCCGACCCGGGTTCCATCCCCGGCAGCCCATATGGTCCCCCAAGCACTGCCAGGAGTTAATTGTGAGCCAGGAGTAACCCCTGAGCATTGCTGGGTGTGACCAAAAACTCCCCACCCCACCCCCCAAAATAAAATACAGAGCAGAGAGAATAACCAGGAACTTGTCCAGGGTGCACATGGCATGCATGACGGCAGGTGAGTACCCCCTGGCCGTCACATGGGCAGGCCCAGCCCCAGCCCCAGCTGCTTTACTGTGACCCTCCAGTCAGCTGCCTCCCTCTATACCAGAGTGGGAGCAAAGGCAGGAGGTGGGGGTCGCAGAATGCTGTGTACACACTCATGCATGGACACAGAGATGTATATACACTCTGCGTGCACACACAGACATGCATACAGGCCCATGCATGCTCAGACATGTGCACACACTCATACCCAGGCACACAGAGACATGCACACACAGAGAGATGTGCACTTATCCATGCACAGACACACAGATGCTTGCACATACAGACATGTGCACATACTCATACACACACAGACACATGCACACAGGAATGTGCACACACTGAGATACGGACACACAGGCATGTCCACATGCAGCCATGTGCACATACTCATGCACACAGACACATGCACACAGTCATACACAAGCACACAGACCTGTGCACACACTCATGCAGACACATGTACACACAAACACGTGCATACACTCTTGTACTCACAGACATGTGCACACACTTGTACACAAACCCATGCACACCCACGCACAGGCACACCGAGACATGTACACACTCATGCACACAGACACAGGCACACACTCATGCACATACGAACACAAGTACATGTGGACATTTGCATGCACTCATAGAGACACATGGACACACTCATGCACACACAGCCATGTACACACAGACATGTGTCACATAGACATGTGTCCACACTCATGCACACGCAGACACGTGCGCACGCTCAGGCACAGTAGCATCTGTTGCATACACACTTGTCCAAGGGCAGCCCCTTTCCCGGGAAGGCCTGTCTTTGTGCTCCACCGAGGCGCAGGCGGTAGCCTTCCGGGTCACACTGGAGTACAGCAGCCCCACGTCTTCGGGTCTGCCCTGCGGTGGACTGGTCACCGTGGGCCGCGGCCAGCAGCCACACTGGCCTGAATGCCCACTCAGCACTGATCTCGAGACTCAGGCTCAAGACAGACCTGCTGCCTGGTCCGACACCAGGACGTGGGCATCCCTGTCGGACGTAGGTCAGGACCAACACGGCCGTACACCAGGGCTGGCTTCGTTCCCACCAGGGGTCCATGGGCCAGGGAGCCCAGCCCCCCGCCTGTGCTCTCAGTTCGTACCTGGGGTCCCTGCGTAGCCCTTGGTCTTGGTCTGCCCCTCCTGCAGCTCCACGGCCAGCCCAAGGTCTGAGATGCGGACGTTGCCTGGGAAGCAGACAGGGCTCAGGTCACAAGCAGCTCCAAGGAGCAGAGGCACAGGGTCTCTGAGCTTCAGGGCGAGGGGGGGAGGGAGAGCAGAGGGGAGGGGCAGAGCGGGGTGGGGGTCCCCACCGTCCTCGTCCAGGAGCACGTTCTCGGGCTTGAGGTCGCGGTACACGATGGCCCTCTGGTGCAGGTGCTCCAGGCCGCTGAGGATCTGGGCGGTGTAGAAGGCGGCGCGCGGCTCGGGGAAGCCAGGCTGCTCCTCGTTGACATTGTAGATGTGGTACCTAGCGGGGGGAGAAGCCCCGCGTGTCCTGCGCTCACTGACCTCCTCGGCCGGTCCTCCCTGTGTGGCGGGTGGGGACGGCACCGACCCAGAGCCCGCAGCCCACCTGGGCAGGGAGGCCCCGCGGCCCCCTCGCCCCGGGGAACGACCTCCCGGCTTCCCTCCCCAAGAAAGGAAAGACGGTAGCTGGCCCCACAGTGCCAGGACATGAGGAATGCGGAGGGCTGCATCCTGCTGGGGGCACAGGCCGGGCTCCGGGCTCTGGCGCATGGCCAGTGCGACACAGCGTGTCCATACGGCGAGTGCAGTGTGGGCTGGGCGCCCTGGGGTGGGATGGAGACGTGGGCTATAAAGCAGAGAAGCACCGTGCAGATCAGCACAGCCGGGGCTGTATGCAAAAGCCGACACTGAACAGCACCGGTCAACAGAGCAGGGAGCAGAGAGCAGAGCAGGGCAGCACCTGCTGGCATGTATGCGGGTGCGAGTGTGGACACTCAGCACAGCCCTGCACAGCAAAGGCAGTGAGTGGAGGCCAGTCCCCGAAGCTCCTCCGAGGCTAATTCGGTTCACAGGGCACAGGACGGTACGAACCGCCCCTCTGTGCCCGGGTAGTGAAGCAGAACAGAGAGGGAGAAAGAAGAGTGTCACAGCACCCTGCGGCAGAAGGCGGGACCGTGCCCAGCCCGGCCCATGGGATCGTGAGAGGGGGGCCGTGTGGTGGGCACGGTGCGTGAGAGAGCGCGGGGCACACGCGTGGAGCAGAGGCGGCGTGAGCTGGCACGGGCGCACAGTGGAGCCGGGCAGGCGAGCGTTTCTACTTGCTGGTGTCAGTCTTTCCCTGGTGCACCGGCCCTCCGGGGTTCCTGTCAGGGGCCTTCAGGGACGGGGCCCAGACAGACGCAGAGAGGAGGCGGCCAGGAGCCTTGCCCCTGCTGCTACCACGCACGGCTCGTGGGGGACACGTGTGTCTCCCGGGTGAGCTCTGACTTGCCCCTGATCCCTGTCCCATGGGCAGGACTCAGATAAGCGACCAGGTAGCCAAGCCGACACGAGCCACTCCCTGCCACTCCCTGGCGGCACCCTGCAGCCCGCAGAGGGGCAGTGGACAGTGCTGGGCCCGTCCCTGTGCCTGCCCTCCCCCAGTTCAGCCCTCCAGAGGGTGTCTGCCTTCTCGGGGCACAGAGCCGGGCCTGAGGCCACGGCCGCGCTCACGCTCTCGCGGGCAGAGCCCCGGCTGGCAGCCCCTCCCGGGCCCACGGGGAGTGGCGACCTCACCTGAGGTCTCCGCCGTTCATGATGGTCATCACCAGACAGAGGTCAGTCTTGGTTTCAAACGCGTAGGCCAGAGAGACGATGAACCTGCTGTTCACCTTCTCCAAGATCTTCTTCTCCACCATGGCGCCCTGGGAGCGAGGGTGCCAGCGGCCTGGTCAGCAGGGACGACGCCGTGGACACAGTCCAGGCCCCACACGCCGGAAATGCCCCCAGCCTCCCTGCCCACGCGGCACAGGCACACGGGACACACACGCATGAGGAGGCTCATGCAGCGTGCACAGAGAAACACAGCCCACACACAAGACACACACAGCCGCACGTGCAGAGTATAAGCATGAGCCGTGCTTGGTCGCACAAAAGCACATGTACAAGCCCAAACATGTCTCCCGCGTGCTGCCTACGTGTGGGGCCACACCACACGCTTATGCATGGGCGCAAGGAGACAGTCACAGTCCGAGAGACTTGCACACACCCGCGTGCACGCGACGAAACCGAGGCTGCAGTTGTGATCCAGGCTGCGTGTGGCAGGGGCCATGACCCGCTCCGTGGCCCTTGGCCCTTCATGACGGGTCACAGTGGCCGTGAGCACTGAGCCATGAGCAGTGCTGGGCGGGCCTGTGGTTTCCCAGGCTTGCCCGCCCATGGAGCCCGTGGGGCCTGTGCCTGCTGTGCGTGCAGCTGAGCCGGGCCTGGGGGCAGGCGGGCTCTGGGCCAGAGGGGCCGCACAGGAGCTGGGGGCCGAGTCACGTGGGGAGAGCTCAGGCGGCCGTGGGGGACGGGGCAGGTGCGGAGAGTGGGCGCCCGGGGTGCCCCGCCTTCCCTCCTGCCTGAAGGCTCGGCAGCTCCAGGGGCCATGGCTGAGCACCCGGGGTCCAGAGGGGCGTCTGCCCCGCCCGGACCCCGCCTGGACAACACAAGCCAGGCTTTGGGAAGGCCTCCAGGTCGGAGTTAAGGCTCTGGAGAACCAGACTCCCCCCACCCCCAGCACTGTCTCCGAGACTCAGGGCTGAAAGTGAGGCTGGTGCCTGGACCCCCACCAGGCGCAGCCTAGACTGGGCGGGGGGCTCGTGCAGAGCAGGGGGCATGCCCACCAGATGGGCACCACGCAGGGCCCTCAGCGCTGACTGCCGGCAGCAGAGGCAGGCCGCAAAGAGGGGTCAGCACCTGTGAGCATCCCTGGAACATATGCCACATACACTATATAGACTTATGCACACAATAAACACTACACACAGATACTATGTATACTACAGACCAGGTATACTATATATACTTCACATATTTTAGATACTATGTATATGATATATACAACATATACTATGCACATTACGTATACTATGTATATTACACATGCTATTTATAATATTATTGCTACACACACTACTTATACTATATGTGGTATTATACTATGTATACTATATATGCTGTGAATACAGTTTATGCTATAAATATTATGCATAATACGATACTGCATATGCTGTTTATACGATATACAGTATATATACTATGTGAACAATATGCATAATATAGATACACTATATACTGGCGCCGTGTAATCCCATCAACGGCCAAGACTCAGAGACTATAAAATTCAGCTCCCGGAACCGCGCGGCCGCAAATGCCAAAATCTTATCAAGACATCTTTTTATGACATCTTATTATCTCATTCCTACTTTGGACAAACTTGCAGGCTATCAAATGTAGCCTGCCCACAGGGCAGAGTCTGGCAAACTCCCCGTGGCCTACCCAATATGCCAAATACCAGTAACAATGATGGGTCTCATTCTCCTAAAGAGCCTTGAATATAATCTCAGGGCTAGGATGAAGGAGACGTTACTGGGGCCTGCTCGAGGCAATCAACGAATATACATGCGTATTATTTACACATTATATGTACACGGCTGGAGCGATAGCACAGCAGTAGGGCGTTTGCTTTGTGTGCAGCTGACCCGGCTGAGCCGGGTTCGATTCCTCCACCCCTCTCAGAGAGCGCGGCAAGCTACCAAGAGTATCTCGCCCGCACAGCAAAGCCTGGCAAGCTTCCCCTGATGTATTCGATATGCCAAAAACATTAACAAGTCTCACAATTTGCTGAGACGTTACTGGTGCCTGCTCGAGCAAATCGATGAACAACGGGAGGACCATGACCGTGACCATTATGTGTACTGTGCAGACTATGCATACAGTGTATATATTATGCATACTATAGATACACTCTACATACATGCATACCATATACACACTATTTATGCTATGTATACTATATGTACTATCTATATGACATACACTACACATACTACTATGCCATATGTACTATGCATGCTAGGATACACTGTATATACTATGTATAATGTATATTGGCAAACTATAGATACACTGTATGTACATACATTTTACATATATACGCCATATGTGCTAGGTATACTATGCATGAAGTGGATGCGACGTATACTGCATGTACTATCTATATGATCTATAGCATGTATACTACATATATAACATAGACGATGCTTGTTAGGCGTACCGTATATACTATGTATTATATAAACATGCATACTATGTACACTCTCTACATGTAATATGTACTGAGCATACTCTGCATGCCATATGTATGTACTTTGTGCCCTAGGCATGCACTACACACTACGTGCAATGTATCTTGTCATGCTGTAGATACACTCCATGTACCTGCACACCAGATCCACCCTCCATAGCCTATGCATGCTGTCTGTACCATCCACATGATGCATGCTACGTGCACTACACGCACCACACGCACTACGCATGCTACGCATAGTAAGTGCACGCATCCTGTGGAGACCACGTCCCCGGCAGACGCGCACGCTCGCCGACGAGGCCGCCCACCTGGTAGCCCTTCCTCTTCTTCAGCCTCTTCTTGTTCAGCTTCTTGCAGGCGTACAGCTTGCCGGTGGCCTTCATCTGGCAGGCGGACACCTCCCCGAAGCCGCCCTTGCCCAGCACGCGGAAGTCCAGGAACCAGTCGTGGCCCACGGGCTGCGCCTCCAGCCACTTCCACTGCAGGAAGCGCAGGAAGTGGAGGCTGCCCAGGTACTGCTGGAAGGGCTCCTGGCTCAGGTGGGCCAGCGTGGCCCTCAGCACCGGCCCGAAGCGCCCGTCCCCGCCCGCCGGCTGCCCCTCCCGGGCCTGGGCCACAGTCTCCTCGTCCAGGAAGCCGCAGAAGAGCTGGGCCTGGGGGTCCAGGAACTCGGCCAGGATGGCCTGGGCCTTCTGCGGCCGCAGCTCATCCTCGGCCATGTCGTAGTCCTCGACGTCCTTCCAGAGGCCCAGGGCCGGCGCGTGCTGCCCCTCAGCCTCCAGGAACTGCCTGAAGAGCCGCTTGCCGATGGGCTGCTCCGTGCACAGACTCTCGAAGGCCAGGTCCAGGCTGGCCCGCAGAGACTCACACTTGGACAGGGGTGGCAGCCGGAGCCTGGCCAGGTACTTCCTGTCCCGGGAGGATGGGCCACCGCTGCCATCGAAGCTGCCCCTGGCCGCAATGAAGGCGGAGTTGGCCACCACCGTCTCCAGGGATCCAAAATCCATCCCGGCACTGGGCCCACCGCGTCAGGCGCCAGCGAGAGAGGCCGGGAGTCAGCCCCCGGGAACACCCTGGGCCCAAGACCAGGCCTGCCGTCTTGGGACCAGGAGGCGTCCACCACTGCAGGGCTGGCCGGGGCAACGCCAGGAGCGGGCAGGCCGGGCTGACCCAGTTCAGGCCTGTCCGGGAGGTCAGGGAGGACGCCAGCCAGCACCAGAGAAACCAATCCCCTAAGCCGCTCCGCAGGATTAAGCTGCCCACTCCTTCCAGCAAGGCTGCGTGTGCCGTCTCTGAGGAAGGACAAGCCCCCACGCCCAGAGTGCCCGGTCCTGGCTCTGCCCAAGGAGAGGGGTGGGGAGAGGTGGCAAGGGCCGGCAGTGGGAGCAGGCACAGGACAGGCTGGCCAGGCCAAAGGAGAGGTGGGCAGTGAGGCGCCCAAGGGAGACAGCTCGGGGCATCTTCAGGGCCCTCGGGAAAGGGCAGGGCCACGACAGCCTGGCCACTGGGTCGCCTGCACTCTGCAGGAGGTCCAAAAAGGCCTCCAGGTGGTCCAAGAGTGGAAGGTAGAGGCCACAGACACGGCAGGTGCGGAGGAGGCCCTGACACGTGGGCGCCACTTTCACTCTCACCTGCACTCACCTGGGGCCACACCTGAGCACAGCTAGGACTCACCAAGGGCACATCTGGGATTCACCTGGAATCACCTGGTGAATATGTGACACACACCTGGGGGACACCTGAGAATCCCTGGGGTTCACCTGAACTCACCTGGGGCAGATGTGGCACACACCTGTCAGAGACCTGGCGCCCCAGAGACGCCCCTGGGCCATACCCAGGCCACAGCTGCACGTACCTGAGACCTACCAGCACACTGAAGCGGCTGAAACCTCGGCTTCACGCAGACACGGCCACGTCCGTCTGCCCAGCCCCAAGTGGGTCTCTGCCGGGCAGAGGGCAAGGCCGTGAGCAAGGGTTTCTGCGGCCCAGAGAGGAAGGGCGCCAAGGTTGAGGAGGGAGAAGGTGGGTGTCAGTGAGGCCCCGGGGACCCCGGCCGGCTGTGGGCGGGCTGGCAGCCTGAGGCCCGTGGAGGGGCCGCGCAGAAGCAGCCGTGGGCCACGAGGGACTGGGCATCCCCTCCTGCATGGCTCCTGGGCCACAGGGGAGGGGCCAAGGCTGTCCTTGCCTGAGTCGGAGACCCCATGAGGTGCTGGTGCAGCTGGGTCAGAGGCGCACACGGGCCAAGGGCCCGCCGTTCCCTGGGGGAGCAGCACGTGAAGAGCCTCCGAAGGCCAGCCAGGGCCCACACGGCTCCTTGCACACCCCCAGGGCCCACAGCCCACACGGCCCTCGGCACAGCCCTCCGTGGCACGCCACAGGCGCATGCCAGACACACCCGTGAGGAACACCCAGCAGACCTGGTGCCCGCACCCGCCCTCCCCACAGCCCCCTCCACACCTCTCCCTCCCCACACTCTCCTCCCCACGCCCCCTCCCCTCCTGGCCCACACCTGCCCTCTACACCGGCCAGGGCTGCCCTGGAGACCACACAGTCGCCCCCAGAGAGGACAATCGAGGCTGCAGGGACCCAAAGTAAGAATGGGCTGGCCGGAGCCCAGGGCCTGGGGCGGCTGGTGGTGCTCCCGGTCACCCACAGTGGGGGCTGAGAGGGTCCCAGGCCTGCGGGGCCCCGGTGCCCGTGGTCTAGGCAGAGAGGCAGGGTGTTCGGGTCCTGGCCCCTGGCAGGCCGCGCTGGGACCCTCAGAGCTCGAGAAGCACCCGCAGGGCGTGGGGGGTGGGGGCCAGGACAGAGGAGCGGGGGTGGGGGGCGGGCTGCACCTGCTCGGCAGGCCAAGGGCACAGGCTCCCCAGGGGCACGCAATAGCAGAGAAGCTTCCAGAAGGTGCGGAGCCGCCCTTGTTTGCCCAGAGGCTGATAAGAGGCACCACTGGGGCCGGGCCAGTGCTGACCGCTGTGGAGGACACTATAAAGCCCCGAGCCAGGCCAGGGCCAGGGCAGACGGCACCATGGCGGCCCTGCAGGAGAAGAAGACGTGCGGCCAGCGCATGGCCGAGTTCCGGCGCTATTGCTGGAACCCCGACACTGGCCAGATGCTGGGCCGCACCCCGGTCCGCTGGGGTAGGGCGAACGCTGGGCCCCGGCCCACCCCCCAGGGAGTCCAGGGAGGAGCCCCCAGCCCCAGGGACCCCTGCCCCAAGGACCCCCACCCCAGGGAGCCCCACCCAAGGGAGCCCCCCCACACTGGGGACTCCCAGAGACCCCCCCCGCCCCAAGGACCCCAGCCCCAGGGACCCCCACCCAAGGGAGCCCCAGCTCCAGGGACCCCCACCCCAGGGACCCCCACCCCAGGGATCCCCGCCCCAGGAACCCCCGCCCCAGAGACCCCCACCCAAGGGAGCCCCACCCCAGGAACCCCCACCCCAGGGACCCCCACCCAAGGGAGCCTCAGCTCCAGGGACCCCCACCCCAGGGAGCCCCACCCCAGGGACCCCCACCCCAGGGACCCCCGCCCCAGGGACCCTCCGCCCCAGGGACCCCCGCCCCAGGAGCACCCTCGGCCCCAGGGAGGCCTTATATGCGCACAGTGGGCTGGACAGCATGTATCAGCCCCGTCCACATGGGGCTGCCCGTGGCTGGCCGGGGTTGGGGGCTGGGGGTGGGGGATGGCCCTGCCTGCTGGCCGCTGACGCCTCTGCCGCAGTGTGGATCAGCCTGTACTACGTGGGCTTCTACGTGGTGATGACCGGCCTGTTCCTCCTGAGCATGTACACGCTGATGTGGACGCTCGACCCCTACACGCCGGACTACCAAGACCAGCTAAAGTCCCCAGGTACGGCCAGCACCCCCCACCCCGTCTCGGGGCCAGCGAGTGACCGGCTGGCCCTGTCCAGCCCCAGGCCCTGCAGGCGGCCGAGGAAAGGGCTTGGGAGGACAGGGCCGCTACATGTGGACGTTCTCTGCAGGGGTGACCTTAAGGCCAGACGTGTACGGGGAGCGCGGCCTGGACATCTCCTACAACGTCTCGGACCCCACGTCCTGGGCTGGCCTGACCCACATGCTGCAGGACTTCCTGAAGCGTAGGTGACGCGGCTGCAGCCGGCTGTGGGGAGCCCCCAGCCCGCCCAGGCCCCTGAGTCTGTGCCCCGCAGGCTACTCGCCCGAGGCGCAGAAGGACAACCAGGACTGCACGTTCGACCACTACTACTTCCAGAACAGCTTCCAGGGGCCGGGCCACACCAAGTTCTCGTGCCGGTTCACCAGCGACATGCTCGGGGTCTGCTCGGGCCTCACCGACCCCACCTTTGGCTTCGCAGAGGGACAGCCCTGCTTCCTCATCAAGATGAACCGGGTGAGCACCTCGGGCTGAGCCAGGCGCCGCCCAGGCCCCGGCCAGCAACGGACCCCGAGGAAGGGTCGGTGCAGGGCCGACTCCTTCCTGGAGCCAGGAGGCAGCAGGCACACAGCAGGTCCCGGGCCTGGCAGGGGACACAGGACACGAGGGGCACGGGGGACAGTGCAGAGGACACACAGGGACACGGGGACAGCCCCGGGGACAGGAGGGCACACACATGGGCAGCGCAGCAGTGGGGAGGGCATCTGCCCCTGGGCACGGCGGAACCGGGCTTCTCCACGTCTGGGGATCGTCCCCCCACGACACTCAGACGCCCTCCGACCCTCTACAGATCGTGAACTTCCTCCCTGGCAATAATACGGCGCCCAGAGTGAAGTGTGACTTTGTGGTGAGTCCGGGGCTCCGCTCGGACCCCCATGTCCTCTGCGGCGCTGCTCCAGCCCCCGGCCCCCATGCCCGCCGGGCCCTGGGACAGGGTGACAGGAAGGAGCGCCACAGGCTCGGCAGGTCCCGGCTGCATCGGCGAGGGCTGCCCCCCCGCCCCCAGGCCCACGGCGCGGCAGCCACGGAGCCACGCGGGCACAGGCCCCCCTCAGCCTTGCCGTGTCCGTGGCCCGTGCGTCCTCTTTGGACAGAGTGACTCCCCCCAGGGGGGCCGCCGTGAGCCCTGGCCTCACCCGCGGCCCCCCGGGGGGAGTGCCCAGTGCCCAGTGCCCAGGCCGCACGCCCACAGCCCCCTGCCGCCCGAGACGAGCGTGCAGCGCCCTCCCACGCCTGCCTCCCCGCGCCCCAGCACACACACAACCGCACACACGCGCGCCCGCCCCCCCAGGAGCAGCCCCACGAGGCCCTGCAGCCCCTGCAGGTGATCTACTTCCCAATCGGCGGCACCTTCAGCCTCAGCTACTTCCCCTACTACGGCAGCAAGGCCCAGGTAGGCCGGTAGGCCGTCCCCTCCCGCCCTCCCGGCGGCCGGCCCTGCCCCGCCCCTGCTCACGGGGCCCCTCTCCAGCCCAACTACAGCAACCCCCTGGTGGCGGCCAAGCTGCTCAACGTGCCCAGGAACCGGGAGGTCGACATCGTGTGCAAGGTCCTGGCGGAGCATGTGACGTTCGACAACCCCCACGACCCCTACGAGGGCAAGGTGGAGTTCAAGCTGCGGATTCAGGAGGGGGTCGCCCCCGCCACGCCCGCAATCTAGCCGGGACACCGAGCCCCCCACACGCCTGCCGACGCACAGATAAAACCCATGACCTGGCCTGAACGTCTCTTTCTTTGTCCTCGGGGGGAGGGGCAACAGCCACCGAGGAGCCCTGCCCATGGGCACCCCCCCAGGGAGACCCACGACACGCGTGATAGGCACATCCAGTTCTGCCCCCGGGGCCCCTCAGAGTGGCCACCTCAGCCACCGCACCTCAGTCCGGGAGCTCAAACCCGGGCGAGGATGGGGACGCAGTAGGAAGAGGTGAAGGGGACGTAGAGGAGGGGCTTGGGGAGGGGCAGTGACAGGGCACAGTCAGGTGGGGGTGCTGGCCCTGGGGCCCTGGCCACCTGCACACAGGCAGCTGCGGGTCAGTCCACAGTGCGAGGGGACAGCCAGTTGCTCCCGCCTGATGGGACGCCAAAGGGGCCCCGGGGGAGACCCTGGACACACACACCCCAGAGGCGCCCCAGCCGGGGCCTGCGTGTGTGTCCGCCCCCACTCCCGGCCTCTGCTCAGTCACCTCCAGACGGGCCCCGTGTGGACAGGCCACAGAGACAGCCTCGGCGGGGGGGGGGGGTCACCACACCCCCGGCCGCCGCCCCCGCGAGCGAAGGCCCCGCACGTGCGTGAAGAGCAACGCGGAGAAACAGTCACAGACCTCGCGGTCATAAAATAGGACAGAAACTTTATTGGTTTTGGTAAAAAGGCCGCGGCAGGCCGAGTGCGCCGGCCTAGGCCGCCCGGGTCCCACGCCGCTCTTGTAAAAAAGAACTATGAAAAATTATCAACAAATCTTGAGTTAAAAAACTGTTAAAACATTCTCTATATTTAATTTCAACTTTATAATAGAATACAGGAAGAGGCGTTCGAACCCACGTGTGTTTCTGCTCGGGCAGCGACAGGCGGAGTTTGTAAACAGCCCGAGCGGAGCCTGGGTGCGAGGCTGACTCAGGCGCTCCAGGGCCCCTGGGTCCCGCGCTCGCCAGAGCCGTCGGCAGCAGCCCGGCGAGGGGTCCAGGCGGCGCGCTCGGGGCGGGCAGCCCCCCTTCAGCAGGTCCAGCAGAGTCCACGGAGCAGAGCCGGGCGCTGGGCGTCTCTGGACACTAGGAAACGGGGACGGGCCCCGGCGGGCGCGAGTCCCGCGGCCGGCTCACCCCGCCCGCACGGCCACCCGTGAGCGTCTCTCGGGCCGGAGGCTGAAGCGGGGCTGCGGCCGCCATCAATCCTCGTCCTCGTCGTTCTCGTTGAACTCGTCCTCGTCCTCGTCGTCCTCCCCGACGCAGGACACGGGCGTCTCCACGCGAGACCCGCTGTACTGGGAGCCGCTCGAGCTGGTGGCCAGGGTCCCGTCCCCTCCGTTGGCCAGGTCGCTGCAGGGCGGGCGAGGGGTCAGCAGGCGGCTTGGCAGCGGCCGCTCGGGCAACCCCGCGCCAGGCCGGAGCAAGGGACAGCATGGGCGCACGCGTGTGCAGGGACAGGCCGCACGCCTGCTGTGCGTGCCGTGTGTGCATGAGTGACGGGAGGGCCAAGTGTGCTGGGCGTGACATACGTGCGTGTGCACGAGGCCTATGCGTGTGCACTGTGTGGTGTGCACGTGTGCATGAGTCACAGCCTGCGTGTGTGCGTCGTGCATATGGCTTTTCTGCGTGTGCAGGAGTGAGAGACGGTACGTGCGTGCCTGAGACTGTGCACGTGATGTGTGTGCGTGTGCACAAGCAACAGACTGCATGTTTCATGCATGTGACATGCACAAGGGCACGCAGTGTCCGGGGGTGTGCCGGGCTGTGTGCGTGTTTGTGCCGTGTGCGTGTAAGGCGTCGACCCACCCGGGGTTAGGACGTGCTTTTGAACTGTGAGTCCCTGGGTGGGAGCAGAAAGGGTCAGCCCACTCCTCAAGCCCCTTCACACCCTGAGCGAGTGTCCAGGAGCCCCGCGGGCAGAACAGCCGGGCCTGACCACAGCTGTGCACTCGCGCTGCAGCGGCCCCACGCCCACGCCCCGCAGTCTCCCACACGCCTCCCATGCCTTGTACACGCCTCCCACACGCCTCCCCTGCTCCCCACAGCACATGGAAGCAGCCGCCAACAGTGACTCCAACAGGCAGCAAAGCAGAGGAAGGAGAGGGCTGGGGTGAAGGTCACGCGTGGAACCCAGGGGTGGGGCGGGGGTCCCGGCCTGCGGCCTCTGCTGCTGGGGGAAGGCCCCTCCGTGCTGAGAAGCGTGTGGAAGCCCCCGCCCACCCGGGGCCCCTGTCACCTGGTGGAGACCCGCGTGCCATTGGCCGTGGAGATGGACGTGAGGAAGTTGCTGCCCAGCGACCCCTGGGCCATTTCTGGAGGGAGAGACGTTGGGAGAGCCTCAGAGACCCCCGCCAGTCGTGGGCACGCTGGCCTGGGCGTGACCACAGCCGGGTAATGACCAAGTGAGGGTGTGGGCGTGACCAGGGCATGGTCATGTGTGGGCGTGGCCGTGGAGGACATGGGTGTGTGCGTGTGGAGGGCGTGGGAGGGCGTGGCCGTGGCCGGGGCTGACCTGTTACGTAGGGCTCCAGTGCCTTGGGCACCAGGCTCCGGGCCACTCTGAGGTCCTCGGCCGAGCAGCTGCCCGACTCCAGCCCACAGGCCATGCCCATCCGCTTCAACACCTCGATGTCGTCGTGGATCTCAAACGTGTTGTCGAAGTTGAACAGGTACTCGAACCTGCAAGCAGGGACGCCCCAGGGACGTGGGCAACGGCGCCGAGCTGCCCCCACGCACCCACAGGAAACGGCCGGACCACCAGCTCCACCAGCACGCCTGCATGACCCTGACCACTGCACGGCCAAGTCTGTCCCCGAGCTGCCCCCTGAGTCTGTCCCCTGCACTGGCTGAGTCTGCGTGCGGACCCCCGAGTCTGTCCCTGCGCTGTGACCGCGTCTCCGTCCCCCCGTGCGCCCGCGTCCCCGCCCGCACTTGTCGTTGGAGATGCTGCAGTCGATGACGGTCTTCTTGCTGGTGTTGACGATGATGAAGGGCAGGTGGATGAGGGAGTTCGGGGGCGGCGGCCGGCTGGCCCGCTGCTCCGCCTGCCGGTTCCTCTGCACCAGGTTCTTGAAGGCGATTTGCTGCAGACATCAGCACGGTCAGCCCTGCCCGCGCCTCCTCAGCCCTTCCCCGCCTCCTCAGCCCTTCCCCGCCCTCAGCGGCCGAGGGGTGGGCCAGGGAGGGGTGTGGCTGGGGGTGGAGGGGCAGGAGGGGAGAGGAGGCTGGGGACAGACGGCAAACGCAGAGAAAGGGGGAGGCAAGGAGAGGGAAGGGACGAGCAGAGGAGTGGGAGGCAGGGAAGAGGCGGGAGAGAAGGGCTGGGCGGGGAGTGGAGGGACGGGGCCCCTCGGGGGGCGGGGTCCACACCGGGGCACGTCCAGGGCGTTCCCGAGCCCTGCAGCTCGCCCCCAGCTGCCCGGTGCCCCGCCCGCCCTCCCCTGCCCGCCCCGCCCCGCCGCACCTGCAGGATGAGCTCCTGGAGCTGGGACTGCTTCTGCTTGATCCGTTCCAGCCGCCGCTGCCTCTCTACCTTCAGACAAACGCCGAGCGTCGCGCACGCCCACAGCCCGCGGCCGTCCCCACCGCCCCACGGACCGGGCACGCGGGCGGGGCGGCGGGCGGGCGGTACCTCCAGGTTCTGGCACTCCTGGGCCGAGTTGGTGGGCAGCCCGATCCAGCGGATCTCCTTCTTCTCCTTGGAGATGATGTTCATGGCCATGAGCACGTTCAGCGCGTCGTACACCCGCCGCCGGATGTTCTTCTGGTCGTAGGCCTGGGGGCGGCCGCAGGGTCCAGCGCGGGGGAGGGGGGAGGGCAGGGGTGAGCCGAGAGGCAGGCTCACGGTGGCCGCTGTGGGTCACTCACACGGGGACAGTGACCGCTGCTGGTCACTCACACGGGGACAGGCCCACAGTGACAGCTGAGTCACTCACACGGGGACAGTGACCGCTGCTGGTCACTCACAAGGGGACAGGCCCATAGTGACAGCTGCTGGTCACTCACAAGGGGACAGGCCCATAGTGACAGCTGCTGGTCACTCACACGGGATAGTGGCCACTGCTGTCACTCACAGGGGACAGTGACCGTTGCTGGTCACTCACATGGGGACAGGCCCACAGTGACTGCTGCTGGTCACTCACACGGGGACAGTGACAATTGGTCACTCACACGGGGACAATGACCGCTGCTGGTCACTCACATGGGGATAGTGACAGCTGACCACTCACATGAGGACAATGACAACTGGTCACTCAAACAGGGACAATGACCTCTGCTGGTCACTCACATGAGCGACAATCCCATAGTGACAGCTGCTGGTCACTCACACGGGGACAGGGACTGCTGCTGGTCACTCACACGGGGACAGGCCCACAGTGACAGCTGAGTCACTCACACGGGGACAGTGACCGCTGCTGGTCACTCACATGAGCGACGATCCCATAGTGACCACTGCTGGTCACTCACACGGGGACAGGCCCACAGTGACAGCTGAGTCACTCACACGGGGACAGTGACCGCTGCTGGTCACTCACAAGGGGACAGGCCCATAGTGACAGCTGCTGGTCACTCACACGGGATAGTGGCTACTGCTGGTCACTCACACGGGGACAGTGACCGTTGCTGGTCACTCACATGGGGACAGGCCCACAGTGACTGCTGCTGGTCACTCACACGGGGACAGTGACAATTGGTCACTCACACGGGGACAATGACAGCTGGCCACTCACATGGGGACAGTGACAACTGGTCAAACAGGGACAGTGACCTCTGCTGGTCACTCACATGAGCGACAATCCCATAGTGACAGCTGCTGGTCACTCACACGGGGACAGGGACTGCTGCTGGTCACTCACATGAGTGACGATCCCATAGTGACCACTGCTGGCCACTCACACGGGGACAGGCCCACAGTGACAGCTGAGTCACTCACACGGGGACAGTGACCGCTGCTGGTCACTCACAAGGGGACAGGCCTATAGTTACAGCTGCTGGTCACTCACACGGGATAGTGGCCACTGCTGTCACTCACAGGGGACAGTGACCGTTGCTGGTCACTCACATGGGGACAGGCCCACAGTGACTGCTGCTGGTCACTCACACGGGGACAGTGACAATTGGTCACTCACACGGGGACAATGACCGCTGCTGGTCACTCACATGGGGATAGTGACAGCTGACCACTCACATGGGGACAATGACAACTGGTCACTCAAACAGGGACAGTGACCTCTGCTGGTCACTCACATGAGCGACAATCCCATAGTGACAGCTGCTGGTCACTCACACGGGGACAGGGACTGCTGCTGGACACTCACATGAGCGACAATCCCATAATGACCGCTGCTGGTCACTCACACGGGGACAGGCCCACAGTGACAGCTGAGTCACTCACACGGGGACAGTGACCGCTGCTGGTCACTCACAAGGGGACAGGCCCATAGTGACAGCTGCTGGTCACTCACAAGGGGACAGGCCCATAGTGACAGCTGCTGATCACTCACACGGGGACAGTGACAATTGGTCACTCACACGGGGACAATGACCGCTGCTGGTCACTCACACAGGGACAGTGACCGCTGCTGGTCACTCACACACGGGGACAGGGACCGCTGCTGGTCACTCACACGGGGACAGTGACTGCTGCTGGTCACTCACATGAGCAACAATCCCATAGTGACTGCTGTTCGTCACTCACATGGGACAGGCCCACAGTGACAACTGGTCACTCACACGGGGACAGTGACCGCTGCTGGTCACTCACACAGGGACAGTGACCATTGCTGGTCACTCACATGGGGACAGGCCCACGGTCACTGCCTCTGGTCACTCACACAGGAACAGTGACAATTGGTCACTCACACGGGGACAATGACCGCTGCTGGTCACTCACACGGGGACAGTGACAGCTGGTCACTCACACGGGGACAGTGACAACTGGTCACTCAAACAGGGACAGTGACCTCTGCTGGTCACTCACATGAGCGACAATCCCATAGTGACAGCTGCTGGTCACTCACACGGGGATAGTGACCGCTGCTGGTCACTCACATAAGTGACAATCCCATAGTGACAGCTGCTGGTCACTCACACGGGGACAGGGACTGCTGCTGGTGACTCACATGAGCGACAATCCCATAGTGACCGCTTCTGGTCACTCACATGGGGACAGTGGCAGTTGCTGGTCACTCACACGGGGACAGTGACCGCTGCTGGTCACTCACATGAGTGACAATCCCATAGTGACAGCTGCTGGTCACGCACACGGGATAGTGGCCGCTGCTGGTCACTCACACGGGGACAGTGACAGCTGGTCACTCAAACAGGGACAGTGACCTCTGCTGGTGACTCACATGAGCGACAATCCCATAGTGACCGCTTCTGGTCACTCACACGGGGACAGTGACAGCTGCAGGTCACTCACATGGGGACAGGCCCACAGTGGCAGCTGCTGGTCACTCACACGGGGACAGTGACCGCTGCGGGTCACTCACACGGGGATCGGCCCACAGTGCCTGCTGGGCACTCACCGACTCGCTGGGCAGGATGTGGCTGTCGGCGGCGCTGAACTCGGCCACCAGCTCGTCGGCCACCTCGTTGTAGGACGTGGTGCCCTTGCGCTGCACCTTCTCGCAGACCTTCATGGAGAAGTGCCGCAGCCCCTTCCCGTTCTTCTCGCCCTTCCGGTTCCGCTTCCTGCCGGCCGCGGGACCCTCAGCGCCTGCCCACCCGGCTCGTGCGAGCGGGGTCAGCGCCACAGGTGGGGTGTCCGCCCTCCCACTGCCCCGGAGACCAGACGCGTGCGCAGCCAGGGAGCCCAGGGTGAGCGTGGCCACAGCCCGTGACACCCGTGACCCCCCGACGCCTCTGCCCCGGACACGGGGCAGGCGAGTGACCCCCGGGCCCCCCAGAGTGGACAGGAGGCACGCAGGGACCCTGTGCCCCGACCCCCGAGCTCACCCAGCCGACCACGGGGAGGGCTCCGACGGCTGGTTCTGGGAGACAAAGTGGCTATTGGGGGTGTGCGGGCTGCCCACCACGAGTGTGCTGGCCGGGGCGGGTCTCTGCGGGGTCCCGATCACCTGCAGGGGGCAGGGCGGGCTCAGGGATGCCCACACCGGGCTCCAGCCCCGGCCGCCCAGTCACCGTCCAGACCCAGCCTACGTCCCCTGGGGGCCCAGCTAGGTCCCCACCAGGCTCCCAGGACAACAGGCCCCGGGGCATCCGAGTGGCCCTGGGCAAGCAGGGACTTGGTCCTGCTGGAGACACCGGCACCGAGGCAGGGACCACACACAGCCTTGGCCAGCGCCTGCTGGCAGCGCAGGCCCCGCAGCCCAGAGGCCGCTGACCTGGCCCTGTGACCGCGCTGTCCTGGTGGGCTATTTCGAGCCGGGCTGAGAGGCTGGTGCCCTGCTTAGCGGCTCAGGGCTGCTGGACGGCTCAGCAGGCGTTTTGCAGATCAGCCTGAGCCCGGATCGCGGCCACGGGCACCCTGCCCTGAGCCTCCCCCCTGCACACGCAGGCTGCAGGGAGCACAGGACAGGGAGGCATCCCGCAGGGCCGGGGCAGGGACAGGCAGCGTGAGGGCCGCCTCATGGGTGGAGAGGGGCCCCAGGAGGGGGCTGGGCTGGCGCCGGGAGGGGCGAGTCGCCCTGAGCCGACCCCCCACGTGCGGCCTGGCCCACAGAAGGGGGGCTGGTCCCGGGAGCACGAGGGGGCGTGGGGCGCGTCCTGGCAGACTGCAGGACGCACCGGGTCCCCGCAGGCCCTGAGCTGGGGACGGACCCTGCATCCCAGGAGCCGGGCACTCGGCCTGAGGCAGCTCCACTGTCCTCCGCAAGCCTCTCCCGGCCCCAGGGCGGGCGAGCCCCCCCCCCCCGCCCCCCCGCTCCACTGGCCTCCCCGGCCCGGGCAGCCTTACCACTTGCTGTGCGATGCTGACATTGGGGTGCCCAAAGGTCTTCGGCAGCAGCTGCTTCCCGAGGGTGCTCACGGACGAGGGGTGCACCGCGACCAGCGACACCACACCTGCGAGGGCCAGCGGTCAGGCCGGGCGGGGCCTCGCTCTGCGCCACACCGCACGCCCTCGGGCTCCCCTGGGCCCAGCACCCGCCAGAGCAGGGCACAGGGCAGGGGGAGGCAGGCGAGAGCCCGGGACCCCCAGGGCAGCACAAGCCCACACGGACCAACCGGGCAGAGCGGCAGGAAGCGCCAGTCACTGGCCACCTCCGCAGGCGGCCTCCGCCTGGACGCCCCTTCCAGACACCGGAGGCAGGACTCGGTGCCGCTGCCTCTGCGTGGGGCTGGGGGACCCACCTCCCGCACGCGGCTCCTGGAACGCTGCTGCCGGCAGGACCCGGACCCCCGCGCTTCAGGACGGCGGTCGGGAGCACTGCCCGCACGGGGGCTGCAGACAACTCCCGCTCCCCCAGAGGCCCAGGCCGGGCACGGGGGCCGAGCGGCAGCCGTGGGCAGACCCCGGTGACCCGGCAGCCCCACCTGACACTGGGGAGCAGAGGGCCCGTGGCCCGGGGGCAGACGGCCCCCCCAGCCCTCCCCGGGGTCCCCCTCAGGCTCCCACTGAGTGGACAGCACCCGAGGATTGTCGGCTGAGCCTGCGCAGAAACCCAGCGGCGGCACCCTCCCCTGCTCACCGTCCTCCCAGTGCTCACAGGGGCCCTGTCCTCTCACAGTGCTCACAGGGCTCCCTGCCCTCCCACAGTGCTCACAGGGGCTCCCCACGTCTCGACCCCGCACAGCCTTGTACACCCCAATCCCCTGCGGCTGCTGGTGGCCCTGCACCCTGCACCGTGACGAGAGCCCAGCGTCTCAGTGCTGCTTCATGCAGGGTACAGGAGGCCCCACAGGCACACGGGAACCCACAGGGGGCCTCACCAGGGCCTTGCGTGGTCCTGCAGTGCCACGGCTGGGTCCCCAACTGTGGTTCTGCAGGACTCCCCCGCCCCCCCCAGTGCTGGCAGACAGCACACAGAGCGGCCACACACAAGCAGACACACAATGGGCCCTCACACACACAGCACACGTGCGCAGACACCGCCGCATGGGCTCACACACACAAGAGCACATACATGCATGAGACACCTGCACATGACTCATATACACGTAAGTATGTGTGTACACAAACCGACGTAGGCACACACTCAGACACATAAAGAGGTACACGGGCAAGGGCATATGCGTGGGCACACGCACAGGCCGGTACCCAGACAGGGACATACACAGGCACATACATGCAAGCACGGGTACCCAGGCAGGGACACACCTACAGAGACACACATGAACACACGTGCACACACGGACACAGGTACCCAGACAGGGACACATCTACAGAGGCACAGGTACACACCGTCTCTCGCTACCGTCCCCCTTGTCAACCCTAAGGGGCCCCTCACTGGGGCCCAGCGGAGACCGTGGAGCGCTGACAGACAGACAGACGCTCACTCCCAGGGCCCGAGACCCACTCAGGACACACAGGTCGCTTCCCTGGGAAAGGGGCCATGGAGGCGTCTTAGAAAACTACGAAGCAAAGAATTTACAAGCAAAATAGTTCGAAATGGATGCGTCCCTTCCTGGCAAGAAGACGAGGCAGAGATATGACCCAGGGGCTGGGGCGACAGTACAGCGGGGAGGGTATCATCGCACGCGGCCAACCCGGGTTCCATCCCGGAGCACCGCCAGGAGGGATTCCTGCGAGCAGAGCCAGGAGCAACCCCTGAGCATTGCCAGGTGTGACCCCCCCCAAAAAAAGATGTGGCCCAAACTGCTACAGCCGCTACCAGCAGAGGGTCCGCAAAGCCCTAGCCAGCCTGTCACCGCGAGCTTCCACCGGCGCGTGGAGGACCAAGGGGCAGGAGACCGGTGGGTCAGTCCCCTCCATCCCCTTTAGCCAGGAATTCTGACCTGGCGTGAGCTGACGCTTCTGGCGAACGGTCGACCCGCAACCACGAGCAGCAGTGGCAGGTGGTCTCTCGGCCCCGGCCGAGGGCAGCTCAGCCTCCCCACGCGTGTGCTGCTGTGTGACCCCACCCGAGGCCCCTCCCTCGGGCCACAAACGCCGGGCTGTCCCGTGGCCAGGAAATGGATGGGACACCGCCATGTCCTGAGCATGCAGCCTTCGCTCGCCAGCAAGTGTCCACCGCCACTGTCCACCCGGGGTGGCTGCACCAGGGACAGCTGGCGCGAGTCGCCACGAGCCCGGAAGGGCGTGAGGGACACGTGCGCTCGCCCACTCTGGGCGCCCCACCCAGTGTTCCACAAGAGACCAGCCTGGCAGTATGGGCAGACCACGGGGCCAGGGTCGGAGGTCACGCAGGCCGTGGGGGGCCACAGGGCCCATCGCCCGCTGGCAGCAATCAGCCGCACCGGCTCCCTCAGCTTCCGTGGAGCAGTCACGGGGCCGGCACAAGGCCAGGCAAACAGGGATTCCACAGCCCCGGTCCACGGGTGTGCAGTGAGCCTGGCCCTTGGCCGCCTCCTGGACAGAACAGGCCTCGGGGCTGGGCGTGCCGGCCGGGACAGCCACACAGAGCAGCGTGGGCCAGGAGGGAAGGGGCAGCCACGGACGGGCCCCTTGGGGGAGCTGCTCCCGCGTTCCCCGTCAGAGAACCTCAGGCTGGGACAGAGCTGGCGGGGGCTTCCCCGGAAGCCCAGGAGGCCACACAGGGCACACATCAGCTTGCACGTGCACATGCGTGTGCACTGCACTGTGTATGCACGTGTGCGGTGTACTGTGTGTGCAGTGCGCACGTGGCGTTGCAGGTGCTGCTGCATGCGTGTGCCTGTACGCACAGTACTGTGTTGTGTGTGGTACATGCATGCGTGCACATGTGCATGCTGTGTGTGCTGCGCTGCATATGCATGTATGCACCGCACGTGTGCTATGCTGTGGGCACTGCATGCATGTGTGTTGCACGGTGTGTAGGGTGTACACATGGTGCACACTGCACTGAGTTGCACTGTGTACGCACGTGTGTACACCGCACGTATGCTGACTGTGTATCCACATGTGTGCACTGCATGTATGTGTGCTGCAGTTCATGCACGTGTGCGCATTACACGTACGTGTACTGCATGTATGTGTGTGCTGCACTGTATCCACATACATTTACAGCACTGTGTGTGACACACGTGTGCACTGTGTGATGTGCATGGTGTGCTGCATGTATGTGTGTGTACTCGTGTACCAGATCTATGTATGCACAGTGCATGGCAGGGGACAGGGATGGGACACGACCAGTGACCTGGGGATCCTGGGGGGGTCGCAGACACCCCCTCAGGGTAGGGAGAGGGCTGAGGGGGCTGCACCCCCCTGCTCTCCTTGCCCCAAGGGCCTCGGTCCTATGGGGGTCACCACCGCCCCGGCAGCCCAGGGGCCAGAACCCGAGCCCAGGGCGGCAGGCCCAGCACATACAGCCCACGGAGCACTCCCAGCCAGGCGCTCTGAGCCCTGCCCACATCTGCTCAGGGAACCCACACAGGCCCGGGGCCCACGTGCCCCACCCACCCGGCCGGGGCCTTACCTTTGCCGGGACTGAGGCTCTGGTCGATGAAGACTTTCAGTTCTCCGTTGGCTTCCAGCAGGCCGGCCTGTGAACAGCACAGAGTGAGCCCTGGGCCACAGCCCACAGCTGGTCACAGGAGAGGGTCACAGCTGTGGGAGAGGCCGGGAGCTCCACAGAAGCAGAAGGAGGGAGGTCCCGGCACACAACGGCAGAGCTGGCATGACCAGGAGCCCATGGTGTGGGGGGGTCCGACCCCACAGCCGAGAGTCTGCGTGGGGGGCTGTGAATCTGACCCCACGGCCTTCCCCCCTCAGACATGCAGAGAAGTCTCCCGTGCACACACAGCACCAGGTGGGGTCCACGTATGCACAAAGGCAGGGGTGCATGGCACAGCCTAGGGAGGAGCCTTCGCAGGGTCCTGCACCCAACACATGGCACCGGACGCCTGCCCAGCCCTGCTGGAGGCCTGACAGGGCGGAGCCTGGACGCAGGACACTCCCTGCTCAGAGACCAGGGGCAGGGAGGCACTCATCACTCGTGTGGACACACAGCTTAGACACACAGCACTGTCCAGGTCTGGAGGAAGGAGAGCGAACCACAGCACCCTGGCACCCCCACCTACCCCGTGGGCGTGTGCCGACTCCCCAGCACACACTCTGAGCCATGCGGGCTCCCAGCCACGCACACTCCCTGCCATGCAGGCTCGTGCTTTCAACAGCTCTCCACCAGTCAGAAAATAAGTCCTTCTGGGGCTTCCCAGCCAGAGGACACAGAACCCCCACCTGCCAACACAAAGGCTCACGCTCGGATAACGAGAGCTGGGTCTTGCCTCACGATCTCACTCAAGGGGACCAGTTAAAAACAGGCTCTCCAAAGGGCTCTAGTCCTAGCGACAGTCTTCACCCAGCTCCATTGACAAGGGGACAGAAAGAGGTGGCCATGCCTGAGCCCAGCAGGGCCCGGGGCCAAGGTCCCCACCCCACCACTGACGAGCAGCCAAGGCAGGGGCAGGAGGCTTGCTCAAACCCAAGGGCTCTGAAGGGCTCCGGGGGACCCACACCCCAGCAGAGGCTGGCAGAGCTACTGCTCCGTGCAACACAGACCAGCACGAGTGGGCAGGGCTGGCCGGAAACACGCGTGCTAGCCACCAGCGAGGGGACACGCGCTACCTGGGGTACAAATCAGCTACTACTTGCAACTATTACTGAAAGGGACAAGCAAAGGAATGTCAACTTTCCCTGGACAAAGGGCCACTATCCTCCCCTTATCAAGGATGACAGGAAGGAACATTCGGGGAAACACATTTTCAGAGTGACTTGCAACTTCCCCACCAGGAACAGACAGAGCTGGCAGGTGGTTCCCAGGTTTGATCCCCAGCACCACACAGGGTCCCCAAAGCCTCGCCAAACGGGACCCTGAGCACAGAGCCCCAGCACGGCCAGGTAGGAGCTGGGAGGGGAGGACTCTATAACAAACGCCCTTCAGGTCAGCTGTGGAGCGAGGCTGGAACCCCGGCCACGCAGTACCAGAAAGGTCCCTGCGAGGCTCCTTCCCACAGGGTGTCTGGGGCACGCTGGCGGGAGGACGGCACACACGCAACAGCCACGCACACAGCACACACAGCATCCCAGAGAGGCTCTGCTGCCACCCCCATGGCCTGGTCTCCCACGCGCACGCATGAAGCAGACATGCATGCTCACGGCACACGCACACACGCAGAGGTGCACACGGGCACATGCATATGTAGCAGATGTGCACACGGCACACAGCAGACGTACACATGACACATGGCACACACACATGCAGATGTGCACATGGCACACACATGCATTCAGCACATGTATACACGGCACACGCAACAAACATGCACACGGCTCATGCAACAGACGTGCACATTGCACACATATGCACGAGGCAGACAAGCACAGCGCGCACACAATAGACGTGCACACACACATGCAGCAGACACGGCTGCACGGCACAGTGCATACACAGAACCCAGGTGCAACCATGTACACGGCCCATGCGCACAAAACCCCACACATGTGTGTTATGTTGCAGGCTCACGGGCCGGAACCCGGAAGCTATGGCCCACAGCTGAGGGGCCGGGTCTCCAAGGAGAGGCACCCACCGCCCTGTCCTTCTCGATGTTCTCCGAGCCTGGGCAGAGTGCCCACAGGGGTCTGCCCCGCCCTCCCAGCAGCCCCACCAGTGCGAGGGGCCCAGACTGCGCTGGACCGGCCACACGGCTCGGGGCGGCTCCCTCCGGACAGCAGGCAAGCATGAGGCCCAGGCTGGGAGGAGGCGGCCCAGCTCTGCGCCCGAGAAACAGGCCTTGGTCAGCAGAACAGGATGAAGCCGCAACCCCCACGCCCGGCCCATCCTTTCTTCTTCGGACGTGTCTGCGTTAAGCTTTGTTCGACGAACAGCATTTTTATCGTCAGTGTCGGTCAAACTGGTGAGTGATTCACGTTGTTCGTGGAGAGATTCCCTAAGCAAGGCCCAGCTATGGCAGCAAAGTGGGTGGTGGGTCGAGCCCCTCGGGCCCTGGCACTCACAGGGCAGCTGGCTCTGGACCCCCGGGCTGGTCTCTGCTTTAGCTGGACCCCCCTCCCACTGCTGGTCAGCTGTGGCACCCACACGCGCCTCCCATGCGCAGGACACACGTGTTGAAGGAACTGGCCTGTGGGACGCAGGGACGCACCGAGGGGCCGCCCCCAACTGTCCTCGGGAGACTGGGTCAGCAGCGCGTGTGAGCAGCTGTGCGGAGACCAGCGGGCCGAGCTCCCGAGGGACAGCCCGAGGCCCACAACGCCAAGCGGCCGCTCCACTCTCGTGCAGGACCCTGTGGGAAACGCTGGTGCCCAAGTGCACACAGCCATGAGGGCGGCCACCACGCGGTCAGCACTGGCTGTCCCTGTCCTCGGCCTTGCTGATGCTGCAGGGGCCGCTTCTGTCCGCAGGCCCATGGCCAGCACCCTGGCCTCCTCCCCCAACCCCACAGTGCCTCGCGCCAGTGACATGCAGAGCACGTCAGGGTCACATGTGTGCACACGAGTGAGAAGCCTGGACGGCAGGGTGGGGCCCTCCACATCCCACCCTCACGGAACAGGCCCAGCAGCCATCACCTCCCGTCCCTTCCAGTCTCCACACAGTGCACAGGCGACGCGGTGCTCCCGTGGGCAGAGGTGTGATGCACTGGGGTCCCGGAGAAAGTTGTGCTCCTGCCAGGCAGAGCTTGTGGGGGCCATCCAGGTCCAGTTCTCAAGGGACACAGCAAAGGGTCCTCCATATCCCACACCCACGGGCAACAGCTCGAAGGATGAGGGAAGAGCCCTGACAGGCTCACAGATGCCCGTGCACTCCCTGTGCACACACTAGACATACCCACACGTGCACACCCACGCACTCCACACGTGCACACCCACACATGCATGCAAACACATGCACACCCAGGTGTGCACATACGCACATATATGTGCACCCCACATGTGCACATAAACACATGCACCCCCACATGTGCACATATGCACATATATGTGCACACATGCCCACACACCCACATGTGCATACACCCGCATGCACACCACACATACCCACATGTTCACATCCAAATAGGAACAGAAATGCCCACACACATCATCACCCGCACATGTGAACACATGTGCCCACACATGTACTCACATACCTCACATGTGCGCACCCACATAGCCATGTGCACACACCCTGCCCAAGCTGAATACATGGTCACACCATGCACAGCCCCCACTTGCATACACACACGCACACACACACGTGGACACGCGTGCATACCACTGGGTCTTCAGACAAGGGCACGCTGAGTGTGAGCGCCTCCCGACCAGGGGACACCCTCTCCTGTGCCAGGTCTGGAGTGGGGGATGCTGGGCTGCGGGCGGGCATGGAAGGACGCCCCTGGCCGAGAGCATCAGCCAGGGCCGGCTGACACCCCTGCGCTAGCCCAGCCTGGCCTTCCCAGCAACCCGGGGGGTCATGCACCCCCAGGACAGACAGAGCAGGGCAGGACCGCACCTGGGGGACCGCGCCCGGGGCTTCTGCAGAGGGCGACTTCCGGCAGGAGTTCCAGCATCCACCCGGAGGGTTCTCAAGCACACAAATGTTTATTTGTGTTCTAAACACGAAGGCACACGGAAGCGGGGGCCCACGAAGCAGGGTCCTCCCAGCCCCCCGCGCGCTCTGGCACTGGCCGTCACGGTGGCCACACTTGCCCCACAGCAAGGTGGGGACCCGAGGGAGCCGCGCTGTTCCGACAGGTGTCCCCAGCCACGCCGCAGGGCAGGGGCAGGGCTGCGAGACTGGGCGGCGCCCACCGCCTGCCCAAGTCCCGCGGGCCCTTGCCCCCCCCACCCGCGCCCATCTCCACCTCAGGGACTGCCCCCACGCCTCCGGCGGTCAGACGGATGCCGCAGACACCCTCCTCCGGTCCGTCATCAGACTATGAGCTGACCCCACGTGGGCCCCAGGGCCCCGCGCAGCCCCAGCCTTCCGCCCCAGGTCAGCAAAGCTTCGGCCCGGGGGCAGCCCCCGGTCCTGCCCCACCAGTCCTGGGCGCACACACGCGGCCCTCGCTCCAGGCTCGCCTCCAGCAGCCGAGCCGACCCCCAAACCCGCACGCGCCGCACTTACATCTTTTGCCATGTTACCAGATCCGGGAAGTGGACGCTCGAAGTGCTCACCCTCCGGAGAAGAGAACGGGGGCTGCTGGCGAGGAGGGAGAGGGGCTTGAGCCGGGCGGGGGAGGCGGGAGAAAGCGACCCCCGCCCGCGCCCGGCGCGCGCTCGGGCCCCGCCGCCCCGGCCCCCCGCCCGCCGCCGGGGCATGCACCGGGTCGGGGGCGCCGGCCGGCCTCACCGCGCACCCGGCGCCGCGCAGGGACTCCCGCTCGCCGCCGCGACCCCCGCCCGGCCGACCGGTAACTCTGACAGGTGGGCTTCGGGCCCCGGGCTCCCGCCTGTCACTAGGCCGCGGGCCGCTCCCGCGCGCGCCTCCCGCGCCCGCACGCGCGCCGGGCCGGCCCGGGTCCGCGCGCGCCGCGCCCCGCGCCCCGCGCCCCCCGCGCCCGCGCGCGCCACCCCGGCCCGGCCGGGTAGGTCCGCGGGACCCCGGCCCGGACCCCCGGCGGGTCACCTGCCGAGCCCGCGACGGCGATGCGGCCGGGGCCCGCGGCCGGGGCGGCGCGGCGCGGCGGCGCGGCGGGGCGCGCGTGCCAAGGCGCCCACCCGCGCCCCCCGCGCCCCCGGCCCGCCGTGCCCCGCGCAGAGCCCGGTCCCGGGGCCGCGCCGGTGGCCGCACCTGGTCCCGGGGCCGCGCGCGCGGGGGTCGCGGGGCGCGGGTCGCGGGGCGCGCGGGCGCGGGGCGCGGGGGGCGCGGGGCGCGCGCGGGCCTGCTCCGGCCCCCCGGGGTCCCGGGCTGGGAGCGGCGCCGGGACGCGGGGCTCACCCTGCGAGCCAGCGTCGGCGGCGTGACGTGCGCGGCGCGGTGACGTGCGCGGGCCTGGGCAGCGCGCCTGCGCGCCTTTTCGCGCCTTCGCCGCCCTCCTCCTCCTCCTCCTCCTCCTCCTCCTCCTCGTCCCGCCGGCCGGCCCGCGCTCGGCCGCGGGGGATGGGCTGCGCGTGCGCCGGCGGGCGGCGGGCGCGTGTGCGCGCGGGCCCGGGCCGGGGGCTGCGGGGCCGGGGCGCGGGCGGGAGCGCCGGGCGGGGCGCGCGCTGTCGCGGGAGAGGCCCGGTGACACCTGGACCGTTGAGGCGCCCCTCTGCACGGGAGCCGGGTGTGCGCACGTGGGCGCGTGTGCACGTGAGGAGAGCCGGTGGGTGTCACGTGGGCGTGTGCACGTGGAAGGAGAGTGGGCGGGTGTGCACGGAGAGGTGGGTGGGCTGCACCGGTGGCGTGTGTACACTGGAGCGCGTGGGTGGCGGTGCACGGGTGTGCTTGTGGGCTGTGCAGAAGGGGGGCGAGTGGGCGGGTGTGCACAGGTGTATGTGCAAACGGGAGTAGGTGGGTTGCACCGGCCGGTGGGACACAGTGGTGAGATGGGCACCGGTGTGCGTGTGGGCGTGTGCAAATGGGAAGAGTGGGCGGGTGTGCACCGGCGTGCGGGCGTGGGTGTATAAGAGGGAGGAGAGTGGGCGAGTGTGCACGTGGCAGGTGCCCACGTGGAGCAGGCTGGTGTGCACGGGTATGCGGCTGCGTGTGCGTGAAGGTGCAGGCAGTCCTTGCGTGGCAGAGCCGTGGACAGTGGGTGGCAGCGGCAGCTCCCCGGGAGTTGGGGGTCTGGGGGCCGAGCTGACCCCCTGACAAGGCGGCCGCTGCCGCGGTGCCTTCAGAGGGAGCCAGGTCACCGCGGCCGTGTGAGCCTGCCAGGAGTGCAGAGTCCAGGCTGCGTGGGGCCTGGAGCGAGTGCCAAGCTGAGGACCATCTGGAAGGCCGGGCACCCGGCTGGCCTCCGCGGCGGGCACCCACCGTGCCATTACCGCCCCCACGCGGGTTTCCCAATCTCCCCTTTTCAAGTGCCCGCCCACGCAGCTCTGCCCCAGGACGCTGTGATTGGCTGGACCGCCGCGCAGCAGGCGGTCAGACAAACTTTGATGGGGGAGAAGCCCCAGCGCCTGTGGGCAGGTGACCTAGTTTCTCGCTGCCCGAGGTTGGCGGGTGCCCGGGGGCGTGCCTGGCCCTCAGTTCCTTCCCTGTGCTTCCAGTGTGTGGGCAGCCTGGCCCCGGGACTGCCAGCCGGAGGAGGAGCTCAGGGGTCCCCAGCAAATTCGGGAGGGGTCACCGACCGGCTGGCGTCTGGGGGCACTGCCCCGCCCGGCCACCGCCTGACCGTGCTGGGTGGCGGCAGGCTGTGGCTGGCTCAGGAGAGGCCATCCCTTGGGGCTGGACCGAGGTGTGAACGTCCCCCTCCCACTGGGCCCCTTTCTGCTCGGCCGCCAGTGGTGGGCAACCCGTGTCTCTGGTCGGACCTGGAGTGGGGGCTCATACCTAGAGGGGGACATCATGGAGCCCCACCCAGTTCTGCACTGTCCCCGCCCACCTCAGCATGGGGAGTGGGAGGCTCTGGATTTGGGGAGGGACACTCCAGGGGAGATGCAGATAAAGGCGTTTTGGAAAGCCATGTTGGTGTCCCTGGGTGTCCCACGTGGACTCAGGTCTGAGATGGGCCCTGTCCCCTGCCCCACCCTGCTGGTGCCGGGGGCAGGGAGGGGGCAGCCTCTGCAGCCCTCAAAGAGCCTAGACCTGCCCCCTCCCCGTAGCTCTCACCAGCCCACTGCCCCAAAGCTCCTCTGCTGAGGAGTACCCACCCCGGGGCATGCTGGACCCCAGATACGCCCTACGTGCAGACCTTAGTGGGAGAGAGTTGCCTTCTTCGGATGAGAGTCAGGCACTCGGAGGGCTGCCTGAGGAGGTGGCCTTTCAGATGAGCACCGAGCAGCAGAGCACCCACGTGATTTGTGTGGAAAGCACGTGTCCCCCTGAGAGTGTGTTCTAGAAAACGTTCACCTCTGCGTAGGTGCCTGTCATACCTGGCACTGCGGTAAAGTATCGCAGGCCAGGGGATCAGGAATGGAGACCTCTCGTGGGTCTGAGGCTGGAGTCCACGACCAGGGCTCCTACCCGGCCCAGCCTGCGCACCTCACCGGACAGGGCTCCCGGCCTGGCCCATGGCAGCTAGAGACAGCACCGTGCCGGGGGCTGCCCCGCACCCGGCCTCACTCCAGGATCCTCCGAGGCTTCACACCCACCGTCATCCCCACCCGAGCACGGGGCCCTCCGAGGCGTCTGTGGAATTCCCGGGGTCAAGGGCCTGCTGCACCGTCCCAGAGGTCACAGGACCCTCCACCCTGAGTATCACCAGATGTGACCCGAAAAACAGAAGTTTCACTTTATTTTATGTACCTTGAACCCTAATTTTAAAAGTTGATATATTTTCCAAACCTGGAGTTATACATTCAAAATTACCTTACGTCGTACAGTTTAAACTTGGACATTTACTATATGGCCCCAACATAAAAGGCAATTACTATAATACACCCCATGCTTTGAATCATGCCCTTAAGTTGCATGACACGCCAACCCCACAGCGAGGGCCGGTGTTTGGGGAACCCCCTGCCCCACTGCTGCCAGTCACTGGACCTGCAACTCACCAGGAGTGCCCGCATGGTGCGAGCTCTGCTGGGGAGACTGAGCAGGCCTGCTTCTTGCTTCCAAACGGCATAGAAGGTGTTTGGGTGCAATTAGGGGAGATGGTCCCAGCCCTCGGGTCTGGGCAGAAACACCCACGTGGTTCACCTCCTGGCCACCAGAGTCTGGCCCCATCCACAGGAGGGGACGAGCATGCCAGTCAGGGCCTCGAGGCAACCCGGCTTGGCCCGCGGCCTGTGCTGGGCCTGTGGTGGTCGGTTCTGGATCTCAGGAAGGGTCTGGTGGGGACTCGCCACAGGCTGATTCCCTGAGGAAGGCCGAGGTACGCGAAGGCACATTCTTCTCATTCCCAGCAGCCACGCCCAGGGCTCCTGGCCGGCTTTACTTCTTGGGGCTGGGTGCAGTATGTGTGACTTTTGTGTTGTTTTCAGACAGAGTGATGGGGAGGGAATAGCCATGATCGGTGACCACGACTATTGTGTGCCCATGGTGTGTCTTGTCGGGTGACCCCGACTGTTGCGTGTCCGTGGTGTGTCTTGCTGGGTCCCCCGACTGTTGAGTACTTGGTGTATATTTTACTGCCTGCCCCACAGCAGTGCATTACGAATTTTTCAGTAGTTCAAAGAAAATTCCTTCTTTTTTTTTTGCTTTTTTTGAGCCACACCCAGAGATGCTCAGAAGTTACTCAGGAATTACTCCTGGCGGTGCTCGGGGGAATACATGGGATGCAGGTTGGCCACGTGCAAGGCATTTGTGCTATCACTCTGGCCCCCAAAATACCATTTCTAGTCAACATAATCAGGATATCTGAAACAGTGAATTAAAATAAGAATAATGTAAAAGGATTAAGTATAAAAAGTTCATGTGTCTTTGTTCCTAACAAACACCGCCAGAGAATGTTCTAGAACTCACCAGTAATTAGTAGGTTTTCTAGCAATGAGATCTATGCAATAAAACGAGCACATCTGCACAGACCAACAAGCTACTGGCAAGATAACTTTAAAATGTTATTGAGGGTCCGAGTGATAGTACAGCGGGGAGGGCATTTGCCTTGCACACGGCCAACCTGGGTTCGATCCTCAGCATCTCATGTACTCCCCCGAGCACCGCCAGAAACAATTCCTGAGAATTAGAAGAACCAGGAGTAACCCCTGAGCATTGCTGGGTGTGGCCCAAAAAGGAAAAAATGATGTTGTTTCGGGGGCTGTGGAGATCTGCGAGACCTGGAGTACGAACTCTGCATGTGAGAGCCAAGATCTTCCCACGTGGCCCCAGAACCACAGGGAGCAGGTCCCAGAACCGCAGAGCCCGAAGAGTGCTCAGAAGTGTCAGCCACTGCGGGGCCACAGCCGAAGCACAACGGGAGGGCGCCTGCCTGCATGTGGCCCACCCAGATTCCATCCCTGGCACCCCAGGATCCCCTGGGCACCACCAGGAATGAGCCCTGAGCCCTGTCGGTGTGGCCCCAAAAAAGCAGAAACAGAAGGAGCAAAAGTATCAGCCACTAAGAATGACTTTAGATGTGAAAGTGGCAGGGGAAGAGCCCCCGAACATGGCTCACTGCGCTGCCGCCACCCCGCGCTGGCCCACCAGGGCCCGTCCAGGCCGCGCTCTCACGGTGCCCGCTGTGCGCCAGCCGCACACGCTCGTCTCAGCGCCTGAGGGTCTGTGAGGCTGGAGGTGAAGCCCTGTAACTCGCTGCCCTCCTCCCGCACCCCTGTGCACCCTGCACCCCCACACACACCCTCATGCAGCCTCCCATACACAGCCTACACCCCTACACACCCCACGCACATACCCTGCATCCACACGTACCCCACACCCCCTCACATGCCCTCACACACCTCCCCATGCACCCACACACACTCCGTGAACCTCAGACACAGACACACACCCTCATGCCCTCACCCACTCCCCATGCACCAACACCCCCGTGCGCCCCCACACACACCCCGTGAACACATACACCCCCCACCCCACCACATACCACCCATTCACACGCACACACCATGCACCCCCCACATATCCCCATGCATCCCCACGCATGCCACACCCCACGCCCCGCCACCCAAAGTCGTGTAGTTTCCTGCGTGTGGATCTCGCACCGTCTGCCAGGTTCACACCCAAGAATCTCATCACACTTGGGCATCAGCAGGAAGGGTGTTTTCATTCCGCCTGCTGGCTGCCCGTGGATGTGCACGTGTGTGTGTGTGCGCGTGTGAGTATGCCTGTGTGTGTGTGTGGTCTGCAGTCCTGCTGTAGCTTCTGTCAGTGCAGGGACAGTGCAGGGACGTTGAGGCAGTTCACTTGGATATTCCACCCAGGAGACTGTTCGTCCCGTTTCCTCTGACCCAGCATGGCACCGGCAGGCGTGTGGCAGGCATGTGGCAGGCAGCCCTGGGTGGCCCGGTCTTGGGCCAGGCACCCATTCTGTGGCAGCTCTGTCCTGTTCTTCGCGAGCTAAGGGATTCCGAGACTGGAAGCGGTGGGTCCTGCGGAGCGCTGGTTCTGTCTGCAGGTGGCAGCACGTGGCGCGTTCTGGGCCTCCTGCAGCTGTCAGCGGTGTCCTCCGTGGCCTTGGTGAGCCTTCGGGGGCCCCTCTGGAGTGGGGTTTCTGGGCTTGGAAGATCATTACTGAGTCCACGGTTCCACAGACTTGTTCATTTAGCTGTCCACGTCCCTGTGTGTGACTTCTGGCAATGTCTGTGCATGCATGTGTGCACTCTAGTGCCGTATGTGTGCTTGTGGGCATGCATCTGTGTGCTGACGTGTGTACATGCATGTGCTGGTGTGTGTGCATATGTGTACCTGTGCACACACTTGTGTGCATGTTTGGGCATGCGTGTGCTGGTGTGTGCACGTGTATGTGTTGGTGTGTGTACATCTGTGCACGTGCATATGTGTGCAAGTTTGTGCTATATGTGTGCTTGTGTGCATGCATCTGTGTGCTCACGTGTGTACATGCATTGCTGGTGTGTGCACATGTGTTGTGTGTGTCTGCATGTGCTTCTGTGCATGTGTGTGTGCACACGTATGTGGTGTGTGCATGCATCTGCATGTTCATCTGTGCGTGTGTATGTTTGCGCATGTGTGTACATGTATGTGTTGGTGTGTACATGCATCTGTGAGCATGGGGGTTCCCAGCCCAGCCTCAGTGATGTTCTTGGCTGGGGACCCAGAGCAGCTTCCAGCCCTGCTGAGAGCGAGCCCTTACAGACAGCCCCACAGTGACTGCACCAGGCCTGGAGGTGCTCGGGGGTGGTCGTTCTTCCACCAAATGTGGGGCACAAAGCCCTGGGGGGTCCGGGCACCCCAAGGGCCACCAGCAGGGGTGGGGAGGAGAGAGAGAGAACTTGTTTCTTGCCTCATTGAGGGTCCAAGGAGGATGACCCTGGCATTCTGTTTCTGTTCTTTGGGCCACACCCATCTGTGCTCGGGGCTCCCTGACTGGGCCTCGGGGCACTGAGGGCGGAGCCTGTGTGCCCGGCCTGTGCCATCACTCCGGGCTCCGTGAGGTGGGACACAGGCTGGGGATCGGGGCAACAGCGCCTGTGCCTGGCATGCATATGGCAGCTGGCCTGGAGAGCACCTTCATCGGACACCAGCCCCTCAGGTCCTTCACTACCTGTTTGTTTGGGGGCCCCGCCCCGCGGTGCTTGGGGCATTATCCGGGCTCTGTGCTCAGGGGTCACTGCGGGCAGGCTCGGGGGACTGTACGGGTGCCAGGGATGGAGGCCGGCACACTGCCCACCGTGCTTTCGCTCCGGCCCCTCCTCTCGCCACAATGGTCTCTGACTGCCCAAGGTGATGCCCCGGCCGGCCTGCTCTCCGCGCCGTGGGTTCCACTCCCTGAAGGAAAGCTCACCCAGGCTGCGGTCCGGCTGCCTCGGCAGAGATCGGAGCCGGGTCTCTGCTCCTTACTCCTGGCTGTGGAAGCCTCCGCCTCACTGGGCCCTGCTCAGCCTCTCCCGGCCACGATCCACAATCCACGATCCACTTCTCACCTGCCAGCTAAGTGTCTGGTCAGTGTTGACATCGGAGTCAAGACAAGACACTCGGGAGAAAATCTAAGAGCTGAAGCAGTCACAAGTCCAGATTTCAAAGCTCCATTAAGACATGACAGCAGAAACAGGCAGGCAAGAGACAGAAAGGCCTGGAAACCCCAGCCCTGGGCCCCTGAGGGCCGCACCGGCTCAGCCGCAGGAGGAATGCCTTCGGCCGAACAGCACGAGTGAACTGGCTTCCAGATAGGGCCGTGTTGACTCTAGCCACTCCGCACAATCACTTCGGAAGCGAGATTTAATTTTCCAGAAGAAAAGTGATAAGCAACTTTTTTAAATGGTGCCTTTGTGTTTCCCGTTCATTCACCGTACTGACCACTGAGTCATCAGGGAGGAGCAGTCAGACTGAACAAACTGAACCAATTTTTTGTTGTTGTTGCTTTTTGGATCACACCAGCGATGCTCAGGGGCTCCTCCTGGCTCTGCACTCAGGAATTACTCCTGGAGCTGCTTGGGGGACCATATGGGATGCCGGGGATTGAACCTGAGTTGGCCGTGTGCAAGGCGAATGCCCTACCCACTGTACTACCGCTCCGGCCCCGAAACCAAATTTAAAAGATACTCAACAGATTTCTACTATATGCCAATAAAAATGACCTTTATTAAAGCATATTCTTGGGATTTAAAACTAAGTGCTTTAGAATGACATACTTAATAAAAATGGACATGAAGTGTTTTATTTAAAATTGTTATGATTAAAAGCAAATCCACATTTACAAAATATTTGTCTCAGTTTAGAAAACATCAGCTAAGAGAATCAAAGGCCCACGAGACTCAGCGCCTGCGTGGAAATATCACATCATGAAATGTTCAACAACAAAAATGGACCGGCAACGTTCTTCAATAAATAAACACTTTCTGGTTCACGGGGGGCAATGGTGGGTGAACAGGAGCGCTACAGCCGTCACTGTCTCGGGACACGAGCGCAGCGACTCGGCGCTGAGCTCAGAAGGCACATCCAGGCCAGGAGCCCGTGGCCGTGGCAGCACCAGGGCACAGCTGGGCGGCCAGGCGCGGCCCCCCGGAAGGTCCTGGCCGCAGGGAGCGGCACGGGGGCCCAGCGGTGGCGTCCCCGCCCTGCGGGGGCTCCACAGGGGGCTCACAGGCTGCACCGCCGCTCGGGGCGGGGCACACACTTGGAGACGGCCAGTCTCCACAGCACCGGGGCCAGCAGCTGGCTCAGCGTGGTCACACTCAGGATCAGGAGGTACACCTGCAAGAGGGCGGCGTCACCCCACCTCGGCCTGGCCGCAAGGACTGGGCTGCTGGGGAGCAGTTGGGGGGCTCCCGGACCGTTCAGGGGCGCTGAGGGCGGAGCCTGTGTGCCCGGCTGGTGCCTGCTTGTGCTATATGTGTGCTTGTGTGCATGCATCTGTGTGCTGACGTGCGTACATGCGTGTGCCGGTGTGTGTGCACCAGCCAGGGCTGCAGTCGGCAGGAGCAGGGACAGAGTCAGCTTGGGCCCCTCTGAGGGCAGGAAGCTGACAGCTGCGCCTGCTCACCTGGCCTGCGTGTCTGCCCCTAGCCCAGGCACTGCCCAGTGACCGCATTCAGGCCAAGAAATCTCCAAGCCATGGTATCCCGCCCACCAGGTCTGCACCAAAGTGGCTCTCGGCTCCGTCTCCAGTCCCCGTGGCACCTGGCCCCGTGCCTGCTCTCCTGAGGAGCTCCCCTCCCACGTGACAGTGACTCCCAGCATCCGCCTGCCACAGCCTCACAGCCCGGGTTAGGGACCACCAGGGTCAAGCACTCCTCACCCCAGAGCCACAGCACACGTGGCCCGCCAGTCTCCGGTCACCGTCAGGTAGCACCGCGAAGGTCCCTAAGCCTCCCCAGAGGGGGTCCCTGAGCCAGAGCCAGGCGTCAGCCCTGGGCACCACCAGGTGTGGCCCCAAACCAAACAAAGGAGACACGACAAGCCAGAGACAAGGCATGTGGGACCCAGCAGGCGGGCACGCACGTAAGCCACACCCGCAACTGCACACACGCCCCCCCCACCGGACTCCCCAGCACGCGTGAGCCCAAACCCCATGGACACACACGGCACACACAAACCTGCACACCTACACGCGCACACGCACACACAGGCACTCCCACAGGTGCACACTGCCAGAAGTGCCAGGGAAAAGCGGGAGGGATGGAAGGAGGCGGGCGGGCGGGCGGGGAGGCGGGAGCCTGGAGCCCAGGGGTGTGGGGAGGGAGGAGGCGGGGAGGCGGAGCCCGTGCACACAGGGAGGGAGGAGGCAGGACTCACCTCCCGGGAGATGATGCGGGCTCTGCGCGCTCGGCTGCCCAGCACGAAGGAAAACTCACTGACCTGCGCCAGCCCGGCCGCCACCACCCACTTGATGTGCTGGCTGGGCCGTGGCAGGAGCAGAGACAGCACCAGCGCTGCCAGGACGAACTGCAAGAGGGGGGTCAGGCCAGGCAGAGCCCGAGGGACGCGCAGGGCTGCCCGCCCAGGCCTGGGACAGGGGCAGCAGCCTCTGACCCACCCCACGGGGCCCCGGAGGTACCTTCGTGAGGACCACGGACAGAGTAAGGACCACCAGGACGCTGAGCTCGTAGAGCACGAAGGTGGGGAACACGTGCAGGCCTGTGAGGGGACAGGCGGCGTCAGCACAGCCCGGCCGTGGCCTCAGCCCCTCCCGCCAACGGCCACAGAGTCTTGGCTTTGCGCAGACCCAACACAACAGCTGAGCCGGACACAAGCCCCGGGCTGGGCACCCGCCATCCACGCTGGGTCCCAGCCGGGGACCTCTGCGGGCACCTCCCTGCGGCGGGGCAGTTGGGACCCAGGACAGCGCCCGGCCCGCCCAGCACGGCTGTCCCCCGCTGTCCACTGGGGAGGGGGCCCCCCGCCTGCCAGGAACGCCTCCAGCTCACGTGTCTTTCACACTGGACTTCTCCCGGTCACGGAAGACGCCAGCAACCACGCTGAGACACGCGAGAGCATGAGGGAGACGCTCACCCACCTATGGACGCGAAAAAGATGATGGCCAGGAAGTCGCGGATGGGCTCGATGTAGGACACGATCTCTTCAGTGACCATGTGCCCCTGGGAGGACATGAGCGCCCCCGCCAGGAAGCAGCCCAGCTCCATGGACACGTCCAGCAGCTCCGTGACCTGCAGGAAGGGGGAGAGGTGTCACATTCCAACAACGCAGACCCGCGTTCACGCACACGTGTGCACACCCCTCACATGTGTGCTCACGCTGATGCATCCACGTGCACCTCCGGATATACGCATACTATGCTCACACATGTCCACTCATACACATATGTGCACACCCTTACACATGCACACTATGCTCATACATACATGTGCACACCCCCAGAATACATGTATATATATAGGTGTGCACACCCACACACATATGCCCACTCACGCACACACCCTCACAATGCGTACTCATTCTCATGTGTGCACACCCTCACCACAGGCAAGCACATGTATGCATACCCTCACACTTGTGCGCATGCTCACACACACGTGCACATCCTCACATGAAAAATTAGACATGTACATGTGCACAGCCTCACACATGCATACATCTGTGAGCACACACATACACATGTGTGTGCACACATACACAGGCTGGCTTGCATGGTCACATGCATGTGCATACCCTCACTCATGTATGCATTCACTCACATGCAAAACCCCACACGTGCATACGCAAGTGTGCACACCCTTGCACCTACCTTCACACATGTGCATATACCTTCTCACATGCACACACACGTACGCATGCCCTTAGACATGTGTGCTCATGCTGATGCACGTGTGCACGCACACCTGCACACACACGTGTGTACGCCCTCTCACACGAATACATGCGCTCACACCTGTGCACAACTCGCAGTGCTCTTACGTGTGTGAACTCTGGAACACACGCAAACGTGTACCCGTGAGTGCACACTCTCACACATGCACACAGCATCACCCCTGCCCCCTCGCTTGCTAGCTGCGGGAACCCCGGGTCCAGGTGTGACACGTGAGCACAGGCGAGAGATCTTGGTCTAATGTGCTAAGGGGCAAGGCCCAGGGCTGACAGTCTGGGGCCCACATGTGGCACTGTGAACAGTCTGGGCTGGTGCTGCTGCTTCTGAGCACACTCTGCCCTCGGGGTCGTGACACCACCCCCACCCCAGGCCAGCAGCACCCCCAGGCCACAGTGTGCGGTGAGGGCCTGAGGAGGCACTGGAGGATCCCGACCTGGGGGAAAGCCCAGGGCGGAGACGGACAGGGAAGCCTTTCCTCACCATGGGGAGCCTCAGGTGGCCAAGTGGCGAGTGGCCAAGACTTGCTGCAGCCGCCCAGCCCCAGCCTCCGGGCAGCACCCGCACCTCTACAGCCCTTGGCCGTGCCACAGACACACGCGATGACACTCAGCATCCCCAGGCATGGACGGCAGCGGCCAGGGAGAAACATGGAGTCGGAAAGGGACAATACAAGGGAAGGGGGCTCAGGGCAGGTGGTGACCAGCACCCGGCACCCATGACAGGAGGCCACCAGCACCTGCCCAAGGCCAGTGGGGACGGGACTCGCAGGCAGGAAGGGCTGCTCTGGTGGGGACAGTGGGAGCTTCCCTGAGAGGCAAAGCCTCGGGTGCCCACAGCACCCAGCACCTGAGGGTCAGCACGGGTGCCCAGCACTCAAGGGTCAACCCATCGGACACGGCACCTCCGCCCCCACCAGGCATGGCGATGGGAAGAGGAGCGAGGCGTGTCTCATGGGTAAGACGGTGCAGCAAAACCAGGGTGGGCTCTTTGGGGCTGACAGAATGTTCTGGAACTACGGGGACGAAGCAATGGCACAGCGGAGAGGGTGTTTGTAGGCGACCCAGCCAGGTGCGATCCCCAGCATCCCATATGGTCCCCGAGCACTGCCAGGCGTGATTCCTGAGACCCGGCAGAACCCAAGCATCGCTGGGCGTGCCCCCCACCCCATGAAAGAGGCTCTGGAGCCGGGTGGGGACGGGCTTGCAGCACCAACACCCTCATCCACTGAGATCCTCGCACACCAATGAAGCGCTCAATCGTCCGCGAACTGCCTTTATGTGAAAAATGTAAGACCCAAAAATTAGCTTAAAAGCCAAACAGCTGTTGGGGCATCTGCATGCCAGTGGCCAGGCCGGGTCCAGACCCTGGCCCCACCCAGTCCCCCAAGCCGGCCATCAGCGAGTCCCTGGCGCAGAGCCCAGCAATAACCCCAGCACCCCTGGGCGTGGCTCAAACAAAATCAGAGCAGCTGCTGAAAATGGGTAAGAAAACAGCTGGCCCCACGGGACAGCTGCAGGGGGGTCACGAGGAGGACGGTCAGGACACCCCCACGCCACAAGGGCAGCTCCACAGCCGCCGGGGCCTCGGAGGGGGCAGGCAGTGGAGGCGGGTCTCGTGCAGAGGCTACCGGCCGGGGCGGGAGACTCAAACACACCAAGTGACCACAAGAAGGGACGCGGCAGTCTCCAGCGCAGAGACCCCACAGCAGGCAAAGACACACACCGACACATCCGGCAGGCAGAGGCACACACAGAGACCCCGTGGCAGAGGAGGGGGGTGTCGGCACCGCGGCAAGCACAGCGGGTGAAAGAAGTGAAGGAGAACCAGGGGACGAGCGTGGGTCACTCTACACTGAGGCAAGAGTCATCCAGATGGGACAAGGCTGCTGGTGTCATCGCCAGAGACACTCCGGTGGATAAAGCAATGTGGGAACGCTTGGCACAGCTAAAATCACGCAGCGGCCCGGAGCGGAAACCAAGCTGTGTCTTCCTCTCACCGCGGGATCCGGGCAGGCAAGCGGCCGTGGGGCAGGCTGAGAGCAGCCCAGGCCAGGCGGGGGCACTCGGCCTCTCTGGGGCTGCACGCCTCGCACCCACCACTCAGCCCCAAGCACCGGAGGTGGGGAGGCCGTCTCATGAGTGGAGCTGCCCCCCGCAGACCACACACCGTGGAGGGGGCTCTGTGCGTCCCCTCAGGGGCATCACGCTCATTGGGCTCTCGCAGCCCTGAGTGACCCCCACCCTCCCGCCGGTCACGCTGACGTCAGGCTCTGAGCCGCTGAGGGGCAGACACAGACGCTCCACATGAGCCCCGAGAAAGGGGATCTGAAGGGAAATGACGTGAGACTCCAGGCAGCCAGGCAGCAGCCCAGACGCTCATCAGGCCAGAGGTTCTGTCTGCCACCTCAGGATGAGAATGGCCCCTCAGAGACGGTGTCATCATGGGGGTGCAGTGACCCCTCACGGGACTTGTCCACCGTCACCTCGGTGTGAGGAGAAGTGACCCCTCACGGGGTCTGCCCACCGTCCCCTTGGGTGGAGCAGTGACCCCTCCCAGGGGCAGAGCAGTGACCACAGCTGGCACCTGGCGGAATTACCATCAGCATTGAGAAGATGAAAGCAGAGACCCCCAGGACAAGGATCTCTCTCTTCCCTCTGCTCTCCCCGTGCAGCTTCCGGTAATAGGGTCCCACGAGGTAGGTCTTTAAGAGCAGACACAGAAGGAAAACGGCCGCGAGCGAGAGCAGGATCTGCCCCATCAGAGCCAGGATCCGCAGCACCTCCAGCAGGACGCTGGGGAGAGAGAGGCACGTCAGTGTCCGCCCGCCACCCGGGGTGCCCGGCACACGCCTGCGAATGCCGTGTTCCCGTGGCCCCTGAGCAGCACGCGCGTGAGCACGACCCGGCACCCCGGCCACGGCCCGGGAGGGAGAGGAGAGCAGGGGCGCGGCTCCCTCCCACAGCCTGGAGAGAACGGCGGAGAGGCAGCCGCCGACGCCACCCCGAAGGGGAAGCACCACCTCCGAGCCGCCCGCAAGAGCGACGCCTCGGCCGAGGCCGCCGGGCAGGTGGGACAAGGGAAGAGGGGCCGTGAGGGGGCACTCGGCGGAGACTCCACTACAGCCCGAGCCGGGAGCGGGTGTGCCGGGGGGCAAGAACCCGGGCTGAGGCGGCAGGACAGGCGGGAGCAGCCGGTGCCGGAGCTGCAGGACGCTGCCAGGAGCACACGGTGTCTGGGGACACGGGGGAGGCGGGCCCGCGCCAGCCACGGCCAGGCCCAGTGCAGGACTGCGGGAGCCACGTCCTCCCAGGACAGACACACCGAGGAGAACTCCAGGCAGCAAAGAATAAAGCCGCCCACCGAGAGAGACGGACAGCAGAACGGGAGGGGACACGGCTAACAGGACAGCGCGGGGCCCCCGCACTACAGAGCAAAGCGGGACAAAGGACGGGGACGGACAAGGCGGGCACCTCCAGCAGGACACGGACCACCTGCCGCAGGGGCGGCGGCCGTCACAGCCCTCCTGGCCAAGCCTGTTCAGCACCCAGAACCCCGCCTGAGAGAAGGCTCAGCACCAGAGTTCTCGCCCGGAGTGGACGTGCAACTTGGACAACGTCCCCAAAGCAGGGTCTGAAGAAACACGTCCCAGACGATTCGTGGATCTGGTATTGCCGAATGCCAAAACCAGGCCAAGGAGAGGCAGGCCAGCACCTCTCCCAACACCAGCCACGGCGCACCGTGAGAAAATCAGAGCACACCGGAAGCAGCAGGATACAGCGGGGCCTGCGCCGTAGACCAGACGAGCAATTCTGGGTGTCTGGGCAAGAATTAAAAAGTTGGTGAGACTTCGGTTAAGAATGCCGAGTTGCTTTTGCTCTAGGATGAGGAAAAGGCTGTTCTCACGTGGAGCTCTATCCACCCCAACCTGGGCAGGAGAGGCAAGAACGCAAGAAAAAGGGGGCGAGGGCCGGAGCAGCTGTACAACGGGGAGGGCGCTTGCCCTGCACACGGCCAACCCGGTTCCATCCCCAGCATCCCAGAGGGTCCCCCGAGCACCGCCAGGAGTGATCCCCAAGTGCAGAGCCAGGAGAAAGCCCTGAGCAACACCAGGTGTGACCCAAAAAGCCAAAAAAGGGGGGGAGGAAGATTCCAGGGTACAAAGGAAGATCTAGCCAACGAGACCCGTTTCCGAGTCGCCCCAGATCTCAGAGGCACACCGACTTTTGGCCCACTTCGCTAAGAGATGAAACGGAGGGAGTTCTTACGAATAATTCAGCACGACACCTACGTGCATTTGAACTCGCAGTCCCACCCACATGCAGCCAGCCTAAACCCCATGGCTGCCAACGTCTCCCAACTCTCTCTATTCCGTGCTGCTGGCGCTCCTCAAACACTCCGTGTGTGTAGCATAACCTATGACTTTCTGAGTAAACTGGGTAAACGTATGTTCCTGTTTGGCCAGTCGCTCATCCAAGAAACTGCAAGGAGGCCTGAGAAAATAGAAGCTAAGGGAAATAGCAGAAATGACACAGCAAGTGGCCATTACACACACCTATGACACTGCTGGTGACAACACACACACACACACACACACACACACACTCCAGTGACCACAGGAGCTCTGTCTCACTCTCACCCACAGCATTATGACTCCCAATCCACAGGCTCACGCACTGCCAGTGATCACAACTCACGCGCATATACACACACACACAGTACCGCGATCACGACAGCTCACATGGGCACGCAGGGCATGACACTGCACTGATCAGACAGCACACACTCATGGCACACACTCACAGCACACACACTCACAGGCACACCCACAAGCACACACTCACAGGCACACACTCACAGGTATACACAGGCACACGCTCACAAGTACACACTCACGGGCACACACTCACAGGCATACACTTACAGGCACATAACTCATGGGCACAAACTCACAGGTACACACTCACAGGCACACACTCACAGGCTCACACAGGTGCACACTCACAGGCACACACTCACTGGTACACACTCATGAGCAGACACGGGTGCACACTCACAGGTACACACTCACAGGCACACGCTCACAGGCTCACATAGGTGCACACTCACAGGCACACACTCACAGGTACACACTCATGAGCAGACACTCACGGGTGCACACTCACAGGTACACACTCATGAGCAGACACTCACGGGTGCACATTCACAGGTACACACTCATGGGCACACGCTCACAGGCGCACGCAGGCACACTCATAGGTACACAATCACGGGCACACACTCACAGGCACACACTCACAGGTACACACAGGCACACACTCACAGCCCACACTCACGGGTGCACACTCACAGACACACTCATAAGTACACACTCACCGGCACACACTCACAGGTACACACTCACAGGCACACACTCACAGGTACACATGGGCACACACTCACGAGTACACACTCACAGGCACACACGGTGTACACTCACAGGTACACACTCATGGGCACACACTCACAAGCATACATTCATGGGCACACACAGGCACACTCATAGGTACACAAACACGGGCAAACACTCACAGGCACACTCACAGGTACACACGGGCACACACTCACGGGAGTACACACTCATAGCCCACACTCACGGCACACTGGAGCCCACATGGCTGAGCCTCCCGGAAGGGTCTCCCCCCACAGAGATGGTCGAGGAGGGTGGGGGAGCAGTCGGTCCTCCCCCGCCTGCGACAAAGGCCCCACGTCCTCTAAACCTGTGGCCAGAGGGGCGGCGCCCGCTTACCTGGAGCTGGTGGCAGCACCCGCCTGGAGGAGCGTGGGCAGGACAGCAATGAAGAGCCCCAGCTGCACGTCCTGCATCACCAGCATGCCCAGCAGGACCCCGCTGTAGTCCACGTCCCCTGCGGACACGCAGAAGGCAGTTCAGCGCGAGACCCCACAGGGAGGGCTCTAGAAGGTTCTCTCCCACCACACGCCGCTTCTACACAGGAGAAGCCGGTCAGTGGCTCTTCCCAGTGACCAGTGAGCTACCACAGCAGGTGGCCATGCATGTCCACTCCTCACCCGCTGGCCACAGCACCAGACCCCACCAGCCTGGCCCTGTGGGTCAGTGCTGACCCGGGTGTCCAGCGGCTAAGGGCTTTGATTGGCGGGGGTCAGGGGAGTTCCCAGGTAATACTGAGGCCGGGTCATTGCCAGCCAACTCATCTGTGTGGGGCCGGTCAGCTGGACACTCAGGCCAGCATGCAGGCGCTGCCCTTGAGGATGGGGGGCGGGGGCAGAGGTGCACAGGCTCCAACCCTTTGAGCTTTATGCCTGGTCCATCGTCTAAGTCCTTCAGGTGTCCTAAGCATGTGCCTACTTCCTGGTCTACACACACGTGCACACACGTGCACGGGTAACATCCTCCCAGCCTGCAGCTGCGCTAACACTCCCTTGGGGCTGAGGGATGGTACCGGGATGAAGACGTGCACGCTGCGTGCAGCCTCCTGTTTGATCGGCACCACATGGTCCCGAGGCGACCGGGACTGCCGAGGCGGCCGGGGTTCCTAGCACACAGGCCTGAGCAGCACCACATCCCCGGCACCCGGAACCACAGGCCAAGAATCCTGGGAGGAGCCCCTGGGACCCCTGAGTACCAACGAAAGCTAAAAGGGAGAGTGAAGTAGGAGACGTGGCCTTGCATAACCCCGCACTGCACCAGGAGCAGCCCCGAGCACTGCCGATGTGGCCCAAGAACTGAAAGACAAAGATCTTCAATAGGTGAAAAAGGTTTTAGGTACAACGGGGAGGGCGTCTGCCTTGCACGTGGCCGACCTGGGTTCAATTCCCGGCATCCCATACGGTCCCCTGAGCACCGCCAGGAGTGATCCTTGAATGCAAAGCCAGGAGTAACCCCTGAGCATCACCAGGTGTGACTCAAAAAGAAAAAAAAACAATTTTTAATAGCTTTCAATAAAAATCACAAAATTTAAACTGCCCACTGTTCCGTTCTCAATTGAATTGTGCATTTTGCATTTTCAAAAATTCTCTCTTACAGACCAGAATGCCAGCACAAGAATTAAGGCATCTGCCCCACACATGCTGACCCGAGTTTGGAATTGGCACCAAACATTGTCCCCCAAACCCTGCCAGGAGTGACCCCTGAGCAAGCCAGGAGTGGCCTCTAATCTGCTGGGTACCGCCCACACCCGCAAAAAAATAAGCCCAGGAAAGAAAGGCGGAAGCCCCTTGGCCCTAGGGTCCCGGGTCCTCCCCAGAGCGTCCTGCCCACCCGGTGTCAGGCACAGCTCGCCCACTCTCCGCCTACTGGGAGCCGTGCCCACCCTCCAGTCTCCACCCTGCAGCTCCCGGACCCACCTTCTTTGTCGGCCCGGGCACTGCCCATGAGGAACCTGGACACCAGGGGCGTGCTGGACAGCGACAGGCAGGTGGAGATGAAGACGCTCTGGGCCGGCCTGATGTGCAGCAGGTGTCCCCAGAGCAGGCCGAAGCCCGTCATGAGCAGCGTCATGTAGCAAGGACCCTGCAGGGCCACCCTCCACACCTGCAAGAGAAGCCCCAGAGGGCCGTGGGGGTGGCCAAGGACCAGGCCTCACCACCGCCCCAAGGCCAAGCTCGCAGAGTGCCCCGGTGGAAGCGCAGGGTCGGGGTGGGCTCCCGACAGCAGGGCCAGGGCCTGCACCGCAGAAGCAGCTGCGGGGGAGACGAGGGTCGGTCTGGGGATAAGCGCTGGCCGAGCGCGGGGCAACCCTGACCCCAGCACCACCGGGGGCCGCTGGGGTCCTGCTCGGCCCAAACTCGCAGAAACGAGGCAGAAGCACTGGGCCTCACCTGGCCCTGCGCGCCACTGGGCACACCGCCCTCGCAGGCCAGCTGCGCGGAAGGATGCGGTGTGGGCACCGGGCGCCACCCGGGACTGGGCAAGGCCGCAGCTGCCTCCAGAGGGGCCCCCGGCTCCAAGGAGGCTGGGACCCGCAGCTGCTGCCTGGACGGTAACCGCGGGGGTCCTGTCCCCAGGTGTGGCGGACGCACCGCAGACGCAGAGCAGTCGTGCGCGGGTGCAAGCAGCATTCAGGGCATGGGCGGGGCCGGGATGGAGAGGGGCGGGGGAGTGGGCGGGGCATGCATGGAGGGGCGGGGGGTTGGGCGGGGCATGGATGGAGGGGCGGGGGAATGGGCGGGGCATGGATGGGGCGGGGAATGGGCGGGGCATGGATGGAGGGGCGGGGAATGGGCGGGGCATGGATGGAGGGGCGGGGGAATGGGCGGGGCATGGATGGGGGCGGGGCATGGGCGGGGCATGGATGAGGGGCGGGGGGTTGGGCGGGGCATGGATGGAGGGGCGGGGGAATGGGCGGGGCATGGATGGGGCGGGGAATGGGCGGGGCATGGATGGAGGGGCGGGGTTGGGCGGGGCATGGTTGGAGGGGCGGGGGAATGGGCGGGGCATGGATGGGGGCGGGGGAATGGGCGGGGCATGGATGGGGCGGGGAATGGGCGGGGCATGGATGGATGGGCGGGGGATTGGGCGGGGCATGGATGGGGCGGGGAATGGGCGGGGCATGGATGGAGGGGCGGGGGAATGGGCGGGGCCGGTATGGGGGAGGCGGGATGTGGGTGGAGCATGGAGTGGGCAGGGCAGGGAGTGGACGGGGCAAGGGCGAGGGACCTGGGCAGGGATGTGGGTGGAGCACGAAGTGGACGGGGCATGGATGGAGGGGGGGGGGCGTGGGCGGGGCCTGGAGCCGGGCTCTGCCAGCTCTGGACTGCTCGGAGGGCCGCACGCGGCCCATCACTCCGGGGCTGAACGGGCCTTAGTCGTGGAAAATCTGACGCCAGTATCCGGAGTTTCTTGTTTTCAAACCCAACCTCCTTCTGGGATTTATCCTCGGGAACTAACACTGGGCCAGGGACAGCACAGTGGTCAGGGCGCCAGCCACGGCGTCCTCTGGCCCCTAACGGCTGGTGCGCCCGTGGGGTCCCCAGCGGCTCCTCTGAGCAGCTCCTCACGCTCAGGCCTGGGTCGAGCCTGCTGGGTCTGAGGGTCTGAGCAGCGGGCGCTTCCCCCAGCAAATAAACAAAAATACTCTCAGACCCAGACACTTCCTGCTGAGACATAAGCGAGGGTCGAGCCCAACACGAACCCAACCCTGTGCCGAGGCGGCACGGGACCAGCACACTGACCTTCCTCAGTTTCTCTGGGGAAAATTCCAAGCCGACGAGAAAGAGCGTAAAGAACACGCTGAATTCCCCCAAAGTCTCCACTTGCACAACAGACTGGAAAACAGAAGCGGAAAGGCACGAGTGCAGGCGGACGGTGCCCGCGACCACGGGACTCCCCGCGGGCGGACGGTGTGATTTTCTTGCATCTGCTGCCTCCAGCGGAGCGCAGGGGCAGGTGTGGAACTGGGACTCCCGCGGGCACCGGAGGCACCTCTGGCCCTGAAGCTCTTCTGAGAAAAAGCAGCCCGGGGTCTCCACCTCCCGGTCCCCGAGGGCTGCAGGAGGGGCATCCTGCGGGGCGCTCGGCCTCGCACACACCCTCCCCGGGCTCGCGCAGGCCTCATGTGACCCTCACAAGAGCCACACACGGGCCTCACACGCCTCACACAGCACTCACAAGGGCCTCCAACAAGCCTCGCACGGGCCTGACATGGGGCTCGCACGTTCACAAGGGCCTCACGCGGATCTCACGCGGGCCTCAACTTTCTCCGGGGCGGGAGTACTTGGCATGGAGCCCTCACAATGCCACGCGACACACCGGCTTTCCAGTGCCTGAAGTCTGGAAAGCATTGGTCTTGTGGGCCAGAGAGACAGCAGAGCGACCAGGCTGCTCGCCTGGCACGCCGGGGCCCCGGGCTGGATCCCTGGCACCCACATGCGGCCCTGAGCGCCCCCAGGACGATCCCCGAGCACAGAGTCAGGAGTAAGCCCCATCACCACACACGACCCCAAATCAAAAACAAACAAAAGACGCACTTATTTCATCGAGCAGGCTGAGTTGCTTTCCTTGTGTGAAAAAAACAGTTCACTCCCGAAAATAAAATCCTCCATGAGTCAAATGACACTTTTAGCACAGAGATCTCTGTGGAGTTTTCCAGGACCCTTCTTTACTCTGGTCCATGAAAACCACGCTCCTCGGGGGGTGGAGCAAAAGCACAGTGGGGAGGGTGTTCGTCCTGCACGCAGCCAACCCAGGTCTGGTCCCAGCGTTCCAGACGGGCCGCCAACCTGCCGGGAGTGATCCCTGAGCGCACGCCAGGAACTAGTCCTGAGCACTGCAGGTGGGGACCCAGAGCAAAACAAAAGCAAAAAACGGCTCTCTTTCTGAGCCTGCCCTCAAATCATGTGTCAAGACGCACGTTAATCTGGAAGCTACTAACGCGACACTTTTGCACTTACCTTGATACTATTCAAGCCAGAAGGCCCCAAGAGCACTCCACAAATAATGTAGCCAAACATGGTGGGCAGACCGATGGCCGTGCACAACCAGCCACAGGGCAGAGAGAGCATGCCAATGGTGACGATGTCCTGCAAGAGCAACGGAAACAGGGACCATGAGGGAGCTGGTGCAACGGCACCAGGGAGAGCACGTTCTCTCCTCAGAGAAGAGAAAAATCACAGAGACCACATTCTCGCCCAAGGCAGGACAGAGAACAGAGACACCTTCTCTCCTGAGGGAGGACAGGCAGAGGGAGACCCCTTCTCTCCAGAGGGAGAACAAGAGATGAAGACATCTTCTCTCCTGAGGGAAGAGAGAACTCAGAGACCCCTCTCTCCAGACGGAAGACGGAGATGGAGACACCTTCTCTCCTGAGAGAGAGGGAGAGAATTCAGAGACCCCTCTCTCCAGATGGAAGACGGAGATGGAGACACCTTCTCTCCTGAGGGAAAACAAAAAACAGAGACACCTTCTCTCCAGAGGGAGACATCATCTTTCCTGAGGGAAGAAGAGAACTCAGAGACCCCTCTCTCCAGATAGAAGACAGAGAGACGGAGACACCTCTTCTGAGGGAGGAAAAAGAAATGGAGACATCATCTCTCCTGAGAGAAGAGGAGAATTCAAAGACACCTCTCTGCAGATAGAAGACAGAGAGAGGGAGATATCCTTCTCTCCTGAGGGAGGACAGAGAGATGGAGACACCTTCTCTCCTGAGGGAGGAAAAAAAGATGAAGGCATCTTCTCTTCTGAGGGAAGACAGAGCGGTGGAGACATCTTTCCTGAGAGAAAAAAGAGAACACAGAGACATCTCTCTCCAGACAGAGATGGAGACACCTCTCCTGAGGGAGAACAGGAAACAGAGACACCTTCTCTCCTGAGGGAGGACAGGGAGCGAGGAGACCCCTTTTTCTCTGAGGGAGGGTGAAACTGTTGAGACCCAGAGTGTGTCTCGTTGGTGGACCAGGAAGAACGGGAGACCGTGGGAATTGTGAGTGGGCCCAGGCTGCCTCCGGCAGCCCCAGACCTGAACCCGAGGTGTGTCCCGGGCCCTCACTCCATTCCGACTGGGGGTGTTAAGTGCCGTTCTCCTGCCTCGAGGAGCCTCGGGCTCAGCCCCCACCCATGAGCTAACCAGAGGGACCAGCAGAGGAAAACTCCTGAGGCAAGAGAAGACCACCCCCCCACCGCCCCCCACGCCCCCCACTGCCTCGCGGGGCGGGAGGCCCCCACCTTGATGAGGTGGCGATCCGCCCGGGGGATGGTCGCGTCCCGAGGCTTGGTCAGGATGTACTGGTTGTTCTGGGAGTCGATCAGCATGCTGAGGCCCAGGTCATCCACTTCCCGTTTTGTGAGATTCTGCTTCGGGTTGGCCTCTTCTTCCTCCACCCTCAGAACTGCCTCAAAGTTCACCCCTTTGACCTGTGAGAACGGCAACAGCGATGATGACTGAGAAGCAGAGGAAGGGCGCAGGCCAGCCGCCTAGCGGCGTGAGCGTGTGTCGAGCACTGTCGAGCGAGCCTGTGAACCGGGAGACGCTGGGCCTGGGGGCTCCCTCCCGAGACGGCGGCTCCGTACTAAGCGGCCCAGGAGTCTGGAGCCTGGGTCGAGGTCAGCCCCAAAGGGGCACGGGCCGCCGGCCAGCGCCGGGGCAGGAGAGGGGCCAGTCCCAGCCCCCAGGACCCCTCCCGGGGACGCCCGAGTGGGGGCCCGGAGTGCACTCGGGCTGCGGTGGGGCCGGCGGTGAAGCGGCTCACCACGGCGGGGGCTGATGGCCCAGACCTGAGCCGGGAGCAGAGCAGGGGCCAGTGGGCGCCTGGGGGGACCCGGGGCTCTGGGCGCGGGCGGGCGGGGCCACCCCGACGGCCCTTTGCAGAACCGGCCCTTTCCCCGAGACTGCCTGAACTGCCCGGCCCGAAGCTTGTTCCTCTGGCTCCACGCCGCCCCCCACCCCCGTGCCACGCGGGGCCACCCCCATCCGCGCAGCCCTGCGTCTGCCCCGAAGGTGGAGGCGCCGTGCGAGGGAGCCGCGAAACCCAGCACGCGGACGCAGCCGCCCGGGGCCGAGGGCGGCCACACGCTGGCCACTCCGAGCGCTCCGCCTCGGCCCCCGACTCACGGACTTGTTGTCATCGAACGCGTGCTCCTCGATCTCCTCCTCCAGCCGGTCCGCGGCCCGCCGCACGTCCTCCAGGATCTCGTCCAGCACCGACAGGCTCCGGTTCTGGTGCTGCGCGTGCTTCAGGGCCGCCACCTGGTGCTTCTCGGCAGCGAGCAGCTCCACGTACTCGGTCTCCTCCTGTGGCACGCAGGAGCCCAGAGAGAGGCTGGAGGGGCCGCGCATGGCCACGGCCCGGCCACCGGCCGCTGCCCACAAACATCCCGCCGCAGCTCCACGGCCGGAGCCCGATCAGGCAGCGAGGACGCGTGCCCGGTGACCCCCTAGGGGCTGGGTGCCACTCGTCTTTCCCGACAGACGTGACGCTTGGTTCTCTGGCCACAGGCTCTCTGCAGGAGGCAGTCTGACCTCGAGACCCCACGTCTCCCAGATGGTGCCAGAGAGGCGGGAGACAGCTACACTCCTGGCCGGGAGCAGGGGGGATGGAGGGAGGAGCTGACCACTGAGCAATGGCCACCACCGCCCACCTCTGGGTGCTCCAGGCCTCTGGGCCCGTGGTGTGGACGAGGCAAGCACCAGAGACGTGTGGCACGGGAGCTGGAGCCCAGAAATGCCACGTGCCCGTGTGGCCCCCGCAGACACAGCTCACGACCCGCCAGGCCAGGGGACCTGACCATGAGCAGAGGACGTGGGAAGCTGACGCCCACACCAAGCGGACAGGCAGTGCCGAGACCCCCCCGTGCCCGCAACCCTCTGCCCCCGGCATCACTTATGACCGTTTCTACTTCCATTGTTATTTCTGGGTTTGGGGCCACACTCTCACTCGGGGCCTGGGGGGCCCTGGGGACTGTGCTTGACCACATACACTGCAGCACGGGGCCCCTCCCCGTTCTCCCACCCCTCCCGCCATGCTTCTCTGCTTTTTCTTTCCTCTTTTTTTGGGGGGGCTACATCTGGGGGAGCTCGGGTCTAATTCCTGGCTCTGCACTTGTGGACCATTCCTGGCAGTGCTCAGGGGGCCGCGTGGGGAGCCAGATATCATACCTGGACTGGCCCTGTGAAGCAGCACCCAACCCTCTGTGCAATCACACCAGCCCCTTGCTGCCCTGCTTGCAAACTGCATCAGAACACCAGGGTCTTAGATGAAGAAAGAAAAGTTCTCACTCTTAAATTGCTTGGCACCCCAGAAAGGGTCTAAAGGATACCTTAGAAATTACACAAGTATCTCACAAGATATTGCAACCATTTCTCCCCATCAGTTGAAACGGTTTCATCAGGGGCTGGAGTGGTAGCACAGCGGAGAGGGCATTTGCCTCGTACCCAGCCAACCCGGGTTCGATTCCCAGTATCCCATGTGGTCCCCCGAGCACCGCCAGGAGTAATTCCTGAGTGCAGAGTCAGGAGTAACCCCTGAGCATCGCTGGTGTGACCCCAAAAGAAAAAAAAATTTCATCAAAAATTTTCATCAAAAAATACTTAACTCAAACACACATCTTTGTTTAAAACCAATTTTAACATTTCCAGCATGGTAAGAAGAAAGTAAACCTTCACACCAAAAAAGTTCTCAGAAACTCAGAATATTAACTATGATTAAATATCATAGGACCAGGACTCCGGCAGCCGAAGACCTCCAGAACCAGCCACCACCATGCTGAGACCACTCTCCACACGCATGAAGGTACCGGCAGAGGGACAAAGGCACGCGGGTCCCGAGGCTGAGATCTCCAAGCCTGCTCGGATCGGGGCTAAGTATCCTCCACCCAGATCCTCCACATTCCAGTAGGCGGGGGTCACACCCACCAACTGGCCCCCTGGCGCCGTGTAATCCCATCAACGGCCAAGACTCAGAGACTATAAAACCCAGCTCCCAGAAGTGCACGGACGCATTTGCATCCACACGACATCTTATTATCTCATTCCTACTTTGGACAAACTGGCAGGCTACCGAATGTAGCCTGCCCACACGGCAGAGTCTGGCAAACTCCCCGTGGCATACCCAATATGCCAAACACCAGTAACAATGATGGGTCTCATTCTCCTAACCCTGTAAGAGCCTTGAATATGGCACTTTAAAAAAAAAATCTCAGGGCTAGGACGAAGGAGACGTTACTGGGGCCTGCTCGAGGCAATCGACGAACAACAGGATGGTCATGATCGTGATTAAATATCTGTTTCCACAAGTCGGGCTCTACTGATCCTTCAAATTCCATAGAGCTGACATCCCAGAAGGAGCACACCAGATCAGATGGGAAAGTGACAGAAAAGCCAGCTAAACTCAACAAACAAAAACAGTACCACAGGGGCTGGAGCGATAGCACAGCAGGGAGGGCGTTTGACTTGCACGCGGCCAATTTGGGTTCGATTCCCAGCATCCCGTACGGTCCCCTGAGCACCACCAGGAGTAATTCCTAAGTGCATGAGCTAGGAGTAACCCCTGTGCATTGCTGGGTGTGACCCAAAATGAAAAAAACAAAACGAGGGGCTGGAGCAATAGCACAGTGGGTAGGGCGTTTGCCTTGCACGCAGCCGACCCGGGTTCGATTCCCAGCATCCCATATGGTCCCCAGAGCACCGCCAGGAGTGATTTCTGAGTGCAAAGCCAGGAGTAACCCTGAGCACTGCCGGGTGTGACCCGAAAAGCAAAAAAAAAAAAAAAAACGAAAACAGTAACACAGAGGCTCAACTAGCTAGCAACAAAGCGCTAAGTCAGTCCTCAGACGAGGACTTAGTAACCCCAAAATGAGATATACAATTTTCAAGCATTTTCTTCTTCTGAAGTATTTTTTGATAATCCTATTATCCATTTAGTTGTAACATGCAATATAAAATAATTCTGTGTCTGCTAAGGGGCAGGCCTCGAGGGTGGCTGGGGAAGGGGAGATGATGGTGGAGGAAGGTCAGTCTGGTGGTGGGCTGGGGCTGGAGCACTGAACGCCTGAATCTAAGTCTGAACTTGGGGGCCTGAGCGAGAGCACAGCAGGGAGGGCGTTTGCGTGGCACGCAGCCGACCCGGGTTCAATCCCCTGCATCCCATATGGTCTCCCAAGCACCGCCAGGAGTAATTCCTGAGTGCAGAGCCAGGAGCAACCACTGAGCACGGCTGTGACCCAAGGGGGAAAAACATCTGGCCTCTGGAAAGCAGAGTCTAAGAGACCTATACTACACAGGGCAGGCATCAACAGGAGGCTGTCTGCCGTCTCTCTGCAGGAGAGATCTGTCTGACCCACACATGGGGGGCTCTGTCCGTCCGTCTTTAGGAGGGTCTTGTCTGTCTGTAGGAGGGATCTGTCTGTCCGCCCACCTAAAGGAGGGAACCTGCCTGTCTGTCCACCTGTCTCTAAGTAGGATCTGGCTGTCTGTTCATCTGTAGCAGGGAATCCGTCTGTCTGTCCGTCTGCAGGAGGGCTCTGTCTGCCTGCCTGTCCATAAAAGGGAATCTACCTGTCTGTCCACCTGTCTAAAGGAGATCTGTTTGTAGGAATCTGTCTATCCATGTACAGGAGTGCTCTGTCTGTCCATCCGTCTGCAGGAGGGCTCTGTCCGTCTGTCCGTCCATCTAAAGGAGGGCTCTGTCCGTCTGTCCGTCCATCTAAAGGACGGTTCTGTCCGTCCATCCAAAGGAGGGCTCTGTCCGTCTGTCCATCCGTCTAAAGGAGGGCTCTGTCCGTCTGTCCGTCCATCTAAAGGAGGGCTCTGTCCGTCTGTCCGTCTGTCTTCAGGAGGGCTCTGTCCGTCTGTCCGTCCATCTAAAGAAGGGCTCTGTCCGTCTGTCCGTCCGTCTGCAGGAGGGCTCTGTCCGTCTGTCCGTCCATCTAAAGGAGGGCTCTGTCCGTCTGTCCGTCTGTCTTCAGGAGGGCTCTGTCCGTCTGTCCGTCCATCTAAAGAAGGGCTCTGTCCGTCTGTCCGTCCGTCTGCAGGAGGGCTCTGTCCGTCTGTCTGTCCGTCCACAGGAGGTCGTGGCACCCACCTTGATGGCCGCCTCCCTCAGGGCCTCGAGGCGCTTCCTGCTGCTCTCCTTCATGCTCACCACATCCTTGTAGTCGCCCTGCAGGGCCCGCTGCAGCCCGTGGATGGCCTGGAAGACGGACTTCTCACTCTCATTCAGTTCCTTCTGGAAAATCTCAAATGTGTGCACCTGGAAGATCTTCTCCTCGGCCGACAGGCCAGCGTCCTGCTCCACGGCCCGGATGGCCATTCTCAGCTTGCTGAGGGCCACGGACTTCTGACGCAGCAGCCCGGACAGCTTTCTGCACCGGCCGAGCGTCCACTGCCGGCCGTGCGCCAAGGCCACCCCGCGGCCCCGGTGCAGCTCGATGGCGTGCTGGGCGATCTCGGCGTGCTTCGCGGCACTCGCGGCCCAGGGCAGCAGCGGCAGCAGCAGGCAGAAGCAGGCCCTCCACGGCGCCTTCATGGTCCCCGCTGGCGCCCTCGCGGGGGCCGGACGACATCTCAGACGCGCAGCCTCAGCTGGAAGAGAGAGAAACGCAGTGTGGGACGATCATGCCAGAGCAGGTCGGTTGTTCTGAAGAAAGTGCCCTGTCCGTGGGGTAACAGAACACGCGCCCTTTATCGTGTCCGGATTACAACCCCCCATGAAAGGTCTGAGGCCTGGGCCAGGTGAGACGAGGGCCACGCTCAGCTACACCGACGCTTAAAAGGAGTCAGGCAACGGCACCGCTGGGTCCCCACCGCAGTGTAAGAGCAAACTGTTCTCCTGTCCAGCGGAGCGGACTACACGTGGAATAGGGTCTGGGGGCAGGAGGTGGACAGTGAGGGCCAGCTGAGGGCCGTGGGCGGGGCTGGGTCCTTGCACCCAGCAATATCCAGGAGTCGGGCAGGCACAGGACAAGGTAGGTTGGAGGGCAGCCACAGGGTCTGAGCGAGGCTGTCCCTGAAGCAAGCCACTGGCCACCTGCAGGCCAGGTCCGCAGACAGGCCAGAGGGAAACCACCCCAGCCACTGAGAGCCCAGCAAGCCCCCCCAAACCGGCCTCACGACCGTCCGGGTCACGCCAGGCCTGGTGCATGCACCTGGCTCCCCTGCTGCGTGGGGACGAGGGGTTCCCCGGGAGAAGAGCAGCCAAACCCCAGGACCGGGAGTGAGCAGCAGGTGAGGGCAGCTACAGCCAACAGCTGAGGACACAGGACAGGCAGGACTTCTCTACAAACCTGTAGAGTACGCAAAGCTCCTCTCGCACGGACTTCATTTCCTTCCAAAATTGACTGCTAGCGTCAGGGACTCTTGAGCTGTAACATGATTTTTATTTATGTATATATTGGATTTTTGTCTTTTGCCTTTGGGGTCACACCCGGTGATGCTCAGGAATCACTCCTGGCGGTGCTTGGGGGCCAGACGGGAGGCTGCCTTCCAGGCAAACGCCCTCCCCACTGGACTATCTCTGCAGCATAAACATGATTTTTCTTGAGTGAACAACAAACACTTTCCAGCTCCACTAATATTTTGCTATTTTACTGGTTTTTATTTTTTGGTTTCAGGGCTAAATCCAAAACCCTTTCAAAAACAAACAAAAAAAATCCCCAAAACCTTGAATGTATTGCTTTCATAATTTCAAAATGGCAATACTCCCCAAAGTATTACACAGATTCAATGCGATCCCTATAAGGATACCCATGACATTTTTAAAGAAATTGATCAAACATTCCTGAAATTCATAAGGAAAAATAAGCCCCCACAAATAGCTAAAGCAATTCTTGGGGGAAAAGTTGATGGGAGGAATCACCTTCCCCAACCTCAAACTGTACTACAAAGCGGAAGCAATCACTACTGGAATAAAGACAGACCCGCAGACCAATGGAATAGGGTTGAATATCCTAACACTGACCCTCAAATATGTGATCATTTGGCCTTTGATAACGGGAGCAAGAAATAAGAAGTGAAGCAAGGAAAGGGGCTTTAACAAGTGGTTCTGGGAAAACTGGACAGCCATATGCAAAAACCAAGGACTCAGACCTCTGTCTAATGCTATGCACAGACGTCAGTTCAAAATGGATTAGAGACCTCAACATCGGACCCAAATCCAGAAGGTACATGGAAGAAAATGTAGGCAAAATCCTTCACGATATTGAAGCTAACGGTATCTTCAAAGATGACACGCCACTGGCCAAGCAAGTGGAAGCAAAGATAAACAAATGGAACTACCTTAAACCGAGAAGCCTCTACACCTCAAATGAAACAGTGACCAGGATTCAAAGACAGTCTACAGAATGGGAAAAAATATTCACCCAGAACCCATTTGATAAAGGATTAATATCAAAGAGATACAAGGCACTGGTTGAACGCTAGAAGGAAATCACCTCCAACCCTATCAAAAAATGGGGAGAAGAAATGAACAGAAACTTTCTCAAAGAAGAAATTCGAATGGCCAAAAGGCACATGAAAAAATGCTCTTCAGAGGCTGGAGCAATAGCACAGCAGGTCGGGCGTTTGCCTTGCACGCAGCCGACCTAGGTTCGATTCTCAGCATCCCATATGGTCCCCCGAGCACTGCCAGGAGTAATTCCTGAGTGCATGAACCAGGAGTAACTCCTGTGCATCGCCGGGTGTGACCCAAAAAGAAAAAAAAATGCTCTTCAGGGGGCTGGAGCGATAGCACAGCGTGTAGGGCATTTGCCTTGCATGCGGCCGACCCAGGTTTGATTCCCAGCGTCCAATATGGACCCCCGAGCACCGCCAGGAGTGATTCCTGAGTGCAGAGCCAGGAGTAACCCCTAAGCCTCGCTGGGTGTAACCCAAAAGGAAAAAAAAATGCTCTTCATCACTAACCATCAGGGAGATGCAAATCAGATCAATGAGATGACATCTCACACTAGAGACTGGCACACATCCAAGAGATCAAGAGCAGAGGCCAGAGCGATAGCGGGGAGGGTGTTGCCTTGCACGTGGCTGACCCGGGTTCAATCCCCCCATCCCATCGGTCCTCCACACACCACGAAGAGTAATTTCTGAGCGCAGAACCAGGACTAACCCCTGAGCATCTCTGCGTGTGACGCAAAAAAAAAAAAAAAAAAAAACAGAGCAAGAACAACCAGTGCTGGTGCAGGCAGGGGAGAAAGGGACTCTCCTCCATTGCAGGGGGGAATGCCGACAGGTCCAGTTTTTTTTTGGAAAACAACATGGACACTCCTTTAAAAACTAGAAATTGGGCTCACATTTGACCCAGCAACACCACTCCTGGGAATATACCCTGGGGGCCCAAAAACGTGCGGCAGAAACACTGCCGGCACTCCCGTGTTCATGCAGCACTGTTCACTGAGGCCAGAATCTGGCAGCAACCTGAGTGCCCAAGAACAGACGACTGGAACGTCTGGAGAAACTGGCACGTCTGCACAGCGGAATACCACGCAGCCATTGACACGAGAAGTCAACAAGTCTGCCTTTACACGAATGGACATGGGGAGCATCAGGTTGAAATGAGTCAGAAACAGGAACAGAACAGGTACAGAATGACTGCATTCGTCTGCAGGCTATGATACCCAGCTGAGGGTGTCTGTCACTGTAATTCCATTTAAAAAATAAACTGATGGGAAAATCGAAAGCAAAGGGATGGACATGGAGAGCATCACATGCTGAGTGAAGCAAGTCAGAGGAGAGGGACAGGCACAGAATGACTGCGCGTTTCTGGGACAGGAAATACACTGTAGCACCGTCCTCCCACTGCTCATTGGTTTGAGCGGCCCAGTAGCATCTCCATCGTGAGACTTGTTGCTACTGTTTGGCTTATGAATACCTCAAGGGTGGCTTGCCAGGCTCTGCGGTGAGGCCGAAACACTCCCGGTAGCTTGCCGGCTCTCGGAGGGGCGGAGGAACCGAACTAGGGTCGGCCAGGCCGCGTGCAAGGCAAACGCCCTACCACCGTGCTACCGCTCCAGCCCATCTGGTGGAAGGCTGGTGTCCAAGGCCAGGCCAGGGAGGGACTAGAAGGACTGGTCAGTGGCTGGAATCCACCAGGCGTGCGTGGGGGGCGGCGGGCAGGTAAGATAGAGAACGGACCGGAATGACCACGGTCGTCGGAAATGGTCAGGCTGGACCAGAACTGGGTGTTAACAGGTAAAGGGACACACAGGATGACCTTCGGGTGTCTGCACTGCCGCCCACAAAGCCCCGAGAGAGCGGGAGGGGCGGGGGGCTGGGGCGAAGCACCTGCCCCAGAGGCAGGCAGGGGTGGAGGCCGGGAGGGCACCCGGGGACGCGAAACGTCCCTGGGGAGGGGCGCTGGGGCCCCGCGTGACCCAGACCTGCCCGCGAGCAGCCAATAGACAAACCTTAAGAGAAGGAAAGAAAAAGCACGTGCTCGGCGCAGACCCCTGCGCCCACCCCCGGGCACTGCGTCCCCACCCGTCCCACCCGGGACAGTCTGCGCCCTCGCCTCCGGAGGAACCAGGATGCGGGTCCGGGAGGGTCCGGGAGGGCTCGGGAGGGTCCGGGAGGGGGCGGGGAGGGTTCGGGAGGGACCGGCAGGGTCCGGGAAGGGCTCGGGAGGGCCCGGGGCGGCCGGGCGCTCACCTGGACGGCCCTGGGCGCTCCCGACCCGGGTCCGAGGGCCGAGCGCGACAGCCCGGCATCCCTTCCGGACGGCGGAGGCCCGCGGGACGGGCACCGGGAGGGCCCAGAAGGGCCGGGCGCGAACGCCGCGGGGCCGCGCAGAACGACGCGGCGCCTTTAAGGGGCGGGGCCGGCGGGGCCGCGCTGCACGCCGGGAATTGTAGTTCCGCGGCCGCCCGGCGCCCTCCGGCGGGAGTCGCGGGGCCCTCGCGGCGGGTCCCGGGCGGCGGCGCGCGGAGCTCGGGGTCGCGGGGCGGGGGTCGGGGCCGGGGCGCGTCCCTTGGCCCCGGGCCCCCTCGGCCCCCGCCCCCGCCTGTGCCGGGCCGTGGGTCGGACGGCCCCGTGCGCTGCGCGCGGCCGGCGCGGAGAGCGGGATTGGCTGGACTGGGGCAGGACCCCGGCCCGCAGCGCTGGGGGGCGCCTCTGTCCCCTGCCTGTCGCTGAGAGGGTCTCAGCTGGGGCGGGCCGGCGGGCATCCCGGGCCCGGTCAGTGCCGCGCTGCCCACAATGACCTCGGCCCCGCGCGCAGTGCCCGTGGCCGGGGGCTCCCGCGCTAGAGCCCCCCGCCCGCCCCTCCAGGGGCTCCCCGAGGCGGGGTCCAACGAGGGTCCTACGGAGAGCCCTGTCGAGCCTCCCTTGGCGCCTGCTGGGGCACCTCACCCTCTGCAGTGGCTCTCCCCCTCCTGGGTTCTGGGGGGCTCTCGGGTCGCGTGGCTCGTGGGATCCCGTGGCTCGTGGAGTCCCGTGGCTCGTGGGGTCCCATGGCTCTCAGGGTCCCTGTGGCTTTCGGGGTCCCATGGCTCATGGGGTCCCGTGGCTCATGGGGTCCCATGGCTCTCGGGTCCCGTGGCTCGTGGGGTCCCATGGCTCTCAGAGTCCCTGTGGCTCTCGGGGTCCCATGGCTCATGGGGTCCCGTGGCTCATGGGGTCCCATGGCTCGTGGGGTCCCATGGCTCTCGGGTCCCGTGGCTTGTGGGGTCCTGTGGCTCTCGGCATCCCTGTGGCTCTTGGGGTCCCTGTGGTTCTCGGGGTCCTGTGGCTCACAGGGTCCTGTGGCTCTCGGGGTCCCGTGGTTCATGGGGTCCCGTGGCTCTCGGGGTCCCGTCGCTCTCAGGGTCCTGTGGCTTGTGGGGTCCCGTGGCTTTTGTGGTCCCTGTGGCTCTCGGGGTCTCATGGCTCCCAAGATCCCGTGGCTCTCTGGGTCCCATGGCTCTTGGGGTCCCATGGCTCTCAGGATCCTGTGACTCTCACGGTCCCGTGGCTCATGGTGTCCCATGGCTCTCGGGCCCTGTGACTCCCAGGGCCCCTCTGACCGCAGGTCCCTGTGACTTGTGGGGAAGTCTGCAGCACAGCTGTGGGGTTTGGGGATGGCCTGGGGAGAACTGGCCATCTCGCCACAGGGAGGCACTCCCCATGACTGGTGAGCACCCGGCTCCTGGCAGAGATGTTCTCTGCATCTTTTTAATTAAAACTTCACAAGATTGTTGACAGTGATTGATTACATTCAATATTCCAGCACCAATCCCACCACCATTATTTCGAGTGTTCCCACCACCATCCAAGCTGTCCAACAGGGCTGGATGCTACATATTTCTATTATGAATATCATGAGAGGTCGTGCTTCTGGAATTCTAAAATTGTGAACGGTTGGGGTCCAGAGACATCTCTGTAGGGAGCTAATCCGTTCAGATTAATTTGGCAATCTCTGGATCAAGGTCATTGATGGGCTGAGATGGTTCCTGGAGGCAGATCGTGGGAATGACAGCCAGGACCCCACGGGGTGGGGAGACAGAGAGGGGAGGGATGGCCCGTCTCCACTGCCGCCACGAGGTCTGGGGTCTTGGTCCCTGAACCCACGTACCTGGGTTTTTCTTCTGGAAGCTCGTGGCGCACCAGCTCCATCGGAGGGGCCCTGAGGGAATTGGCATGGCATGGGGTCAGAGACATCTCTGGGAGAGATCTCTCGGAGACACTCTGGGAGCTGCTGTCTTCCGGGATTCACTGCCGCATCTCTGAATCCTCTGCGTGTCTGACAGACTCCAGCATCTGCGCTGTTCTGTTCGTCCCTGGCGTCCTCTTAAATCCCGGCTTTAAACTATTGAATATTGTATATAAATTCACACATTTGTGTATTTGTTTCACTTAGGCTTTGGTTTTGTTTTTTGTTTTTGTGAATTTTTTTTTTGCTTTTTTTTTGGGGGGGTAATGCTCAGGGGTTACCCCTGGTTCTGCACTCAGAGAGCTCGAGGACCCTATGGGATTGCCAGGGCTCAAACCCTGGTGGACCACATGCAAGGCAAACGGCCTACCTGCTGTGCCCTGGCCCCTCCCTTAGGCTTTGAGCTAATAAGCTGATAGTGACCCCGAGGGTTGTCCCCTCATCCTGCCCCACCCCTCCTGCCCTGCAGGGAGCTGTCCACGGCCCCGTCCTCCCTGAAACTCGCCGACTGTCCTGTTCTGCCAGGGTGTGCAGCAGGGCAGCGTGTCCCAGCAGTGCTGACAGCCCGTCTGGGTGCTGTCAGCTAGCCCGCCGGATGACAGCTCTGCAGAGTGTCCTTCTCCCTAATGACAGCTGGCACATTCCTGGGGCTTGTCCACACCCACCCCTCAAAGATGCCATGGAGACAGGCTGTGCCCAGCAGAGCCTCGAGGAGCTGCCACCGTGTCGGGTGAACGGCCCGTGGGAGCAGCCGGGGAGCCCGGGGGCCCAAGGCTGTGGAAGAGCATGCAGCCCCCAGGAGACAGGCCGGAGGGGCGGAGCACTGCGGGGGCATGTGCTGGACGGGGCAGTGGGACGAGGACCTGCCCAGGGCTGCAGGGAGGCAAGAGCAAAGTCCAAAAATGGAAAACAAACGCCGGCACAGATAAGCACCAGCTGGCTCAGACCCTTGGAGGGCTCCGCGGGGTGGGGGGGGGGGGAGGGGGGAGGGGGCTTACGATAATTTTATTTTTGCTTTTTCCGGGGGGTGGGGGTCATACCCAGCAATGCTCAGGGGTTACTCCTGGCTCTGCACTCAAGAATCACTCCTGGAGGTGCTCAAGGGACCTTAGGGATTGAACCTGGGTGAGTCGCACACCAGGCACGCGCCCTCCATGCTGTCTCATCACTCTGGCCCCAGGACATTCAATGATTTTTTTTTTCATTTTAGGGGGCTGGAGCGATAGCACAGCCCGTAGGGCGTTTGCCTTGCATGCAGCCAACCTGGGTTCGATTACCAACATCCCATAGGGTCCCCCAAGCACCGCTAGGAGTGATTCCTGAGTGCCTGTTCTGAATACCTGAGTTACTCCAGGAGTAACCCCTCAGCATCACTGTGGGGGGGACCCAAAAAAATCAAAAAAGAATTTATTTTAGGTTCCTTGATGTATAATACTGGTAAAGGCAGGGCTTCGTAAAAGCATTCCGCCAGCCACCCTCCCCCAGACCCTCACTCTCCTGCCCCACCCCAGTCTCCTACTCAAGACCACCTCTGAGCACTTGCTGCCCCTTGCTGTGCACGTACAAGGAAGAGCATTCTGTGTCTGTCAATCTCCTGACACTCGCTCAGCATAACAGTCACTGGATCGTTTTGCAACTTTTATGCTGAGTTGTAAAATTAGACCCCATATACTCTGGTGCACCGTCCTGTAGGGTCACACCTAGCACAGCTCGGGAACAACTGTGCTGTCAGCTGGTTTTCGAGGTTGGAGAGCTCAGTGACTGGAACCCAACTCCTTCCCCACATCACGTGGTCCCCCACATACAGGACCGGGGTAGCCCCTGAGCACTACGGGGCGTGGACCCCAAACCAGACCAAAGGGGAAGGTGATTGTTTGGGGTTGGAGGTCACTCCGGAGGCAGAGCACCTGCTGTCCTCTGCTCCGTTGTGGCCCTATAAAAATGCCCAGAAGACATCCAGAGAGGAAAGGCAGATGCCAAGCTCTTACTATTTGTGGATGACTTGATGCCATATTTAGAAAAGCCTAAAGACTACAAAAAAAAAAAACTCCTAGAAATAATAGACTTGTATAGCAAAGTGGCAGGTTATAAAACTAATAAGCATAAGTCCGTGGCTTCCCTATACACAAATAATGAAAGAGAAGAAATATTTTTAAAGGGAAAAAACAATCCCATTCATAATTGTGCTTCAGAAAATCAAGTACCTGGGAATTAGCTGACTTAAAGAGGTGAAAGATCTACAAAAGCAAACTACAACTCCCACTTCAAGAAATAAAAAGGGCATGAGGAAATGGAAACACACGCCCTGCTTGTGGATCAGGAGGTTAACATCATTACAATGGCAGTACTCCGCCAAAGCACCGTACTGATTCAACACAGTCCCATATAAGGATACCCATGACATTTTCCAAAGAACTGATCAAACACTCCCGAAACTCACTGGAACAACACCCCACCCCCACCCTGAAAAGCTAAAGTAACCCTTGAAGAAAAGAAGATGGGAGGCTTCATTTTCCCCAGCATCAAACTGTATGACAAAGTGACAGTAATTTGGACCAGAGTGATAGGACAGCAGGCAGGGCACTTGCCTTGCACTTGGCCGACCCAGGTTCAGTCCCCAGCACTCCATATGATTCCCCGCGCACCGCCAGGAGTAACTCCTGAGTGTGGAACCAGGAGTAACCCCTGAGCACCACCAAGTATGGCCCGAAAACAAAACAGAGAAAGAGAGAGAGAGAGAGAGAGAACAAAGTGGCGGTAATTAAAACATCATGGCACTGGAATAGAGACCCTCAGATCAATTAAATAGAGTTGAATATCCTGAGACGGCCCTCGGGTATATGATCAATTCATCTTTGATAAAGGAACAAAAAATATGAAGTGGAAAAAGAAGAAGAAGAAGAACAACAACAACAACTCTGACTTCTTTCTAACACCATGCACAAAAGTCAAATCAAAATAAAGACTTTGATATCATGTGCGAATCCGTGAGGTACAAAGAGGAAAACATAGGGAGAACTCTCCATCACGCTGAAGCTAAAAGCATTATCAGGAAGAAACATCACTGACCAAGCAAGTGGAAGCGAGGATAAATGAATGCGATTACATTAAACTAAAAAACGACAGCTAGGATACACAGGCAGCCCATGCAATGGGAAAAATTATCTACCCACACTCATCTGATGAGGCGTTAATATCCAAGATCTATAAGGCACTGGCAGCACTTACAAGAACATCCAACCCTATCCAAAAGCTGGAGAATAAATGAACAGAAACTTACTCAATGAAGAAATATAAATGGCCAAAATGCACATGAAAAAACGCTCCACATCACTTAGAGAGATGCAAATCAAAACACAGATATCATCTCGTTTCACAGAGACAGGCACACACCACAAAGAAGTGTTGGCATGGATGCAGGGAGAAATGAAGACTCATTCACTGCTGATGGGAATGCTGACTGGTCCAGCCTTTCTGGGAAACAGTAAGGACATTCCATAAGAAACAAAACTTAAAAAAAACAATGTTGGAGGGAAGGTGACAGTGGTGGTGGAATTATAAACTGCTGTGTTTGAGATAAAGTATGGGAAGAAATTTTTTAAAAACCTTGAAATTGAACTTCCATATAACCCAGCGATACTACTCTTGGGAATATGCTCTAATTGTCAAAAAACACAATGCAGGGGCTGGAGCGATAGCACAGCGGGCAGGGTGTTTGCCGTGCACGCGGCCGACCCGGGTTCAATTCCCAGCATCCCATATGGTCCCCATGGGCACCTCCAGGAGTAACTCCTGTGCAACGCCGGGTGTGACCCAAAAAGAAAAAAAATGCAGAAAAGCCATCTACATTCTTGAGTTCATTGCAGCACTGTTCACAATAGCCAGAATCTGGAGAAGCAGAATCAACTGCCAAGAACAGACAACTGCATAAAGAAACGATGGTACCTCAAAACAGTGGAATACTACGTTGCCACCAGGAAAAACCAAGTCATGAAATTTCCTTATCCATGAATGGATCTGAAGAGTATCGTGCTGAGTCAGAGGGAGAAGGACAGACATAGGATGGTTGCCCTCATTTGCGGGATAGAACTAATACTCAAAGGCAGTAGAAACGAGGGCCTGGAGGCCGGTCCACGGTAGGAAGCTTGTGGGGCGAGTGCAGTTAAGACAGAGAAGGGACCACTGTGACAATGATAGTTGGAAATGGTCACTCTGGACAAGAAATGAGCACCGGAAGGGGGTAAAATGACATACGTGATGACCTTTCGGTAAGAGCACTGCAAACCAGAGTGTCTGAAAAGAACAGAAGCAGCAGCAAAAGCAGCAGCGAGAGAGAGAGAGAGAGAGAGAGAGAGAGAGGGAGGGAGAGAGGGAAATGAGGGATGGAGGGAAACTGGGGACGCTGATGGTAGAAAACAAACTCTGGTGAAGTGTTGAATATTAACCCCAAGGGTTTGGGGCTTCATCAGTGAACTGCCCCTTTTCCTCCCCACCAGAGAAGCTCACAGTGCTCTTCGGAGCACTCTAATCCCCTGAGTTTAACTTTTCCTTCATGCTTCACCTCCCATTCTGGCAGCTACTAATTCCCCCAAGTCAAGCTTGGTTACTAATGAAGTCAAACCTTCTGGTGACTCTGGACTCTGTGTCTGTGGTGAATTACGGGCTTTTCTCTTTCTCCTATAACCTCTCCATATTTTGCTTGAGAGCAGTGTTCTTTGCTTAAACAGAGATGCCGTTAATGCTGTGCTCCTGATGCCTGGGAGTTGATTGACTCTGAAATAGACCTACTCCTGGGCACTCGTCGTGATCACTTGACTCAGGCTTCAGTTGCTGTAGTTCCCAACACCCCCAAAAGCTGAGTCCCACCGGAGGATCTCCAGAAAGACCCAGGGCAAGTAGCAAAGCCACCCTGGCTTCTCTATGGAACAGTCTAGAAATCATAAAGCACAGTCTAGATACAGCCCGTAATGGTCTAAAAGACTGGACCCTCTGGGGTAGGAAATGCTAAACTGGCCTGAGAACTTAGTCTGGGCTTTACGGTAAAAGCCGTGCTTGCTCGTGGAGCCCAGAGAACTAAGGTTTGGAATCCATATTTCTTACTGTGTTTATCCAAATAACTGTACATACTAATAAGAAGGAAACTTAACCGTTTAATATGCACTAGCAGGGGCAAGAGCAATAGCACAGCGGGTGGGGCGTTTGCCTTGCACGCGGCCGACCCGGGTTCGATTTCCGGCATCCCATATGGTCCCCTGAGCACCACCAGGGCTAATTCCTGAGCGCAGAGCCAGGAGTAACCCCTGAGCATCGCTGGTGTGACCCAACAAGAAAAAAGAAAAAGCACTAGTAGCAAGGGAAAGAAAAAAGCAATATAGATGGACTGTCACCCGGGACACAGAGCATCTCCTTGAGTTAATCCCCCCGAAGAATTACCTCTGTCGAAACGCTTTACCCCTAAATGATGAGCCACGCCTACATGCAGACCTGTACCTCGAACCCCCTCAGATTCTCCACAACAATGTTATTTGGTTCTGAATTGAACTGGCCATTTGACCAGCAGTCTGTGGTCCCCGTCTCTTCATTCCTCCACCGGGGACGGGGAGGTGAATGCATCGTACCAAGAGACCCCGGACACACCAACAGACCTGGCACATTCTCCCTCACGTGTGGCGTCCCTGAACCCTGCACGACTGAAACTCAGTCCTGAACACCTTTTAACTTATCTCATGGTGATTTAATCGTAAAATACCGTTAAAACCTGGTGCTCTGTGTGAGGGACTGAGGGGAGAGGGTGCAAGGAAGGGGGTGTGGGCAGAAACGCCTCCTGGAAGGTCCGTGTTGGGCCTTTGGGGCGCTCTGTGCTGGGGACGCCCCCCCCAGGTGCCTGTGGAGCCGTGGTGAGGTGCCGCGTGGCTCTGCCTGGCGCACTGTGGAGATCCCCCAGCACAGCACGGGTGCAGTGTGGACCCCTGCCCGGGTGCTGCGTGAGGGGGACACAGCCCACTTGGGGGGGCCAGCACAGAGCTGACCAGACCTGTGCAGGAACCGACCTGGGCGTGGGCGGGAGCGAGTGCCCAGACCGGGCAGGCCCACGGGGTCCCTTTGCACCAGGCTCTGGAGAAGCTGCTCTCGGCGGTGCCCAAGAGGCCACATGGGTGCCTGGGGTGGACAGCGGCTGGCCACCGGACAGGCAAGCACCTTAACCCTGTGCTCTCTGGGCCCGGGAGAAAGGGCTTGTGCACATGCAACCTCTCCCTCCTGATGGGGTGTGAGGGAGCCACAGGACCCGTCCATCTCGGGGCGAGCTGGGTGCGCTTGGCGGCCGGGGCCCAGCAGTCTTTGTCTAGGTGGGAGTGCAGGGTTGAGGTCCAGGCGACACTGGGGCCTCGCGAGTGGCCCTGGCGTGGTCCTGGTGTGCAGGGGTGTCAGTATAACTGAGAGAGGGCAGGGCCAGCGTGGAGGGCTGGGACAGCCCCAGGAGGCTGGCTGAGGAGGACGGCCACACTCCAGCCACACCGAGGGGGTGACCCCAGGGCCAGGCTCCCATTGGAGGCTCCGGAGGGCAGGCGGGGCTGTCGGCCTCTGTGGGCAGCTGACGGCCGCTCTGGCCAGGACAGCGGCTGCGGCGCGGGGCTCGAGCTGCTGCCGGCTATGGAGGCGTTCCAGGCTGCGATGCTGCTTGGGGGCGTGGGGGATGCCCTGGGCTGCAGGAACGCCCGCCCTGAGAGCAGCGCGGGGGGAGGCAGGGCCCAGGACGAGCTGCAGCGCCTCGGAGGGCTGGACCACCTGGTGCTGTCCCCAGAGACCTGGCCGGTGAGCGAGAACACCATCATGCACATGGCCACGGCTGCGGCGCTCACCACAGGTAAGGGCGGGCGGCGGGCGCGGGGGGCCGCTGCTCACAGCTCTCGGGCTCACTGCCGCATCCCAACTGCACCACAGGGACCCGGGCTCTGTCTCCGAGGCTGGGCTCAGTGGCACTCCGTGGCTCCCCACAGGAGCCTCGGCGCTACCCCCAGGGAGCACAGGAGGGGGCACCTGGGCTCTGCACCCCTGGGGGCCGGTGGCTTGCTGCGGTCTCTGCCATCCAGGGAAGCCTGAGCACAGCTGCACCCAGAGGCGTCTGCCAGAGAGGGGAGGAACTCAGGAACCCAGAGTGCCGGGCTGGCTGGAGGCCGGAAAGACCCAGACTGCACAGGGTCCCGGGACGGCGGGTACGTGCACCCGGGCTCAGCCCGCGTGTGTACCTGCGCTCAGCCCTCCTGGGCCCTCGCTGGGAAGTGCCGCTCCAGGGTTAGCTCTGCGGTCACCGCTGAGGAATGCACCGGCCCACTGGGCCCCAGGCGGCAGGAGGGCGCAGCTGAGGACAGCAGGATCAGGTGTCCTGCTGACGATGACCTGCTCCCTGGTTTAGCACTGCCCCTCTGCTACAGTGGCCCGGCCCTGTCACCCGCACGCGTGTGCCGACTGCCTGGCTGCATCTCTCTCCTGCCGCTGAGCCCTGCAGAAGGCTCCACTCCAGGGGGTCCCCAGGACGGTCACTGCACCACAAGCGAGAGGGGAGGGGGTCCCCTCTGCACAGACTTGCAGAAGGAGCTGCTCTTGGCAGCCACATGTGCAGGAGGGGACACTGGCCGACACCTGGCACACTGACCACGGGACCCACAGGCAGGTGGAGGTGGCTGCATGCTGTTCTGATCTCACGGGATCCTCCTGCATGCCCCCTACATACACACACTCAAATCACTGGCAATGACACACACACAGTCAACACACTCACAATCACACACATTCACACACCCCTGCACACACACATATCCTTGGAAAACCCCATTTCTGCACTCACACCCTTCCATCCCCCCACACTCACTCACACACACATCCCTGCAACCCGATGCATCCCCCAAACATGCCACATGCCCCCTCACATCCCTGGACAACCTACACACACACACACACACACACACACACACACACTGCACCTTACTCCAGACAAAGGCACGAAGTTGCTCACCAGGCCAGGCCACACTGTGACCCAGGCTGGCCCATGTCCTGGTACTGCCTCTGCCCCAAAGTCCAGCACAGGCAGACCCACTGGGGCCCGTGGGCCACAGTCCCTTCCACCGCTGGCAGGCCAACTCCCGGAGTGGGCCAGACTTGAACACACCAGCCCCAGGGGAGGCCTGGAACAGGGTTAGTGTCCAGGAGTGGGGCTGGAGTGGTGTCCGCAAGGAGCAGTACCAGAGGGGTGAGCAGGTGTCCGGGGAGGGAACGCTCACTCACTGCCTCCCTGTGGGGGCAAGGATGTGTCCAAGGGGGCCCCAATGCCTGCCAGGCTCCCTGTGGGGCTCCACACTGTTTCCTGGTGACGCGCTCACCCCTCCTCACCTGCATGTGCTCAGGGCATCCGGAGGCAGGGGCTCTGGGTTAAGGCAGGTGTTCATACCTGTGGCGTGAGGGCCTCAGAGCCACCAGCCCCCTTGTCTCACAGGGGACCGCTGAGCCCAGCTGCCAGGCTCTACAGCGTGTTCGGGTTTTGCACACATGTTCCTGCGTGTATGTGCAGGTGTGTACATGTGTGTGGCATACACGGGTGTGTGGGTATGAGCACCCATGTGCATGCCTTGTGGGTGTGTGTTCATGTCATGTGGGGTCTATGTGCACGCGGGTGTGTATTACATGCGAAGTGTGCACACACGTGCACATGCATGTCTGTACATTCGTGCCTTGTGTAGATCTGCGCCTTGTGTACATGCATGTGTGCATGAGCACTGTCTGCGCCTGTCTGTGAAGGTGTGTATGGGTGCACGTGTACATGTGCACCGTGTGCCTGTGTCTGCACTTGTATGAGGGCATCTGTACCTGTGAACTCTGTGCCAGCGTGTATGGAAACGAACACTGTGCCTGCATGTGCACACGGGTATGGGTGCTTTTACGTGTGAGCAGTATGTGCCAGTATGTATAGGATCATGCAAGTGAGCAATGTGAGTGTCTGCATGTGCATATGGGTACGTGTGTACACATACATGAACACTGTGCTTGCATGCGCACACATGTATGGATGCGTCTGTACGTTGAGCAGTGCTGCCTGTACGTATGGGAACATTCAAAGGAGCACTCCTTGTGCCCACATGTGCTCTTTGTCTGGGTGCGTGTGTACACGTACTGGTGCGCTGTGTGCCTGAGTGTGCACATGGAAGTGCCTGGTGTACATGCGAACTGTGTGTCTGTCTGTTCAGTGTGGATGGTTCATATACACATGTACATGTGTGCCTGTGTACATGTGCGTTGTGTGTACCTCGGTGTATGGGTGCGTAGGTACATGTGCATTGTGCCTGTCTGTGTGTGGATGCATGTGTGTCTACGTGCGTGGGTGCATGTGTACATGTATATGGGCACTGTGCGCGCGCTTGTGTGCATGGACGCGTGTGCACTGTGTGCCTGCGTGTGCATGTGTATGGGTCACCTTGTGCGTTGGTGTATGTACAAATGTGCCTCTTGTCTGTATGCACGTGCCTGGGTGCCCGTGAATCCTGTGCGTGCACGTGTATGTGTGTGCAGGCGTGGGCCCCTGACACAGGAGCTCGTGTCACTTTGCTCAGAGGGGCTCCCCTCGGGGCAAAAGCGATTTCGGAGGAAAAGGGCCCGTGCGGGTGTCGGCAGCTGCTTCCCATTCCACCCTCAGGCAGAGCCCGTTCAGGTTCTTGTCACCCCGAGGCACAAGCCTGCATGTTCGGGTGCATGCCAGCCCCTGCCACACACGCCCGCCCCAGAGTTGGGTTCTGTGCCCGCAGCACCCACCTGTTGCAGCCCAGGGTGGGAGGCTGAGGCCCCTGCCCCCAACTCTGCACAAGGGGCAGGACCAGACAGAACCTACTGAACGTGTGCAGGATGGTGCCTCGCAGTCCCCTGCCGGGACGGGCTCAGAGGCCCGTGGCCTGGGGTCACAGAAGGCTCAGGACTGCCTTGCCGGCCTGTGGGCCCTCGCCTGGGGAGAAGCCGCGGCACAGGGAGGCGGCGGGGCAGGTCTGGGCTGCTCTGGCCGGCGCCCACCCTGCGCTGGGGCGCGAGGTCAGCCCTGCTCCCGCGGGGGCCCAGGCACGGGGCTCCTGCCGGAGCTGAAGGCTCCAGAACTTTCCTCATGGGACACCCCACCCCACCCCAGACTACTGGTGCCTGGATGACCTGTACCGCGAGATGGTGACGCGCTACGTGGAAATCCTGGAGAAGCTCCCACAACGCCAGGCAGACCCTGCCACCGCGCAAGGCTGCGCCCAGCTGAAGCCGCACAATCACCTGCTGGCCTGGCACACGCCCTTCAACGAGAGGGGTGAGGGCGGGGGGAGGAGGGGCCCGCGGGGAGGGGGCAGGTCCGAGGGCCGGCCGGCAGGGAGGCGAGCGGCCTCGCAGGCCGGCCCTCTGTCTCGCAGGCTCGGGCTTCGGGGCGGCCACCAAGGCCATGTGCATCGGCATGCGCTACTGGCAGCCGGCACGGCTGCACACGCTGGTGGAGGTGAGCGTGGAGTGCGGGCGGATGACCCACAACCACCCGACAGGTAGGTGGGCGCGGAGGAGCCCGCGGGCCGCAGGGGGCCGGGCGAGGCCAGGCCCGCCCCGCCCCGCCCTCAGGCCCCGCCCCTCCCCTCCCGCCCGCAGGGTTCCTGGGGTCCCTGTGCACCGCCCTGTTCGCCTCCTACGCGGCGCAAGGGAAGCCGCTGGCCCGCTGGGGCAGGGACATGCTGCGCTCGGTGCCCCTGGCCGAGGAGTACTGCAGGCGGAGCATCCGGCACCTGGCAGGTGAGGCCGCCCGCCCCGGGAAGGCCACGGGTGGGCAGCCCCCACCCGCGCACGCGTGTGCACACACGCTAGCACACACGCTCACACGAATGCACACGCACACATGCTGACACACACACACTCACAGACAGACACCCGCCCACATAGGCTCACACCCACTCACCCACACAAAAGCACAAACCCACACTCACACGGACACAGACACACACAGCCTGCTCGAGCTGTCGGGGGCTCCGACGTGGCCGTGCACAGCAGGGCGGTCAGCCTCCGCCCCAGGCGGCCCAAGGAGGGGCACTCAGGGGCGCCCACGGGGAGGGGCCAGCACTGCAGGAGCCTCAGCGCGGTGGCCTGGAGTTCCGAGACCTTCTGGGCCTTTCCTTCCCGGCCACGCCACGCCCAGCCCAGCAGCATCAGACCGCTTCAGGCGAAGCAGGGCCCAGGGCTGGCCCAGCGACTCCAAGGCCTCAAGCCAGTCAGCAGCAAAGCCACCAGTCTGGGGGCACCTGCAGGGTCCCCAGCCTCGGCACCGCGCCAGCCCCTGCCAGCCGTCCCAGGGCCACCCTCGGGCTGCGCTACTCAGTGCAGGGCCCCTCCCCCGGCAGATGGACGGGTGCAGGCCCCCGCTGTGGCACCCGCACTCCTCAGCACAGGAGGAGCAGGAGTCCAGCACTCGGGGGCTTGCACGGCCTCCACTCACATCACACTTGCCCAGCGTCCCCCGCCCAGGGCTCCCGGCCCAGTGCTGGCCTCACCTGCCCACTTCTCCCAAGCAGAGTACCAGGAGCACTGGTTTTACTTCGAGGCCAAATGGCAGTTTTACCTGGAGGAGAGACACATCAGCGAGGACACGGGGAACGAGGCTGTCTTCCCCGAGCACTACGACGCCGAGGAGAGAGACAAGGTGAGCCGGGCGGACAGGCGGGGAGGACCTGCGCGCCCAGAGCCCACGCGGACAGCCTGGCTGCCGTGGCCCCGCAGGGAAGGAGCTGTGCCAGGGGCCCGTGGGAGGACAGGGGGCCGTCACCTTCCCCGCGCGCTCTGACTGCAGCACGGGAGGTTGGTCCCTCTTATGTCTTCCTGCTGGGCCCAGGGAGGAGACCAGAGTCACGCGGACCACCGGGCCTCGTATGAAAATGCCCTAGACTGGCTGAGAGTCCAAGGGATCGTGTCAGTAGAGACGAGACCCATCAGAACTATGGCCCATCTGGGCGAGAGGCAGAAAGTCTGTGCGGAAAGGATGGCGCAGCACTCCAGGCCCTGGGGGAGAGGTGGGGCTCATCCTGCCGGGAGTCAGCCTACAGCAGGCATGCCTCCACGCAAGGCGGCTGCTCCAGCTCCAGCCATCACATGCTGCCTTCCATGCGTCGGGAAGGAGGGCGCACCTTCTCCTCTGAGCTGCTTCCTGCAGCCCTTCCATCTCCCTTTCCTGGGCCTCCCCCGAGTGCGGGAAGATAAAGCTCTTCAGTGGTCACGATGTACCATAAACTGGCCTATCACAACCCAGAGTCTGAGCTGCAGGGGGCCCGGGCGCCCCGTCCTGTCAGTCTGTCTCCTGTCCTCTCCCCCTCTGTCACACATGTCACCTGCAAAGGCTGTCCCCTGGGCTGACCCTCACTCAGGTCCTTCCTGCTTCCTTGCACCTGGCTGGAGCCCACAGGTGCTGCGGGCAGGGGAGGGTGCCAGGCCCTGCTGGGCTCCCGGCACCCGGTAGCACTGAGGCACGGCTCTCCCTCCAGACCTACAAGAAATGGAGTTCGGAAGGTCGCGGTGGACGGCGGGGACACGATGCCCCCATGATTGCGTACGACGCGCTCCTAGGGGCTGGGGACAGCTGGACAGAGCTGTGCGAGCGCGCCATGTTCCACGGAGGTGAGAATGGGCGGCCTCGGTGGGGGTAGCCCCCCGACACTCCGAGACTCCCCAGAGCACAGGGCCTGAGGCTGCGGCCCAGACTGGGGTGGGGGACCCGGCCCCCGGGCACCTGCGGCAGGACGGGCTTGGAGCAAGTCCGGGCGCTGGGCTGTGCCCTCCGTCAGACAGGAGGGGGGCACAGGGAGAGAGGGCAGCGGGAAGGGGAGATGGCAGGACAGTGCAGGGGTGGAGGGGGCGGGGAGGGCCAGGGGCGTTAGGGGTCGAAGGGTCCAGGAAGAGGGAACGGCGCAGGGGAGAGGCGGCGGGCGCAGGGGCGGGCTGGAGGCAGAGACAGCGGGCTCGGGGCATTCGCGGTCACTGGGGTCATGGTGTGCCGTGACCGCGCGCCCTGCTGCCCGCAGGTGAGAGCGGTGCCACCGGCTGCATCGCGGGCTGCCTGTTCGGGCTGCTGCACGGCCGCGACGCCGTCCCCGCGGGCCTGTACGGGGCCCTGGAGCAGCGGGTGCAGCTGGAGCAGCTGGGCGCCGCCCTGTACCGCCTGTCCACGGAGGAGAAGTAACTGCCGCCCCGCCCAGCACTGCACCCCGGGGGCCCAGCCCCACCCACCGGCCCAGCCTTGCCCAGCTCGCTGCCCGCTCACGCCGCCTAACCCCGCCCCCGCGGGGCTGGCCTGCATCTGCCGCCTCAGCCGCACCCCTGCTGCCTCCCAGCGCAAGGCCTCGGCCCCGTGCGCCTCTAACCCGCCCCGCGTGCGCACGACCTCTGCAGACCCGCCTGCCGCCAGCTCCGACTCGCCCCCTGGCGCAGTTGCAGAGGGGACGCACGGGAGGTCCCGGGCTGTGCCCACCCGGCGCTCAGCCTGATGTGGAGGCGTGTCGTGGCTCGGCAGTGCGCTCGCCCGTGAATAAAGCTGTGGCCGCAGTGTGCAGGCACCGCCCTTGCGAGCTTCGGGTCGGGCCTCGGCCAGCTGGCGGGGGCTCCTAACTGCCAGGAGGCGAGGGACACAGGGGCTGTCTGCGCTGGCTCGCACTCGCTCCTTCCAGAATAACCTGCTAACCTGCTGCTGCCAGCCACAGGCATGGCTCAGGGCCCCCCACCTCCCGGCAGGGCCCACTTCCTACGCAGGGACCCCCCACAGGCCCTGGGTGAGGGTCCCACCACCCTGGAGCAGGGCCTCCTCCCTCCGCTCCCTGCGGGGCCCTCAGGTGTGGCAGGAGGCCGGCTTGAATGCTGTCACTCCCCACGCTGAGCCCAGGGGGCTGCCGTCAGGCCGGAAGGGGCTGCGCCAGCCCTGGCTGCTGGACGCATCACTGTGGGAAGCAGAGGTGACGAGCTCTCGGCAGCGTGACAAGCTGCTCCCTGGCCCACAGGGCCGTTCCCTGTCCTGTTCCGCGGGGGTCTTTCTCCGGCAACCCCGCCAGCACCACACACACAGCCCCAGCAAGCAAAGGACCCTAGACCAGGTGCAGGGCCCAGCGAAGTCACGTCCCCCAGCAGAGTCCCAGCGTCAGGGTCACATGCACACCACCATGCCCATCTGCCCAGGGTGGGCGCCCAGAGCACTCCCCTGCCCGCCCTGCCACACCCACTCCACCGAGGCAGTCCCTGACCCCAATACGGCCAATTCCCTTCGACTCCCGATTCTCCAAATCACTGATCCCCTTAGACCCCTGACCCCCTACCTCCGACCCCTCAGACCCGACCCCCCTACTCCCGAACTCATATATTCCTAATACTCCCATGCCCCACCCCCTTATGTCCCGGTACCCCTAGAACCCCGAGTCCCCTTGCCCCTGATCCCTCCTGGACTCCTGATGCCTCTGAGACACGTGTCCCCCCAAGACCCCTTAGTTCCCTGACCCTCACACCTAACACCACTCTCACAGCACCTACGCCTCACACCCTGCTAACAGTTACACCTCGTACTTCCGGACCCCTGCGACGTCCAACCAACCTGACACTGTTACCCTTTGAAACCAACCTCTCCGATACACCGTGCCAGGGCACTTGGCTACCCCAGCATCCCTGATGCCACGGTCACACCCGACACGCCCGGCGCCGTGGGCGCCACAGCCACACTCCTGGCACTCACGGTACACCTGACCCACCAGAACCACTGTCACCCTGCCCCCACCCCGGCCCGCTGCCCCACAATCCGGGCCCCGTGCCACCGAGCCCCGGGCAGTGTGGGCTGCTTACATCTGAGGGGTCCCGCAGCGGCTGTGCGCGCCCTAAGCCCCACGCCTTTCCCAGACCCTGCACACGGGTGCACGGCCCAAGTGGGGGGACAGAGCAGGGAAGTAAGAGGCCGCATCCCCCTCCCTGGACTCCCACCTCCCTCGGCTCCTCTCTGAGGCTGTGGCTGGTACTGTGTGGGGACCCTGGATGGCCGCGGGCCTCGGTCCCCGGCAGCTGTGCAGGAAGGGGCCGTGTTCTCCCACGAGCCTCTCACATCCCCGGTGTCAGGCTGCCCAGGGGGGGCTCCCAAATGCTGATTGCGGGGTGTCACGGCTAAGGCCAGTCCCCACCAGCACTTCCTATGTGGGCACAGACGCAGGGGAGACACTGCTCTTCACGCACAGCAGGGAGGCCCGGCCGAAGTGATGACGGCACGGACAGGGGCCGCGCCAGCTCCACACAGAGGCAGCACCCAGGGCCCTGCACACAGAGACAGCACCCAGGGCCCTGCATACAGAGACAGCACCCAGGGCCCTGCACACAGAGACAGCACCCAGGGCCCAGCACCCAGAGCCAGCACCCAGGGCCCAGTACCCAGAGACAGCACCCAGGGCCCAGCACCCAGAGACAGCACCCAGGGCCCAGCACCCAGAGACAGAACCCAGGGCCCTGCACACAGAGACAGCACCCAGGGCCCTGCACACAGAGACAGCACCCAGAGCCAGCACCCAGGGCCCAGCACCCAGAACCAGCACCCAGGGCCCAGCACCCAGAGACAGTACCCAGGGCAAACTACCCAAGGAGGTTCCCCACCATACCTCACCCGTCTTTGTCCACCTCAGCCTGGCCACCAGCTCTCCAGACCGACTGAGGTGGGGACTTGGCTCCCCTTAGAAGTCCCTGGCGGCAGCAGCCCTTGTGGCCAACAGGAAATGCCAGCCGGGACCCTCCCGCCCGGGTGAGGCCACCCAAGGTTGGCTGGTCACTGGGCGCCGGCACCCGTGAACTCCCGCATGGAGCACAGCCATTCTGAGTGGACATGGGGCCAGGGCGGGCTGACACTGGTGCGCAGGGCCCCCTCCCCCGGCACAGTGGCTGCGTGCCCCCCGGGGTCGAGGCACCCACACCACAAGTACCACAGCCTGCACCACACACTGGGTGCTAGCTTCGGGTGCTGGGGGTGTCGGAGGGTGGACGCTGGGCCCCAGCTTCTCCCTCCGGACGGGGCCAGTGCCTGTCCCTGGGCAACACCGCCCCAACGGGTGTAAGGCCACCAGGACGCGGCCACTCATGCCATTGTGGGCTCAGGGCTCAGGACAGAACCACCAATGTCACTGAGTCCGTGAGCAGTCAGCCCTGCGCTGAGAGCTCACGATCCGAAAGCAAGGCGGGGGTCCTGGTGCTCTGGGCACCACGGGCCAACGGAGGGGCACGGGGGAGACGAACCGGGCCAGACTGCCGGGAACCGGAGCCCAGCAGAGCTGTCCTATGCTCAGGGTGACCCCGGGAGTCGGCACAGGCCTGTGACAGCCGTTTCTCCCTACAGCCCCACAGCCAGCTCGGCGGGGGGCCGTGTGGAGGCCCTGGGGGCCGCCGCCCTGAAACGGAAGCTGGCCCGGGCAGTGGGCAGCCCTGCCCTGCACGCCGTCCTGAGCAGCCTGCTGCTCTACGTCAGTGACCGCGAGGCCCGGGCACCCCCGAGCACCGCCGCGAGCCTGGCGGAGCCCCAGGACACCCTCCCGCAGCCCACCCGGTTCCAGCTCCTGCGTGCCAAGTTCATGGGCTCTGGCCGGGGGCCTCTGGTCAAGAGAAGCCGGGAGGTGGGCCGGCTGGCGGCCAAGGACAAGCAGGTGCCCGGCCGCAGCACGGTGGCCGCCACCATCCACAAGCTCCTGGAGAAGACCAAGGCAGGGGCCGGCGGCCCGCGGCATGGCCAGGAGGCGACCCGCAGCCAGAAGGCCCGGGGGGCCCCGCCCGGAGGGAAGAGCCCCGTGAAGCACATCCTGAGGGTGCTGCTGGCAGCCACGGAGCGGGGAGACGGGAAGAGGCCTTCTGAGGAACGGCCCAAGGGCACAGGCCGGCAGGGCTCTGCACTGGCCAGGCTGCGGGAGAAGTTCGAGCAGAGCGGCTGCCTGCACCCGGGGGCATCAAGGCCGAAGCCGGGGGCAGCCGCCCGGGTGCTCAGGCCTGCAGTCCGTCTCCTCCATACCCCCACCCTGGCCAGCTCATGCTTCCAGACGCCGCCCACCCGCATCCTGGCCTGCGCCGCTGAGCCCATGCTGGCCTTCAGCGTGGCCACCGTGGTGGGCAGCGCCGGGAGCTGGCTCTGCCCCAGACCCGGGAGGAGGCCCTCGGGTCCCCAACAAGCACCCACAGGAAATGGGGGTGCAACACCCGCCACAGGGCAGGGGCCCCGGGGGGGCAGGCCAGAGGAGGGCCCGCGGGCTGGGGGGTCCTCACTGGCCCCCACGCTCCAAGCAGTGGCTCCTGGTGACGCCTGTGCCTCGCTGGAATTGGGGGTCCCCAACGCAGGGCCCCACCGTGTCCCCGAGCCTGCCCCCTCCTCTGTCTCCCTCCAGGATGAGGCCCTCCCTGAGCTGGTAGCCCCCGGACCCGCCCACCCAGCGGGGGCTGGGGCAGCAGGAGGGGAACACACAGCGGCCATCCCCCAGGGAGCACCGGGGAGCACTATGTCGAATCACAGCTCAGAGGAGGAGATGCCCAGGGACGACCAGGCCACACACATCCCCCCACCCAGCGTGCAGACCACTTGGGCCACGCGCTGCACGCAGCCTGCCCTGGAGACCCTGCACGGGACCCTCCGGCTCCCTGAGGCCCACAAAGTGCCACGCGCGCCCAGCACACCGCAGGGGGGAGCCTCCCTCCCTCCCGGTCAGGGAGCCACGCCTGGGCCTGGAGCTGCAGGCACCCCTAGGACACCCAGCACACCTGCCGGAACACCTGTGGGTCCCAGCACACTTGCAGGACCCAATGCACCTTCCGAGGAACCAGTGGGGCCCAGCACACTTGCCAGGGCACCTGGGGGACTCGGTGCACCTGCCGAGCCACCCGTGGGTCCCAGCACACCTGCCGGGCTCAGTGCACCTGCTGTTTTATACGAGTCCAGCACACCTGCTGAGGCGCCTGCAGGGCCCACAACTGTTAGGATACCTGCAGGACAGAGCACACCTGCCGTGGTGCTCTCAGAACCCAGGGTACCTGGGGGACAGGGCCCGCCTACTGGGGCTCCTGCAGGACACAGCACACCTGGGGGGACACCTGTGATCCCTGAAATGCCAGTCGCTCCCAGCACACTGCAGGGGGTGCCCCTCAGAGCAGACACAGACTCTCACGGTCGGGGAGCCAAGCCTGGGCCTGGAGTTGGGGAGACACCAGGGGGCCACGGCACACCTGGGGGACCCAGCATACCTGGGGGGACACCTGCAGGTCATAGAACATCGGGGGAGACACCTGTGGTCCATGAAATGCCAGTCACTCCCAGCACACTGCAGGGGGTGCCCCTCAGAGCAGACACAGACCCTCATGATCAGAGAGCCAAGACTGGGCCTGGAGTTGAGGAGACGCCTGTGAACCCCAGCACACCCGGGGGCCACAGCCACAGCACACCTCAGGGGACACAAGGGGGCCCCAGCACACCTGGGGAGACACACAGGGGACCCAACACATCTGGGGGGACACCTGCAGGACCCAGCACACCTGCAGGACCCAGCGCACCTGGGGGAACGCCTGTTGGACCCAGCACAGCTATGGGACCCAGTGCACCTGGAGGGACACCTGCAGGACCCAGCACACTTGGGGGGACACCTGTGGGACCCAGCACACCTGCAGGACCCAGTACACCTGAGGGGACACCTGCAGAATCCAGCTCAGCTGGGGGGACACTTGCGGGACCCAGCACAGCTACGGGACCCAGTGCACCTGGAGGGACACCTGCAGGACCCAGCACACCTGCAGGACCCAGCGCACCTGGGGGCACACCTGTAGGACCCAGCACACCTGGGGGGACACCTGCGGGACCCAGCACAGCTATGGGACCCAGTGCACCTGGAGGGACAACTGTGAGACCCAGCACACCTGCAGGACCCAGCACACTTGGGGGGACACCTGTGGGACCCAGCACAGCTGCAGGACCCAGCACACCTAGGGGGACACCTGTGGGACCCGGTGCACCTCAGGGGACACCTGCAGGACCCAGCACACCTCAGGGGACACCTGCAGGACCCAGCACACCTCAGGGGACACCTGCGGGACCCAGCACACCTGGGGGGACAGTTGCAGGACCCAGCACACGTGAGGGGACACCTGTGGGACCCAGCACAGCTGCGGGACCCAGCGCACCTGGGGGGACACCTGTGGTACCCGGCACACCTCAGGGGACACCTGCAGGACCCAGCACACTTCAGGGGACACCTGCAGGACCCAGCACACCTGGGGGGACAGTTGCAGGACCCAGCACACGTGAGGGGACACCTGTGGGACCCAGCACAGCTGCGGGACCCAGCGCACCTGGGGGGACACCTGTGGTACCCGGCACACCTCAGGGGACACCTGCAGGACCCAGCACACCTCAGGGGACACCTGCGGGACCCAGCACACCTGGGGGGACAGTTGCAGGACCCAGCACACGTGAGGGGACACCTGTGGGACCCAGCACAGCTGCGGGACCCAGCGCACCTGGGGGGACACCTGTGGTACCCGGCACACCTCAGGGGACACCTGCAGGACCCAGCACACCTCAGGGGACACCTGCGGGACCCAGCACACCTGGGGGGACAGTTGCAGGACCCAGCACACGTGAGGGGACACCTGTGGGACCCAGCACAGCTGCGGGACCCAGCGCACCTGGGGGGACACCTGTGGTACCCGGCACACCTCAGGGGACACCTGCAGGACCCAGCACACCTCAGGGGACACCTGCGGGACCCAGCACACCTGGGGGGACAGTTGCGAGACCCAGCACACCTGGGGAGACACATGCGGGACCCAGCACAGCTGCGGGACCCAGTGCACCTGTGGGGACACCTGCAGGACCCAGCATACCTCAGGGGACACCTGCAGGACCCAGCACACCTCGGGGGACAGCTGCGGGACCCAGCACAGCTGCGGGACCCAGTGCACCTGGGGGGACACCTGCAGGACCCAGCATACCTCAGGGGACACCTGCAGGACCCACCACACCTGGGGGGACAGCTGCGGGACCCAGCACTGCTGCAGGACCCAGTGCACCTGGGGGGACACCTGCAGGACCCAGCACACCTGGGGGGACAGCTGCGGGACCCAGCACAGCTGCGGGACCCAGTGCACCTGGGGGGACACCTGCAGGACCCAGCACACCTCAGGGGACACCTGCAGGACCCAGCACACCTGGGGGGACAGCTGCGGGACCCAGCACAGCTGCGGGACCCAGTGCACCTGGGGGGACAGCTGCGGGACCCGGCGCACCTCAGGGGACACCTGCGGGACCCAGCACAGCTGGAGGGACACCCATCCCCGCTGTGCAGGTGCCCTCGGCACCCAGTGCCCTGTCACAGAGGGGTTTGGTGGCTGTGGCCCCAGCCAGGGTGGGTTCTGTGTGGGAAGGCACAGCCTGGCTGGGCAACTCGGGGGCTAGCCTGGCTGAGCAGCAGAGGGGACAGGGGGCACCAGAGCTCAGTGGGGAAGGCGCCCCAGGACATGGTGAGGCCTCCGACCTCCCTCGCAGAGGACATGGCCGTGCTGGCCCTGGTAGCCCGCAGGGACCGAGGCCTGGGCAGAGGCCCTTGGCCGGGCTCCAGGCCCTGCCACTGGCCAGGTCAGGGGTGGAGGACCCGTTCACACACAGTGCCCTGACCAGCTGCCATGTCCCACTGGAGCAGAAGGTGGACAGCTGCGTGCCCTGTGAGGTCAGACCGTCTGGGGGGCAGGTGCCGGGTGCTGTGGGGGCGGCCCCCGGTCACAGCACACCAGCACCAGGCAGCACCCAGAACCCCCCAGATAGCCAGGCAGGAGAGAGGGGCGCCCAGGGCACGGGAGGGCACAGCGCGGGCCACGTACTCCAGGGAGAGGCCCCTGCTCCCGGCCACAACTGCCGGCCCCCGGCCCCCCGAGAGCCCTCACAGCCGGGTCGACACGTGGGTCGGCAGCAGCCTCCAGCCCCAGACACCCCAAATGTGCCCCCAAAGGAAGCCGCGGGCACCCGGGAAGGGCCAGCAGAGCCCCGAGTCTCTGGTGAGTGGGCAGTGAGCACCGAGGCGGGGACCCCGCAGCACCGCCGCGCCTGGGCCTGGTCACCTGCCCATGCTCAGGCCCCGCCTTCTCCGGGGGTCACCATGGCCCCATGCCAGCTGCCCCTGGTACCCCCACCAGCAGCGAAGCTGTGGGCAGACAGGGAGCCCCCTGAGACTGGCGAGTGCCAGGTCACTCTGCGGCCATCCCCCCGCACGCAGACCACTGGGGTGAAGCCTCAGGAGAGCGAGCGCGGGCCGGGACCCTCGGGACAGCACAGCCCCGGCACGGAGGCCCACAGCCTGCCCTTGGACACGGGAGTCCCCCGGGTCCAGGCTCCAGGCCCTGCCCAGGCCCCCACCTGGGGGCCCGCCAAGGAGGCCAAGGCGGGCGGGGCGGCACCCCGTGATGCGGCAGCAGCTTCCACTGCAGGAGGAAGGTCCAGGGGGTCCCCGACACCGGCCCATGCAGGGGAGGGCTGGTCTGAGGGCCCCAGGGAGCCCACGCCCGAGGGTGCTGGCCACACGCCCCCCGGCACCTGGGCGGCCAGGAGAGACTTGAGGGAGAGGGGAGAGCGGGCCAGGCCGGCGCCCCCCGCCAAGTACAGGGCTCAGAGCTTCTGCGACCAGAGCGCCTTTGAGCAGTCCTTTCGGCCCGTGGGTGTCAGGGCCACCGACACCCCCCAGCCCCCTAAATGAGGCCTCACCTGGGGGTCCGCACCCTGCAGCCTCCCGTCCCAGCCCTCTACGCAGCAGGACCTGCGCCAGACACCCTGTGTCCCCATCGCCCTCCCGAGCATCTCAGTCGACAAGAAATAAAGCACCTGTGTGCTGAGCCCGCTCCTGTCTACACACATGTGGGTTTCTAGTCAGGGAGGGACACGCAGACAGGCTGTGGGCGGGGGTCCGCAAGAGCTCGGGGGGCACCGTGGGGACACACAGACAGGCTGTGGGTGGGGTCCCCGAGAACTCAGGGGGGCAATGTGGGGACACACAGACAGGCTGTGAGTGGGGGTCCCTGAGAGCTTGGGGGGCACCGTGGAGACACACAGATAGGCTGTGGGCAGGGGGGCACCATGGGGACACGCAGACAGGCTGCGGGCAGGGGTCCCCGCGAGCTCACATGCGGCTATCTCGGGGAACAGTGCTCTGAGCAGCGCTGTGACGAAAGCCCGCTCCAGCGACTACTCTTCTGCTCCCCACATCATGTCTCCTGAGCGTGGCCCAGCTGGACAGGGCTGCAGGCTGGAGGCCCGAGGGACCCTCTGCTCCGAACGTGAGCAAGGTCAGGAAGAGGAATTCTCCCATAAGACACGCGCTGGGTGCTGGAAGCCGGCTGGTTAGGTGAAGTCTGGGCCCCCCTCACCTCAGGGCACGTGCCCCTCACCGCCGGAGTCACTGTCCCTGGTATGGCAGGTCATCCCTCAGGGATCCCAACTTGAGCATGTGCACCTGGTTTGCTGTGTAACTGTCGCGATGTGTGGCCATCCCCTTTGGACTATCACCATGTGTGACCATCGCCGTGTGTGACCATCACTGTGTTACCATCACTGTGTAATGATCAAGGTGTGTGACCACCCCCATTTGACTATCACAGTGTGTCCGTCACCGTGTGACCATCACGGTGTGACTACCCTCACTATGTGTGACCACCACCATGTGTGGCCCACACCAGGTGACCGTCACCATGTGTGACCATCACGTGTGATCATCACTGTGTGACCTCCCCTTGTGTGTGACCATCACCGAGTGTGACAATTCAGCATGTGTGACAAGGGTTCTGACTGGTGTTCTGGGGTGGGAATTCTCTGAGCCAGGACAGGGCTGCCACTGCCGCCCTATTAAACGGGCAGGTGCCTGTCCAGGTGTGGTCTGCAAGACGGTGCTCCCGGCTGCGTCCCTGCGGGCAGCTCCTGGTCCAGTTGTGGCTCTTAGAAACAGGAGCCAGTAGGGCCGGCCCAGGAAGCCACAGTGACCCTTCCTGGCAGAGCGGGGAGCTGATGCCCGAGAGCTGCTATTTTTAAAGACGGTGTCTATGCTGACAGCGCCCTGTGTCTTGTTACAGGAGTCGGAAAGAATGACTGGAATCCGAGGGATCCCGAGACAGAGGGACAGCAAGTCCTGGAGTCCAGAGGCTGGCGGGCGCCGGGAAGGTGGGTCTCCTGCATTCCCAAATAAGGCTCCCGGGAGCAACAACCCCGCAGCTACCAAGCGTGGTGCCCAGCGGGATGGCTGCCTAGAGCTGGGCCCAGGGTGACTGTCAGTCAGGCGCTGAGGGCTCATGTGAAGTGACAGATGGTGTCATGTCCCTAAACAAGAGGCATCACCCAGGACAGTCATCTCTCCTGGAGGGACATCACTTCAGGACAGTCACACCCTCTTACAAGCCTGTTTCCTCATAATGGTCACCCTCTCTGGCAGGACTATAACCTCAGAAGAGTCTCTCCCTCCTCCAGGAATGTCACCACAGGATACGGTCATCACCATGACTACCACCTCAGGATGGTCCCTCCAAACTGCAACGACATCACCTCAGGACAGTCACCCCATCCTGCAGGACTGTCACCTCAGGAGGGCCACCTCCTCCTGAAGGGCTTCCCCTCAGGGTGGCCACACCCTCCTACAGGACTGTCACCTCAGAGCATCACCTCCTCCTGGAAGATTTTTACCTCAGGACGGTCACCTCCTCCTGCAGGGGATCACCTCGAGATGATTATCCTCCTCTGGAGGGGCATCACTACAGGAAAGTCATGATCCCCTGCAGGACTGTTACCTCAAGATGACCACCCCCTCCCGCAGGACTGTCACCTCAGAGGGTCACCCCCTCCTGCAAGATTTTTACCTCAGTACAGTCACCCCCTACTATGGGGTTCACCTCAGGATGGTCAATGACCCTCCTCGAGAGGGGCGTCACTTCAGGAGTCATGACCCTCTGCAGGACTGTTACCTCAGGATGGTCACGATCTCCTGAGGGGCATCGTCTGGTGATGGTCATCCCTCCCATCTGGCTCACTTTGGGATAGTCACGCTCTCTAGTGAGTATCACCTCAGTCGGCTCTGCCCTCCTCAGGGCTTCACCTCAGAACAGTCAGTCCCTCCTGCAAGACAATCACCTCAGGACGGTCACCCCCTCCTCAGCGCTTCACCTCAGGATGGCTGCCCTCCCGGACTGCCCCAGGGCCAAGCAGCCAAGCACAGGAGCGTGGCTGTCAGACAGGGTGGTCCAGGGTCCTCTCAGGAGCCCGATCCGGTCACCGCCCAGAGTCCGCCCGGGCCACTGGGGGCCTCCCGGAAGGAACGTCCACACGGGTGCTCGGAGCACAGCAGTCGCTTGCCAGACAGCGGCCCAAGGGCGCGCAGAGGCGAGAGGCCGATGCGTGCACGCACGCAAACACACACATGCACGGACGCACACGCGCGTATACGCGTGCACGTGCACACACATGCATGGACGCGGACACACGTGCACACACGCGCGCACATGCACATGCAAACACGCACACATGCACGGGTGCAGACACACATGCACACACGCGCGCACATGCACGCACGCACGCGCACATATGCACACGCACACACGCACGCCCTGCGTGAGGCCGGCCTGAAGGACGCCCGGGGGCCTGTGGGCGAGACCCGGTGCCCCGTGGACGGACGGGGCCGGCATCCTCTCCCCGCACCGGCGCTCAGGCCACTCCCGGTCAGCCGCGTGGAGCGCGCCCGGCCCCGCGCCGGCCCCTCAGGGAGGTCGCGGGGGCGCGTCCCGGGCTCAGTGGAACCCACGCGGGTGGCGGCGGCCGCTCGCCAGCGGGGAGCCGGGCCGGGCCGGGTCGCGCGTGTCCCCACCGGCCCGAGCGCGCGCGCACGCGTGTGCGTCTCCGAAAGTCCGGCGGGGCTCGGCCTCTCCCGCCGCCCGCGTCCGGTGGCCTCCGTCACTCGCCCCACCCCGGGGAGGCCGACGCGTCCGACACACGGGCACACGCCGCGCCCCAGGGTGGGCCGGGCCGGGGGTCCGCACCGCGGCGCTGCGGTGGGCGCCTCCTCCCGCGCCGGCCGCGTGGACCTGCCGCCCTGGGGTCGGGGCGCGGGGCGACCCCCGCCGGCCTCCGGGGTCCGGGGCAGCTCGGACGCGCCGGGCGGGAGACGCGGGGGGCGGCGCGAGCCGGGGGTCCCCGAGCCCTCGGGGCGGGGGTGCGGCCGCGCGGGAGCCCCGGGAGCGGCGGGACGCCCTGGCCGAGGGGCCTCCCCCCCGCGCGCGCGGCCGGGGGTCTGCGGCGGCCGGTGCCCCCCGCGCGCGCGGCGGACCCCGGCCCGGCTCCTGCGGGCCCGCGCGCCGCGCGCCACGGCCAAGTGCCCCTCGCGGGCGCGCCTGGGCCACGCTGACCGCCGCGGGCAGCGCCGCCCCCGCCAGGTGAGGCCACCGGCCGCGACCTTCGCCCCCGCCGCGCCCCTCCCCGGCCCGCCCCGCCCGGCCCGGCCCGGCCCGCCCGGCCCAGTCCGGCCCGCGGAGGACGAGGCGGCGGGCGGCATGGAGCGCGGCGGGGGGCGCAGGTGCGGGCGCGGCGGGGGCGCGGGACTGTCGGGGCGCGGTCGGAGTTCGGGCCGGGGGACGCGGCCGGGGCAAGGGGGACCCGGGCCAGGGGGCCGGGGGTCCGGGGTCGGAGGCGCGGGCGGGGGGCGGAGGCCGGGCGCGGGCGGGGGGCGGGGGTCCCGGCGGGGGTCGGGGTCGGAGGCGCGGGCGGGGGTCCCGGCGGGGGGCGGGGGTCCCGGCCGGCTTCCGAGGCGCGGGCGGGGGTCCCGGCGGGGATCGGGGGCCTGGCGGGGGGCGCGGGGCCGGGGTCGGGGGGACCGGATCGGAGGCGCGGGCGGGGGTCCCGGCCGGCGTCCGAGGCGCGGGCGGGGGTCCCGGCGGGGGTCGGGGGCCGGGCGGGGGGCGCGGGGCCGGGGTCTGAGGCGCAGGCGAAAGTCCCGGCTGGGGCCGGGCGGGGGCGGGGGTCCCGGCGGGGGTCGGGGGCCGGGCGAAGGTCGGGGGGCCGGGTCAGAGGCGCGAGCGGGGGTCCAGGCGGGGGTCGGGGGCCGGGCGGGGGTCGGGAGGCCGGGCGCGGGCGGGGGTCCCGGCGGGGGTCGGGGGCCGGGCGGGGGTCGGGGGCCGGGCCGGAGGCGCGGGCGGGGGTCCCGGCTGGGTCCGCCCCACAACGCGCTGTGCCGCAGGGTGGACGCGTACGGCTTCGAGCGCCCGGCGGACTTCGACCACGCCGCCTACGAGGACTTCCTGGCCGCCTACCTGGGGGTCCTCGCCCGCCGGGCCGTCAAGTGGGCCCAGCTGCTCCAGGGCGGCCGCCTCCAGAGGAGCCTCACGGGTCAGTCCGCGCCCCCGGCCCGGCCCCAGGGGAGGGACCCGCGGACCCTCGGAGCGGCGCAGCTGTGAGTTGGCCCGCGCCTGGCGGGGACCCGGCCCCTCCCCAGCTGGGCGCCCGCACCTGGGGCCTGGGACACCGCGGGCGGGGGCGGGGGCGGGTGAGTCCCGCTCTCTGGCCGGCAGCCCCCTGCCCTGAGGGCGCCGGGTCTAGAGCTGCCAGGTGTGCCCCGAGGCGTGTGCCGGGGCCAGCCCCTGCCCCTCCCTGAGGCCCCTGGGCGTGGGGCCTTCGCTGCCCTAAGGCCTTTGCCCTCAATCCGGGTCTGACAGAAGGACGTTGTATCTCTGGCCCCAGGTGGTGGTGACCTGGGAGGTGACTCCTGGCAACTGTCCTCCTTTTCCCCCTAGGAACAGGGTGTCAAGACATGATGACATGCACACACGTGAATGTATGTGTCCAGTGAGGTATATAGCACATGTGTACGCATGTAGTACACATTATCATGCTCGCCGCAGCACACTTAAGAGACATACATGTGCACATGCTACGCAAGTACACCTGCAGTCATTCCCATCTCGTGCACATACGGAGCCATGTATGTCTACATATTCACGGCACACACAGCTGCAGGCACCCACACGTGTAGTCATGTATGTAGTCATGCACACCACACATCTGTCTGGGCATGTATACTACAGACATGTCATTGTGCACATGTGTGGTACAGCTAGACAATACACCTGTGGATAAAGAACTGAACAGGCATCGGGGATGGCTCAGTTCTGCACACAGCACACACGTGCATGTGTCCTGCGCACACACACCGTGCTCGTGATGTGCCTGTGTTCACACAGGCAGGGTTGCGTGCGTGCAACAGCTGCCCCTGCAGTTGGCTTTATCTGGGAGGCGTCCTGCCAGCCGCAGCCAGCTCTGAACTGCAGTCCTGGCCGAAGGCAGGCCAGCGCTCACGCCCTGACCACCCGAGGCTGTACGGCCCCAGGCCACAGCACGGCCGGAGTGCATACTCCTTCCCCAGCTGCAGGTCGCGCCTGCCGGTTCCTTGTCTGGGGCCCGGTTCACTTCCTTCCAGGGGACCCTGTCACCATCTCCCAGCCCTGGTCCTGCTGTTCTTCCACGTGCTGCCCGAGATGTCGCTGGTTTTGTTGGCTGACAGCTTTCTTCTTCGCGTGGCATTTCTCTGGCTCATTCCTGCTGGTTGAACCTGGTGCTGGTACCAAGTGTGATTGCACAAGAGCGTGGTCGCAAACACCTTCCTTGAGGCTTGGGGCTCGTGTCAAGGTAACGAGTGGGCCCCCGGCCAGCGCACCTGGCCCCATGCCCTGGTGTTCCTGTAGGAAATGGGGGTGCATCCTGAAGGGTCCCTGGGCTCCGTGTGGTCACCAGAGTCCACCGGCACTGCGGAGGACTATCGGGCGCAAGAGTGGACGTGCTAGTCACAAGTGGGAATCCCGTTCTTCGGGCTGGCCGGCCAGGCAGGATACGGCCGCACCCTGGGTGCAGAAAGCAGCAGACGTGGAGGGTGTCGCTCCCGTCCTTACTCCACCCTCGGTTCTCGTGGCCTGGGCTGTCTCTCAAGCGGGGCCTCTGTGTGTGGCGGTCTCTGGCCTGGCAGACCTACGCTTTTGATTTGGTTTTGGGGCCGCCCTGGCTGGTGCTCAGGGGTTCCTCCTGGCTCTGCGCTCAGGAATCGCTCCGGGGAGGCTCGGGACGATGGGATGCTGGGATGGATCCCGGGTCGGCCGTGTGCAAAGCCAGCGCCTTACCCACTGGCCTGCGGTTCCCAGGGCAGCACTGTTCTGTCCGGCCAGGTTGCCCTGCTGTGGACAGACTGTTGGTGCTCACCTGCCTACCATGGCGTGGGGGCACCTTGCTGTGGGTGCCACAGACCTCAGACCGCAGTTTGCCTGGCTTTGTTGAGCAGACAGGGGGACGGTCACTCCCTGGCGATTCGGGACTTTCCTCTGTGCCTCTGACAGGTGTCCAGAACTAAGGGTGTGTGGCCCGTCCAGCCTGTGGGAGTGTGTCCACGCCAGCAGGCCAGTGAGCCCGCCCAGAGAGGCTCCTGAGGCAGGGGTAGAGCAGCTGCTGCTGACTGAGGGCGTCCCCCTTCCTGTCCTTCCTGTCCTTCTCCCTTTGCCTAGTCATGCCCGGGGCTTACCCCTGGTGGTGCTGGGGGTCAGGCCCGGTTGGATGTCTCTCACGCAATGTGCTATCACTCCAGTTCCATCCTTTCTCTTTTTAAAATAACTTATGTTGGGGTTGGGGGCCAAACCTGGTGGGGCTGAGGGGATATTCCTGCTCTGTGCTCAGGAGGGACTTGGTACTAGGAACTGAGCCAGTCTCAGTCACAGGTAGGTGGCTGCCTCCCCTGTGCACTCCCCAGCCCGACGGGTTTTGTAAGCTGAGGCGGAGACCGACATTGGTGCAGCTCTGTGGCGCGAGCAGTCTGGCTCTCCAAGTCAAGCCAGAACCCAGTGCCCGCTCCGGCCCCGGCCCTGACCCCCGTCCAGCCCCGAGCAGCCCCAACCTGTGGCTAAGGAGCCACAGCGCATGCTTGAGACAACACCTTCTCTCTGAGGCTGGGAATGATGCCCTGGCACCAGGCGGTGTCTGACTGTGACACGGCAGTCTGACAGGATGTGTCTGGCAGTGGCATGACGGTCTGAGGGCTGCGCCGTGGCAGGTGTGGGTCTGGCAGGTACTTCAGCCATGACTGACTGTGGCATGCAGTGCCTGACAGTTGTGCTGGGTATGTGATAGGGTTTGTCATTCTGTGATGTATGTCTTCTTCGCTCGAACCCTGGATCCCCACAGGAAGCCTGGATGGGCCTCTCCCTCCCTTGCACCTGCATCTGGGCCCTCGGCCTCCGTCTCTGCACCATCGCCTGAACCTTTGATCTTGCTTGTGTTAACTGGAGGAACTAGATGGGTTTCCTTCATCCGTGGGCAAGAGCCAATAGTGCTGGCTCTTCTGGTGGATTAAAGAACATGGTTTGGCCTCATGGTTCAACTTCAAGGTTCCTTCGCGTTTGGATCCTGCAGAGACTTGGTTAGGTCTGTACAATTTCCCGCGTCACTGAAAATGAGATGTTGTTGATCCTTCCTGAGCGTGGTCTGTTGTTCGTGTGTAGAAACTGGATTTCTGCAGCTTCCTGTCCTCCTGGCAGCTCCCGTGGGGCTGTAGGAGACGGCGGCCCTGCGTCTGGACTTGGTGTAGACTGTCCCTGAGACTCTGAGGCCTCAGGTGTCTCCTGTGGCTTGTGGGGTTTCACTCCGTGCTTGTGCTGTCCTTTCCCAGCGAATGTGTCCTCGTACAGTGCTGGTATTTCTGACAGTGTGAGGGAGACCACAAAGCTCTGCCCCCGGCTTTGTGAGGAAATGTGGGCGTGGTGGCATGCGCTTCCCGTCCATCGTGTCTGGTCACTAATCCACGGCTCTGGCTGCCGAGCACGCAGTTCCGCTGCTTTCCTCAGTTTATCGCTGCCACCAGGTGTCCTTCCTCAGCTCAGCCTTGCTTGGCCTCCCTGTCCCTGGTCTGCTTGGCTACCCCAGGACTCGAGCCTGAGTCTGGCTCTGTCCTGACCCGCTCTGGCCCCTCTGGCGTCTGCTTTAACTTCCAGGACCAGGCGGCCTTCCCCGCTCATGTGACTTTCCCCACGGTCCCTTTTCCCATGCACTCTCCTGGGTGTGCCTAGCCACCACTGGGCAGGGGCCCCCCTCTCCCTGGTGGGGAACAGGGAACCAGGGGGAGTGGCTGGGGTGTAGCATGTGACCTCACGCTGCCCCCCCCCCCCCAGTGAAGCGCTACATCCGGAAGGGCATCCCCCTGGAGCTCCGGGCCCGCGTGTGGATGGGGGTGAGTGGAGCCCAGGACCAGATGGACCGGAATCCGGGCTACTACCATCAGCTCCTGCAGGGAGCAAGGAATGACAGCTTGGAGGAGGCTATCAGGACAGGTGATGGTGCTAGTCCCCTGGGAATGGGCAGGAGGGCTAGAGCTGACACCCTGGGGGGGGCGGGGCGAGACCAGGCCCCTGGGGGAGGGGGCGGGGTGCAGCCCACACTCACCAGCCAGGGCAGGGCAACAGCTGCTCGGGGCAGGGCCGGTGGGCTGCAGCGTGGCCAGAGACTCAGCTGTCTGGGTGTCCAGTTTCTGAGGAGCAGTAAAGAGGCAACGAGGACATGTGGCCTCGGAGGCTCGGGACAGGCCGGGTCACTGGCTGTTTGCAGGGCTGGTCTGGAAGGGCTGTGGCCCGAGCTTGTGCCTGCAGCCACCTCCGTGATGCCGTGTGGGGGCAGCCCCAGCACGGACCTGCAGGGTGCCCCGCTCAGGCTGTGCTTGCAGGGGAAGGGCAAAGCCGTCAGTGTAGAGGGAATGTGCGCCCCCGCCTGGCAGGACACGCGGGCTCGCCAGGGCCTAGGGTGGTGGGATTGGCAGGGCAATGCTCTGCGCTTTCGTATTGTCTTAGACCTGCAGGTGTGGAGTGTCACCTTCCTGCTGTGTTGATTTAGCTTCTGCCAGGGGTGCATGGGGAGGCACCCTCTGGCCGGAGCCGAGGGTGGGTCACTTTGGCTGGGATGCGCGGCGGCTTGTGGAAATCGCTGGGACCCTGGGCAGGTGCCTGTGCGTGACGGTATCACGACCCGGCAGATATGAATAGGACCTTCCCAGACAACATCCGCTTCCGGAGCAGCGCCGAGCCTTGTCTGCAGAAAACTCTGTTCAACGTGCTTTTGGCCTACGGGCACCATGACCAACGTGTGGGCTACTGCCAGGTAGGTCCGGTAGGACAGGGATGAGTGCATGATAAGGAAAGCCAGTGTGTACAGTAAGAGCACACGCGTGTAGAGGGCCTGCGTGTTTGCACAACCATCTGAGTCGGAGGCCATGTGCACACGCGTGAGTGCTTCCTGAGGCTGGGCCCGTGTGTCCATCTGCCCGTCCAGGGCTTTTGCTGCAGGTGGGAGTCCCATCCTCACCGTTGGGCCTGTGTCCGGGAGGTAGCCGCGGCAGGGGCAGCCCGTCCTGAGAGGTGTGAGCCAGCCCCCAGCTGGAGGCACTTCCAGGAGCAGCCAGGACTCACAGGGACTCTCGCTGTCTGACTCAGGGAATGAACTTCGTGGCCGGCTACCTGATCCTTATCACGAAGAATGAAGAAGAGGCGTTCTGGCTCCTGGATGCTCTAGTGGGGAGAATACTGCCCGGTATGTGGACGTCCCATCCCAGTGCCCTTGCGGGATTGCCGCCCTGCTGCAGGGGGCCTGTTGGTCTGAGTTAAGGTCTGCACCATGAATGTGGCCAGAGGTCAGCGTGGACCCAGGGGGACCCTGCTGTGGCTGACTGGGGGAGATGGATCCTGAGATGTGATGGTGTCAGGGCACTGGAGGGACGTGTGGCCTGGCTCTGAGAGGGGTGGGGGTGGTCCCGTCCTTCCTCCTGTCCGCACGCTTCCCCACTTCCAAGTCCAAGGAAGCTGGGGTCGGGGTGTCAGCTGCGGGTTCAGCCATAGCCTCTGGGGATGGGGAGGATGGATTGCATTGCGGACACCAGGAGCCCGGCCATCCGTCCAACACGAGTAAGGGCCAGCACCTGCACGGTCCTGCTGGTCTGAGCTTGCTCTGTGCGTGTCTGAACACAGGAAGGACACGGGGAGGCTCTAAAATACACAGGGCTCATCTAAAACAACCGGGCCAGGAACTCCGCAACTGAGACCAGGCACTGCAGGCAGGAGGCTGGGCTCCGGCCCTCCTGGCCGCGCACTGCCAAGTGGGCCCAAAGCCACGAGGGAATCGAGATGGGAAGGCAGGACCAGGCCCGGGCTTCTGAAGGACACTGGACTGTCAGACTCCTGAGCTCAGGCTGGACGTGCTCAGTGGGTGGGGCAGGTGCCCAAGACCGTCCCAGAGGGGGGTGGTCGGAGCCTGTGGTGCAGGGGAGCCCGCTCCCCCGTGAAGTCACCCCCCAGGGAGACACTGGCGTCCTGCCTTTGGCTGCTCCTTGTGCCAGGGTTCCTGTGGCGAGCTGCCCGCCCCGTGGGCTTGGGTGACTGTCCTGAGCGCACATCCCCCAGCGGCTCCAGATCCTGGAACAGTGCTTTATGATTCGGGGATCTGCCCCACCCCCGCAGGTAGGGGCCACAGTGCTGTCCCAGCTGATGTGAGAGACTGACAAGTGACCGAACCTGTGAAGCACCTCACCTTTCCCTCTGCCTCAGTATGGAGTCCCCTGGTCACGGAGCCCCACGTGGCAGTGGCCCCTCAGCAGACCATGTTGCACTGAGTCCCTCCCAGCGTCTGGGGACGCTGCCCAGACTTCCACATGTGCTCCTACCCTCCCTCCCTGTAGATTACTACAGTCCCGCCATGCTGGGCCTCAAGACTGACCAGGAGGTGCTGGGTGCCCTCGTGAGGACCAAGATGCCGGCTGTGGCGGAACTTATGGAGCGGCACGGTGTCTCCTGGACCCTGCTGGCATCCCGCTGGCTTATCTGCCTGTTTGTGGACGTCCTGCCTGTGGAGGCGAGTCCGTGTGTGGCCCTGGGGTGGACGGGGGCCGGGGCGAGGGCCCCACTGACCTGTCTGCACCACCGTCTCAGACAGTGTTCCGGATCTGGGACTGTCTGTTCAACGAGGGCTCCAAGATCCTCTTCCGCGTGGCCCTGACCCTCATCAAAGAGAACCAGGCATTCATCCTGGAAGCTTCCAGCGTCCCTGATGTGTGTGAGCGCTTCCGGCAGATCACCAGAGGGACCTTTGTGACCGAATGTCACAGCTTCATGCAGGTGTGGGCCGCGGAGGCAGCAGCACAGGGCCCTGTGGGTCTGGTGGCTGGGCGCCTGCTGGGCCACCCTGGGGTGGTAGTGGGTGCTGGGGGGCGGCCGTGCCCTCACCTCTGAGAAAAGCAGCAAGAGAGCCTGTTCTTTGGTTAATTCTCGGCTCTGGTGCAGCAGCTGGCCACGGCCTCGGTCCCTGGTTCCTACAGGAGCAGCCTGCCCATCCGCGCTCTCCTGTTTGTCCACAAACAGTACTGTTCCCATTCCAGAAAATCTTCTCTGAGCCTGGACGCCTGCCCATGCGAACCATCACCCAGCTGCGAGAGAGCTGCAGGGCCCAGCTGTTGGCCCAGGGCTGACCACAGCAGTGGCCTCACGGGAAATGCTCACCTGCATTCAGGCGTGACCTTGTCAAGAATGGTCTAAGTCTGTCGGATTTGGAGCTCCACTGCCTTACCTTTCTCAGTCTGTTCTCACCCGGGCAGCTCATCCGAGATGAGCCCCTGTGCTGAATAAAGTTTTCCACACCGACATGGCACTCTGCCAATCCCCTCAGCTCCCGGGCCTGCTGCAAACTTCCCTCAAGTGGACGGGCCTCTTTCCCTGTGGAGGTCTGTGCGGGCAGCTGCAGCTGCTTCCCCTCAGGGACACGCTGTTAGGGCAGAGTCTGAGCACCCCCTCCACGGAGATGGGCGGGAGGACCCTTCCCGGGTATCCTGCATCCTGCCCCCTCCCTGTGGGTCCAAGTGAGCAGCGGCTCACATGAAGGGCAAGGCCCCACCAGGCCAAGCAGCCTCTCAGAGGACACCTCTGGGGGCCAGGTGTCACAGCTGTGCCAGCTCTGGGCCCAGAACTACCTTCCCGGAGCCCACAGACAATGGCATTATGTGAAGGAAGGCTGGCCTTGAGACCCCATCCTCTCCCAAGTGTCACTGGCCCCCTTCCATCCACCACCCTGCACCAACAGGCCTCAGGGGCCTTTGCCAGATTGGGTGCCCAGATGCCCTCCACCCCAGTGTCCCCTGCTTCCCCAGGGCCGTCTCTTGCTTGACTCAGGACAGACCTCGCAGGAGCTAAGTCAAACGCCAGCACAGGCCGGGCGGCCAAAGGCACACGGGGCCGGGCCCTCCCATGGCTTCCCCCCGGGGTGCGTGGCATGACTGCTGGGACGAACTCAAGCTCTCCGACTGGCCTCACGCCCAGCCCCCTCCTCTGCAGGCCCTGGCACCCCTGCACTGACAGTACACAGGCCACACAAAACAAAGAACAAACTTTATTAGCATCGTTACAGGCAATGCTCACGGAGGTGTCCTGGGCTCCCCTGCCTGGCCAAAGCAGGCAGTCGCTCAGCCCGCAGATAGTGCCCGGGTGACACAGGCAGGGAGCCGTGCACTACCAGAGAGTGCTAGCTGCAGCTGGCCAGAAGCGGCCACTGAAGGGACAAACGGGTGGCCCAGGCCATGGGACAGGCTGGACCAAGCCTGACATCCTAGCTTGGTATGATCATTTTGGACTTTGACCCTTCGAGTGCTTCTGTCCTAAGATTTTCTCTCTACTAGTTTCGAAGCGCTTCAACAATTAGCTGGAGTGTGAAGACAAGGACTTTCCCTTTGTAAGGCTTAAATCTGAGAAAAAGATGAGAAGACCAGACACCAGGATCTTACAGTCGGAAGAGAGCGGAGCAGGGCCGCCGAGAGAAGCACTCTCACCCCTTAGAGGTCTACTGTGGTAAATAGTAACGTTTAACCAGTTAGCAAAATATTGAACCCAGTTAGCAGAATTAACACCGTCATTTCAATAGTTACTCTGTGCAGTGAATGTTGCAGGTGAACTTCACCTTGGAGAAGCGGGTTTGGAAATCTGTTGCAAGAAAGTGGCCTCGGCACCTGCTGGGCCGAGCGCAAGGCCAGAGGCCGCGCTAGATGGTCTGGTAGCCGGCGTGGCTCCTCTTCCTGCCGATGAGGTAGGCGATGAGCACGATGAGCACCAGCCCGGCCAGGGCGCCGCCCACGGCGATGGGGATCAGCATGCTGTTCTCGTCCAGCGGGCACTCCTCCACTGCAGGGGAGCGGGGCATGGGCTGCGGCCGCACTTCCCCGCGACTCTGCCCGCCCCCCCGCCCCCCGTCGGGCGCGTGCTAGGCGAGCACATCTGAGAGCCCCCGGAAGCAGCCCTAAAACGCAGACCCCCGCCCAGGACTCAAAACTCACCAGACCCAAACTTGCCGCCATCGATGCGGAAGGCCTGGAGCCACACCCGGAACACATTGAGGGTGAAGGCCTCTGTGACGCGCACGTGCTGCTCAGCATTACACTTGTACGAGTTGCCCACGGTGGCCTCGAGGGCCCTCAGCGAGCTGTTGGCGGCATGGAAGGCCGGCTCTGCAAGGGTGCAGGAGAGTGAGTGCCCTGGGGCGCCTGACGGGTGTCGAATGTGTCGAATGTGCCGGGCCTTACCTTTGGCTTGAGGCAGTGTCATGTTGAGCTGGACTCCTTGCAGGAAGAAGCGGCTGGAACTTGCATTCTGGGGAAGGAAGCCAGAATCACGTTTCCCATAAAGCGAGAATGCCCTGGGGTGAGGAGGGCACATGGCACTGGCTGCTTCCACACCCCACACAAGAAATGCTGCAGGAAGCACAAGCCTTCCAGTCCCTCCCAGACCTTGGGACAGAACCCAGGGTTCTATCAAGTGGAACCTGAAAAGCCACACTCAGGGAAGACACAGTTCCCCAGTGGGACTGGAGGGAGAGGCCAAGCTCACCTGGGGAAGTCCAATGGCACCACCGTTCTCAGTCAGTCCACACCCGCCCTGCACACCTGCGTGACTCAACACTGGCACCTCCCTACCAACGGGTGCTGCCCACACTCACCATTGCAAATTGTAGGCCCAGGGCCATCTCAGGCTCACTGAGCAGCTCCAGTGTCACCAGCTGGGCGGAGCAGCTCCCGCTCACCTTAGTCTTGTTGGGGTTGACATTGAAGATGCGGGTCATCACCTGGACAGGGAGAAGAGCCTCATGTCCCAAGTCTACCACATATTCCCCAAAGGACGATTTCAAGGCCACCTGTGTGGCGGCCGTTTTACTGCAAACTTCTGGGTCCCAACCCCCATAGAAGCTTCTGAAAGCTTTTATGGGACAAGCAACAGGTCTTGGACCGCCTCCCCTCTCCTGACGAACACCACTTGCGCTTCACAGCCCCTTTCTCTTCAGAGACATGCACATCACCGACACGGACAGAAGCGAAACACGGGGGCTCATACCTCAACACAGTCCAATGAGCAGTTCAAATGCACCACCGCCACCCTTCTTGAGACAAGCTCCCGCAGTTAGGATAGGTCCCACTGAGGACCATGCAGGCTGCACGTCTGACCCAGCACCCTGTGGCGGCCCCTCAGCACATACAGTATCACACGCGTGCTCTGCAGAGCCCAGGCCAACCTACCTGGCCATCCATCTGCTTGTAGGTGATGTTCAGCTGCAGTCCCATGCTGGCCAGTAGGCAGGTCCCATTGGTACCGCTCACATTGTACTTGTCCACCGAGGGCACCTCAGGCGTGGGGGGTGGTGAAGGGTGGGGCGTTGTGGGTGGCACGGAGGTAGGAGCAGGCCCATCCTGTGCACAGTGTGTTTCTGTGGGACACAGGGACAGTGGCCGTGTGCAGGCAGGAACGTGCCCTCGGGTTCTCCAGGCCAGGCTGCCCGGCTCCTCCAAACCCCGCAGACACCTGCCTAGAAGTTCCCAGCAGATATGGCCTACCGTGCCCCCCTTCCGAAGACCCACCACTCAGCACAGCTCCTGGAAAGATACCTGCCATATACTTTCTGTAGTGGAGAGAAACCCCATCCCCTAACTTCTCCAAGTCAGCTCTGAGGGCACCTCCAGGACCAGGCAGGCAGAGGCATCATGGGCTGCTGAGGGCCTCACACACAAGCGCCAGTTCTAAGCAAACATTCCTCTAGCACAGCCCCCGCACAGCTCTGTTCGCAGGCGCCATGCAGTGCTGTGACAGGCCCAGCCAGATCCACATGCCTGGGCTGCAGCTGCGGACAGTGGCAACACCACAGGCCACAGTGGGAACCCAGCGGGCTGGCTCAGGGAGAGCTGAGCTTGTCACCAGCCACCCAGGGCTGCAGGGGGTCACATCTAGGGAGAAGAGGGAATGCTGCTGGGAGCAGCTTCAGAGCCCAGACCCACACCAGCATCGAGAAGGGGAGGCCAGCGCGGGCAAGTCTCAGGGAGAGCATGAGGCGTGGGGTGTGGTCTGGGAGGCCTCTTGGTACCTTGAGGCTGAGCAGCCTTGGAACGCGCACCTGTCCCATTCAGCCTGACCTGCCACTATTGCCCAGGCTCCTGCTTGGCATTAGGCGTGGAGCCCACAGCAGGTGGCGCCCGTGAGTCTCTTCCACAACAAACGCGACAGAAGCTGCCTGCTGGGAAGAGCTCAAGGAGAGCAGGCCACAGCCCAGTGTATCCCGTCCATTTCCTTGCTCAGCTTCGGGAACCACCAGGAAGCTGCGTGCTCTGTGTCAGGGCTTCTACTCAAAGCTTCTAGGAAGCTTCTGGGCACTGCCTTAGCGGCAACTCTGCTTCCTCAAGCACTCTCCTAGGAGCCAAGGCAGGTCTCGAACACACATCCGTAATCAAGTCCTGAAACATTCTGTACACCCACACATACCGGTTTTGTGGGGACAAAGTCTCTGAATGAAGAGCCTGAAAACTAGGGAGACGTGGGTCTGATGCGACCTGTAAGCACAGCTACAACCAGTAGTTCCAGAACAGTACAGCATAAACCAGCACCAACCACAACCACCAACCCGCAAGTGCCAGGAGGACAGTGATGCACCATAGAAAGACTGCACAGACCAACAATCCCTTTCCACGGGAAGAGGTGACGTGCAGCCTGCACGGCCTGACTCTGTCACAAACACCCACATCTTTCCAGCAAGGTCCCAGTGCAGGCAGAGACTCACACCCCATTAATGGCCTCTGGCAAGACCAGGGGTCCCCAGGGAGGCCATGGTCAGCCTGGGCACAACGGGTAGGTCAGGAGGTCTCAGGCCACACGGCCTCACTCCCAGATCTCCCAATAGTACAGAGTGCCCTGCAAGCTATGGAAAACTCTGTCATAAGTGTGGTGGGCCGTGAAGGTAGCTTCCCTGGGGCCTGGAAGATCTCCGCATGTGGAAGGCTGATTCAGTCTTCAGTCCTTGCTACTGACTGTACATCCTCCTATACTGTGCCACGTCAATCCCGCCTCCACCACCATCAAAACTGTAAAAATCCAACCCTGAGGAGTCATGGCAAGCAGAGGCTGCTGGGACCCTGATCCGGTCTGCCCCAACTAACCCAGTCAGAAACCTTGCTTGGAGGGGCTGGGCCCCTGCTTACTGGATTCTGCGGGTCCCAGGCCAAGCACCTCAGATTACTCCTCACGATCCCATCAGCCCCCACAAGCCTGGGGAAGACTCTTTAAGAACAGATGGGACTTCAACTCAGGCTTGACTTCCCTTGGTGGGGCTGGAAGTCCATGAGCTCGCTCAATGCGAAGGCCCTGTGGCCCACACCAGACAACACAGTGATGCAGCTCACCCACCCACTCGTGAAGGCCCCGGAGACCTGTGGCGGGTCAGACATTTCACAACACATCTTACGGGAACTGGACTGGCTCTGAGGTCAGGAGAGAGCTCAAAGAGCTGAGCACACACACCGAAAAAGGGGGGACCCTGAGAGCACAGCAAGCAAGACACCTGCCTTGCACATGGCTGACGAGGATTTGATCCCAGCACCCCAGAGAGTCCTGAGTCCCTGAGTCCAGAACAGAGCAAGCCCTGAGCACAGTCAAGTGTGCTCCCCCACCACCCCCACACCCCAAATAATGGAAGTGCCAAGCACAGGCTTTGTCCTTCAAGTTCAATCCCTGGCATAACCTGAGCCCCAGAGAGGTCCCTGAACAGAGCCAGGAATCGCTCCTGAGCACCACCAAGAACAAACAGTAAACTGACCTACTGGCTGGGCTGGAGAAAGAGTACAGTAGGTAGGGTGTCTGCCTTGCGTGAGCCCAAGCCGGGTTCAAGCTCTCGCATCTCATATAGTCCCCTGAGTACCATCAAGAGTGATTCTTGAGTACAGAGCCAGCCAGATGCGGCTCATAAACAAAAAAATCAACTTAATGCAAATACACGCATTCAACTAATTTTGTCGTTGTTTGGGGGCCATACCCAGCAGTGCCCAGGGGATCAAACCCAGACTGCGTGCAAGGCAAACACCCTATACCCACAGTATCCTCTCTGCTTAAACACGCAATAATTCTTAGATCAGAATGCATGACCAGAGGCCAAGGACACACCACCTGCTTTGAATGCGGGAGTCCCTGGGCTCACTCTCCAGCACCACGCAGACCAATAAAGCAAGCCACAGCAGAACAGGCTAGGGGAAAAGCATTTCGAACATTTCACACAGGCTCTTTTCCCCGAGGAGAGCAAAATGTAAACTTACACATACACTTATGTGCATTTGAAAAAAGTGTTGAAGATAAAAAAGAAAAGCTCGGAGAGCAGGACAGGTGCACAGCGCACTCGGCCACAGTCCGAACCCTGGAGGACCCTGACCCCGGCATACCTGCTCCTGCTCTGGTCCCTGGTGCCACCACTAATGTCCAGCTACAATACAGTCAGTTGGGCACTAGAGCGCTAAAGCCCTCAACAAGCACCACAGCCCCAGCTGCGTGAGCAGCAGGCTAAGGCACGGCCGCAGAGGTCACCAAGAGCACCAGTCGCTGCCTGCCAGGCCTCGGCTACACACAAGCATTTGGGAGCACACCAGGGAGAGCAAGTGCACACGAGTCTGATCATCACAACCACCTCAAACGACGACGACAGGGAAGGGGCGTGGGAGGCACCAAGGTCAGATCTGCACCGTGAAGAACCAAAGCAGTGAAATGGGTAGAGGAGACAAACTGCCATTCCAGAAGAACCACCCAAGACCCCCAGCAACGACACAACTGTGAGGAATACAGGCTGGCTCATGGAGACAGCTGATGCCCGCCAGTCCATGGTCCCTTCGGCCCTGATCTCTGGGGCCCAGAGACACCTTCCATCCCTCCTCAGGGCCCAACCCCAGGAAAGAGCTGGTCAATAAGGTGAAGCCCTGGGTGATTTCCAGGGGTGAGAAAAGGAGGAGGAGGCGGGGGGGGGGGGGTGTGGGGAGAGAGAGAGAGAGAGAGAGAGAGAGAGAGAGAGAGAGAGAGAGAGAGGAGGGAAGAGGGAGGAGGAATTAGGGAGAGAGAAGTATGATGCTTGGGCAGCTCTGAGTGTTCCATGGGCTTTTGCCTCCTCTGTACCCCCACTGCTGGCCCAGATGACTCAAGATTGGCCAGATCAGGAGAATGTGAGGTCCCAGATCCACAAAATCCAGCTCGCGCCAGGGCAGAACCAGACAGCTCAGTTCAAGCTGGCCTCAAGGAACTACACTCTGGTCCCCTGAATCCCCTCCAGAAGAAGATTCACTGTTCCGAGTCACTAAATGTGGTAAGTCCTGCTTGGCACTGGCTGGGAGTGCCCTGGCTTGGTTTTGCCCATTTACCTCTTCTGGTCAACAGAGACACAAAGTGCATGTGTGTGGCAACTGGACCTGGTTTGGGGGTGCCTGCACCCAGGACGCACAAAGCTACAGCTCAGATTCTATACAGAGATGAGCAGGGCAATGTGGCACATGAAAGAAGGTGGGAGAGTGGCCCTCTGAGGCAGGGTGAGAACTTGCTCTCTTCTCAACATCACGGAGCGCAGGGGGTGGCGGCCCATGACACACCCCAAACTGCAAACGTGTGGGAAGGCCCCACCAGGTCACATTTGGGACAGGGTATGCCTCGGTCTGTCCCTGGCACACAGGACACCTCGTCCTCCGTGAGAAGAGGCGGGGGTGCAGGTCATTCACTGAAGGCTGCCGAGGCAGGTCAGAAACCCAGGGCGATAGTGGGTGGCAGGTACCTGGACAGCAGGTACTACTGGGGCCCTCCTAGTCTGGGCCCACCACTGGCCGACAGACTGGGGCCCACCCTGATGCTCAGCAGCTCTGGCCACCACCGAGAAAGAAGGCCCAGGGAAGACAGGGTGAGGAGTTTACCTTCCCGGCTGAAGGTGCTGTTGGAAGGGTACGCCTGGATGGTGGCATTGCGGAATTCGGCAATGACTCCAGGACTCATGGGGATCAGATGCCTGCTGGCACACATGTATTTTTTGTCTATGTCTGCTGTGATGTCGGTCTGGGAATCCACAATTCTGCGTTCTAAATTGAAGAAACAAACATGCTTTAGAACTCCTGGCAGCACTTGGTGACACGTCATTTCAAGATACACTCTGAGCCCAATCTTCCCCCGCTTTGTTTGAGTTTGGAGTCTTACCCGTGGTACTGGCATTGGGGAAAACAGACGTGTCTGACAAGTTATAAGAAAGACTCATCTTCTGGACACTGTATTGAGTTGCGTTTCTTCTGAAATTGAGGGTCAAGATATGCTGTTTTCTCAGTGCAATCACAAGGCTGGACTCAGAGGCATTCCCACAGAAGCTGCTGTTCAACATTTGGTCACTGGATTGCAGGGTCAAGGTCGCATTCTAGAACAAGCACAGTGGTAACAGCACCCAGTTAGAACACAGGTTACCGAAGGGGTTCGCCAACACCAGGCAGTCTGCCAGATGTCTGGAGTCTGGTATGAAACGAGGCAGGTTTGATCTCAGGGGTCACTGCTCAGGGAGTCATTTCCATGAGAAACAAAAGTCAGAATCAGCACAGCATGTAAGAGACCAAATAGCAATTCACAGGAAAGACAGCTGACATAAATAATAAATTGAAAAATGATTCAAAAATGGCCTTAAAATTGAAAAAAATCATTCAAACAGATCAGTTTACAATTCATCAACAAAAATTTTAACAGACTGAAACAAGTCCGTTAAGTTTTAACTAATCTTCGTTAACTAACATGGCCTTTAAGATGTTTGAAAACAATCACTTCGACTTCCTTTGCTACAGACATGCAATCTGATAAAGTCTCTCCCAATAGGACACGGCATTCATGTCCCTGCAGCGGCACAGCGCAGTCGGTGACCAGCAAAGCAGAAACCAGAACCTGTGCAGGCCCATTCACGTGCTGGGGCTGGCCTGTCCTTCCTCCAAGGTCCTCCCAATGAAGCTGTGCTTGGGCAGTAAGGGAGGATCCGGCAGAACCACAAACTAGCCCATCTGGGTTATGAAATTCACATAAAAACAGAATGTGAAAAAAAATACAAGAAGCAGGACAACAGGGGTGTGACAGAACTCAGTGAGGACCTGATCCCTCCCTGCTGGCAGCTGCCACCGGGCACAGAAGAGCAAGCAAGTGTATGAGGGACAGGCCCCGGGTCAGGAGGCGCACAAGGACAGCAGAGTAGACGGCCCAGGCCTAGCAGTCCCCTGGGAGCGAGGAGAGAAGACAGTTCGGTCCCGTGGAATATACATGGAAAAAAGGCAGTTTCCAAGGAAGAGTCAAAAATAGAACGTGTTTGAGGGTTGAATGAAGAAACAGTAGTTAAATATCACGCACAGTGGCTTTCATCTTTTTCTTTCTTCTTTCCTAGTGTGTCTGTACCTCTTAGCTTCCAGGGCTTGGGAAGTATCTGACTTTGGGGCTGAGGAAGTCTATGGGGTTTGTTTTGTGTGTCAGGATAGAACCCACAGCCTCACGCATGCAAGCATCTCCTCCACTCCCGAAGGACTCCTCGGAGCACAAAGTCAAGCCATCGACCAACAAGTAAGAAATTCTACCCAATAAGTGACATTCAGAGGGCTGGAGAGTTCAGCAGGTAAGGCGCTTGCTTTAGTTCAATCCCTGGCATCCTATATGGTGTCTCGAGCAATGAAAGGAATAGTTCCTAAGTGCAGAGCAAGGAGTGACCCTTGAGCATTGCTGGGTGTAATCCCCCCCGCCCCCGGCCCAAAAAAGAGGCACGTTTAGAGCACTGCACAGAAAACTCTTCACAAGTGACTCCCAGAGATGAGTGGAGGAAGTTCAACAGACCAAATGGTTACAGTCTTTGAGGAAGTTTCTGTTCATATTTTTCTCCCATTTTTTGATGGGGTTGGATTTTTCTTGTAAAGTTCCAGCAGTGCCTTATACATCTTGGATATTAACCCCCTATCTGATGGATACTAGATAAATGATTTTTCCCATTCCATGGGTTGTCTGTATCCTGATCACCATTTGTTTTGAGGTGCAGAAGTGTCTTAGTTTAATGTAGCCCCATTTTATCTTTGTTTCCACTACTTGGTCAGTGGTGGTTCATCCTTTAAGGGATCTTCAGCTTCACGTCATGGGGGGGTTCTGCCTACATTTTCCTGCATGTACCTTATGGATTCAGGTCTGATACCGAGGTCTTTTTAATCCAGTTTGACCTGACTTTTGGGCCTGGTGTCAGAGAGAAGTCGGAGTTAAATTTTTTTTTTTTTGCATGTAGCTGCCAGTTTTCCCACCACCACTTCAAGAGGCTTTCTTCCCACTTCTTGCTTCTTTATCAAAGATTAAGTGCACAAATGGCCACAAGGATGTGAAAAAAACGCTCTACACTGCTAGTCATCAGCGAGATGCAAATCAAAATAACAAGGAATTATCTCACATCAGAGACTGGCACATATCAAAAAGAACAAGAACAACCAGTGTTGGCACGGATGCAGGGAGATAGGGACTCTCCTTCATTACTGGTGGGTATGTCGACTGGTCAAGCCTTTTTGGAAAGCAACGAGGACATTCCTCATAAAACTAAACATCGAGTTTCCATTTGATCTCATCCAGTAATACCACTACTAGGGAATATGTCCCGGGGAGCAAAAACACAGCAGAAATGCATTCTGCACTTCAATGCTCACTGAAGCACTATTCATAATATCCAGAATCTGGAAACAACTTGAATGCCCAAGAACAGACAATGGTTAAAGAAATTACGGTATATCTATACGATGGAATATTATGGAGCCACCCAGGCAAGATGAAGTCATGAAATTTGCTTATACATGGAAGGACATGGAAAGTATTATGCTGAATGAATTGAGTCAGAGAAGGACAGGCATAAAATGACTGCACTTACTTTTGAGATAAAAACAAAACAAAAAAAACATGGAGGGGCACAGAGCATTAGAGCAGGCAGGGCACTTGCCTCAAACATGACCGACCTGGGTTCAATTCCCAATACCCCATATGGCTCCCTGAGCCCCGCCAGGAATGATCCCTGAACACAGAGCCAGCAGTCAGTCCTGAGCACTGCCGGGTATGGTCCAAAAACTCACACAAGGGGCTGGAGCAATAGCACAGCGGGTAGGGCGTTTGCCTTGCACGTGGCCGACCTGAGTTCGATTCCCAGCATCCCATATGGTCCCCTGAGCACCACAAGGAGTAATTCCTGAGTGGAGAGCCAGGAATAACCCCTGTGCATTGCCAGGTGTGACCCAAAAAGAAAAAAAAAAAATCCTCACACAAATAAATAAAAACGTAGTATGAGACTAATACCCAGGAACAGAAGAAATTAAATTTAATCCCTTAGGGTCCCCCCCAAGTGCTCACTCAGAAGATCCAAAAAACAAAACCAGAAAGATGCCTATACATACTGAGCTGCACCATGGCCAAGAAAGATAGCACAGACACTGAACAACAAGAAACCCAGGGAGGGCCAGAGCACCAGCACAGCAGGTAAGGTGTTTGCCTTGCACGCGGCTGACCTGGGTTCGATCCCTGGCATCCCATATGGTCCCCCAAGCACCGCCAGGAATAATTCCTGAGTGCAGAGCCAGGAGTAACCTCTGAGCATCACCGGGTGTGACCCAAAAAGTTAAAAAAAAAAAACCCAGGGAATCATTGATTGTGGTGCTTGGCGGGAGTGAGGGATTAACCCTGGCCGACCTTGGACAAGGCAGGAAAGGGCAGCGCAGGCAAGGAGAGCAAGGAGCAGACTATTCAGAACAGCTGGTACAGCCCTCGCTCCTACCTGAGGACTAGAACCACTTGCGTTGTAGTTGATCCAGAAGGTCACGGAGAAATTAGCCATGATACACGCTGTCCCATTGGAGTCTTTCACCACAAACGCCGCTGCTCCGTACACGAGGCCTGCAGAGTCCCGGAGAGAAAGTCAGAGGGTTCCCAAGACCGTGATGAACACAGCCGTAGCCAAAACAGGCTGAGACTTCTCCATCCTGCAAGGGCTCAGGACCACACTCCTCCGATCTGCCCTCATGTCCCTGCACTCCAATCTCACTGCCCTGGGGCACCCTCTGGGGCTCAGAAATGTCCACACCCGGAGTGGGCTCATCTTCCCCACGGAGAAGCAAGCTGCTTGGGAGACCGCTCAGGTGCACACACCCAAGCAGCAGAAAGGGCACTGCAAGCCGTCCCCACTGTGTCCGAAGGGTGGGGCCTTGGAATGCTGCAGCTGCAAGCCGCCCCAGGGCACAAGCACAGTCCCTGTGGATGGTCAGGACCCAAGAGACTTGAGGGCAGCCCCCAGGCACCCGACGGCTTCCATTCCAGGCACCTCTCCGACAAGGTCAAAGAACCCAATTACTTCCCTTAAAGGCCTGTCGCAAAATACCTTTCAAAGCTGACTCCTACTCAGATCCAAGGCCAGGGACTCCCCAAAGGCTACCAGCTTCCCACAAACGGGCCTGCCTGCCGGGTCCATCCCCCGCTGCTCCCTGGGGCAAGACCCGACCCAGGCACTCAAGTGCGGGGCGTGGCAGTGCGTCGGAAGCCTTGGGTCCAGGGCAGAAAGGTCCTGTGTCGGAGTGGACGAGCGCTTCCATCCAAGGGGCAGAAGCACCTTCCAGCCACCGCGCAGGGCCCGGCAGGGGAGCGCCCCCGGGCGCAGGGACTCGGTCCTTGCCAGGCTGATCCCACAACTCGGCTCCCAGGGTCTCCAAGGACACGCCCACCGCGCTGGCCACGTGTGCCGCCCACGTGAGCGGGTTCTCTCGCCAGCCCCAGGCGGAAGCCAGGCCGGAGCGGAGAGCGGGCCGGGTCCGGGAGGGCCCAAGACGAGCCCCGGCGAGCCCGGAGGGGCCCGAAACGTCCGACCGCGAAGCCAGGAAAGACGCGCCCCGGAAGCCAGTTCTGCTCGGGGCTGCGGCGGCTCAGGGCACGGCGCGGGAGGGCGGCCTGGGCGCAGCTGCACCCCACAACCGCCCCCCCGCCCCCCGGGCTCTGGCTTCTGGGGAGGGGCCGGCGGCCGGTCCCGGGACCCCCGCCCCCGGGTTCTCGGGAGCACCGGAGCGCCCCTCCTGCTCGGGGCCCGCGGGCGCCGAGGTCGGTCGAGGCCGGCCCGGGCCGAGCGGCCCGAGAACTCGGCGCGCGGGCCCGACCCGGCCGCCCCCCAGCGGCGGTTCCACGCGGGCCCGTTTCCCGGCTCGGAGACGGGGCGGGCGGGAGGGGCGCGGCGGGGCGCGGTCGGCTCCGAGCGGGGCTTACGCAACGCGGGTCCCCTCGGCTCGCCGGGCCGCCCGCGCCTGAGGGCCGCCGTGGGGGCGCCCGCGCCTGAGGGCCGCCGTGGGGGCGCCCGCGCGTGAGAGACGTCGTGGGGGCGCCCGCGCCTGAGAGACGCCGTGGGGGCGCCCGCGCCTGAGGGACGCCGTGGGGGCGCCCGCGCGTCGGGGGCGCCGCGTGAGGGGCGCCGCGGCGGCCGAGACCCTTCCGGGCAGGCCCGCCCGCCGCCCCAACGGCCCCGCGCCCCGCCTCACCGAGCAGCAGCAGCAGCAGCGGGCGCCGGGCGCCGCCGGGAGCCTCCATGGCGCGAGGGCCGCGGGCCGGGAGCGGGCGGGCGCGGCGGGGCGAGGGCGCGACGACGGGCGGCGTCCGGCGCTCTCCGGGCCCGGCTGCTGGCGGCGGCGCCCGCGGACGAAGGAGACCCGCAGCCGCGCGTCACGTGAGGCGCGCCGCGCCCGCGAGGTCACGTGAGGACGCGGCTCTCGCGAGAGCGCGCGCCCGCCGCGTCCTCCGGGCGGCCACGTGACCGCCGGGCCGCGGGCCGGGGGAGGGGGCGGCGGGGGCGGGCGCGCGGGCCGGGGGCACCCGCGGCGGGCGAGGCGGGAGGCTGACCCGGCCGGGAGGCGAGAATCCGCGGGCGGGACCCCGGGGCGGGCGCCGGATGCCCTCTTCCGGGAGGGCGCCTCGGGAGTAGGAACTGGAGCGGGAGGGACGGAGGGAGGAAGGTGACCCGCACTTCGATGTCACAATCCAGGTGGGGGTTTAAGGTCGGGCGACCCGGGGCCTGCGGAGGGGCAGGTGATGCACGCCTGCCGGGCGAGGTGCCCGGCGCCGCAGTGCCGCCTCCCGAATCCCGCCGGGGGGGACTCCTGAGTGTCGAGCCAGGAGTCGGCCCTGAACCCAAACCCGAAACCCAGTGGTGGGGAGGGGGCAGAGGTACACGTTCTCCCAAGCCCCAGAGGAGCGGCCCCTGAGCGCAGCACGAGCGAGCACTAGCACCACCGGCCGCAGCCCCAAAACCAAACCAAAAGTCTGGGCCAATCTTGGACTTCAGACCGTTCATTCCTTGTTTGTCCTCAGGGGTCCGGAGACTGCATGCTGGTTTGGTTCTGGGGACCTGCGGAGCCTTCCAGGACCCGTGTTTCCAGCCCCAGGGCCCCAGCTGAAGAATCTGTTGCTTCCTCTTCCCAGCCAGCGTGCAGTTCTCTGTTCTTTACTTTGTGTACCTCCCACGTGAACGGCAGATGCAGGGGCTCAGAGTAGCCCCAGCCCCATCATTTCTCCTCGTGCGGTTTCTCAGGACGAAGGACAAGCCCTAGCTTGGTCCCCGCATACTCTATTGGGGACACAAGGTATGCGGGCATGGCTGAGGCAAAAAATTAAGGCCTGCCATGTGCGAGCACACGTGGGAGGCCTGACCCGGGTTTTAGGGAACCTTTTGGATTTGGTTGAGTGGCCCTGACCCACTTAGATTTGCACTGGATACAGCATTTTGCTAACATGCACTGTGTGGTGCTCTGCCCAGCACCTTTTTCCGGGGGCACTTTGGAGCGAGTGCATTTGTTGGTGCAGCCAGCACAGGGTGCCACAACCCCAGGGCTCGCTCCCACTCTGTCCAGAGGCTGCACGTGTGTGGCCCATTTTTTAAAAATTGGCGATTGTTGAATTAAAAACATAAGCAGAGATGGTGCAGAGGCTAAGATTCTTGCCCTGAAATTGCCTATGCTAACTAGCACCCCAACACCAAAACTTATGCTTTGTTTTATGGAGTATATTAGGTAATGCTCAGGATTTACTCCTGGCTCTGCGTTCAGGGATGACTCTGGCATGGGTTGGGATACCAGCCTGGTTGACCATGTGCAAGGCAAGCACCCAACCTGTTGTACTCTCTGGCCCAAATGTTTCTAAATAGTGTGGTTTACTGCATGAAAAGCATTGTCCATCACAGTTGGTAAGAATTTCGTTTTTAATGTATTTCTGTGGCACTGCTGTTGAACTCGGGACCACCCCCATGCAAGACTGCTCCATTGTGAGCCACTAATGCAACGTGGCTTTATGTGGCTTTTTTGAGTGAAGGTTATAATGTGTTGATCAGAGCTAATCAGTATAAGACTAGTATTCATGCATAACATCTCAGAAAAACATCATTCTTTCTTAGAGGAAATACATTCTGCAGGGGCGGAAGTGATAGTATGGTGGGCAGGACATTTGCTTACATGTGGCTGACCCAGATTCAGTCCTCAGCGTCACATATGGCCCACTGACCCATACTAAGAGTGATCCATGAGCACTGTCAAGTGTGGCCCCAAAACCAAAAAAAGAAAAAGTTTCAAAGTCTACGTGTGTATGTGTGTGTGTGTGTGTGTGTGTGTGTGTATTTTAATGGCAGAACTTCTACTATATAAAGTAAAATCACCTACTTGGGACTGCCAGTGGTGTGCTCAAGTCCAGTAACACAAACAACTCAGCTTCCTTGCATGCAGCCAACCCTGGTGTGCCTCCCAGCAACGTACAGTCCCCCGAGCATGCCAGGCGTGACCTCTACACACCATCCCCCTGAAAAAGGAGATTTGGCTGGAGCAGTAGTGTGTGTAGTGGGTACTGCATCTGTCCTGCATGCCCCCATTCTGGGTTCAATCTCTGGCACTCCATATGGTGGCCAAGCACAAAGCAAGAAGTAACCCTGGAGCTGGCTGCGGCCAACAAACCAAAAAAGCACACGCCATTTCTCACACAAGCTGCCTGATCACCGCTCACGGGCTCTCGCTGGGTGACGATCGGCGACGCAGCCTCCCTCGCCCTGTCAAAGCGCCCGCCTCTGAGCGGCTGCTCTCCCTTCAGCACTTTCTCCTTTCCAGGAAGGGTTTAAACTGCAGTGACCTTCCCGGTAGAAACGGGAACTCTCAAAGGAGAAGCAAACTCACTTTCTTTACAGCCAAGGTAGGGCAGGGCAGGAGTCCCTGCGCGCCTTTCCTGCCACCCCCATAGGCAAGTCTCCCTGGATCTTCCCAGGGCCCCACCCACCGGGTGGCTGGGTACATGGTGCAAGGCAGGAACAGACAGTGGCACAAAGGCCCGTGTGACATGTGGAGTCAGGTCAGTGCAGCATGAAGCCAGGCTTGTTCCTGATCCACCCAAGAACCTCGTTTCTTCTGACAGGACAAGCAGCCAAGATGGAAACGCGAGGACACAACGCAAGTTCACTCCAAACAGTGCTTCCCTAAGGAGGAAGCTGCCTGTCCTTTTTTAAATTTGGGGGTGGGGGGGCTGGATTTAACCCAGGCTGCCAGGTGTTAGGCCAGTGCTGATCTGCGGTACTCTCTCTGGTCCCAGCTAAGTGTAAGCACTTGGCACTATAAATTCCCTTTAGCCACATCCATGTTGTCTTCCAAGTTACTCTAAAGGTAAGGTAAGGTAAAGGCCCTCCCGTTGATCGTCGATTTGCTCGAGCGGGCCCAGTAACGTCTCCATTGGAGACTTTGTTGTTACTGTGTCTGGCATATCGAATACTCTCGGTAGCTTGCCGGGCTCTCCGAGAGGGGCGGAGGAATCGAACTCGGGTCGGCCATGCTGGCCGCTTGTAAGGCGAACGCCCTACCCGCTGTGCTATCGCTCCAGCCCAAGTTACTCTATTCGTTAATTTTCCTGACTCGTAGGTTGTGTAGATCTTCTGACTCCGAATGCCCGGTTGACTTGTCTGCCACTGCCACGGCACCATCGGATCTAAGTGTGCTATTAGAGCGTGACGTGTACTTCTTTGGGGAACCAGAAACCCTGTGCATTCCCGGGCTTTCCTGCCCGCCTGGTAGTTGGCTTGTGGCCACAGGACAGTCCTGGTGGACCATGTGGACCCTCAGGTGGGAGTCAGGCTGACTGTGCCTCTTTGTCCCACACACTACAGACTTGTGGTTACGTGGCCCCCATTCCAGGGGCTGGGCCTTTGCTGCTTTCTCCCCACTCGTATCTACCCACAGGTCTTTTCCTGTCCTGTGTGCCCTCCAGCTGACTTTCCGGGAGTCTGGGAATCTTTGCGGCGAGTTGAATTTTGGCTGCTCCCTGACTAGTCTGCCCTCACGCACAGGACCCAGACCAGCCTCACTTGCACCATGGCCCAGTTCAGAGGCCCATTCCCCACGGGCCTTATGCTCTAGGGTTGCAGACACCATTTGTTCCATGACTGCAGTGCAATGTGTGTGCACACCCCTGCCCAGTCTTGTCACTGTGTTCTCTGTGGCTGCTCCTGAATGTGCCCAGAGCTGCCTGGTAGAGGCCTGTGCCTGCTGCGCCAGTTACCAGTCACGAGCCAAGTCTGGTTTTGGTGCCTGGAGATCATTCAGGGGCAGCGCTCAAGGTCCCTGTGCATGTTGTGACTGAATCAGAGTTGGCCATGTGCAGAGCCAAGCACTTTCTCCCTTACTTGCAGCTCCCCTTCTAGCCATGAACTTCTGTAAGCTTTAAGTTTGCCCGAGACCACCACACCCACAGGCCCGTCACGCTGCACCTCTCAGCTGCCAAGACACAGGACATAGCCCAACTGCTGACCCGCAACTCACTTGTCAACACAACCCCAGCCTTTCTCCCTAACCTGAGGTAGGGATGGTGGCAGGTGGGTGGTCAGGCAGCCTATAAGGAACAGTTCCCCCTAACTGGCTCCTCACCGGTGGTCCAAGCCCACAAGGCCCCACTCCATCTCCCACCTGTCTGCAGGTGGACATGGCTACCTCCCAGCTGCCTGCAAGCTGCCTCTGACCCTGGGACACAGCCTGCTTCCAGCTGTGCCCTGCTACTCACCCCCAAGCCCCACCGATCACTATTGTAAAGGTGTGTCTCATCTGTGGCTCCTTGCCTGACCCCACACACCCAGAGGCAGCTGAGTCCAGGGGCCCAAGAAACCGCCCCATCCCCTCCAGGAGGATCCTGGCTCCAATTCAACGAGATGTCATTGTGGGAATCAACCTCAGCCTCTACGGGTGACCCTCACCCATGTGCCGTGTGCCGAGGCTGGCCCCAGATAACTTCCTTGGACTTTCCACAGGGACTATTGCTCCCCTTCAAATGTGGACCTACGGCCATAGCCTCACCTGTCCACATCTGGGAACAGCACAGCCTCACCTCTCTGAACTCAGGACAGTACTGCCTCACGTGTCCACACTCGCAGGGACGATACTGTGTCATCTGTTCTCAGACAGGTCAAGCTCGGCTGCAATCTAGCTGGAGCAAAAGTTCCCACATGTGGGCTGAACTGATAGTACAGGGGGCAGGAGCTTATCCAGACAAGCTTGCTCCGGACCCTATAGGGCCAACCTGGGTTCAAACACCAACATGTCATATGGTCCCCGAGAACTGCCAGGTATGGCCCCAAAACAGAAACAAAACAAATCCATGAACGCCCACTCACTTGAGCTTCCTTTCCTCAAGTCCACGGTGAAGAATGTCACAAGTCTCTTGGGCAACACTTTTCTGTCACTCGAGCTCTGGTCTTGTTTTCAACACGAGTGCCACCAGCAAGTCCTTTCCTCAGCAGCACCAACAGGGCATTGCTCAGTGCTGGAAGCAGTACTGCCCCCGCCCCCAGGCTTGTTCATCCCTGGTCCCAGGGCCTTGGCAGGGAATTGTGGCTTCACGTGTGGCAGAATCCATGCCACAACACGGGATATGTGAGGTAAGTCATGCCTTTTCTCTTTTGGGTCCACATCCCCAAGTCACTGATAACGCTTTCTCATACACAGTCTTGCCCGGCATTTTACTTTCTGGGGCTGCTGATGTAGACAACCTGCTCCCTGGCCTAGCTGGGGCAGCGGACTCTTCAGACCCAACTTCCTGGGTGCTCCTCACTGGATGGCTCACCTCTGTTCCTGGTGCATCAGATTTCCCTGGACGGTTTTGCTGCTCCCAGCTCCCGCAGCCTTTCTGGCCTCTAGGCCTTGCCTTAATCCCATCTTTATTCTGGCACCTCCATCGTGGAACGGGTGTGAAAGGTGCCGCCTGCAAGGAACAGGAAATAGGGTGCAGCAGACAGTCCCATGGGGTCACAAGGGCCCCCAGGACAGGATCCTCAAGGGCTGGGCCATGTCCCTTACATCTGACTCTCGCTGTTGGCCGTGACAGGAACCTGATGTTGCTCAAGAGCTATGAGGAATGTTCGACACCACCAAATTTTATTAATGCCACGTTAAGGCCAGTTAATATTATTCAGAGTAAGTCTACATCAAATTACAGTTAACAATCTCTACAGACAATGAACCTAAAATATAAGTAGGAAATCTATTTGGTCTTTTGTAGACCCTATATTACGGAACTCACAACAGAAAAGCTACAAATATAGAAATAACGAGGATATGAAAAGTGAGGACTTTCTTGGGGAACCTGGGAGATGCCATATTCTAAACACGCATGTTTCAAAAAGGGAAGATCTTTTAATAATTTAGCACAAAGTCAAATGATAGAAAGTTGGTCTTTTCCAGAAAACACTGCTGAAACACGCATACCATGATCACATTCCTTTGGTAGCTTTACTCCCATGAAACATGCTCCACCCTGTCTCCAGAGAGGGGCTCGGCCTGAGTGGCACACGCGCCAGCCATTACTGCTCACCTCACCTGCACAGACACAACAGGAAACCAGGTGCCAACAAACTGTTTAATCTTTCCACAAAGCAAGAGCCACACCCCAGTGTTCCCCTCCAGGGTCTGTCTCGGTGGGTCGGTGAGGCCACCCCAATGCAGGTCCCTGAGTCCGCCCACGCCATCACCACGAAGGGCAGGCAGCTGGTGTCATGCAGACGGGTGCTGCAGGACCCCAGAACAGCAGGGCACACACAAACGGTGGCCCCTGCGGAGGATTTACGAGAGGCACTCAGCTGACACGGTCCAGGGCCCCTGCTGGCCCACCAGGCTCCAGGCCCCTTGGCACAGAGTCTCACTGAGAAACCTAATTTGTAAAAAAGTCATCCAAGTGGAAAAAGTCTGGAAATAAAGCAAACAAACAGATGCCAATACTCAGGCTGCATAATCGACGAGCCAGTTGGAAACACTGACTACTTCTTCCTAATGTTCGCCAACGAAGAGTTGTTGTTTTAAATCTAAGCGTCCATCAGCTAAGACCATCTGTATCGGGAATACCTAAGACATCTTTGTAGCCAAAGAATGCAGCATGTAGGGTCTTTTAATTGTGCATTCATGATCACACACACAAACCAAACCGCAGCATTTCTGCCCCCGGAACAAGACCTTATAGAGAAACCTCTTAGCTAATACCTTCTTGTCCAATCTCAAAGTCATTCTGCACAGAGAACAGAAAAATTTGAACGCTCAAAAGAACAAGAGGAAGTGAGGGGAGAAGAGTCGGACACCATCTGTGAATCCAGAAGCCTTGTGGGGGGTGCAAGAGCCAGCTCCTCTCCTCCAAGACATGCGCCCCACTGGCTCAGCCCCCCATGTCCGGGAGCAGCGCACCAGGCCGATTGGAAGGTACATTCTTGTGTCACACGGAGAAGCCTGCCACATCAGGCCACGTAGTGGTACTGGTTGGGGCTGTCCTTGTCCCTCTCCATGTAGTCTCTGTCTATGAGAGACTCAATCCTCTTCTTCAGGTCTCCAGGCTGCAGAGGGACAAAGGACCCAGTTACACGCAGGGAGACACACAGACCAGAGTGTACATGACTGTCACACACGCGTGATCACACAACAGAATCCGTGTGAGCTCCTGCTCCTGGGGCTGGCAAAGGAGTGCAGGGTCTCCACCAGCTTCCCCGGGTTAGGGGTCTCGTGGCTGGGCAGGAAGCCGGCCTTTGCCAGCACCAGCACAGCTGTTTGCAGGGGAACCCACCCCTCCCCAAATTCCTCGTCCTCTTACTGCTTTCACTCCCTATGCTATGTTGGCAGCATGGAACGAGCCCAAGTCCCGTGAATGACTGGGGTATCAGCACTTCCATGATCCACAAGGGGCAGGCCTAGGTGACAGAGGTGAGCCAGCCTCTCAAGACAGCCTGCCACCCGAGCACAGCAGTCACTGCTCCTCAGTGTGGCCTGACCGGACACATGTGCAGGGCTCCGGGGAGCACATGAGACCAGGGAGTGTGCACCTGCTACCATGCATTTCACTTTCACTTTGCCTGCAGGGAAGGGGGCACACTGCCTACTCGTGGATGGGATGCGGAGTGCGCAGCACACAAAACTTCGCGTAGATTTTGCTTGTCTGATTTTGGGGCAATGCCAACCATGCTCGGCCACCATATGGACTGCCAGGGACCATATGTACCACAGGGGATGTGGGGTGGGGTGGGGTGGGTGGGTCCCCGGACTCCATGCAAATGTGTTCAGTCCCTGCAGAAAGCTGTTTTGGGGTTTTGCAGGGGCTCCTCCCGGCTGTGAGCGCAGGGAGGCCTCCTGCACCAAAGCCTGCTATCTGGGTGGGCAGAAGCGGCAGAAGTGTTCCCAGAAGCAGTGCGCATACTGTCAGCTGCCCATGTCCACCACAGGGCAGTCACAGCAGTGATGTGTCACAGGGGACCTGCGGCTGGCTCTGACAGGGAGAGAACATCAGTGCGTGCTACACTGTGGCATGGGGGACCGTTACCTTCACTGGGAACTTTAGCTGGTTGTACAGCTCAGAGACCAGAAGATTGTGGCTGAGGGTCTTTCTCATCTTCATGGTTCTGACGATTGCAGCATCAATCTGGTACTGCCGGTCCTGGAACACCCTCTCTGTGGTGCTGACCTGCTCCTCGACCTGTGTGGGAAGGAACAGGAGAGGTACAGACACATCTCAGCACCCTGCTGTCCTAGGTCCTATGCTTGTTCACAACTGCTAATCCACAGAAAGGCCAAACTTCATACCAAATCTGGCTATACATTGTAATAAAACCTCATTTCTCAAGAGCAGCATAATTCCAGTACCAAAAAAACAAACAAACAAACACAAAACAAAAAAAGGGGGTATAGTGCCGCCAGCAGGTCAATCTGTACCTGTGAGGTGAGTGCATCAGCAGCCTCATGGGGCCTTGAGACTTCCAGATACCCCAAAATTGCTGCTGTGCCTTTGGCCAGACCCCAAAAACTTGGGGCAAAGTTTACCAAGAAAGTAAACGGCCAAAAGTTAGGTATGTGGGAAACACACCCACAAACCACCTCCGGCTCAGCTATATAATTGGAGGCAAGGCCTCTTTGGTTCCTGATTGAACTGCTTAATGGCCATGATCCCAGAGACTCAGAAACGAATCTCGGAACCCAGCAGCTTTAGGTAGAAATGCATCCGGTCCCTGCAGTAGGCTACTGGTGCTGGGCCAACCCAGGTGGGAATAGGTTTCGTGCCTTGGCCTGTTCCCCCTGGCGGCCCAGTGGCTGCCATCCTTCTGAGGCCACTGGATAGTCACATTTGGGCCCCCAGTGACGAGACACACAGGGCCTCATGGGATGGGGGTGGAGCCGGGCTTGTCCTCCCCACCCCGAGACCCCAAGTCATCGCCCACGAATGGCCTCTCTGGCTCCTGATCCAGCTGCTTAACGGCCATAATCCCAGAGACTCAGAAACAAATCTCAAAACCCAGTGGCTTTTGGCAGAAATGCATCCGGACCCCCCAGAACGTTACTGTCGCCGGGCCACCCCAGGGAGGAAAGGGTGCTGTCCCTCCGCCTGCTCCCTCTTGGTGGCTTAGTGGCCGTCATCCTCCAGAGGCCATTGGACAGTCAGGCTTGGGCCCGCAGTGACGAAACTTGTTGGGCCTCACGGGATGGGATGGAGCCGGGCCTGTCCTCCCCATCCCAACGAGACCCCAAGTCATCGCCCACGAACGGCCTGGCCTCTCTGTCTCATCAAGCTGCTCAACGGCCTTGATCCCAGAGACTCAGAAACAAATCTCAAAACCCAGCGGCTTTTGGCAGAAATGTGTCTGGACCCCGCAGTAAGTTACTGTTGCCGGGCCACCCCAAAGGGGAAAGGGTGCTGTCCCTCCGCCTGTTTCCTTCTGGCGGCTCGGTGGCTGTCATCCTCCAGAGGCCACTGGACAGTCAGGCTTGGGCCCGCAGTGACGAAACTTGTTGGGCCTCACGGGATGGGATGGAGCCGGGCCTGTCCTCCCCACCCCAACAAGACCCCAAGTCATCGCCCACGAACGGCCTCTCTGGCTCCTCATCAAGTTGCTGAACGGCCATGATCCCAGAGACTCAGGAGCAAATCTCGAAACCCAGTGGCTTTTGGCAGAAATCCCTCCAGATTTAAGTGTTAAAATTTCGAAATTTCAAAACCACATGGCCCTACTGCAGCCACGCGACATCATATGTTATTCATAACCAGCAATAGAACACAAATTATCTATTGTTGCCTTTTCAGCAGATCTGAGTGTTGGGGTAAAATCTCAAATAATAATGGTGGGTCTGGTGTCGAAACATTGAATGTGATCAAAGTAGAGAGTAATGTGGAAATCATCTGCCCCACAGGTAGGGGGAGGGTGTGGGATGGGGGCATACTGGGGTTTTTGGTGGTGGAGAATGGGTACTGGTGAAGGTATGGGTGTTTTATTGTATGACCGAGACTTAGACCCAAAATCTTTGCAACTGCTCTCACGGTGATTCAATAAATAAAATTATGAAAAATGAAAAAAACAAAACAAAAACAAACAAAAAAAACTTACCAAGCTGTATTCCCTTAAAACAAAATAAAACAAACAAAACCCCCCCCTGCAATTCTATAGTGGCATAATGAGTCCAGCAGCACAGAACAGAACTCATCACCACTACAGCATTCACTCCAGAACATCAGCTCTGTTCCACATCAGGGAGCTGCCAGCCTGCCATGTGCAAGTTATCCCGAGAGACGCAGCAAAGGTACAAGAGCGGAGATTTTCTTTCCTTTGCAAACGGCTGCTCCCAGAAACAGAGCAAACATGGGGCCCACTTCACGTCTGGGAGACAGCACCTGCCAGCCGGGGGCTCGGGTGGGCAGTCTGTAGGCATGTTTAATGTGGGGTTCAGAAGCAGCCAAGCTCTCAGCAGAGCCTCTGGGACGTCGCACTGGAGATGGGCAGGGAGGGAGGCCTGGGGGCATGACTGCCGGTGACTCTCAACAGAGCAGCCACCAGGAGCTGCAGATGCCAGACTCCAGGAATCCCGGGGACCATCAACGCGGAGGCCCCCAGCCCCTACAGCCTGTCTCCCACCTGCAATACCTGGTTGAATACGTGCAGAGAAGAGCCCCAGGGCCAGCCCTGGCTCTGCTATGCCCTGGGGTTACAGCTGCAAGCAGACACTGCTCAGTCTCTGGGGACAGCCGTCCCCACCCAGTACAGACTTCCAGGAAGATCTGTCTGCTCGCATTTATGCACGCATGCCTGCTGTCCCCTGGCACCTTTCGCGTTGTCTCCTTGGTGTCTCTGTGTGTGTGTGTGCGCGCACGCGTGTGTGTAGTCGTCTCCTGGTGCCTTTGTGCGTGTATGTTTCGTCTCTTGGCACCTATGTTTTTACATGGATATGTGTGCGGGTGTCTCCTGGTGCCTCTGTGTGTGTATATGTGGTATTTCCTGGAGCCTACATGTGTGTGGTGTTTCCTGGCGTCTGTGTATGAGTGTGTGGTGTATCATGGTGCCCACATTTGTGTGTCCTGGTGCCTGTGTGCATGCATGTGCCTGTATGGTGTCTCCTGGCAGCTGTAGTAGCAACAGGAAAAGCAGAGACCTCCAAGGAAGGGACAGAGCAAGACCCAATGTTGCCCCCCTGGCACCTGCATTTTCTCCAGCACTATTGAGATGGCCCAAGACCCAGAAAAAGAGAAGCCTCAGAGGAAGGGAAGAGATCTGTACGCAGACACAGACAGAGAGCTCATAAGGAAGCACAGCTATCCAGGAAATCGGTTCCTGGAGAACTCCTCTGTGGAAGGGCAGAGACATAACAAACTCCTCTGACTCACTGAAAGAATCTCATCTACAGACATAAGTGTAGTAAGAGATAATGTGAGTTCCAGCAAAGAAACCCACTGTGCAACCCAGTACAGAAACAGCTACAAGACTGGGGCCTCAGCCAATGGTGCCCTGCAGGATGCCCCTGTCAACCTGGTGTTCACAAGTCGCTCCAGTCAGTGCCAGGGCACCACATGAGACGAGAACTGAACTGAGGCACCCTGCATGCAAGACCTGCACTCTGTCGCTAGGCAGAAGATACCACAGGAACTCCTACCACAGTGGGGGTGAATGTGATGGCACCCTGCATGTCTGACAGGCCCAAAGATGCTGGCCCAAGACAACCCCCGCCTGACCTGTGGCCTCCCTGCATGAGACCCCGCCACGGCAGGTATGTGTGCGCCCACACCTGTGGCCTGCCCACCAGGTGTGTGAGGGCATGGCGCATCCCCTTCTCAGGACCTGCACCGCTGCAAGCAGCTGCCTCACATGCACTGTGGGCCCAGCCACTGTGCCCAGCCCGACAGACACCATGCCACCAAGCCTGGCCAGCCAGCACCCCAATGTGGGGTTGATCCCCTGGGGTGTGTCTGTCTTCTCATCTGCACCCTAGTGCCAAGCCCAAGTCAAGGAAGGGCCCAAGCCGACGAGCAGAAGCTGGGCGCCTCTTGCAGCAGACCCTGTGGACTTACGGTCTCCCTCATCTGGATCTGGTTGATCTTGATGCGAAACAGTTTGTGCTTGAACTCGCCATTGAAGAGAAACTTGTCTCCGTCCTCCACCTCCTTCCCTTTGGGGCTCTTGACCAGCACGCGGGCCTTGCCACAGGCCAGGGACTGCAAGGTTCTCCGCAGCTCACTGTCCTCTGAGCAGAGAAATGGGGTCAGGGCGGGAAGAGAGCAGCCCCCAGAGCGTCCACCCAGTGCCAGCCGAGGAGTGGCCCCGGCAGCGTGGCAGGGGAAGGCTCCTACCTATCCCAGTGGCCACTTTGATCTCCTCAAAGCTGAATCCGTCCCCTTCATTGAACATGAGAAGCACCAGCGTCTGGAACAGGGACACCTGGAACTCCTTCTTTCCCTGGAAGAGATGGGTGTCATTTTAGATCGGACAACGGAGTCCAGACCAAAGGCAATCCTCATCAAGTCTTTGCAGGTTCCTCAGCAACACACAGTGAAACAGAGGGGCCCCAGCCCCAAGACAAGGCACACGGGGCCATCTGGGTAGCAGGGAGCAGTGGTGCGGCAGTCAGGCATGAGGGACAGGGTTGAGGGACCTGGCAGAACCCTGGAGTATGTATGTCTGTTCAAATCAGCACTGGGTGATGCCACCACCACCGTGGACAGAGGCTCCACCTGAAGACCGGGTCCAGCGGGGCACACTGGCACTACCTCGCCTTACCTCCAAAGCCTGCTCAGAAGCGGTTTCCAGTCAATGCAGACCAGCACACACAGTAGCGGCTGGTAAGGCCCAGGTGCTCTGGGCAGCGTTTAGAGAGCTGACGGGCAGCAGGCAGGGCCCCAGAGGTCTCATGGCACCCATTAGGGTTGGGTCACAAGTGGGCAGGCAGATCAAGCGCCTGCTGTAAGCTGTGACGATGTAGCCTTAGAGATGCTGCACCCACTGGCCCCACTGCAGGGGCGCCTGGCAAAGGCAAACACCCACCCTCCCTTGTCTGACACTGCTCAAGCACAATTTGCAATGGCTCCATGAAAAGACCCACAAAATCACCAGATGCGACAGACAGGGCACTTACTTCCTTGAATTCTGCCTTTAAAACTGCATGTCCCAACGTGGTTTGCCACTGGAGTTTCCGGCCACTGTGCTTTCCCAGATAGAATGTCTTAAACACTTCCTGAAGTTTGACCATCTGTCAAGCACAGAAGACATTTCACTCTCAGCGTGTTCATCTCGAGGGTACGCTTCCACTGAATCTTGAACCACTTTCTACCTGAGGCAGACCAGCTCATGACCAAAGGTTTCTCTGGAATCTCACCTGCGACAACACTGCACCCTGGGCTCCCAAAGTACCTATGACAACAAGGAGGCCACAGCAGGGTGTGCCTGCAGCCCAGGAACCCTGCCTGCACTTGGTGGTGCTGTCCACTGACCAACTCTGTGATTCAAACTCTCAGACCACCCTGTGTACCTCATACCATCCTGTGACCTTGCTCTGAGCTCATGTGGCCATACTCCCCCCCCTGGAATCACGCAACCTGCACATCTTTCACAGCCAGTGCCCTCTTACTCAGTGGCCACGAGCTCAGGGAGGAGGACAAGCCCCTGTGCACAGCCTGGCTGGACCCTCCCTTCCTACAGCCCCAAAGTCATGTGACCCACACAGCCTCAGATTCTGGCCTTACACCACGTCTCCCAAGGTTTGTTTTCTGAACTGCTGCCTCCAGGAAGCCTCCCTGATGCTCAGAGCTCTGGCTGCACTTCCACAGTCACTGTGGTAGTGAGAGCCACTCTGAACAGGACGCAGCACGCTGGGTGGGTACCAGTGTGCTTCTGGCTCAGGGCGGCAGCCTGGTCTCAGCCTGGTCTTTCTTCCCAGTGTCTCAGGCTCAGCTCTTCCTTGTTCCCAACATGTACTAGGCCCCAGGCAAGAGACTTCAGCCCCCCTGTCAGACAAGCAACTCCAGATTTTTTGTTTCCTGTAATCACTGAGGGGAGGGGTGGGGATGTTCTGGCAGGAAAGGAGGGGAGAGGGGAAAGGAAGAGGGGAGGGGAGGGGGAGGAACAGAAAGGAGAGGGGATGAGAGAGGAGAGGATGGAGTAGGGGAAGGGGGAGGGGTGCGAAGGAGGAGAGGAAGGGAGGGGAGGGGAGAAGGATGGCTCCAAGGGCCCTGGGGTCAGCTTCTGGGCTCCTGGAAGCAGGCACTGACCACCGAAGGGGAGGCGAGCCGCAGCCAGAGGGACGAGCACAGCCTGCAGGGTGACCGGGCCCGGCTCCACAGGAACAGTCTTTGTCAGCCAGGATGCCGACAACGGGGCCCCAGAAGGGAAGGGAGAGCAGCCAAAGCTGCAGGTGGCGCTGGGGGCGCGGCAGCCCGGGCTCACCTCGGGCGGCAGGTGCACCTCCATGGGCGTGTAGGTGGGCCAGTAGCCCATGGTGAGGATGTTCACCGTCAGGTCGATGGGGCTCGGTGCACTCTGGTTCTGCATGTACTGAAACGGAAGAGGGAGCGCCTCAAAACCTGATCTAGAACACATCAGGGGTCGTCTAGACAGGACCTTAGCAAGAGGCCACACTGATCTCAGGCCCAAGGATGCATCCCTCAGAGCCAGATGCTAAGTCCAGACTGACCCGAATACTAATTACTGGAATGTTTCAAATACTAACATTTCAGGTATGGACTTTATGCAAAATCCAACATACCTAAGGATACCTTTTGCTTTTCCACTGGGGTTTTTGGGCCACACTCTGCAGTGCTCGGGGCTTACTCCTAGCAGGATGTGGGGACCCAGCGGTCCCAGGGAACGAACCAAGGCCGGCTGCATGCAAGGCAGCCCCGAGGATACTTTCAGTCCAAGGCCCCAACCCACCTGCTTGAAGTGCACCATGATGTCCTTGGAGAGCTCCATGTCCTTGAACATGCCTTCCAGCTTGCTGGTGAAGGCGGCACCACACTCTGGGATAACAAGCAGAGGTGAGGTGGCGCGGTGGGCCGAAGCCCCACCCCAGCCCTGCCGGCTTACCGTGCTTCAGTTTGGACAACATCGACTTTTCCGCATCCACAGAGGCGCTTTTCCCCACCAGAAGTCTTTTCGCCAGGTCTTTTTTATAGAACGCCTCAAAGACATCCTTCCCTGTTGAAACCAAATGAGTCACCACGCGGGTGCCCCCGTAGGGCGAGCGCTTGCTTGCTCGGAACAAGTGGGGCGTGAGTGTGTGCGCACAGCAAGGCCGGGGCCCACGCACCGTGAATGAACCTGAAGATGATCATGATCTTGTCCAGGATCCTCTCCAGCTCCTCGTCAGTGGCTTCCTTGTTGCCTGCCCGGAGCTTGGAGTCCACATGTTTGGCTGTGGGGAGAGCAGGCGTCACTAACGACCCAAGACTTGTCCGCACCACATTTGCTCCAGTAGAACACAAGGGGTCTCTCACAGCAGCAAGAGTTGGGTCCTAATACCGGGGACTTTGCAAATGATCACGTTACAGGGCAAAAGGGAAACGGCGTACTTTCTCTGTCCTCCATTCCATGAGCAAAATACTGTCAAAGCACACAGCTGCCGCCTCCAAGCTGAGGCTCAACGAACCTGGCAGGGAATCCTCCTGTCTTTGGAAAGCCAGCCCAGACTGCCTCAGGGACAGCCTGCTTTGGGAGAGGTGCCAGCCTGCTCGGTCCCTGCAGCAGCGGAGGGACTGCACAGAAGTGCCCGGACCTTGGCTGCATCTCATTCAACGCTCTGCTCCAAGACTGCCCAGCAGGCACAGGAGCCAAGTGTCCTGACCACTCCCACCCGACAGCCCCTACACCCTGACACGCCCTCTCAGGGAACTCACCACCCCATCTGATGCAGGTAGAATTTGAGGGGCAGGGCCACCCACAACCCTTGGGACCAGAAACTGACGAGCCTGCTCGAACTAGCAACATTTTGATACTCCCAGGAAACCACCCTACTAAGGAGCAATTTAAAATCTGGTCTTCAGGGCTTGGGGTTGGATCGAGGCTGAAGCACAGATTTTGCAAGGAGAGTCCCAGATTTGACCCTCTGCACAGCCCAGAGCCCTGAGCAAGGACTAATCCTGCTGCTCCCCAATTTAAACGGGGGTCGGGGGGAGACAGAGAGAGAGATAGATGGGGGGAGGGAGGAAGAGAGGGAGGGGGAGAGGGAGAGACACTGATCCTATTAGGGTCAGGGATGTGGCGCAGCGGTAAAGAATGTCTTAGTAAATGTTTTCCGTGGTTATTTCCACTCCCTGGCCCCCCATACATAAAGAATTTTAAAAAGTGCTTTTTCTGAACTTGCACCATCTTGGGATGAGAGCAACAGGACAGCGAGGAGGGCATTTGCCTTGTATGCCACCAAACCAGGTTTGTTCCCTGGCATTCCATATGGGCCCCTGAGCTTGCCAGGAGTGATCCCTGAGCACGGAGCCAAAAGTAAGCCCAGAGCACTGTCAGGTATGCACCCCCGACCCCCGACCCCCCAACAATTTTGAAATCTCATCTACTTTTGCCCGGTTTTGTTTTCTGTTCAGCACATCGCCACACCTCGCTCTGTACTCCAGGGTCGCTCCTAGATTGGCTCCTGGCACCTTATGGGGTTCTGGGCACTGAACTACTGCTATAATACTGCTCTGGCCCCACTTCTGTCCTCTTTCTATACCGATCACACAGCATGCAGAGTATGATGAACACATCATTAACTCTGTTTGAGAGGCAGCTTTCAAACAAACCACCGTGGACCAATTCCCAAGCAGAAATCCCTTGCTTGTAACTAAGACAGTTGAGGTTCATGTTGGCAAAAGACAAAACTGGAGTGGCTGGCACAGATGGTGCCCCATGTGGCCTCACTCTCTTTCAGTACTGCAGGCTGAGGCGAAAGGCGGGCATGAAGGTTTAGCACTCTGGCCCAGCCCAAAGAGTTGGGCGGGGGCCTGGGGAGTGCAGGACCAAGGCCAGGTAGCTGCCTGTGTCCCACCAACTGCACGCTCTCTGCAGAGCCAGAGGCAGACAGGCAGGCAGGCAGGCAGGCAGGCAGACACAGACACACAGACAAACAGACACACACACACACACATACACACACACACACGCACGCGCAATGCCGAGGCCAGCAGCTGCTAGGAATGTGTCCCACTACTGGTGCTCTCTCTGCAGACAGACAGGCACACGCGTCTATCAAAGCTGAGCCTCTGAACAAGGTGTCACCATGGCAGTCTGAAGTCCTGGAAACTGCGTCCTACCTATCAGCTCTGCGGGCTTGTTGGGTCTCTTGTTGATGAAGGTCTCAAAGGACTCCTTCATCAGGTTGATGCACTTGTCGCTCCTCTGGAAGCACACATCAATGACATGGTCCACCCTGTCCTTGAAGTCCAGCAGGTCCTGCACCATGTCCTTGTCCTTCTCAGGGTTGATGACAATTGTTGTCCCGAAAGTCTGTGAACACAAACACAGGTGCATGCCCTCACTCACCAGTCTCCTGAGGGCAGCCTTGGGGCAAGCTGAGCCAAGGCACACCGTGGGGACTCAAAACTAGACCTCCCAAGTTCTCCCAGACTCGGTCACAGCCTCAAAACTCAGCCACGCACTCTCAGCGCCTGCCGGAGACCGCCAGGCACAGGAGCATGTCTGCTGCCTTTCAGAACTTTCCTATCAGGTGCTTAAATAGACTTCACTCTTCCGACCTGAAAATCTACTTAGATTTAATCAATTTTCTCTCCCCTTCACCACAAGGCAATGCTCAGGGGCCAAAGAACACTCATACTTGGTCAGTACAATGGCCCAAGGATGAGGGGCTGGCAGATCCACCCCAGCAGTGCTCAGGGGCTCCAAAAAAATGGGGTTGCCAAAAGCTGCCAGTGATCGCAGAAACCCAGCACAGTCCCAAGTTTCACAGTTCCCACTGAGCAAGGGTGCGAACTCCTGAAGACACAGCCACAGAGGCAAATGCACACTGGCTCCCGTGGTCTGTGCTTCAACTCCAGCTCGCCAGGGGTCCGAGACGGGTGGGGACACAGCTGCCCCACAGCACACCTTAATGTACTCGCTCCAGTGCTGCAACAGGACGTGCTGGCCGCCTTTCACACGGCTGAACAGCTGGTACATCTGGGTGAGGTCTGGCACTCTGTTCTCGTCCAGCAAGTGGTCCAGCCCTGAGAGCACAGTGATGTTAGCACAGTCCCTCCCAGCCCAGGTGAACACGGCAACCACAGACAGGCCAGGCAGGCATCCGGCTCGGCTCCCCCTCCCTCTCCCAGTGCCCTCAGCTTCGGCCCAGCTCTCTGTCTCCATCCCTTCCTTTTTTGCTGTCGGGCAGGTTGGTCCAGCACACACCAGGGCAGGAACTGATGGAGCAGTCTCCTGCAGGAGACGCACTCTATGCCTCTGGTCACTAAAGACCTCTCATCTCAGAAGGCAGCAGTGCTCTGAAACTTCCCCAGGTCCCTGACCTGCGAGGGTGTGACTCTGAGTTACCGTGATGTGGTACATCACGTTGAAAGTGTTTGCCAAAGGGCCCATCCACTACTAAATCCGTTAGGAAATGTCATTCACGCGTAGAGTAGAGTGGAAAGGAAACCAGCCGTCTCTCTTGAAAAAGGTAACATCTTCCAGCTTGAGGTTTCAGGCTTTTTCTCACAGAGGTTTTCTAAAGCCAGCAGCCCCCAAGAGGGTGGCGGGAACGTCTCTAAGCTGGAGAGGCCCGTGTCACAGGCCCCCTGGGACCTAGTGCGGCGTTTCTCTCTCCAGCACCCGGCGCCACACACACCATATTCCACAACACATTTTTCTCCCTTCTAAGCTCTGAGTAGTGCAGGGGTCTGATCCTAGGGTGCGTGAGGACCCTAGCCCACCCAGCCCAGGGCTCCCACACGCGCTTAGCTCCCTGAGCATCCCCCTGGTGTAAATAACGATGCGCCCAAGGGTATTTCTGTATCAAGTTTTTGGGTGCCACTACAGAATTGGTTAAGCCACACACACGGAGTCTATCTCTCTCCACTCAGGGCTTACTCCTAGCAGGGCTCAGGGGACCATACGGGGTTCTGGGGATCAAATCCATGTCAGCTGCGTGCCAGGTAAACACTCTACCTGCTGGACCACTGCTCCAGCCCGTACAGCTTATCAGTTCCTGGAAACTTTGGCTTATTAAATGCACTGAAGCAACCTTTAGCAGGGACCCAGCACCAGCATCAGGCAGCTGTCTTCCAGCCACTGCTTCTTGCTAGGAAGACAAGAAGGCCCCAGGGTGACTTCCAGACACACAGGCCGGGTCTGGGCCTCTCCCTTCCCCTGCGACTACTTTGCTTGGCACGACCAGATACCCTCTCATGGGCAAATGGTTCCTGAGGCAGACCCTCACAGGCACTGACTGGCCTCACCTGGAGTCTGTCACTGTGGAAGTGAATGCAAGAGGTCCCTCACGGAAACCCGGAGGACACCGGTGCCAGAGGCCTCCCCAGTCCTGCTGGGAATGGGGCCAACAAGGACAGACCTGCGCTCTAGGGTGACGGGCAGAGCTGGCACTCAGCACACAGAGCAGCAAGAGTCTGGGGCTCAGGGTGCCTGAGTGGCCACTGAGGCTCACTCGTGCTGATGGACCTCACTGCAAAGGCGAACATGTGGACATGCTTATGGCTGTGGCCCCACACGCCCTCTTAACCCAACAAGGACTAGCTTTCGGCTACAGGAACATTTACCTTTCTGCAGAATTGCTGTCAAGTGTTCTCCTAAGAGCTGTTTCTCCACACAGGCAATCAACGGTTTCCTGTCAAAGGGGACAGGGCAGAGATCACGTCGTCAGACACATGAGGCCTGCGAGCCAGGACACAGCGCACACGCTGCACCCCTTTGCACGGGAGGCTCCCATACTCAGCACCAACCAAACAGCATCTGCCACCCTCCTCCAGCCCAAGGGTCCCAGAAACCCCTCATCTCCCCAGCCCCCAGATACGTGAAAGAAAGGATGGACTGTGTTCCTTTCTAGAATGTACAAAACAAGTTGGATTTTTTAAAGTTATCCCAATGAATTAGGACAGACATTTAATTTTCCAATTTCTCACAAATTTGGTGGCACGTACATTTTCCACATGTGTAAGATAGGGTGAGCTTAAATAAAATAACCATTTTAATCTAAGTATCAGAATAACTTAACTTTGAAATCAGCATGTGGCCTTAAGCCACTCACTTTACTTCTCTAATACTTGGTCTCTTGGGCTGTAAAATCGTGGGGGGAGGGAAGGGAGGGAGGGAGGGAGAGCGAGCCCCAGACTTGCTGCTGTGTGCTTAGTGCCAGCTCTGCCCGCCAACCTTTCACAGGAAATGATCATCACCCAAAACCTTAACATCACCCAAACCTTAACAAGGAGGAAGAGGGAGTGAGGGCGAGGAGAGAGAGAGAGAGAGAGAGAGAGAGAGAGAGAGAGAGAGAGAGAGAGAGAGCAAGACAGAGAAGAGCAGATGTTGGACCTAAGAAGATTCTTCTGCCCATCAAGGTCCATTATCATAAACCCTTCCCAAACATCTGTCCCAGAGCAAGCATTCTGTGGGATGGGTGTTGTTTCCAGATTAGTTGCTTATTGCTTATGCTTCTCTTCCCATGAAATGTTTTCCGTGTCCCAAATATGTGTCTCGAGACTGAAATGGTGTTCATTTAGCTACAACATATATTTCTGAATAATGATAACTGCAGGAAAAATAATAAAAAAAAAACCCACAATATCAGATTTCATAAGACACTGTTTTGAGGGTATTCTCTCTCAAATGAAAGTTAAATGTTTCCAGCACGCAAGTACATTTGGATGTGCCTGCCCTCTCCTCACTGGCCTGCATGCTCACTGCCAAGGGGCCTGCACATAGTCTGGGAGATACCAGTGTGGCTCGCGGCAGCCACAGGAGCACTCTGCGTCTTGAGAGAAAGCCAGAAGAACTCCACTTTCACCCCTTCGCCTTTCTGGTTTGGGGGCCAATCCAGTAGTGCTCAGGGCTCGCTCCAGTGGGGGCCTGGGACAAGCCCAGGCCAGCTAAATGCAAAGAAAGCACCCCACCCACTGTGTTACCTCTCCAGTCCCACATTCACCTGTCTGAAGACTAGTTCAGATTATTAGACAGAATATTCATGAACCCAAATACGCCATGTTGTAAGTACTTACAAAGTTCCAAACCACCTGTATCCTTAACATTTCCATACTTTAAGTTCATACACTGAAAACCAGAAAGACCGTGGGAGGGTCGTTGGGAGAAAAAAGTGTGTATTTATCATCAGCCAGGTGTGTCCACTGTATGCTCCGTTACCCAAATGCAAGGCCTGGGGGACTGGCACTGCAGTCGCATTTCATTAACTGGACAGCCACGTTTCTGGATGACAAGGCATCTTTACACAGGAGCCATCAGGAAAAAACAAGCCGCAACGATAGGCCTTCCTGCCCGGGGTGAGGACAGCCTCCCAGTGCCCCTCGTGCTGCTGGGGAGAGTTCCAACCCAGGCAACCGCACATGGCACTAGGCACGCTGGGCTCCTGGGGACAGGATGCAGCTTCAGCCGCAAGGCTCTGATCCTGATCCATCATATCCTCCTGGCTGCAGGCACAGGGGCCATTCTTCCCTCCCTCCTCTCCACACTGCAGTCGGTGCCGCATAGCCTGTCTTTCCCCGCAGTGGCTTCCTGCCGCCTTGGAGACAAAGCGCCCAGACAGCAGCAGTGAGTGAGAGGCAGCGTGCTACAGACGGCTGACCTTCCACCCGCCGGGCTACTGGGCTCCCACCACCCCCAGTCCCATAAACGTCAGGCCACAGCTGGAAGCAAGGAGTGGAGAGCTGGCCCCCGGGCTGTGCTAAAGTGCAGGGCAGATGCAGCACATGGAGGAGACTCCTGGGGCCACACTGAGCGGAGGTGGCACATAGACCCACTTACTGTGTGCTGTGGTCCAAGTACGTGATCACCCGGTCTCCTTCTTCCTCCAGACGCTTACTGACATGGTTAAGGTATTCAGGAACCTTCCAAACAGACATTGAAATGGGTCAGTAACAAAAAGATGGATGTTGCCCAAAAGCCCCTGATACCATTCTCTATGAAATCGAAAAAAAGAGAAATAGAATAAAGGTAAACACAGATGGTGAGTGGCGCGAGGGGGGGTCTGAATGGCCCCTGCCCTGCTTGCACAGAGCCTGTGAGGATGGACAGGCTTCCCGCCTGAGCCAAGCGGCAATCCATAGCCACTGGGGTTAGGAAGGCGGTTCTTGGGAGACCCCGCAGCATGAGGCTGAAGATGCAGGTGAAGGACACCTCTGGTATGAGGCGAGCGGCCAGCGGTGAGTACAGGCTGCCAGTGACAGCAACTGGGACACGGTAGTCTTGGGCCCGCGGTCCAATGACCAGGGTTCACCAGGCTTCTGATGGCCTCCTCAAAGACAGCAGCTCACACAGCCACAACCCCGCCGTTCCAGGTTCCCGACACGTTCTCCTCGCTTTCCGAGTGAGCACTGTCCCTTACGTACCTCAGATACAATCTGACTGGCTGGGGCGAACAAGGGCTTGCAGAAAGTTCTGTGCAGCATGTGAAGACAGATGTCTGGACACTCCACAATCACTACCATGCTCCCAACAGAGCCCTACTGTTTGGACAGGCCACATCCGGAAAATAATTTGTTGAAAAACTCAAGCATGTGGGTTTTGTGACTAAAATCTCCAGCTTCCAGAGATAGCAATAGGCTACCTCCCCCCATCTCCCTGCACTTCCGGAAGCCTGGCAGTCACACATACAAACCGCCCCGTGTGCCTGAAAGCTCTCTCACTGGCCATGATTCAGAGACCCAGAAATAAATCTCAAAAGAGGTTGAAAGAGGCAGAATTTGTCCCGGATCCCACACAAGGCTGAAACATCTCGAGGAACCCAGAGGGGAGCGGGTGAACCCCTGCACCCACCCCAACAGAGCCCCAGCAGCGAAAAGCCTCCACAGTCTACAATGGCCACCATGCTCCCAGCAGGACTCTGCTTCTCAGAAATTAATTTGTTGAAAGACTCAGGTGTATGGGTTTTGTGACTGAAATCGCCAGCTTTCACAGGGTTGGGGATGGACTACCACTCCCTATCTTCCTGTACCTACTACAGAAGCCCAGCAGTCACACACCCTGAAGATGACAGTTAAGTATTCAACTCCAGGCACATTTGCTGCCTGAGCCCATGTGCTGCTTGCACCCACGGGGCCCACTGCCTATGGAACCTGAGCACATGCGGCACATGCATCTCCCCTCTTGATATGTGCACCTTTTTTTTCTTTTTTTGCTTTTTGGGTCACACCCGGCAATGCACAGGGGTCACTCTTGGCTCATGCACTCAGGAATTACTCTTGGCAGTGCTTGGGGGATCATACGGGATGCTGGGAATTGAACCTGGGTCGGCCGCATGCAAGGCAAACGCCCTACCCGCTGTGCTATCGCTCCAGCCTCGATATGTGTATTTTCTTACTTCCATATCTAATACTGGGGTGTGTGTAGATCTCTCCACCTATGGAGAAGACTGCGTTCTCTTTTTTTTTGGGGGTCACACCCGGCGATGCACAGGGGCTACTCCTGGCTCTGCGCTCAGGAACCACCCCTGGCGGTGCTCAGGGGACCATATGGGATGCTGGGAACCGAACCCGGGTCGGCTGCGTGCAAGGCAAACACCCTACCCGCTGTGCCATCTCTCCAGCCCCCTGTGTTCTCTCTTGAGCATGTCATTCTCTCACTCCTTTTCCTTCCTGAAAACTTCCAGTAAAATTTATTTTACTTTGCTCGAGCGGGCCCAGTAACGTCTCCATTGGAGACTTTGTTGTTACTGTGTCTGGCATATCGAATACTCTCGGTGGCTTGCCGGGCTCTCCGAGAGGGGCGGAGGAATCGAACTCGAGTCGGCCATGTTGGCCGCGTGTAAGGCGAACGCCCTACTCGCTGTGCTATCGCTCCAGCCCTATTTTACTTTAAAGAAAAAAAAAAAGTCTTTAACTATAGCTATATTACCCCATTAGAAACTATGACACCCGTATACACAACTACAATTTCAGCCACGCAACATCTCAAACTCTACCACACTGATAAACCAGGAGTAGCACACCAGTTTGAGTGGGATGTAACGTAGAAAACATCCAATCTAATTTAACAGAATACCAAGACAAAAGGCTTAACCTGTAGCAGCATCTTAGAATCTCTTATACAAGGGCTTAAGGGCTCCATGGTGAGATACACAGCTTCGCTTTCTTCTAGGGAAACATTTTTTGATCAACCTTTTAGCACATTATTTGTAAAAAGCGATATAAAATAAGTTACTGAGGGCTTGCTATGGGGGCAGGCTCAAGGGGTAGGTGGGAAAATTACTGGAAATAATGGTGGTGGGAAACGGTGGACTGGTGCTGGAATACTGAATCTATCTGGCTAATGACTTAACAAGTCATTAAAAAAAATCAAGATGCCTGGATGCTGGTTTTGCCGAGACAAGGCATATAGCAATGCTCACCTCTCTTTCTTGCATCAGTCTTTGGCCTTCTGCAGCGTATAAACAGTTGGTTTCTTCCAGGAACTTCATCTCGAAGGAGTCCTTGTAAACCTAAGGAAGAAGCGGTTGCCGAGGCTCTGCGGAACAGCTCTCCGTGAGCGGGCTGGCTGGGCTGCCGCCCCGGGCTCACCTGCAGGTCGGACAGCATACTCAGCAGGCTCCGCAGCAGGCTGCGGTCCACCGCCTCCCCGCCCCGCTCACGCTCGATCAAGAGCAGAATGCCGTCGACGGTTTTGGTCTGCACCAGCTTGTCGCTGATGATGTGGTTCCTGAAGAGCTCTAAGCCCATGTCCCTGCAGGGATAGCGCGAGAAGAATACTGAGTGTCCTCTCCAGCTGCCTGCCATGACAGGCGCACCCTCGCGCTCCCCAGGTCCGGCCTGCCCACTCTTCCCCTCATGGTCGCAGGACTATGTCGACTGCAGTGACGTGTGTCCACAGGGCCACACAGCAGACCACTGCTCCAAGTCCTGGGGCCCAGGCTCTGCCAGATGCTGGGATGCCCCACCTGCCTGCCCCATCCGGCCCCAGGAGCTGCTCTCTCTGCCTCGGTTGCAGTCTCATGCATGGAGTAGGACTCCACTGTCAGCCACTGACCACAAACAGTGTGCCAACGAACCCGTGCCAAGCTCTGAAGAGACCAGGCACGCCCTGCCAGCAGGGGCTCCTGAATGGGCCCTCAAGGGACAGTGAGAGCGAGCAGATGAGATAGACGGATGCGAGGGTCAGTGGGAAGCGGATATGAGGGGCCGTGAACAGCTGGGTGAGAGAAGGTGAGTGGGTGTGAGCGGGGGTGAGGAGTGGGTGCGTGGGGGTGGGTGCGAGGGGATGTGAGTGAGCAGGGTGGGAATGGATGTGAGTGGAGTGGGGACGGACGGAGTATAAGCAGGGAAGGTGTGAGTAGGTGGTAGTGAGTTGAAGGGGATGAGTGGGTGTGAGTGGGCACGGCTGTGGGCGTGAGGACGGGGAAGTGTAAGTGAAATGGGGAGTGCAGGCGGGGGACGTGCGCAGGATGTGGGCGTGAGCAGGACAGGGTGAGGAACGTGGACAGGAGGGGCGGAAGGAGCTTCCTCGGCAGGTGAGAGAGCAGCCACTCTAGGAGGAGGGGCGGGCTTCAGCGGAGGAGTCAGAGGGTGGAGGAAATGGCGCCCAGAACACCTGTGGAGGGCGCGCCAACTGAGACGCCATCCCTGAGAGATGGCGAGGAGCGGCGGAAACACAGGCCTGGCCCGGGGAGGATGGTCAGGCAGGCCTGGCAATGCCCTGGGGGAGGACAATGCTGGAGGACACGCGGGAGCTGGCCCGGGACCACAGGCCACTGCAGAGGCTGCGGGAGGAAGGACCCTGCGCCCGGGGCCACTCACCAGATGGAAGGGAGCATGGAGCTCTGCAGCACGTAGGTGCGGTCCAGGAAGAGGAAGATGCTCCTGATCATGATCTGCAGGGACAAAGTCGCTTCCTCAGCGAAGGCTCGACGGCGCCTCCTGCGCGACGCGGAGGCCTGTGGCCCACGAGCAGCAGTGACGGAGCACCTCGCCCAGACTCCGCGTCACACTTCGCTGGACAAACAGTGCCCGAGTGTTGGACTTCCCCGCTGGCCCAGAAACTGCCACGTGGGTGTGAAGCGTGCGTGCAGGGCCCTGAACGGCTGCTGTGAGCAGCCACGGCCAGCTCATCTCTCCCAAGCGGTCAGCACAGGCAGGACACACAGCCAGATGCTCCCTCTGTTCTCCCTCCTATCAACCAACCAGCCCACAAAACTCCAGGTGCGCCAAGTCACTTGAGCAAATCTACAAAATCCAAGCCTGGGACCGTCCAGCTGCAGTTCTGGCTTGACTGTGCTGGTAAAGTGGAGCGAATAAAGCAAAACGCAACGGCCAATCCCCACCCCCACCCACCGCAAGGCCCATCCAGAAGTAAAGCTAGCGTGTGCCTCGGGTTAGGGCCCCATCCGGGCGGGCAGGCAGGAGGGGCGCAATGTCGGGTGGGTGGGAGGCGTCATGCTGGGTCAGACACGCTCCAGGAGCGAGGCTGCCGTATGTCGCAAGTCGCTGCCAGTGCCCCAAGCGGAGCAATGTTCCCCTCCAGCCCGGCCAACCTTCCCCAGGGGCGGAGGGCGAAAGGGCGGCTTACCATCTGCCTGCAGTGGTCCTGCCAGCACGTGTCGATCCTCTTTAGGAACAGGACGCTGTCTAGAGCATCTGTGCAGGCCTGCTAAGGAAGCCAGCCGCTGCCCCTCTCCCCACACTCGCGCCGTGTCTAAGACCCAGGACAGCTGGTACTCACAGTGGCCACAGGCCCAGGGGAAAGGAGGCCCAAGGCAAGACGGTGGCACAGGGCAGTCGCTAGACACCCCCACCCAGGAGCACTGCAGGATGCGCACCCGGCTGGCCTCAACACTTTGCGGAGTGCCCAAGTAGTCATTCCCACCGGACAGCGAGGTGGGGGAGGACCATGAGCAAAGAGAGCACTCCTTCCCAAAGCCACAGGCCCAACCGCAGAAGCCACCCCGCACTCATCCCAAGCCTGCTCCTCGTCCCCCACTGGGGAGGAATCCCGGCAGCTGTGTTCGTCCTCTCTCAGGAAGGAAAGCAACACGTGGCCACAAACACTGGCCTCCCTCCGGGGACTGTGAAGAGGAAGACCGAGTGGTGCTGAGCACTTCCATGGAGTGTCAGGACAGCATCCGTGCGGGGGGCACACACGCTGCAACCCCGGGTCAGCTGCAGCCCCACACGCACGTGCACAGGGTGGCGGGCTCCGATGTCGGCAGCATGCGGGCAGCCTGGGGCCAGCTGCTCTGCATGGACCGGGGGGGAGGGGGGCGGCAAACACCTCTCTAGAGAGTGCCCCACCTCCTGAGCTCTGCTGCCTTCTCCCTTCACACCCAGATGCAGAGCAGCAGGTCACACCCAGCCGCACCCCGCTATCAGGGGGCAGAAGGCGGGCAGCTGCCCCGCTCCCTGGACCACACCCTGCCAGGCTGGCTCTTGGTCCCTGGGCTCTTCCAGGCTCTGCAGCACTGCTCTCTGTCAGGAGGCGCCTGGGCAGCGGCCCCTTCTGCACGTGGGCAGCAGTGAGTGACATGACCTGGCCCCAGGGGACTCCCTCTCCCCCAAAGATGCAACCACACAGGGGGGCAGCGTGGGGCTCAGAAGCAGGCGCACTGTGGCCAGCCACAACCCTGACAGCAGATGGCAGCGCCCGAGTTCAGAGCAGCTGGCCACACGCTCCTGCTTCTCCACTGCCCCCGGAGCTGGCCCGCACACCAGGCCAGAGCACCCGCGACTGGGCACGAGACATCTCCAGGGAGCCCCCCCGTCCCTCAGTCCCCTCCCCACACAGCAGCACACACCCGTCACCAGCCGAGAGAAATAACAACGTGGGGCTCCTCTGTTCCCACTGGCCGGGGGGGCACAGCCCCCACAAGCGGGTGCAGGGCTGTTGTGTCAGGCCCCCAGTGATAGGAGTCAGGGGGCACCAAACACAGATCTCCAACTTTTCTTGGTAACGCCAACCAGATTATCCAAGTGGACCTTATTTTACATCAATCAGATCAGCACGATCAACGACAAAAACTCGACTCCTGACGTGAAACAGAGGTAAGGGGCTGGTTAGCAAACCGCCGTTTAGCCGCAAGGATACTCGTCCTCCTTTATCCCATCAATGTCAATTTGAAAACTAGCACGAGGAAAAGGATATTCTCGGAACTGAAGGGTCTGCGCCTGCACGTGCTCCTCGCACACCTGCCGGAGCTGCTTGTAGAGGGCCGGCGAGACTTTGTGAGAGCAGAGATTCTCAACAGCCTGAAACACAAGGCACGGGGCATCAGCGGCGCCCTCGCGCTCCCACGCTGGGGCCGGCCGTGCTCAAGGAGGGGGAGGGGAGCGGCAGGACCCACCCTGTGCTTCACCAAGAGGGGCACAGCAGGCCGTGGGCCCCCGCCTTGCTGCAGGGTGACTCGTGTGGGTCACCGAAGGTTTGCTGGAATGAATCAAAGAAGTGACAGCATTTGAGGCAGAATTCTTTTCCTTCTAGTATTTTTAAATGGGGCCGGAGCGATACTTCAGCGGGGAGGGTGTTTGCCTTGCACATGGCACTGACCTGGGTTTGATCCCCAGCATCTCATACGGTCCCCCAAGCATCGCCAGGCATAACCCCCGAGCATCGCCGGGTGGACCCAAAAAAGCCATGGCGGTGCTCTGGGGACTATACTGGGTGCCCGGGATCAAACCCGCGTCAGCTGCATACAGTCTAGTGTCCCCTCTGCTGTACTATGGCTCCAGCCCCCAACAGACACACTAAACGGAAAGCTTTTCTGCTGTCTCGAACCATTAAAACAAATGCATAAAAGAACACTTTATAATTTGACTTCAACCAAAACGTCTTATTTGTCAGAAAAAAAAGGTCACTTCGATTTTTATAGTCACTCAAATACTAGAGAACACTTGTATTCATTAATACCAATAGCAGGACAACTACTACAATGCTCATAGCCCAAAATAAGAACAGCAAGGATTCCCCAAACACGTATATGTTTACGAAGTTCAAAGAGAAGGTGGACGATGCCAAGAATCTGAATCCAATCACCGGGTCCTGAGATTGCTAGTCTGGGTCCCCCCTCGTTCATACAATCCGGACACCGTGGCCTTCTCTCTGCCCGCCCTCCCTTCCTCACATTTTCATTCCTCCCTCTCGGAGGGAGCCAGAGAGCCATCCTCTTCTCTCTTGAAAGCCTGGCTGACCTTTCAGCGCCACTTTCGTGCCACAAGTTATCTGCTGGTGAACCCCGAAGCCTCGCCATTTGGCTGTCAGCAGCACAGCGCTGCGGGCATACAGCAGCACGCTGGAGGACCCATGTCTGGGATCCCCGAGGCGAGTCCTGGGGTGTCGGGTCATGGTGCTGCTGTGCAGCGCCACGGGGTATCAGTGGGGTACAGGGCACAAGGGAAGCAGGAGCAGAGGGCACACACCGTTCTGCTGAGTCACTGTGGGTGTCTTCATGTTACAGACTCTCGTGACTCCCACGATAGGCAGCTGCTCCCTGTCCCCGAACCACCCCTCCACTGCACAGAGGAACATTGGGGACTACCAGGGTTGGGGTCCCACACAGCAGGAGCTACAACAGGCCGGCACCAGGGCGGGTGGGGACACCAGTCTGAGGCGGCCGCCCTCCCTCCAGGGCAAAGACCAGCCGCCCATCTGCACCCTGTGTGTGCCCCACTGCAGATCCCCCGGAGGGTGTGCAAAGCTGTTCCAAATGGGCTTCCTGCAGGGAGATCGAGCTAGCTGTGAGGGCAAAAGAACCCAGCCCACCTGGAAACAAGAGCCGGTCTCAAACTGTGAGAGGCCTGCTTCACGTACAGGTCTGGTTTCTTCGGTTGGGGGGCAGGGGGTCACACCCGGAAGTGCACAGAGCTCACTCCTAGAGGCTCTGCAAGTGCCACTGTATTGTACTGTCTCCTTGTTCTGACTGCAGGCCCAGCACTGCCAGGTGGCTCAGGAGGGCCTGGGTGCCAGGGACTGAGCTCAAGCCTGGGCGACACGAGGCACACTCGACCTCTTAAGCTCTCCCCTGGCGCTGAACTCAAGTCCATCAAACAGAACAGACCTCGTTCCCTTCTGGCATTACAAGGGGGATGAAGACGGCTGGAAGAGAGGGAGAGGAAAGACAAAGGAGAGGAAAGGGAGAGAACCCTCTCTGGCCCCCACACCAAACACAAGCCCAACAGGCAAGAGTGCTGAGAATCCCGAGGCAGTCTGGGGACAATACAGGAGGGGGCAGTCACGGCAGCAGGACGCGGCACTCTCAAAAGCCCCTCCCCGAGACACCAGGGCCTTTTCCCGAGGCCTCCCCTGAAAAATGGCCACAGCAAGTCCTTCCACCAGGAGCAGGGACACGGCCACAGCCGAGATGCCAGAAAGGAACAGCAAACCGGGAGGCAGTGCACCCTCAACTCCCCAACGCCTTACTGCACCCCAAGTCTCTGAGGCAGGCGGCTGGACCCTTGGGGTTTCCCTGGAATCCAGGCTGGGCCCTGGCCGAGGCAGGTAAAGGCTCCACCGGGCCTGGCAACTGGCACCGTCCAGACCCCAGCAATGCTATTGGCACAGGCCTGACAGGCGTCAGAGATAAGCCCAGCCCAGCCCAAGCTGCTCAGCAGACAGCGCAGCAGGGCCCGTCCGAACCGGGCAAGGGACAGGGAAGCAGAGGGGAGCTACGAGGGGCGCCGTCTCCACCACTTCCCGCAGGGGAGTCCCACAAACACGAGAGCAGTGGAGGAAACCCAGGAGGAACGACCACCTAACTCCTGTAAGAGGGAATAGAGGGGTCCCTGTGCCTCAAAACTGAGAGCGCAACGAGTCTTCTGGGGGCTGAAGCGACTTCAGAGCGAGTTTGAGGCTCTGTGGCATGGGACCCACAAACAAGACCAGCGTTGTGAAGGCTGGCATTGGTAGAAAGACAAACAGTCCAAGACGCTGACCCAGTGCCCCGTGCGCAAGTTCGAGACATCTCCGTGGCTTCTCTGGTACCCTCCGATTCCTGAGGAAGACAGGGGTCCTACGACAAAGCTACTGCGAGGAGGTGGAGGAATAGGCCAGCGCTCACTGCTTGATGCTGCCGTTGCCTGACAACTACTGGTTTAGGACCACACCTGGCTGTGCTCGAGGATGACTCCTGGTGGTGCTGGGGGAAACTATGTGGTGCCAGGGTCACCTGCCTTTTCTTGTTTTGGTGTGTGTGTGTGTGTGTGTGTGTGTGTGGGGTGGGGGGGTGGGCGGAGTTACATCCAGTGATGTCCAGGGGTTACTCCTGGCAGCTCTCGGGGGACCGCACGGGGTGCGAGCGATCAAACCTGAGTCGGCCCCATGCAAGGCAAATGCCTTTCCCCCCACGCCGCCTCTCTGGACCCTCATCAATGATTCTGCCAAAGTGAGAGAAAAGATGGTCCCTCCAAGCAGCAGTACCGAAGCAAACGTGCCTGACACCCCAACACGCAGGTGCTGTTGCTCCAGCAAAGGACGGCACCTGCCTTCCGGACCCACCCTGCAGACATGCACTCGTCTCAGCACATGAAAACGCACGACAGACACCCAGTCTCCATACTGCACAAAAAACCCCACGCAACTGATAAACCTATGCACCAGCACTCCCCAAACAGCTGTCTCAACACAACACGTACACCAAGTCTGCACAACACACGATGAACCCACGCACCTCCACAGCACACAATAAGCCGAGTTTCACAACACAGCATGAACCTACACACACGGATACCTACTCCACAACACAGAGAACCTAAGCGTCCACGACACACAATAAGCCTACACACATCACGCACGGCACATCGTCCCCACGGAGCGGACGTCTGGCAGCAAAGAAACCGCTAAGAGGGAAAACGTGGGGCCTGAGCGACAGCACGTGGGAAGGGCGTTTGTCTTGCACGCGGCTGACCCGGGTTCGTCCCCGGGCGCCCGAGCACCACCGGGAGTAATTCCTGAGCGCAGAGCCAGGAGTAACACTGAGCGTCGCTGGGTGTGACCCAGGAAGCAAAGAAAGGAAAAAGCAAAATCTGAAAGAATGAGAACACTGAAGGGCTGGCGTGGCAGGCGGACGCCCGGCGGGGTGCTGCACCCTCGAAACAAGGTCCTGCGGGTGGTACCGGCGCCCTTGGGAAAAACACGCACCGGCGGCTGCCGGCACCGTCCCGAGCGGAGCAGGGACCAACGTGCGGACCCCGGGCCTCGCCGCCGGCCGCTGCCCCGGAGGGAGCGGGGCATTCCGGGCGCGGGGCTGGGCAGGGGCCCTGCTGCGGCCCAGGGACGCTCCCCCGGGTGGACGGAGCCCGGGGACGCCCTGGCACGCCTCGGACCCCGGCCCAGAGCTCGCGCGCGCCGGGACGAGTCCCGGGTCGCGCGTGGGCGTGCGCGCAGCCACGGCCCGGGACGCCGACCCCCTCCCGCAGGGAGCGGCCCGGCCGGCGCGCGCGGCGCCCCCCCCCCCCCCCCCCGAGGCGCCCCCGCGCCGCCCACCTGGTAGAGCTCCTCCAGGTTGCAGGTGACGGGCGTGCTGCTCTGGATGGCGCGCACGGCCTCGTGCAGCTGGCGCCAGGTGTCCTGCGTGTAGTTGTCGGGCAGCCGCGGCCGGTCTGCGTGGGAGAGAGCGTCAGCGGCGGCCCGCGCCCCCCGCCCGCGCCCCGGGCCCGCGCCCACCTCGGAAGTTCTTGATGACGAGCTTCTTGGAGCCGCCGGGCGCCGAGGACACGGCGGCGGCCGCCAGCGCCGCGGGCCGCGACAGCCCGTTGGCGTGGCCGGCGAGCGCCGAGAAGCCGCCCCTGCGCGGGCCCTCCTCGGCCATGGCGCCGTCCCTCGCCAACCGCCGCGGCCGGCCGCTGACCTCCGACCCGCGCGGCGTGCCCGCGCGCCCAGGGAGCCGGCGGCCGGCGCGCGCGGCGCGGCGGGGCGGGGCGGCGGGGCGGGGCGGGCGGGCGGCGGGCGAGGCGGCGGCGCGGCGCTCGGGGCTCGGCTCAGCCCGGGCGCGCCGCCATCCCGGCTCGCGCGCCGCCCTGCTCTGGCGCCGGAACTGGCGCGCGGGCCGCCGGGCGGGCCCGCCGGAAGTGACGCCGCGCGGCCCGGGCTCCGGCGAGGGCGGCGGCGGCGGGCGGGCGGGCGGGCGGGGCGCCGCCGGAAGTGACGCCGCGCGCCCCAGCCACGTCGGGAGGGCCCCCGGCGCGCCGGCTCGGCGCGGGCGTCGCCGCCGGAAGTGACGCGCCGCCGGAAGTGACGCCTCGGGCGGGCGCCGCCATGGCGCACATCACCATCAACCAGTACCTGCAGCAGGTGGGTGCGCGCGGCGGGGCGCGGGCTGCCCTCGCAGGGAGCGGGCGTCCGGGGCCCCGGAGGGCTCGGGTGCGGGAGCCACGGCCCGTGCGGGGCGCGGGGGGGACGCTGCAGCCCCCCGCCCCCCGCGCGTGCTGCTGACCCCGAGCCGGTTCGGGGCCGCCGCCTCCGAGCTCGCGCGAACGCCCCCTCCGCTCCGCTCCCGGATTCGCCGCTGCCCCCCAGCCCCGCCTGCCCCGAGCCGGGGACGCCGGTGTCGCGGGGCTTCCCGCGGACGCCGCGCGCTCCGCCTCTGCCGCCCGGCCCGGGAGCGTCCCCGGCAGCCCCGCGACACCCGCCGGCCCAGAGCTCCTCTCCGTTCGCTGCGTTCCCGTTTCCCCGTCCAGAGACGAGCACGTCCGGATCCAGCTCTCGGCCGTGACTTTGCTAGCGAGGAAAGCCCCCCCCCCCCCCCCCCCCCCGGGCGGAGCGCTTGGCCTGCGGCGGCCGCCCTGCGCTCCGCCAGTTTGGGCGCTGCCTGGGGACCGACCGCCCCGGTGTGACGGTCTGCGCCGGGCCTGCGCGCACCTGGACCGGGGTGGTGCCGAGAGCTCGTGTCCTGGGTCACGGGACAAGGTCCCGACCACGGGGACCTCCCGGCGGTGCCGGGGGCTGGGCTGGCACACGAGTGACATCTGCTCCGTTGGGTCGCGCGCAGGAAGGTTGTCTCCGGCCGTTTGCTGCCGAGATCCCCCTTCCCGTGGGGCATGAGCGGGGTGGAGTGGATGCTCAGTCTTTCCTCTGCGACAGGTCTGCGAAGCCATCGACAGCAGAGATGGGGCTTCCTGCGCGGAGCTGGTGTCCTTCAAGCACCCGCACGTCGCCAATCCACGGCTACAGGTGGGCGAGGGCCCCGCTCTATCCTACATGGCTGCCTGCCCTTGGGGCAGGGGGTGGAGGGGCAGAGACTGCCTGGGCTGGCTGTCCCCAGTGCCTCGTGCGGCTGTGAGCAGGGTAGGCCACCCTCTATGTTGGCAGGTGTCCGGGCAGAGGTGGCCACCCCTGCTCCGAGGGAGGCAGGCCCTTGATGGAGGCCCTTGAAGGGCCCGAGGCCAGCTCCACGGGAGGGGCGGCTCTGTTCTTGGCATGCGGCGATCGGCCCCGGGCCTGGAAGTGCCTCTTTCACTGCACCTGCTGGTCACTGCCATCCTCTCCCTTTGCAGATGGCCTCCCCGGAGGAGAAGTGCCAGCAGGTGCTGGAGCCGCCTTACGACGAGATGTTCGCCGCCCACCTGAGGTCAGCCGCAGGGGTGGGGAGGGCGTGCTTCCCTGCTCAGGGACGTCCGTTGGGGAAAGGGCGCCTGCTGTCCAGCCAGGTGTGGTGAAGAGTGGCCTTGTCGGCCAGAGGCCTCACCGGCCTGTCAGCATGAACCGGTCTTGACACCGCTTGTGAGCACTGACAGTCACCTGGTCAGTACTGGTTGTGACCCAGCTGGCCTCTGCATCCTCTCTTGCTCCTTTACGTTGGTCCCTCCCCCCACCGTCTGTCCAGTTTCCCTCCAGGGACACTGCTGTTGGGACCGTGGGGCTGGCGGTGGCCGTAGGTTCCTGTCGTCCCGAGGGCCATGTCCTGTGCCCCCTGCCTGTTCCTCAGTCCGGCGTCCTTTCCAGGTGCACCTACGCAGTGGGGAACCACGACTTCATCGAGGCCTACAAGTGCCAGACGGTCATCGTCCAATATCCTTGACTTCTCTCCCTTCTGAACCGCTGTTGGCTGCGTGCGGTACCATCATTGGTGCTGTCTCCCTGGGAGAGCACCCTGGGGTTTCGGTGGGGTCTGAGGCTAGTTCTGAGGCCCGGTGCCCGTGGGCAGAGGCAGCTCAGAGAGCCGCTCAGGATGTCCACGCGGAGAAGAGTCGGCAGCTGAGCAGCTGTGTTTCCTTTGGACTCAGGGGTTTTTCTCTTTGGCCTTGGGTTTGATCCTGGTACCATGACAACATCCTATCATCGATGAGGTTTTTGCCCCCACGCTTGGAGGTGCTCAGGGCTTACCCCTGGCTCCTGTGCTCAAGGGTCATTCCTCGTGGGGCTTGGGGGACCCTGTGGGGTGGCCAGGATCGCAGCTGAGTCAGCCATGTCAAGGCAAGTGGCCAGCCTCCTGCCTGCCGCCAGGTTTTGTGGTAGTGGTTCTGAAGCTTTGGCACAACGTGAGGATCAGGACTCAGCAACCAAAGCTGTGGCAGGACCAATTGGAGGCAACTTGCGTCTGCAGGAATTTTCTTACCATGCAGTGTACTAGTAGGAAATCACAAGGTTTACTTGTGTTTTGGATTTCGGGACACACCTGACAGTGCTCAGGATCGTCCTGGCAGTGCTCGGGGTCCCTGTGTACTGTTGGGAGTGGAACTGGAGTCAGTCACGTGCAAGCTTGCGCCTTGGTCCTGTTCTACTTGTCTGGGCCCTAGCCTAGTATAGTCCACATCTCTCGGTCGGAGTGGCACCTGGCACCTCCCACCTGTCTTCTGTCCGTGAATTGTCCTTGACCTGGCATGTCTTTCCTGCGTGCATTCCAGGCTCATAAGGAGGAGAACTGGTGAGTGGGTCCACGGGCAGTGGGCGGCAGCGTGTGTGAGATGTGCATGCGTGTGTGAGGGCAGCGGTGTGGTACGCACGCGTATGTGGGAGGGGGGGGGACAGCGGCCGGCGGCTTGACTGAGGTGGCATGGTGGGTGTGTACGTCGGTACTTCTGTGTGCGCACGAGGGCAGCGGCTGGCTGAGTGTCCTGAGGTGGCAGGAGGGAGGTGGGGGTCTTCCTCGTAAGGGATCAGTTGGGAACGTAGCCTTGGTTTTGGCTCCTGTGAGTGAGGGGTAGGGCCATGGGTGATGCTCGGGGCACTTCCGGCGCCCCGTCCAGGTCAAGGGGTCACAACTTGTCTGGGAGCTGTTGGTGGGGGTGCACAGGCACCTCACAACGGCCCTTCCTGGGCCGTGACACGTCCCGGCAGTGTCAGGTGCGGCTGCCCGGGCATGCTGGCATGGGGCAGCAGTGGGGCCCCAGAGGGACCCTGGCAAGGCTCGGGTGCATTGGGGTTCGGCGCTATTGGGGACTCCTCTTTACTGCAGGGCGCTGCCTGTCATGTACGCAGTGGCGCTGGACCTGCGAATCTTCGCCAACAGTGTGAGTGTCTCCCGCGGCATCTCCGGGCTGCAGAGCAGGTGGGGACGGGCCCCGCCGGACTTGAGCAGGCTCCTGGCCTGTGCTTGGATCTGGTGCCCGGCGCCCCCATGATCCCGAGGCGCCTGTTGCCCCCGTCCTCGTGGGTCCTGTGGGAGGCTGTCTTGCCCCCTTGGCGCATCTGACCGAGCAGCTTTCCTCAGAGCCTGTGGGCCGACCCCCACTTCTGTGGGCAGGAGGGAGGTCCGGGAAGGGGAACAGCTCGGCACTGAGGTCCTCAGGACTGCTATGGCTTTTTCAATTCTTGCGAATGACTGAGAGTCCAGGCCGACAGGTGGACAGCGTGGACACCAGGCCCCCCCCACACGCACGTGCACGCACAGTGGTACAGGCTGTGGTCCGCGCTCTGCAGAGCCCCGGGTGAGGCTTCTGAGGGGGCCAGGCCCCTCTCCAGGGCTTGCTGGGGAGCCCCCAAGCACCTGCCCTGGGGCTGGGGTTCCTCCTCCTGCACCGTGGATGGGAGCCTGGGCGAGCCCCGGGCAGGGTTGGTCTGGCCGTGGGGCTCGAGGCCTTCAGGCCCTGCGGGGCATCTGCGGGCTCCACCAGGTTGAGGGGTCAGTGCCCGGATGCTCTCGCTGGGGCTCCCAGAGCAAGGGCCGGAAGTGGCCACTCTGAGACTGACGTCCCAGAGTGCTGGCCTGCCCTCGGGCGGTCTGACCCCAGAGCCTGGTCCACACACCCAATGGGGACACAGCTAGGGGGAGCGGGGCGAGGCCACACGCGCCAGCCCTGCCAGCCCCTCGGCTGGGCTCTCAGCAGGCGTGATATCCCCTTCCCCAGGCAGATCAGCAGCTGGTGAGGAAAGGCAAGAGCAGGACTGGGGACATGCTGGAGAAGGCGGCCGAGCTGCTGATGGGCTGCTTCCGCGTCTGCGCCAGCGACACGTAAGGACCTGGCTCCGCCCCCCCTCCGCCCATCCCGCCCTGCGGCCCCTCTCCCCGTGACTGGCACGCCGTCTCCTGCACAGGCGGGCTGGCATCGAGGACTCCAAGAAGTGGGGCATGCTGTTCCTGGTGAACCAGCTGTTCAAGATCTACTTCAAGGTGGGCAGGGGGCCCGGCCTCCAGCATCACCGTGGCCACAGGGCCGGGCACGACACGCAGCCCCCGGGGGTGCCAGGCGTTCTACCTGGCACAGCGGGACACCCCCAGGGTAAGGGTGCTGCTTGCTCCGGGTGCCCGTGGGCTTGGCGTGGGCCCTCAGGGATGACGGGGCACGGGCGGGGTCCCCGACCCTCAGGGGCTGCTTGTCTGGCAGATCAACAAGCTGCACCTGTGTAAGCCCCTGATCCGCGCCATCGACAGCTCCAACCTGAAGGAGGATTACAGCACGGCTCAGAGGGTGACGTACAGGTACTACGTGGGGCGCAAGGCCATGTTCGACAGCGACTTCAAGCAGGGTGAGTGCCGGGGCCTGTGCCGCGCGAGGGGGAGCCCTGCCCTCTTGTTGACTCCCCCGGGAGCCGCCCTCCTGGGTCTCGTCCCACTCCCTGGCCACGGCTGGCCGGAGGTGCTGTCACGACGCAGGGACACGGCGGAGGCGCACACAGCCCAGGATGTGGCCGGGACCTCGGCCCTTAGCTGGCTCCCTGCCGGGCGCCTGCACCCCCAGCGGCTCACCCGGTCCTGGGCATGGGGGCTGAGTGAGCTCTGGGGCCCTGTGCTGGCTGCTGAGAACAGCCTGCTAGTCCTGCAGCCCCGGTGGAGCTAGTGTGAGCTGGTGCTTTGGGGCCCTCCTTGTTGGCCTCCAGGCCAGAGTTCAGATCCCTCTAGAGCCGGGAGGGTCCAGCGTTGCCCTGCTGGTACGTGTGTGTGCACGTGAACGCTTCTTTGCGCGCATGCGTGTTCCCACCGGTGTCAGCGTGCATCTCTGTGTTTGCGCACGTGTGTACGTGCGTGCTTAGTGGAGGCCCCGTCCCACTGAGATCTTGTGACAGGCCCTTCCCCGCTTTCCAGTTTCCTCCGGTTGGGGCCGGTTTCTGCGACTGGCTTTGGGCTCCAGCTCATCACCGCCAGCACTGCTGGGCGCGCCTGCTTGGCGTCACAGTCTTGTCTGGGGTGCTGTCGCGCAGGGACACGGCGGAGGCACACACACCCCTGCGTCTCGCGGGTCCTGCCAGCTTTCCCAGACCAGCCTTTGCCTCAGTAGCCCTTCGCGGTGTGGCCGTCAGTTTGTCCCCTTCCCATGGGCCCTGGAAACAGGCTCTTCTGTGGACCCTTGGGGACACGTGCTTTCCCCGAGGTTCCTTCGGGCCCCAGAGCTGCCGCAGTGGCTCATGGCTGCATCCGCCTAGTCCCCTTCCGAGTTGGGGTGAGCAGCGTGGGTGGGGCGGGGGCCCACGTGCCACCTCTGTCTGCAGCCGAGGAGTACCTGTCCTTCGCCTTTGAGCACTGCCACCGCTCCAGCCAGAAGAACAAGAGGATGATCCTCATCTACCTGCTGCCAGTGAAGATGCTGCTGGTGAGTCGGGTCCCTCCCCCTCCGTCTCTGGGCCCGGCGTCCACAGAGCAGGTGGGCTGACCAGTCCCAACCTGAGCGGCATCAGCACACCCGCCGGCCGCGGAGCCTTCCGGAAAGGCCCTGGCGCTTCTTGTGAAGGTGCAGCCAGCACGGGACAAAGGACGCGTGTGGCCCATCTCCCCTGCTGTCGAGATCGGGGCGTGGGCCTGGGTCCGCCAGAGGGAGCAAGACCATCCTGGCCTGCTTGTGGGCCCCCGGGAACAACCGACGGGGGAGCTTCCCTGCCTCTCTTTCCTTGTCGAACACACATTAAGGCTGGGGGGAAGGCGGTGCCGGGGGAGGGGAGACCGCCTCCCCACCCATTTCAGGAACCCCTGGGACCCAGGCACCGGGCTCTGGCTGAAGGGGCGTTTGTACTGCCCGCCTGGAGGTGGTATTTCTGAGTCCGTGGTGCCCCAGGCCCCAGGCCTGTGCTGTCCTCCTCACCGGCCTTGAACGGTGACTCTGCCCCTGCTTCAGAGAAGCCAGAAGGGACGTGAGTGTTCGGGACTTGACTCTTGCCGAAGGGCTGCCCAGAGGTTGTCTGACTGTGGGCCAACTCTTGCCAGGGTCACATGCCCACCATGGAGCTGCTAGAGAAGTACCACCTCCTGCAGTTTGCTGAGGTCACCCGGGCGGTCAGGTAGGCCCTGCCCCGGGGGGTCTGCGGGCAAGGGCCGACCTGGGCGGCGCTGACGTGCGTCTCCTCCCGCCCGCCCCAGCGAGGGGAACCTGCTGCTGCTGCACGAGGCCCTGAGCCGGCACGAGGCCTTCTTCATCCGCTGTGGCATCTTCCTCATCCTCGAGAAGCTGAAGATCATCACCTACAGGAACCTCTTCAAGAAAGTGTAAGGCCTCGAGGGGCTCTGCGGGGCTCCCCCAGGACAGCCTGACTCGCCCGCTTCTCCCCCCGTGGTTGGGGTCGCAGACTCCGTGTTCTCAGCCCTGGTTTGGGGCAGCCAGACGCTCCCAGTGCAGCGCAGTGAAGCCACCCAGGCTGCCGCCTTTGGCGCCAATACAATGGCACTGGGCGCGGCCTGTGCTGCAGGAAGGCGGGTTGGGGTCGTGTGGGTCGCACTGTCCCGGAGTCGGAGTTCGTGTAGGTTCCCCTCTGTCACTGCTGATCCCCTCGTCCTCGAGTTTTTCCATCACCCTCTTCCCCCTAGGGGAGCAGAGCCTGTCGCCCTTTCCCTCTCGTGTGACCCAGAGGCAGACTCCGCACCGGGCCTGGTCCCCGTGCTCTTGGTCCCCTTTGCACAGCCGTAGGCAGCACCTCCGGTCATCCAGACCACGTGGCCCGTGTCGGGGAGGCATGCTCGGCCTCGGGTCCGAGCACAGCGCCGTCATGCTGGCAGCTCGGCGCTCCCGGTGTGTGGTAGAGTCTTGGACAGTGCCCGGTTGATGCGCGTCCCTGCTCCTCAGGGCTGTGTCTGTATTGGCCTTCACAGCCTGGCCTCGTGCCCCCGTGCCCTCAGCAGGCGTGTCTGTTTCCTTTCCAGGTACTTGTTGCTCCGAACACACCAGCTGTCTCTGGATGCCTTTCTCGTGGCCTTGAAGTTCATGCAGGTGGAGGATGTGGACATTGATGAAGTCCAGTGCATCCTGGCCAACCTGATATACATGGTAGGACACCCTGCTCCTCGTGACCGGATTCAGGGGCTACACGACCTGACCCACGTGGTGGGGATTTTGACAAACGTGGTAGATGATCTGACATACGTGGTGGTACAGACTGACGCGTGGCAGACGATGCGACGCCTGTGTAAAGGACCTGATGCACGTGGTAGGTGAGCTGGTGCGTGTGGTAGGTGGCCTGGCGTGACAGACCCGACTCTTGTGATGACCTGATTACGTGGCAGCTTACTAGGTGCCTGGGTACACGTGGTAGGACGTCCTCATTGGCCTCCAGGATAACCTGACTCATGCTGACCCAAAGCTCCTGCCGGGTGCACGTGGCTGCGTGCCTGTCACTGTCACCTGAGTGTTCCCAGCCCTCTGGGAGCGTTCCACTGCGCAGACCCCAGGCACTCGCGCTCCCGGAAGCGCTTTGTGGGACAGCTCAGCGAGCAGCCGTATCATTTGCTGTGTGCGAGTGTGCGCAGCTGTGTGGCTTCCCCCGTTTTGTGTGTGTGTGTGTGTGTGTGTGTGTGTGTGTGTGTGTGTGTACGCGCAGCTGTATGGCTTCCTCTGTGTGTGTGTGCGCGAGTGTGCAGCTGTGTGGCTTCCCGTGTGTGTGTGTGTGTGTGTGTGTGTGTGTGTGTGTATGTGTGCGCGCGCAGCTTTGTGGCTTCCCCCATGTGTGTGAGTGTGTGTGCAGCTGTGGCTTTCCCCTAGTGTGTATGTGTGTGTGAGTGTGTCGCAGATACGTCGTTTCCTCTGTCATTTCCTGTGCGTGCCTGTGTCCCTCCCAATGGGCCGTCACCGGGCACAAGCACCGCCTTCTCTCTGCAGGGGCACATCAAAGGCTATATCTCCCATCAGCATCAGAAGCTGGTGGTCAGCAAGCAGAACCCGTTCCCGCCTCTGTCCACCGTGTGCTGACTTGTTCCAGTGAGCAGCACTGCATGGGCGCCAAGACCCCATCACCCTCATGGGCCACTTGCACCTCCTTCCGTGGCCCTTGTGGAGGAGACCCAGGCAGCTGTGTTTCGTGTCTCGGGAGTGTGGGACCAAGTGTGTCTGTATTTTCTACGATTCCCCATAAAAGGTATTTGACGTTAGAGCTGGCGGCAGGGACCGACTGGCCTGTGTCGTGTGTCTAGCTTCCCCTGGTGACGTGCTTAGGAGCCCAGGCCCCTCTGGGTTTGGTGGCGTCTTTCTGTGGTCCTGAGCTGCTCGCGCCCGCGCTGGGCAGGTGTGGGCAGCTGTGTGAAGCAGAGGTCCTCCTGCAGCTGCCTGGGCTCAGTGTCACAGGGCTCGGACCTCTAGCACTCACTTGACCTCAGGGATGGGCTGGCGGCAGCAGGAGCGAACCCGCCCTCCCGTACTCCCGAGTCCCCTTGGTGCCTCTGTCCGCCATTCCGGCCTCCCACTCCTCAGGCACCATCGTCCGAGGGAGCCCCGCCTGCCCATGGTGGGCGTGAAACGGTGGCGTTCTGGCCCACGAGGCGTTCCCCTTCCTGTGCCAGGCCTGCTGCCCATTGGTCGGAGACCCACATGTGCGTTCTGAGGTTCACATGCAGGGTCAGGCGTGAGACCCGGAACTCAGGCGTCGGAACCCCCAGTTCCTCATCGGGGGCGACACTCCAGCCCACGCACACCTTACCTCACTGCTGCAGGGCCCTCTGCACTTCCGGCGGCCGCCCTCCCCCTCCCTGGCCAGGCGTGCCTGGTGGCGGGCAGACTGCAGGCCCCGTCTCGGCCCCTTCTTTAACTCAGCTGTCGGGGCCTTCTAGCCTCTGTCCTTTCCCTCTGGGAAAGTCCCTCGGACAGGAGGCTGGGTGTGGCCTTCAGACCCCTCCGGAGAGTGGGTGTGTGCTCCAGGGCCTGGCTGCCCTGGGCGTGGGCTCCGGGCCCTTTCGTTCTGGCTGAGGTTAGATCAGCGGGGTTATTAGCAGTGGCTGTGAGGTCCCCCAACCCCCTGGAGGCGGGTGGGAGGCACAAGTGCCCCACCACTCCCTGCACCCTCTGCACCCATCTTCTGGCGGCCTGTGCCAGACACTCTTGACAAACGCACCGGGTCCCCGTGGGGTGCTGCATCAGACGGCGGAGGGCCGGGACTCGCCGTGGGCAGGTGGCTTTATTACCAGCTGGCGCAGCACGTCACCCCATGACCTGCCTGAACCACAGAGCGTAGCGGGACACCTTGGTGAGAAGCACCACGGGCTGGTCCGGGGACGCCCAGCTCAGGAGCCCTGACAGGAACCAGGTGCCCTGGTGCTGCCGGACCACCGCGCTGCCCGCCCCCCAGCAGCGGCCCACGCGCACCCTCTCACAGTAGGTCCTGGTGGTGACTGTCACGTTGAGGGTGCTGGCACACTCGCTGCTGTCCACAGGCGTGACCGCCAGCAGTGTGGGCACCTCTTCAAGCTCCGAGCCATTGCAGGTCCAGCCAGTGAGGACGCCACCATTTCCTGGGAGCAGCACGTGCTCTGCAAAGTCCCCCTCGGGGGTACAGATGGGGCGCCCCATCTCCGGGCACTGGAGGGGCTGCGCCAGCTCCAGCAGAGAGAGGTCGTTCTCTCCTGAGTCCTGGTCGTACCGCGGGTGCACGTGTCTGCGTCTCACCGCCACCTCCTCGTGCTCTCCCTGGAGGCCTGGGACAGAGACCCCACGGGAGGTTGGTCTCAGGCGACACCCAGTGAGGCTCTGGGGTCACGTGGGGCCTGCAGGAACACGGGGGCACTGGATCCCTCTGTCTGCAGGATGCACTTCGTGTGGGATCTGAGCCACGTGGCCACCGGGGCCTGAGCACCATCTACAGTGTGACCCACATAGCCCGCTCCCGTGGCCCCGCCCCATGGCTGCACCACTCTGGGGCCCACTTGCTCCCGCACTCACCTGTCTCCACGCTGATGTTAGTGTGCAGGAGTGCGCAGCTCGCCGTGGTCAGCACGAAGCTCTGGTCCACCACCACGCCAGCACAGAAGGCCGTTCCCAGCGTGTTTCTGAGCCTGACCTTGAACATGCAGAGGCCCAGAAGGGCAGGTGCCCAGGCGCAGCCCAGCCACATAGCACATCACGTCGAGCCAGGGCAGTGGGTCTGGTGGGTCTGCTGCCCCCATGTGACTAATACTCATTTTAATTGTAGTATCTTAAGTGAAAATGTTTTCTTAGGCACTTTCTGCGTATTTAGCAGTAGACCTCCAATCTTCAACACGTATCCCGGGGAGGGGGCAGAAAGCCAGAGGCCCCCACGGAGAGCAGAGCCCGGGCCTGAGCTTGTCGGGGGGACAGCGCCCAGGGTGGCCAAGGCAGGGCTGGGGGCAGCGGGAGGGGCCTGTACGCTGTGTGGCCCCAGGACAGCGGGGAACGTGGTCTGAGGCAGAGGCCTGGGACTCAGCGAAAGGGGGAAGTGGAGGCCAGGTGTCGCCCTGGGGTGCTGCGGGCTGTGGGTGGGTGGGCCAGGCAGTGAGCTGTGTGAGAGGGTCCTGGTCCAGCCCAGCAGCCTGAGCCAGAACTCTCGGACCCGGACGGGTGGGGAGGCTGGGCCTGGGCTCTTACCTGCCACGGGAAGGCCCTGGTCTTCCACCAGCCCGCAGAGTCTATCGTACAGACGGAATTCGGGACCCCGCAGGCACACTTGTCTTCGGGGGCAGGATTAGGCGGTCAGGGGGCTCTCCCCTTGCCCCTCAGCCCCCCACCGTGGCAGTGCTGTGGCTGCCACTCACCGTGTGGCTCACAGGCTCGGCGGTCCCAGGCCAGCTGGTGGCCCCGCGCGCAGCTGCAGAAGTAGGAGGTGGGGCCGGGCCGGCAGAAGTGTGCACAGCCCTCAGGCCTCTGGGGGTAGCACAGGTTCTTGGCTGGGGGGAAGGGGACAGAGCACAGACCCTGAGGCAACCTCGCGGCCCGCCCGGCCCTGCCTTCCATTCTCCCCAGGCCAGACCCCTGGTCACTGCCGCCCTGACACAGAGCTGCTCCCCGGGGGTGGGAGGGTGGACCTGTCCAGTGGCCCCGCTGCGGGCCGGGGTGATGCTCTGGAGTTGGCTCACTGGGCCAAGAAGCATCTTGACCGGGAGCTCGTGGGCTGGGGGAGTTTCTCCTGACCTGACAGTCTGATGGTGAGCCCCCTGGTCGAGGAGGGCAGATCTGGGCAGAGTATCTGGGGAGGGGGCTGCCTCCTCGGGGACCGCGGGGCTCACCGAATGCGCAGGTGGTGCCCTCGAAGCCCGCGGCACAGGTGCAGGTGTACCCTCGGATGTGGTCTTGGCACGAGCCGCCGTGGAGGCAGGGCTGGGACACGCAGGGAAAGCCCCCTGCCAAGGGACCACCTGCTAGTGCGTCTGCCCCGCGCGTCTGCCCGCGCTGCCGGGCCCGGCTCTGTCCATGCTCCAGCTGCAGCCCGGAACCTCAGTGCAGCTGGTCCCGCCCTCGGCCCACCACTCCCCTGACCCTGGGCAGCAGCGGAGGGGGCTGAGCAGGACCAAGCACGGGGGGGACACTCACCCCGGTACTGCTTCCAGAACTCAGCCTGGACGAGAAAAGACAGGAGTACACGTGACCCCACGGCCCCTCCCAACCTGTGTCCAGCGGGGGGGCCCAGGGAGGAGCAGACTGCAGCTCCTCTGCCTCAGGCTCTTCCGTGGCACAGCAGGAAGCAGGCCTGGGTCAGCACTGAGTCAGCACTGAGTCAGTGCTCAGCACCGCACCTGCCCACGGCAATCCCGCGCCTGTTCACAGTAACCCCGTGCCTGCCCCTGGTTCACCCCACACCTGCTCGTGGTGATCCAGCACTTGCTCATGGGTAGTCCTGCGCCAGTTCGCGGTAATCCTGCACCTATGATCTGCGTGACTAGTGTAATTTGAGTCTTCCTTACAAATCGGAATCAGTTCTGAGTTTTTTAATCTCTCTAAAAATTCCTGCACATCCGAACCCGGAGTGGTTTTGGGGTCTCTCCCTGGCCTGGGACTCCCCGGAGAGGAATCCGGAGTCAGGCTGTCGCCACAGCAGGTGACGGGGGGCCCAGGACATGCCGAGCCCAGCGGCTCACCGTGTCCCCGTCGTGCTCGAACACCTCCCTGGCCTCCTCGTACGCGCAGACCTCCTCGTAGCACTCTTTCTCCAGGTTGCCCTCGAAGAGCTCCTCCAGCATGTAGGAGCTGGCCCGCCGCCACCGGCCCAGGACCCCGTGTGCTGCCGGCGCTGGAAGGAAGACTGAGGGGGGGAGTGAGCCCTGGGGGCCCGCCTCCGGGACCCAGTGCAGGTGAGAACGCGGGGCCGGGGGCAGAGCCCTGGGTCAAGGGTCTCTGGAGAACAGCCCCTGGCGCTGGGCCTGATCCACTCAGGTGAGTTCTGAGACGTGGTCTCCTGGCTGGCACCTGGGACCGAAGGGAGGCTGCGGCTGAGGGCGGTCCCCGTCCCAGTGTCCTCCGGGCCCGGTGCTCGGTGCCCCCTGCGTCTGAGGCTCGGGGCCTCCCCCAGCCCCACAGCCCAGAGCTCTGAGGTCTCCCAGATCACGGGGGAGCCATGTGGCCCCTGAAGGACGCACCCCACAGGCTGCTCACAGCCCCCGCCCTGCACAGGGTCCCTCAGGCCCGCTGGAGACTGGGACTGGGTCTTGCTTCCTGTCTCTCCTAGACGCCCCTTCCCGACACCCCCGGCCTTTTGGTGCTCATCTGCGCCGATGAGCAGGTGAGAGGCAACCGCTTCCCTGCCCGCCTGAGCCCCTGGAAGGTTCTGGAAGGAGCTTTACCTGAGGGCAGAGCCCCGCACGGCCCCAGGGCCAGGACGAGGATGAGGAGCAGCGGGGGGCAGCCGGCCATCCTGTCCGCTGGTCACAGGACAAAGTCCACGGAGGCTGGGGAGGCGGCAGGCGCCAGCGAGTGACCTGCCAGGAGGGACGGACTCGGACTTGCCGCAGCTGCTCCCTGCGGAGACCCTGGCGTGTCCACCGGGCCTGGGAAGGGCAGAGATGTCTGTCCTGGGGGACCAGAGCGGGAGCACAGCGGGGACTGGGGGGTCTCACCGCTGCCAGGGGCAGGGAGATGGGGGGTCAGTGAAGACCAGGGGAACCCTCTGCCCCAGCCCGATGACAGGCAGAAAGGGCGGGAGAGGGGGCGGGTGGCACGGGGCGGGGAGAGGGGTGGCGAGGGGGCGTGGCGATGGGCGGGGATGGGTGGGCTGCAGGCGGGTGCAGAGGGGCCCAGACCCACCATCCCCCCCTTGCGGTGGGCCTGGGGGAGCTCCGTGTCTGCCTGGACTCTGACTCCTCCGGCAGCCGTGGGACAGTCCCCCCCAGCCAGCTGTTCCCCTCACCCCGGCAGAGCCGCGCGGGGCCCCTGACCCCCCAAACGTGCACTTCCCTTGCTCCCCTCAGCCCTCGAGGGGACAGGGGCCCGGGCAGGGCGTGCCCGAGACCCCCTCCCTGGTGGGGGCTCTGCGTCCAGCAGGGGGCAGCTGTTTGTCCTTGGGGCACAGCCTCGGGCCCTCCAGCTGGGGGCCAGGACAGGGTGCAGCCCCGGCCCAGGGTGATGGTGGCCCGGCTGCTGTGCCGGCCTGGGGGTGAGCGGAGCTGCGCGTGTCCGTGAGGTTCTCCCAGGCCCTGCTGTTTGCTCAGCTGCGGGCTGACCAGAGGTCAGCGCGGCCCAGGACAGTGGCGGGACGCAGGGTCCGGCCAGCTGACCTGTGTCTAAGGCACGTCCCGCTCAGGGTCAGAGCCTGCAGCAGGACCGCACTGCCCAGCCCTCACACAGACCCACTGTCCCCACAGCCCACCTGCCGGGCACAGGGCCACACGTGGTGGTCAGCGTGGCACTTGGGACAAGTGCACAGCGAGAGTCGTGGCAGGTGCGTCTGGGTGCGCCTGGCCCCACGGGAGTCTCAGGGCCTCCCAGCTTAGGACAGGCGCTCCTGGACGCCCGCTCCCATGGCCGAGAGCTGAGTCCTGTCCTGGCCAGTGGCCCCAGAACCGAGTGAGTCACAATTCCTGGGTGAGGCAGTGAGGGCCTCTGTCCTTCCCTCTGGCAGGGCAGTGGGGGTCTCTTCCTGTGGGGGTGACGACCCCCGGGCAGGGCAGTGGGAAGGGGGGTCTCTTCCTGCGGGGGTGACGACCCCCGGGCAGGGCAGTGGGAAGGGGGGTCTCTTCCTGCGGGGGTGACGACCCCCGGGCAGGGCAGTGGGAAGGGGGGTCTCTTCCTGTGGGGGTGACGACCCCCGGGCAGGGCAGTGGGAAGGGGGGTCTCTTCCTGTGGGGGTGACGACCCCCTGGTCAGGGCAGCTGAGACTCCGAGGCGCAGCCGAGAAGCCAGGAGGCCCCGTTCCGGCCCAGGCTGGGCAGTAAATGAAGAGGGTGAGGGTGAGGGTGGGAGACTTTATTGGGCAGGGGCTGGGCCCTGCGTGGGGTCCCGCGTGGGCCCCGGCCCCGCGCTCTCCAGCAGGCGGATGGACTTCTCGATCCACTTGAGAAAGTGGGTGACCTTGGTGTACACGCCGTACTTGCCCTTGCGCGCACAGCCCTCCCCCCAGCTGACGATGCCCGTGACGAAGTAGGTGTCCCGGAAGCGCGTGACGTGGGGGCCGCCGCTGTCCCCCTGGCAGGCGTCCTCGGGGCTGCTGTCGTAGCCGGCGCAGAACATGTGCGGCGTGATGGTGAAGCTGCTCGAGAGCTTGCAGGCGTTGCGGTCCACGTAGGGCACCACCAGCATCTTGAGCGCGGTGGACGGCCGGCCCTTCTCGTGCGTGCGGCCGAAGCCGCTCACCAGGCCCGTCTTCTGGGTCATGAGCGTGGCCTCGGCCCAGTCCTTCTCGGGCAGGCAGGCGGGCGCGACGTTGGCGCGGTAGACGATGGGCGTCTTCAGCCGGATGACCGCGATGTCGAAGTCGTAGGTCTCCTTGACGAACTTGTTGTGCTTCACGATCCGGTCCACCTCGTGCGCGGCCTCGTCGCCCTCCTCCTTCTCCAAGTCCCGCTCTCCTGGGGGCGGCAGGGAGGACCCTCGGCCCCGCCCTCCCGCCCTCGGGGACGGCCGCGCTGGACGCACTGCGTGCGCCGCAGAGACCGGAGCAGGGGCGTCGCGGGAAGGACCCTGGGGAGCCCCGCACGGGCAGTGCACACGACGGCGCTCACCCTTCACCCTCCTCCCCACCGGGAGCTCAGGGATCCTCACAGCTCTGAGGACCAGCAGTGTGGGAGCACTCACCCGCCTCACCGGGACCCGCCAGGCTGGGGCGTGCAGGAGCACTCGCCTGGGCCACGAGGGAGCACTCACCTGCCCTCACCCGGGGCACGCGGGAGCACTCACCCACCCTCACTGGGTCACATGGGAGCACTCACCCACCCTCACTGGGTCACATGGGAGCACTCACCCACCCTCATCTGGGGCATGCAGGGGCACTCTCCTAACTTCGCCTCAGCATGCAGGAGCACTCACGTGGGGCACGGGGGAGCACTCACCTACCCTCACCTGGGGCATGTGGGAGCATTCACCTACCCTCACCTGGGGCATGTGGGAGCACTCACCCACTCTCCTCTGGGGCACGCAGGGGCACTCTCCTAACCTCGCCTCAGCATGCAGGAGCACTCACCTACCCTCACCTCATCACACAGGAGCACTCACCACCCTCACCTGGGGCATGTGGGAGCACTCACCACCCTCACTGGGTCACATGGGAGCACTCACCCACCCTCATCTGGGGCATGCAGGGGCACTCTCCTAACTTCGCCTCAGCATGCAGGAGCACTCACCTGCCCTCGCCCGGGTGCGCGGGAGCACTCACCTACCCTCACCTTGAACCTCTTGGCCTGGTGCACGCAGTGGGCGGCCGTGAGCACATAGAACTCGCTCAGGATGGTGCCCCCACAGAAGCCCTCGTTGTCTTCATTGACAAGCAAGGCCTGTGAGGACAAAGTGACCGAGGTGGAACGGCTGCCCCTCGCTCCCAGGCCCAGCCTCCCCACTGCCCCGTCTGCACCGCACCCAGAGGTGGCCCCTGTGGTCAGTGTGCGGCAGACACCACAGCCAGGACCCGCCTGCTGGGAGCAGCCGTCCTCACCCCCGAGCAGGCTCTGGCCCGGGTCTCCATCTAGAAGGCTCCACTGCACCTTGCAGGCCTCAGACCTCCTCCCACAGCTCACTCCTGGACTGCACAGGGCTGGCCTAGTGGGGCTGCCCACGCCCAGCTTCCCAGGTCCCCCGGCAGAGGCTCCTCCTCCCCGGCCCACCAGCCCTCGGGGTGCGGGTCCCTCGCACGCGTGCTCTGAGCTGGACCCCAGCTGCCCGCCTGCCCTGAAGGAGGCCCAGCAGCTCCGGGCGAGAACTAAGTGCACTCAGACGCCCGCCCGGAGGCCACGCGGACATGCTCCGGATGTGCCCGCCACGGCCCACGGCACTTGCACCCAGCCTGGCCATCTGCACCCCGCCCTGACCCGCTCCACTCTGGCCTGGGCATGTCTGGGCCTGCGCGGCTCGACCCACTTTCCCCCAGAGCCGTGTCGAGGCCTGTCCCCTTCCCCCGGCAGGGACGGCCCCTCGGGCCCCTGCTGTCCCGGGCACCCGTGGGCGACCATCAAACCTGGTGCCCCTCCCATGGCCAGGCCAAGGCTTCCCCTGCTGACCCTGCCCCACCCCTGCGCCCCGCCCGGGACGCGGGAGGAGCGGTGAGCACAAGGGCTGTGCGGGCGAGGGCCAGGGCAGGGGCCACAGGCAGCTCGGGCGCTCACATGCCAGCCCGGCCCTTGGCCAGTTCCCCACAGGCCTAGGGAGGTGGTGCTGGACCCACAGTCACCTGCCAGGGACACTCGCCCTCGGGGCACTTCTCGCCGCCCACGATGCGGACCAAACTGCTGCTGTCCTGGCCGGAGCTGTCCTCGGTCCTGTTGAGGTCGAGCAGCTGGGCCGGGTCCTGCGTGGGGGGCAGCTCCTCGGCGTCCGGCAGCTCTGGCAGCAGGGAGGGCTCGGGGCTGGCCGCCCTCTTCCTGCGCTTCGGGGTGGGCTTCCCACAAGGGAAAGCGCCTGAAAGGGGAGTCAGGGTCATCCAGGGAGGCTTCAGCCACACGCACACACGTGAACATGGCAGGACACATGCACACACATCAGCACGTGTGAGCAGGTATACACGTGCACGCATGTCCACACGCACACCTATCCCATGCAGGGTTCTGTGTGCGCATGCAAATGTGGCAACGTGCACATGCATGTAATCGCGTGAGACACACATGTGGAGTGCAGACACGGCAGCACACGCAGGCACATACATGTACACACGTGCGCGGGGCTCTGCGTGCACAAAGGACATGGTAGCACACACAGGAGCACACGTGTACATGCATGGACTTGCATGACACGTACGCGGGCTCTGCGTGCACACACAGACACCTCTGAGGCCCTGCCGGCCGCCGCCCTGGGGATGGTGAGCCTGATGGTGTCTCCCTCGGCCAGCAGAGCTGCAGCCCCCACCGAAGCCCCGGCGTCCCCCACGGCCACCCCAGAGCCAAGGGCGGTCACATGGCCCATTGCTAGGGGTCCATGGAGGCAGCCCCCTCCCTCCTGCCTGTGGCCCCACGGGCCTCACCTGTGGCCACGCAGGACTGGCCGTTGTCGGCAAGGACGTAGCCCTGGGCACAGGAGCAGACCACGTCGTGGCGCTCCTCTCGGCAGAACTGGTCGCAGTCCCCGTTGTCCAGGCTGCAGAACCTGCGCGTGGCTGTGGGGAGGGGGGTCACAGACCCTTGGTTGGGCGGCTGGGAGGGGCCCGCGGCCCAGGGCCATCACCCCTGCCGCCACCCACACCCGAGGGAGCGGGTGCAAGGTGATCCCTGCCCGACCCAAGGGGCACAGGGGCCTTGAGGGCCACACGCAGCAGAGGACGGGCCAGTCTCCCGGGGCGGCAGGAGCCTCGCAGGGGGCTGTGCGGCCCGGAGGTGGCCTGGTCGAGAGCGGCCCCCTAAGCCGTGCTACCTCAGAGCGGAGCCTCTGGGGACCCACAGCCCCCGACACTGACTCTCAGCAGGACCCGGAACTCACGCAGCTCACAGTTCTTGCCGTCGAACCCGAGTGGGCAGGTGCAGGAGTAGGTGCCGATGCCGTCTTTGCACTGGCCCTGGTTCTGGCACGGGCCGCTCTCACACTGGTTGCCGTCTGCGGAGAGAAGTTTGCCGGCGACAGGGAGGCGGTGCTGCCCGGCCCAGCCGTGCCCTCTGGCGTGGCCATTCCCACACCCTCCCTCGGGCGAGTTTGGGCTCGGAGGGAGGCTGGCTCAGGGTCTGGGCCTGCTCGGGGCTGAGGCTGACGCTGGCCCGGTGCCCACGAGCACTGCCCCGGGAGCACCCCTCTGCCGGTCGGCCCCGAGCCCCAGGGGCGAGATCCTGTTTCTACGCCAGAAGGTCGGATCTCAGGTGTTCATGTGGGGCCTGCTGCCTCCCCGAGAGAGGGCTGACTGAGGAAGGAGCCAAGCGGGCGTCTGTGGAAACTCCCAGGATGGGAGAGCGGGGGGTGGGGGGGGCCGGGGGAAAGACCCTCGGGGCCTCCCGAGAGCGGAGTGCTCCTCACCTATGTACGTGTTCCAGAACTCGTTCTGAAAGGGAAGAGGGAACAGTGTGGGTCAGCTCGGCCCTCTCGGCCCCCGTCAGAGGCGTTTCTCCGTCACCCTGGATCTATGGCCCCTGGCAACTCCCTTCTTCCCTCTCTTTGGGCTTTTAGTGGTGCCGGGCACGTGTCCAGCACGATGCCCTCGCCTGCCCGGCCTGGGGGCCGTTGGGCTCCGCAGCTGTGCAGGGGGGCAGGTGAGTCTCTGGGTGCCCCTGCGGGGTGAGGGTCCTCCTCACTGACCAGAAGGCCTCGCCGTGAGGGGCTTCAGTCTCTGGCTGCCCGGGATCGCCCTCTGCCCCGGAAGCGTCAGGATGGGCTTGTGTCAATGGGACGGGACTTCGACCAGCCTGACACTGAGGCATCGATGAAGCGGGAGAGAGCCCACGTCCCCACAGGCCCGTCTGCCCAGGGCCAGCCCATGCCGTCTTGCTCCATCTCGCCTGTTCGGTCCGTTTCAGGCTGCAGCCCTCACCAGCTCTTACTGGATCTGCGCGTCGATGCTACATTTTGTTTAGTCTGATTTGTGGCATTTTGAGAGTCGCTCCCCGCTCTGTGGCAGCTGGGCCACGGGGCCCGTCTCGTGCGCTGACCTCACCAGGGGCCTCTGCGCTTCAGGGAAATCCACCGAGTTTCTTTTCCTTGGCTCGCTCCGGTCCAGGGACAGAGAACGGGCAGAGCCAGGTGTGGGGTCGAGCCCACCATGGTTCTCTGCCGCCTTTATCAGACTGAAGCAGAACCCCAGGATTTGGCCTGTGCCCTGGCCCCGCCGGGCCCAGGGTCTTCTCCTGACTCCTGCTCTGTGCACGGGGTGGGTCCTCGGGGTGCCCAGGGGCCCAGGAGCTGCTGGGGTGGAACCCTGGCCCCACACGCGAAGCGCGAGCTCAGCCCGCCAATGAGAACTCCCACAGGAGGCGCCTCTTGTCAAGCAGGACCGTGGGCTTCAGGCGCCGCGCTTCCCACGGCCCACGGCGGGCCTCACGCGGGCACTGTCCCAACACCCACCACCCGGCCTCCCACGGGAGGTCGTGCGCTTCCCTGCTCCGTGGAGAGAGGGTTCAGGGGATTCCCTGTGAGTAGTGGCTCTGGGTCACTCTGCTGTCAAGCACGGCCCCTGCAAGCCCAGGGAGCCTGGGAGTCGGCCCATCCCACAGAGACCCCCGCCTCCTGCACCCCTCCCGCCCCTCCTTCCTCCCCTCCTTCCTCCCTTCCTTCCTCCTTTCCTTCCTTCCTTCCTTCCTTCCTTCCTTCCTTCCTTCCTTCCTCTCTTTCTCCTTCCTCCCTTCTTCCTCCTTCCTTCCTTCCTTCCTTCCTTCCTTCCTTCCTTCCTCCCTTCCTCCTTTCCTTCCTTCCTTCCTTCCTTCCCCCCTTCCTTCCTCCCTTCCTTCCTCCTTTCCTTCCTTCCTTCCTTCCTTCCTTCCTTCCTTCCTTCCTCTCTTTCTCCTTCCTTCCTACCTTCCTCCTTCCTCCCTTCTTCCTCCTTCCTTCCTTCCTTCCTCCTTCCTTCCTTCCTTCCTTCCTTCCTCTCTTCCTCCTTCCTTCCTCTTCCTTCCTCTTCCTTCCTTCCTTCTTCCCTCCCTCCCTCCCTCCTTCCTTCCTTCCTTCCTTCCTCCCTTCATCCTTCCTTTCTTCCTTCCTCCTTCCCTCCTTCCTCCCTTCCTCCTTCCTTCCTTCCTTCCTTCCTTTCTTCCTCTCTTTCTCCTTTCTTCCTTCCTACCTTCCTTCCTTCCTCCTTCCTTTCTTCCTTCCTTCCTTCGTTCCTTCCTTCCTCTCTTTCTCCTTTCTTCCTTCCTCCCTCCTTCCTCCCTCCTTCCTTCCTTCTTTCCTTCCTTTCTCCTTCCTTCCTTCCTTCCTTCCTTCCTCTCTTTCTCCTTCCTTTCTTCCTTCTTTTATTCCTTCCTTTTCCTTCCTTCCTTTCTTCCTTCCTCTCTTTCTCCTTCCTTCCTCTTCCTTCCTCTTCCTTCCTCTTCCTTCCTTCCTTCCTTTTTTCCTTTCTTCCTTTCTCCCTCCCTCCCTCCCTCCCTCCCTCCCTCCCTCCCTTCCTTCCTTTTTCTTCCTTCCTTCCTTCTTCCTGCCTTCCTTCTTTATCCTTTCTTCCTTCCTCCCTTCCTCCTTCCTTCCTTCCTTCCTTCCTTCCTTCCTTTCTTCCTTCCTTCCTTCCCGTTCTCCCCCTTCCAACCCTCCTTCCCTCTCTCCTTCCCTCTCTCCTTCCCTCTCTCCTTCCTTCAGTTGCCCCTCCCTTCCCCCTTTCCCGGTCCTTCATTCTGCTTGTTGGGCCCACTCAGGGCTGAGGGCCGCCTCTGGGGTCCAGCAGGGCCAGGCCCCGGCTCTCTCAGGCCCCGACTGTGGGCTCTGACAGGCAGTCGCTGGGGAGAGGCTGCCCTTACTCCCAGCTGAAAGGACAGAGCTGCCATCCTGGCCCGGACAGCTGGCTGTTGGACGGCCAGTGAGGCCACTCTCGCCTTCGCGTGACCACCTGAGGTCTGAGACGTGGCTGTGCCTCGTGGCCCGTGGCCCTCCCTGCGCTTCCGTGGCTCCTGCTCCCCTCGTCTGGCTGGAGGCGGCTGGCCCAGGCTCCTCCGGTCCTGTCCCTGTCAGTGCTGGGGGTCTGCTCTCTCGGGGGCTCATCTTCCCTCGTTTAAAAAGGTATCTTTAGCATCTTAAGGCGGAAGCGTAGGTGACTCCTGAGACCTCCCTGTGCTCAGCTCCTGACGCGCGGGGCGGAGGGGACCGAGTCTGTGTCCCCTGCCCCCGCCCCTGCCCCCCTCACCGTCTTGTCCGTGTCCTCGAAGACCTCCCGCGCCTCCTCGTACGAGCACTTCTCCTCGTGGCACTCCCGCTCCAGGTTGCCCTTCTTCACCTCCTCCAGGAAGGAGTTGGCCCGGCGTGCTCGCTGCAGGACCCCGTGGGCTCGGTCGCGGCTGAGGAACACTGTGGACGCGTGCTCGTGGGCTCCCCTGCCCGCTCGGCTGCCCCGCCCCGCTGTGCGTCCACCCTCCACGCGGGGCGGTCCCGGCCGCCTCTCCGCTCCTCCACCCCGCCTGACCCCAGCCCCCCTCCCCTCCCCTCCAACCTGCCCACCCTCTCCTCCCCACCCCAGCGCCCAGGCAGGGCTCCCGGGCAGGCTGGCCCCTGCTGTTTCTCGCTCCTGCTGGCAGTGCCCTGCGGCTGCCCCTGCTAGCCGCCTGCTGACCTCCCAGCCCCCACCGAGCGCGTGGGCCGGCTGCCCGCTGGGCCTCTGCTCTCCAGCCAGCCCCAGCCCCACGGAGCAGCCCGCCCAGCCCGCCCAGCCCCCTCCCCTGCTCAGCTCCCGGCCCGTCGCGTGGGACTGGCACAGGAGGCTGAGCGGCCCTGGGCCCGGCTGACCCGCGGCGAGTCCCTCCGGTCCACTGCCCCCTGGGTGGGCCCTACCGCTTCCCCCGGGCAGCAGCAGGCTGGCCAGGGTGGCACCAAGCAGGACGCAGAGCAGGGGCCCTGCCATGGCGTGTCCAGGGGCTGAGACCAGGGGCAGCTTCTCCTCCCAGTGACGACAGCGGGGCAAGGTCCACTCCCTGGCCACAGGGTGCGTGCTGGCTTTCCGCTGCCCCCAGTCTCCTGATTGGAGCTGGTTGGCGGGGGTGGGCAGGCGAGTGACCACAGACCAGTGCAGCAGAGGGCCAGCAGCAGCCCTGAACTCCCCGGCCCACTTTTTCTTCCACCCTAAGGGGCCCTGTCCACCCTAAGGGATCCTGTCCACCCTAAGGGGTCCTGTCCACCCTGAGAGATCCTGTCCACCCTAAGGGGCCCTGTTCACCCTAAGAGGCCCTGTCCACCCTAAGGGATCCTGTCCACCCTAAGGGATCCTGTCCACCCTAAGGGGTCCTGTCCACCCTGAGAGATCCTGTCCACCCTAAGGGGCCCTGTTCACCCTAAGGGGCCCTGTCCACCCTAAGGAGCCCTGTCCACCCTAAGGAATCCTGTCAACCTAAGGGGCCCTGTCCACCCTAAGGAATCCTGTCTACCCTAAGGGGCCCTGTCCACCCTGAGATATCCTGTCCACCCTAAGGGGCCCTGTATACCCTAAGGGGCCCTGTCCACCATGAGAGATCCTTTCCACCCTAAGGGATCCTGTCCACCCTAAGGGATCCTGTCCACCCTAAGGGGTCCTGTCCACCCTAAGAGATTCTGTCCACCCTAAGGGGTCCTGTCCACCCTAAGGGGTCTTGTCCACCCTAAGAGATCCTGTCCACCCTAAGGGGTCCTGTCCACCCTAAGGGGCCCTGTCCACCCTAAGGGGCCCTGTCCACCCTAAGGGGACCTATCCACCCTAAGGGGCCCTGTCCACCCTAAGGGATCCTGTCCACCCTAAGGGGTCCTGTCCACCCTGAGAGATCCTGTCCACCCTAAGGGGCCCTGTTCACCCTAAGAGGCCCTGTCCACCCTAAGGGATCCTGTCCACCCTAAGGGATCCTGTCCACCCTAAGGGGTCCTGTCCACCCTGAGAGATCCTGTCCACCCTAAGGGGCCCTGTTCACCCTAAGGGGCCCTGTCCACCCTAAGGAGCCCTGTCCACCCTAAGGGATCCTGTCCACCCTAAGGGATCCTGTCTACCCTAAGGGGTCCTGTCCACCCTAAGAGATCCTGTCCACCATAAGGGGTCCTGTCCACCATAAGGGATCTTGTCCACCCTAAGAGATCCTGTCCACCCTAAGGAATCCTGTCCACCCTAAGGGGCCCTGTCTACCCTAAGGGATCCTGTCCACCCTAAAGAATCCTGTCCACCCTAAGGGGTCCTGTCCACCCTGAGAGATACTATCCACCCTAAGGTATCGTGTCCACCCTAAGGGGTCCTGTCCACCATAAGGGGCCCTGTCCACCCTAAGGGGACCTATCCACCCCAAGGGATCCTGTCCACCCTAAGGGATCCTGGCCACTCTAAGGGGTCCTGTCCATCCTAAGAGATCCTGTCCACCCTAAGGTGCCCTGTCCACCCTAAGGGATCCTGTCCACCCTAAGGGGTCCTGTCCACCCTAAGGGATCCAGTCCACCCTAAGGGATCCTGTCCACCCTAAGGGGTCCTGTCCACCCTAAGAGATCCTGTTCACCCTAAGGGGCCCTGTCCACCCTAAGGGATCCTGTCCGCCCTAAGGAATCCTGGCCACTCTAAGGGGTCCTGTCCATCCTAAGAGATCCTGTTCACCCTAAGGTGCCCTGTCCACCCTAAGGGATCCTGTCCACCCTAAGGGGTCCTGTCCACCCTAAGGGATCCAGTCCACCCTAAGGGGTCCTGTCCACCCTAAGGGATCCTGTCCACCCTAAGGAATTTTGTCCACTCAAAGGGGCCCTGTCCACCCTAAGGGATCCTGTCCGCCCTAAGGAATCCTGTCCACCCTAAGGGGTCCTGTCCACCCTAAGGGATCCTGTCCACCCTAAGGGGCCCTGTCCACCCTAAGGGATCCTGTCCACCCTAAGGAATTTTGTCCACTCAAAGGGGCCCTGTCCACCCTAAGGGGTCCTGTCCACCCTAAGAGATCCTGTTCACCCTAAGGGGTCCTGTCCACCCTAAGGGATCCTGTCCACCCTAAGAGGCCCTGTCCACCCTAAGGGATCCTGTCCACCCTAAGGAATTTTGTCCACTCAAAGGGGCCCTGTCCACCCTAAGGTGCCCTGTCCACCCTAAGGGGCCCTGTCCACCCTAAGGGATCCTGTCCATCCTAAGGAATTTTGTCCACTCAAAGGGGCCCTGTCCACCCTAAGGGATCCTGTCCACCCTAAGGAATTCTGTCCACTCAAAGGGGCCCTGTCCACCCTAAGGGATCCTGTCCGCCCTAAGGAATCCTGTCCACCCTAAGGGGCCCTGTCCACCCTAAGGGGCCCTGTCCACCCTAAGGGATCCTGTCCACCCTAAGCAGTACCTGCGGTGTGTCTGAACCTAGAACAGGAGGCAGAGAGAGACACACAGACAGAGACAGAGCGAGACCGAGTTAGAGAGACAAACAGAAAGATAGAGACAGACAGAAATGGACAGAGGTGGACAGAGGTGGACAGAGGTGGACAGAGAGGGACAGGTGGACGGGGCAGGCAGGGATGGGTGGGTGCAGGCTTGAGGATGCTGGCCTGCTTCCTGCGGGGACACTGCTGCTGGTGAGTGCTGGATCTTGTCCTGCTGCGTGTGCGTGCTACACGCGTGTCGACACCCACACACACGCGAAGGAGCCTCGGGTAGGGTGGGCGGCACCCTGGGCAGCTCTTCTTGGGGCTCTTGTGTCACCACGACAGTCACATGGACCCTGGGGGCCCCAGGCGTGGGGACGGGCTCGCAGACGCCCCCATGGCCTGTTCCGGGTGGTCTGGGACCGTGTCCAGGGCGCCCCTGGAGTGGCCCTTCGAGGGGCCTCTAGGGAGGGGCCCCACTTCTGGGGCCCAGCCTGGCCGCCTCCGGCATCCCTGCTCGCTGAGAAGCACGCGGTGCCCTGGTGGGCACAGACAGGGCCGCCCACTCGGCCACGCAGCCCCCTAAGGGAGGCAGCCCCGGGGCAGTGCCCGAACCCAGGCCCGGCCCAGCCCCCGCCCCCTCCAGGCTGGACACCAGGACTGCAGGAAGTAGTCGCTTTATTTGACAGGCGGGGTTGCCCGCCCCAGGACACGCACAGGCTCCCGGCGGACCAGGCCGCCGGAGGCCGGGCTCGCCCCGGAGCCCATGAGGTTCTGGAGCCACTCGATGTAGCGGGACACCCTGGTGTAGACACCCAGGTGGCCCGCGGCCGCGCAGCCGTGGCCCCAGCTGACCACGCCAGTCAGGTACCACGTGCCGCGGAACTGAGTGGCGTGGGGGCCCCCGCTGTCCCCCTTGCAGGCGTCCTTGCTGCCGTCCAGGTAGCCGGCGCAGAACATGTTCTCGGTGAGGCTGGGGGCGCCGGGCCGGCGCTGCGACTGCTCGAGGCAGTCCTGCGTCATCAGGCGCGGCACGTGGATGGTCATGAGCACGCGCGCCGTGGCCCCGTGGTCCAGCAGCTGGCCCCAGCCGCTGACCGCCGAGAAGCGCACCAGCGCGAGCGTCTGCTCCGAGAAGGCCCTGTCGGGCAGGCACAGCGGGACCACGAGCTCCGACAGCTGCACGGGCCGGCCCAGCCGCAGCAGCGCCAGGTCGTGGTCCGTCTGGCCCGGCACGTACTGGCTGGGGAGGATGACCTGGGCCACCGGCCGCTCCTGCTCGTCGCCGTCCTGCTCGCTCAGGTCGTGCTCGCCTGGGGACGGGGACGGCGTGGGGAGTGGGCGGGCCGCGGGCCCCCTGGCCCCCCCGCCCCGTCTTCCCGCTCCCCCGCCCGGCCGGCCCTGGCGTCACCTACCCAGCACCACCGTCAGGTTCTTCCAGCTCTGGATCCGGTCGAAGCAGTGGGCGGCAGAGACGACCCAGAGGGGGTCCACCAGGACCCCCCCACACAGCAGCTTCCCGTCCAACTTCAGCGCGGCCTGGCGGGCACAGACGAAGCTGGCGCCCCCCCAGGCTTGCGGAGGGCGTGCGTCCCGCGGGCCCACCCGCAGCCCCAGGGCTGGACCGTGGCACTGGGCTGTCTGCGTGGGCCAACGGTCCTGGCTCTGAAGTGGACGCGTTCAGAGGGAGGGGGCACAGGGAGGGCACGGGAGCAGTGGACAGGTGCAAAACTAATAAACAAGGGGGATGCTGTGGGCAGACCTGGGGCGACTAGGCGTGGAAGCAGCCATAAAAACAGTGGACAGAGGGGGTGAGGTGGACAGAGGGGCGCGGTGGACAGAGGGGGTGAGGTGGACAGAGGGGCGCGGTGGACAGAGGGGTGAGGTGGACAGAGGGGCATAGTGGACAGACGGGGTGAAGTGGACAGATGCGCGCAGTGGACAGAGGGTGTGCGGTGGACAGAGGGTGTGCGGTGGACAGAGGGGCGTGGTGGACAGAGGGGGTGAGGTGGACAGAGGGGGTGAGGTGGACAGAGGGGCACGGTGGACAGAGGGGCGCGGTGGACAGAGGGGGTGAGGTGGACAGAGGGGCGCGGTGGACAGAGGGGGTGAGGTGGACAGAGGGGCATAGTGGACAGACGGGGTGAAGTGGACAGACGCGCGCAGGGGACAGAGGGTGTGCGGTGGACAGAGGGTGTGCGGTGGACAGAGGGTGTGCGGTGGACAGAGGGGCGTAGTGGACAGAGGGGCGCAGTGGACAGAGGGGGTGAAGTGGACAGAGGGGCACAGTGGACAGAGGGGTGCAGTGGACAGGGGGTGCAGTGGACAGGGGGGTGCAGTGGACAGAGGGGGTGTGGTGGATAGAGGGGGTGCGGTGGACAGAGGGGCGCAGTGGACAGACGGGGCGCAATGGACAGAGGGGCGCAATGGACAGAGGGGCGCAGTGGACAGAAGGTCGCAGTGGACAGACGGTGCAGTGGGAGGCACAGGAGTAGGAGTGGTGGAGTGGACAGACTCCCGCACCTTCCCCACATGTCGCCACTTCTCTGCATCCCCCGGTGGTTCCAGGGGCCCCCTGAGCGGTGCTGTGGGGCCCTGGCTTTGTGGTGCCGGTCCCCGGGGCTGTGGCTCTCTGGGCAGGTGTGGGGCAGGGACAGGGCCTCTGCTGGCCTGCGGCTCACCTGCCAGGGACACTCGCCCTTGGGGCACTCGATGCCGCCCACGATCCTGCCCTGGGGTTCGTCCTTGCGCTTCTCCACAGCAGGGATCTTCCCGCAGGGGAAGTCGACTGCGAGAGGCGACAGTGACTCGCTCAGCGCCGGGTCCGGCCCCGGGCAGCCCCCCCTCGCCCCCGCCCCCGCGGGCCGGACCTGTGGGCCTGCAGGACACCCCGTCGGCCTCCAGCGAGTAGCCCTCGTGGCACCAGCAGGAGAGCCCGCCGCCCGCCTGGTCGGTGCAGTACTGCTCGCAGCCGCCGTTCTCGTTCCTGCAGAACATCTCGGCCTTCTTGTCTGCGGGCGGAGGCTTGTGAGCAGGGCAGCTTGGCGGGCACGGGGGGAGCCCTGGGGGCAGCACCAGACTCTGGGCCTGGCCATGAGCAGCTGGCCGCAGGGCTGGCTGGACCTAAGGGCGCTCCTTCAGGGCAAGGGGCCAGAGGAGAGGCCAGGCCCACCGGCCCCGGCAGACACTGAGCCATGAGGGTGAGCTCAGGCGGGGGACGACTCTGCTGCGAGGGCACTCGGGGCCCAGCCCTGCTGACCCGTCTGCGTGAAGAGGCGGGCGGCCCAGAGAGGGTGCTGCGGTGCGTGTTCAAAGGGCGCCCCTCCCACCCCACCCCAGCTCCTGGGCTCGGCCTCGACCCCGCAGGCTGGTCTGAAAGGCTCCAGGTCAGGTCCAGCCGTGGTCGCTGGCTCTCAGCTGCAGCTCTGGGGGACGGAGACGGGCAGGCGGCCAGCCTCATCACGTCCAGCCGCATCTCAGGACCTCCTGGGGGCTGGCGAGCTTCCTGCGAGCTGCAGTCTCCCGACAGAGCAGACGGGCCATCTGGGCCGGCTCACCCGCCCGCAGCTCTCGTGACGACAGAGCTAAGGGGCCATCTGGGCCAGCTCACCCGCAGCTCTCTTCTAGTGGGTTCTGGGGCGCTGGCACAGGCGGCCTGCGCCGCCACTGGGACACTGCTGGCCGGAGGGAGGCGGAACCGTCGCCCTGGTCAGCAGGCGGGCCTGGCCCTGCGAGCCGCCCCTTCTGGCCCTTCCGACCCTCCCCAAGCGGCTGTTCCCAGCAGCCCGGGCGAAACCCACACGCCTCTGGGCGCCCCCAGCACTGCGACCCCAGGCCAGACCCCCCTGGCCCGGGCCCCTCACCCTTCTCGCAGTTCCGGCCGTAGAAGCCGTCAGGGCAGAAGCAGATATAGGATTGAAGCAGGTCCATGCAGGAGGCCCCGTTCTGGCAAGGGTTCGAGGCACACTGGTCCCCATCTGCGGAGGGCATCCGTGTCGGCCGTGGCGCGGGGCCGCGGCGGGCGGGCCTGGAGGGGCCGCTCGCCTACTCACCGGTGTAGGTGATCCAGAACCGGTTCTGGGGACCAAGGAGGAGATACGTGAGCGGCCACGGCAGCGCGGCGCGGCCCTGCTCTCAGGCTCGGCCCAGACCGTCTCCGAGGCGCGAGGAAGGTTCCCCAGAGCCGCCTCCCGTCTCCTCGACCCCGAGGGACGACGGGGCTGCTCGGAGTTCACACGCGTCCCTCTGAGTCGCCCTCCCGAGTCTTGGCCGCGATCTCAGCGTGGACACAGGGGCCACCCCGCCTGGCCAGCGCAGGACTGAGGCGATGGGCAAAGGCCTGGGGACCAGCTCCACGGCACAGCACTTCCCGAAGAGGCCTCCGACAGAAGCAACTGGACGAGGGCAGGAGTGACCCGAAGATGGGGCTGGGCGGGCAGTGTGAAGAGTGTGTGTCTAAGAGACGAAGCGCGATGTCAGGTGTGTCGCCGTCTGAGGGCGAGACCCGTGTGGGGCGTGCTTCTGTGTGTGCGTCAAGGAGTGAGGGTGAGGTGACGCGTGAGACGCGCACGTATGTGTGTGAGGGGAAGTGTAAGGTGTGTGTCGGGCCTGAGTGTCGGGTGTGTCTCGGCCAGGTGTGCGTCATGTGTCAGTGTGAGGTGTGCACAACGCGAGGTGAAGCGTGAGGGATGAATGAGATGCGGGTGAGACCGAATGTGAGTGAGTCAGGTGTGTAGGTGTGTCACGTGTGAATCCGAGGTATGTGAAGTTCGAGGGAGGCGCGCGAGGTGTGTGTATGTGGGTGAGGTAAAGCGAGAGGGAGCGTCGGGGAGAACGTGTGTCATTTGTGACCGAGGCATGTGAGGGCCAACTGCGAGGCAGGTCAGATGTGGGTGTGAGTCGTGTATGAATGAGGTAAACGTGAGGTAAATACGAAGAGCGCGTGTAAGCGAGGTGAGGCGTGAGTGAGAGTCAGGTCTGAGGCGAAGTGTGAGAGTCGGGTGTGCGCGTGAAGTGTGTGTGTCTGAGTGTGAGGTAGAGTGGGAGAGAGCTGGACTGAGTTTCAGGCGAGAGGGAGGCGTGTGTCCGAGTGTGAGGTGGGAGACGGGTGGGAGTGTGCGGTGAACGCGAGGCGCGTGCAGGAGGGTGAGGTGAAATGTGGGAGTCGAGCGAGTTGCAGGTGAACGGGGGCAGATGTGTGAGTGTGAGGTGAAGTGAGTCGGGCCTGCACATGAGACGAGGCGAAGCGTGTCAGGCGTGTCGGAGCGTGAGGTGAAGCGTGGGCGAGAAGCACCTGCGCCTGTGTGGGACGCGTGGCCGTGCTCCCAGGAGGGGGCGGGGGTGAGGGGCCCGGCGCCTCCCTGGCCGGCGGCTGCTCTGCAGAGGCGGGACGCCGCGTGGGGGACGCCTCGGCAGGACCGGGGAGCCCTTGGCCCGGCGGGGGGCGGACGAGCCGGGCAGCCTCACCGTGCGCTCGGGCGTCCTGAAGATCTCGCGGGCCTCCTCGAAGGAGCAGGCCTCCTCCTTGCACTCGCGCTCCAGGGAGCCGGGCCACAGCTCCTCCAGGAAGGTGTTGGCGCGCCGCCGCCTGTGCAGGACCTGCTGGGCCTCCTCGGGGCCCAGGAACACTGCGGAGAGGAGGCTTGTGGGGCGCGCGGGACGGGCCCCCTGAGGTGGGGGTCCGCCCGGCTCCCGGCCCCTCCCGTTGCAGCTCTCCCCCCGGGGGCGTGAAGCGCGCGTCTGCTCCTTCCCCGGTGCTCGTCCAGCCCCCCGGGGCCGGCACCCCACGCCCACCCCTCCGGGCCTGCTGCCCCTCGTTCACTTCCGCTCTGCCCACACGGCTCAACCCCACTGGCTCCCCCGGCCCCGGGCGCGGCCCTCTCAGCCCTGCCACCAGCTGGAGTCACCCCTTCCTGGGCTAAGTGCCACAGAGGCGTGCCCACAGCCTGGGTCCTGCAGCGGTGCTGAGGTGGGTCCTCCTGTGCCTCCTGCAGGGCGCCCAGTGAAGTCGGGGTGCGTGTGCACAGCCTGGCCTTGGGGCGTTGCAATCAGACTCGGGCCTGGCCCAGGTGTGCACGCAGGCAGGGCTGAGGATGCCCACGGGATGCCAAGGGCACAGGCAGCCAAGGTACGGCCCGGGCGGTGGGGGAAGGGCAGAGGAAGGCAGCATCGTGGGGGTGGGCGGGGGAAATGGAGTCTGAGGCCCGTCAGTGCTGGGGTGGGCAGGGAGAGCTTGGGGCACTTCGGTCACTGTCCCCTGCCTGGTCCCGGGTCCTGTCCTGGGGCTGTCCTGGGCTGTCTGGTCTGAAGGGAGTCCTGAGGGGAACAGGCTGGGGGCACCCCTGGGGAGACATCGGGGGTCTAGGCTGAGCAGAGGGGCCCCGGTAGCTCACAGGGGTGTCCAGGCAGCGTGGGCACGGGGAATCCCAGCTGACCATGGGCCCAGCCCCCGGGGTCCCGCATGGGCATCAGAACACAAGAACCTGCTGCTGCCCAGGCAGGACAGGCTGGGTGCGGAGAGGACCTGACACGAGGAGGGCAGGGCAGCCCCTGCTTCCGCTGTGGGCCAGGCCGGAAGGGCCTGTGGGTGCTGCTCAGGCACGTCCACTCACCACTCGGGCCGGCCACCCCCAGGGTCTGCTGCAATGTCCCCAGAGCCGGCCGGAGCAGCGTGGGAATGCCCAGGCTGTTTGCTTTGGAGGGGGGGAGTGTGCAGGGGAGAGGGAGTCCCCCCGCAAGGGGCAGCGAGGGCTGGGCCCCCAGGAAGCCCCACGTACCTGCGGCCAAGGAGCCCCAGAGGCCGAGCAGAAAGAAGACGGGCGCCAGGAAGACCATGGTGCGGTCTGTGTGCCACCCCGGCTGTTGACTTTCAGGGGGAGGGGAGCAAAGTTCCCAAGGGCAGGGGGGAGGAGGCCAGAAGCAGTGATCACAGGCCAGCCAGTGCGGGACCGCCAGGAGTCCGGGCCCGCCCCCAACCCAGGCCACATCCACGATGCACGGGAGGCCCAGACCCGGGCAAGGCGGCTCAGCCTCTGTCATCTGTCCGGCTCATCCGTCCCGCCTCCCACGGAGCCATTTGCTCCGTGGTTGTAAACACAGAAAAAAAAATTCCAGAATTTTTGCTGGATTTTGCTATACTTTTCATTACATTAGAAAAGTTCCTTCTACTTGTAGTTAGCAAAATATTACAAGTGGACGTTGAATAAAAGTACGTTTTTCTATCTGTTGAGCTGATCTTAGCTCCTGAGTCACCCTACGGCAAACCCTAAGCTTCGCACAAGGAACATCCTGCGTTCGTGGGGCCCTCACTCAGGAGGACATGTCGCCTTGGGTGGGGTCGCCGTGGGCCTTCCCCGCCACACTTGATGGGAGTGTTTACATTATGCCCATAACTTTGTTTCTCGTATTATCTCTGCTTGGTGCTGGACTCACACTCGCTCCATGAAATTTGTGGAGATGCTTTTTCCCCCTCTCTACACTCTTTGAAATAGTGCATGAATGTTTCCGCGTAAGACCTGAGTAAAATTACAAAACAAAAATGGCCCTAAAAATATCTGAGCCTGGCATCAATCAGGAGCTGACCTATTTCTAACTGATTTTCATGAAAAAAATGTTAGGCCATACACAGCAGTGCTCAGGAGTTACCCCTGGTCATGCTCATTGGACCGGATGGGGTGCCAGGGGATGGAACGCGTGTTGGTCACACGCAAGGCAAGTGCCTTATCTGCTGTCCTATTGAAAGGAGCGAGGAAGGCCAGGAAGGAGTTAATTAACTTGCAGAATTGCTTTCCGTAAACAGTTCAGCAGCCTTGAGGTTACAAAATTGGATTGAACCCAGTAGATGTGTAAGGTAAGGGCTAGAATAAGACATAACTATTTAAAGATAGACAGAGTGTTTTGACCATCCTGGAAACTGAAACTATGTGACCGGGTCAAGATGTTTGGGTCGAGATTCTTCAAGAAAAACCGCAAGGAACCTAGCAAAACATGTATGTGCAAAATATGTGGTCTTTATTCTCAAACTGTATAAAAAATGGTCTGTTTCTGAGTTCGAGGCTCTCAGCCTCTGCCCGCTCTTGGGTATGTTGCAGAGCCCCAGCATGCTGGTCTGAATGAAACCCCGCTTGAATTCCTGCAGGAACGTTGTTTGTCTGGTCTCTCCGTGCCTCCCAGGGCTAGGGAACTCCCGACCTCGACACTATCACTCCTGCCTTTTTTTTTTTTTAAATAAGCTGCATTTCATCAAAAGTTAATTTATGGAGAAACTCCTGTTTTGTGTTTTCAGATGTATCAGCAGAAGTTTGTTCATGACTTTTCATATTAAAGTCTCCATTTACCGTGAACTTTGCTTAACTCTTTTTGTTGCCTTGGGGCCATAGCGGGCAGAGCTTAGGGCTCGTCCGGCAGGATGCATACACCTGTTTTCTGTCCCCCGGGGAGGGTGCCTGTGCCCAGACAGGATGAAGGGGTGGGGTCCGGCTGCTCCCCCCACCCAGTCTCCTCTCCCTCCCTCTGGCCTGGGGTGCAGATGAGGTGGGCCCTGAGAGACGCGTCTTTCCCATGGCAGAGGCTGCTCGAATTTATTCAAACAAACACATCCGGGAGGAACTCGAGTCCCCAAGTTTTATTTACATCAGCAGTTCTAAAACAATGACAGGGAGGAAACACTAAGCTTTAAAGTGCTTTCACAGGAGAGCGGCTGAGCAGGACAGGGCCACGCCAGGACAAACACGCCCAGGGCGCTCTCAGCCCCTTCAGGGCGTCTGGCCTGCTGGGCAGCCCCTTCCTGGGCTCTGCAGACACACGGACATACACACTCGGACAGACATGCACGGCAGCCGTACAACCCGGCTCCTGAGACAACAGCGAACAGCCCTGCTCCCCGCTGTCTTGATTGTGTGGAGTCACGTGCCTGGGCCTCGCCATGCTCCCGTGTTTCCCGGCACGGGGGCACGGGGGCACGGGGGGCACGGGGCCAGCAGGGCACGCAAGGGTGGCTCTGAGGACGCGCGGGTTAGCACAGAGCTCTGTAAGAATGGTATCACTCTCTGTTCTTTAAAAACAATACAAATACCCCAACTCGGTGAAGTGCTTTAAAAAACCATGAGCCCCCCATTTTTTTTAAATAGAAAAAGAATATTTTAAATGACAGTTCCCTTCTGGAAATGCACACGCCCAGGTACAGGGTCCTTCTCTGTGTGTGGGCGCTGCCCGGTTTGGGGGGCATCTGGGCCCCGGCCCGTACGGCAGCGTGGACCCCAGTAACAAAAAATAGTTTCATATCAAAAGAGTATCAAATCGTCGTTTCATGTAAACAGTGATGCCGGGTGCTCGGAGGTCTCAGCGGGGCCGGGGGCGTCCTGGGGGCCCCTCCGGCGGCGGACGGGGCGCAGTAGGCTGCTGCTCGCTGTCCCCGGAGGGTCGTCCTGGGCTTGCGGGGTCTCTGCAGGGCTCCTACAGCGCCGTCCCCTCACCCACTAGGCCCAGAGGAGGAGGTCAGGGCCCGGCCGCGGTCCAGCCGCGCTGGGTCGAGCTGGACCGGGCGGACCCCGCGGGAAAGCCGGGCACGGGCTCGGGTGCGGGCACGGGTGGGGGGGCCTTACCTGGGCCGCTCAGACACTGAGCGGGGCTGGACGTGCCCAGGAGCGCGCACAGGCTGCTGGCCGGCACCCAGGCCTCCCCGCTGGACGTCAGGTTACGCACCCACCTGCACGGACCGGCCGTCAGCAGAGCTCCGCCCCCCCGCCTCCAGCCAATCCCGTCCATCCTTGGCCGCCGGCCGGCCCCGCCCCAGCCCCGGTCCGCCCGCTATCCCCGCCGACCCTCCAATCAGCTCCGGTCTTTCTCTAGTCCCACCCACCCGTCCAACCAGTGGTGTTCTAGTCCCACCCCCCGCATCAGTGGCGTTCAATCTCTAACCCGCCCTTCTTATCCCGCTCCAACCAGTCCTGTTCACTCTAGCCCCGCCCACCACTCTGCCCCGCCTCCAACAGTCCCACTCATTTCCCTAGCCCCGCCCACTGCCCTGCCCCGCCCCCAACAGTCCCACTCATTTCCTAGCCCCGCCCACCGCTCTGCCCCGCCTTCAACCAGTCCCATTCATCCCTAGCCCCGCCCAGCGCTCTGCCCCGCCCCCAACAGTCCCACTCATTTCCCTAGCCCCGCCCACCGCTCTGCCCCGCCTCCAACCAGTCCCATTCATCCCTAGCCCCGCCCACCACTCTGCCCCGCCTCCAACAGTCCCATTCATTCCCTAGCATCACCCTCCCATCCCGCCCCCAGCCGGGCCCTGCCCACCATCCTGCCCCGCCCCCACCCCGAGCGTCCAAGGCTGCTCACCAAAGGCCAGCGTCGCCCTCCTGCACCACCTCCACCGTGTCCCCGCTCTTCAGGGCCAGGGCCTCAGGGCTGCCCTTCTCCTCGCCGCCCACCACCCTGAACTTCCCGGGAGCCTGGACGGGGGACAGCAGCCTCAGTGTCCAGCAGCGCCTTGGGGGCGACCGGGAGGGGGGCCCTGGGGTGGGGCGCTGCCCTGGGGGACACACAGAAGGCCTGCGCAGAAGTCCGACCAGCAGGCTCACTCAGTGCTGGCGGGCTGAGTCTGCGCCCTCCTGGACGCCGGTGCGGCCACCGCCCTGTGTGCTCCCTACTCTGTCTTGGGGGATGAGTGGGGGTGGAGGGGTCGTAGTGCCCGGGGCGCCCCGACCCCCTCCTCCTGCCGGCCCAGAGACCAGGGCCGACCCCAGCGCACGCCCAGCCTCCGCGTGACCTTTTCTGCGTCTGTCCTGGGGCACCTGTGCGGGGCCCTGTCCAGGCCAGGCCAGGCAGCGGCCTGTGTCCTCCTGGCCTTCCCAGGGCAGGCAGCACCACCTGCGGGGCCGAGCGGGCACACAGCACCCGCACGGGAGCCCCACCGGCCTCTCCACCCGCCCTCCCGGATGGGCCCCGCTGCGCCTGCCCTGTTACCAGCTTCCTGGGACCCAGGCCTGCCTCCTCCTCCCCGTCTGAGGAGTTGATGGGCTCCTCCGCACTGGACCAGCCATCGTCATCTGGGGCCTCGGGCGGGCCAGACGCTTTGTTCCAGCCTGCGGGGGACGGGGTGCCATGAAGAGCCTGCGGGCGTCTGGCAGGTCGGGTTGGGGTTGGGCAGGGACTTGGGGCAGCACCGTGGCCGCGGCCACTGACTGCCTGGGGGGAAGGCTCCGTGAGGGGAAGGCTCAGGGCCACAGTGGGCGCTGCGGCGCTGTGGGACACCCGGAGGTGAGGGCCGGGGGTGACATTCCCATGGGTGCAGGAAAGGGAGCAGGAGGGCAGGGGCTCTGCCAGGCACATCCACCCCACCCGGCCCACGAGCAGCGCCCCCAGGTGGGCTGCAGCCAGGAGGGAGGACGCGTCTCTGCTCGGTGCCAGGCCTGCTGACCCGACCTGCCTGCGCTCAGCCCAGTGGTGCCTGCTGGGGTCTCTGAGGCCACCCACGGGAGCAGGTCACCGTTGGGAGCTGGGTCTGAAGGACTCGCACGGGCAGAGAGCACGGCGGGCCCCTCTGGGTGGGAGCTGCGCACCCACCCTGGGCAGGCGAGCGCTGGGAGCCGCCTCGCCTGGCCCAGACACAGGCCGGGCACGCCCCACACCTGCGGAGAACAAGCCACGCTACCTCGCAGACCCAAGGGGGTCGGGTCGCTCTTTACTTCATGCCGCTTAGCTTTTTTGTCAGGACTGGTAGGAGAAGCTGCAGAGGAGGAAGAGGCGACAGTAAAGCAGAAGAGAGAGGAGGACTGAGGAGGGAGGAGGAGCGGGAGGAGGGAGAGGAGGCGGCAGCAGGTGGTCGAAGCAGGAGGAGAGAAAGAGGAGGGGACGGAAGAGGGAGGAGGCAGGAGGGGCGGGGAGGAGGGAGGGAGGGAGAAGGGAGGAAGGAAGGTGGGGAGGGAGGAGGGGAAGGAGAGAAGGAAGGGGAGAAGAGGTCTGGGAAGAGGAGGATGGAGAGGGGAGAGGGAGGGGCGGGGTAGGAGGAAGAGGTGGAGGAGGAAGGAGGCTGAAGGGAGGAGGGTGGAGGGGAGGAGGAGGAAGGGGAGAGGGGAGGGGAGAGGAGGAGGAGGGCCGGGGGAGGGCCTGCTGTGGTAGGAGCAGGAGCGGGGGTCCAGGAGGGAGGCAGGAATGCGGCCCTTTCTCAGCCCCAAGAGCAGCGGGGTCATGTCCCCGCCCCGCGGGCTGAGGGCCAGCACAGGGTGGCTCTTTGCAGGCAGCGCCTCTGCCAGGTGCTTGGGAAGCTCAGGGCCTGGGGGCCAGTGGCTCTTCCCGGCCTGGCCTGTGCCCGGGGGCTCTGCTGGCCTCACCCACGGGGCCCGGATCGGGCCAGCAGGGTCTCAGGGCTCTGAGCCCACAGCCCGTCTGCTGGTGGCAAAGTCGGCCTGGCAGGACCCGCCGCGGACCCACAGCCTGGCCACATGGCCAGCCCCGCAGAGCAGAGCCCTTCCTGGGGCAGGGCTGGGCCCACCGCAGAGGGGCAGTCTCTGCCGGAGGCCAGAGGCCGGGTCTCGCCCGGGCACACCCACCTTTGCCCTTCTCGGGCGCCTTGGGCGGTGTCCCGGGGCTCGTGTCGTCCTCCAGACTCAGGTTCTCGCCTTTTCTCTCCTCCAGCTTCTGGACGTTCCTCGTGGAGCCCTTGGAGGGGCTGTCAGGCCAGGAGGGGACAGGCAGGAAAGGGCTCAGTGGCCAGCCTGCCCTGCGGGCAGAGGCGGGCACGGGGGAGGAGGCCAGGGCTGAGGGGCCTCTAGTTGTGGTCAGGGCGGGGTGCAGAGGGGCTGGGGACTCAGCCTAGGTCTGTCCATGGCCTCTCGCCTAGGCGGCGACTGGGCTGTAGTTCCTGGGCAACTGCCTCAGTTTCCCCTGGGGAACCCGTCATAACCCCAGAACTGGGGCCATGGAGCCCGTGGGGTGTCACCTGGTGTTGGACACTGCTGGCAGGGGCAGGCTCTGGGACTGCTCCAGGGAGCGGTGCTGGCTGGCCTCTGTGGGAGGGACAGGCTGTGAGCAGAGCACAGGCAGCACCAGCACCCAGCTGCACCCACACCCACCCTCACCCACCCACATTCATCTTCACCCACACCCCCAGCCTCGCCCCCACCCGCCCCAAGCCAAGGAAGCCGTGTGAGTGCTCTCACCTCGGCAGGCCTGCAGCTGACTGGTCAACACCTTCCGGATCTCACTCACCCACGCGGCCTTGATCTCGGCTGTGGGCGCCTACCCACAAGGAAACGCGGAGGTCACGCTCACGCCCCAAGGACACGCATGCCAACAGCGCTCAAGGACGGACGACCGGAGGGATGACAGCATGGGACCCACAGATGCAGGCAGAGAGGTGCTGCCACCAGGTGGGGCCTCTCCCCTGGGTGATGGGCCTGCCCCCACCCACCTGCAGGCGGGAACCATGTCCTGCCGCCTGTGGGGTGGACCCTCGCCCTGCCCGTCTGTGGTGGGGGAACCTCGCCCTGCCCACCTGCGGGGGGGACCTTCGCCCTGCCCGTCTGCGGTGCGGGGAGGACCTCGCCCTGCCCACCTGCGGGGGAACCCTTGCATCCCCCGCCTGAGGGGGGACCCCGCCCTGCCCGCCCCGGGGGTCCTCGCCTGTCCCACCTGGATGATGTACGCCTCCTCCCGGGCATTGTACCAGATCTCAAACTTCCTCGAGTCGCCCTTCACATTCTCCGTGATGCCCACAGCGGCCATCTGCAGGCAGAGCGGGGGAGCGTGAGTGCGGGGCGGGGCTGGCGGGCTGGCAGGCGGCCCCCCTGGCGGGTGCTCACGTTCAGGGAGTGCTTGTAGCTGTAGGAGGGCGCCTTCTCGTAGCCCTCGCCGCTCTCCTCGCGCCGCTTGCAGAAGAGGACGGCCTTCTCGTGCAGAAACAGGTGCCGCTGCATGGGCTTGAAGCGCGCCAGGTCCTTCACCTTGGCGTGGCCCTTCTTGTGGTCGGTCCACACGCTGAACGAGCCCTGCATCAGCAGCCTGCCCAGGTCACCCAGGTTCCCCTGCAAGGCAGACACGGGCGCTGCGGACCCGGGCGCCACCCCCCGCCCCGTGACTCCTGTCTCTGTGCGGGGGCTCGCGCGGCAGTGCTCAGGGTCTGCTCCTGGCTCTGAGTGCGGGTCACTGCAGGGACGCTCGGAGGACAACACGGGATGCTGGGGATGGGACTCGCGCGGTGTGGAGGCAGGCGCCCTCCCGACTGGGCTGCCTCTGCCCCCCAACAGAAACCTCTGGGAAAGGCACCACTGGGGGCTGGGGCGAGAGGGCGGCTGTGAGGGCCTGGTGGGCGTCGCGCGTCCCCTGCGGGACACCGGGTGCCGTCCACGCAGAGCTGCCCCGGGGCGGGACCGGACTGGCCCTGCGGGGCGGGTGCTCACGTCGTAGCCCGTGATGGCGATGAGGTGCATGGAGTCGTTGACGGCCTTGAGGATGCCCAGGATGGAGCTCAGCGCCTCCTGCAGGTCCTCCGCCCCCTCGCAGCTCTTGCTGTACTTGAGCATTTCCTGCGGAGGGAGCGGCGGGTGGGCGCTGCCCGGGGTCGGGAGCCCCCTCCCCCCAGGCCTGCGCCCCACCTTGAGCAGCAGCTGGTACTTGGTGATCCTCTGCACCGGCTTCAGCAGGTACGAGTCCAGGCTCAGCTTGTGGTCCAGCTTCCGCTGGCACTCCTGCAACAGGGGACCCTGAGACGGTGCCCGGCCGGGGGCAGGGAGGGCCGGGGCGGGGGGACGCACCTGGAAGAAGGGGCAGTCGGAGCACTGGCGCCACAGGCTCTCGGAGCGCGGCTTGTTCTGGCAGTACTTCTCGTACACCTGGAACTCCTCCATCTGCGGACGCGAGCAGGTGAGCGCGGCAGCGGGGCGGGGGCGGGGCGTGTCCTCGTAAGGGGCGTGGCCGGGGGCGTGCTGGACAGGTGGGGCGGGGCCAGGCCAGGGGGTGTGTCCACGGGAGGACGGGGGCGTGTCCTCACCGGGCGCGCCAGCATATGGGGCGGGGCTGGGGCGGGGCTAGATGAGGCGGGGCGTGTCCTAGGCAGGGGTGTGGCCAGGGCGACGGGGCCAGGGGCGTGTCCTCGCTAGGGGCGTGGCCGGGGGCGTGCTCGTCAGGTGGGGCGGGGCCAGGCCAGGGGGTGTGTCCACGGGAGGACGGGGGCGTGTCCTCACCGGGGCGCGCCAGCATAGGGGGCGGGGCTGGGGCGGGGATAGATGAGGTAGGGCGTGTCCTAGGCAGGGGTGTGGCCAGGGCGACCGGGGCCAGGGGCGTGTCCTCGCTAGGGGCGTGCCTGACAGATGAGGCGGGGCTAGAGGCGTGTCTGCTGGTGGGGGCGAGTACAGGTTCTGTGACGGCCCAGGCGCTCAGGAACCTTCCAAAGGACCCTCCTCAGAGACCCTCCATAGGGACCGTCTTTAGGTCCTCCTCAGGCCTCTCCACTGAGAGCCTTCACGGCACCTTCCTCAGTGACTCCTCAGAACCTGCCACAGGACCCTCCTCCACGACCCTCCTTGGACTCATCACAGGGAGAGCAGCTCAGGAGACCCATCCAGTCCCACCCGCCCACCAACCCCTGGAGTGTGTCCTTGGTGACTTCAGTCTGATGGAAGCAAGGTGAAGCTTCAGGTACCAGTTCTGGGTTATCTTTTCTAAATTTTTAATTTTGGGGGATTTCCCAAGCTATCCAGGAAGTTTTGGGGGGTCTCAGTCGGCTGATCAGTGTGAGACTGAAGGCACTGCAGCTTGGCCCTGTGGTGCTGGGGACTCCCCAGACCACTCCAGGGGACCGTACAGTGCTGGGACTGAGCGGGGTCACTGCCTATTGCCCCGTTCCCACTCCGAGGAGTAAGAAAGTCTAGTGTCAGTGAAGTGCTCACCCTTTCCAGAAAGCACCTTCCCACGAGCTCCGGGCAGTCTGTGTACTTTTCAAGTTCCTTCAGGAATATTCTAGACAGAGATAGTTGGGTCAGGACCTGGGAGGAGCGCGACAGTGACCAGAGTCCTCCCAGCACCATGCTGCGCTCTCTGGCCTGGAACCTTCAGCCATGATTCTGCTCAGGTCACAGGGAGTGCTCAGGAGTGGCTGCCATGTGTGGGGTTGCTGGGGTGCTGGGAGGACACAGTGGGTCACTCGGGACTGAAGCTAGAGATGGCGGTACACGATGGGGACAGCCTGTTCCACCGGTGGCTGCAGGTGGAAGAGTCAAGTTCCACTCCAAAGGGATTCCCCCTCCTTAGGAACCCTTCAAAGGACTCTCCTCATGACCCTCCACAGGAATTTCCTCTGAGACTCTCCACAGGACCCTCTCAGAAACCTTCCAAAGGACCATACTCAGGAAACTTCTGAAGGAACATCCTCAGGAAATGTCCAATGGAACCTCTCCAGGCCTTCCTCAGAGACTCCTCAGGAACACTCCTCAGGGACACTTTGGAGGGTCTCTTCCTCAGAGACCCTCTAAAGGACTATCCTCAGGAGATTTTTGAAAAAACATCCACAAGAATCTTTCAAGGACCCTCCACAGAGACCCTCCTCAAGAACCTTTCAAAGGACCTCCTTCAGGAAACTTTCAAAGGACCTTCCTCAGAGACCCTCCATAAGGACCTTCTTTAGGACCCACTTCAGGACTCTCCACAGAACTTTCCTCAGAAACTCTCCTCAGGACCCTCCTCCAACTCTTCACAGAGACCATTCATAGGATCCTCAGGACCCTGCACAGGAGCCTCCTCAAGAGACCCTACACAAGGATCCTCCTCAGAGTAGGATCCTACTCAGGACCCATCACAGGACCCTCAGAGACTTCAAAACCTTCCATAGGACCATCCCCAGAGATTTCCCACAGAACCCTCCTTAGGCACCCTTCCAAGAACCCTCCTGAGACCCCTCCACAGGACCTTCCACAGAGACTCTCCATAGTCCCCTCCTCAGGAACCCTCCAAAGCAACCTCCTCAGAGACCCTCTGTAGGAACCCTCTTCAGGACCCACCTCAGGATTCGTCACTGAGACCCTCTACAGGGCCTTCCTCAGAGACTCTCTTTAGGATCCTTCACAGTGATCCTCCTTGTCTACAGAGACCCTTCACAGGACGCTCCTCAGAGATCCCCCTAGAATCCTCCTTAGGGACCCTTCCAAGTAACCTCTCCAGAGACCCCTCCACAGGACCCTCCACAGTCCCCTCCTCAGTAACCCTCCAAAGGACCCTCCTAAGAGACCCTCCATTGAGACTCAGTATTTTCCATTGAGACTCTCCACAGGAGCGTCCTCAGAGTCTCCTCCTCAGGACCCTCCAACAGTGATCCTCCTTGGACTCTCCTCAGACACCCTCCGAAGGACCCTCCTCAGAGATCCCCTACGAGACCCTCCCCAGCTTGTGTGCATTGTCCCCAACTGCAACTGCACCTGCTCTCCTGCATCAGAACCCTCACAGAGATGCCCCCCCCACACCTGGCCCCAACTGGCCACCCGCTGCCCACACACTGGTACTCACCTGTTGTGGAAGTGACAGATCTCTTCCATGTTCCCAAACAGGACGTCCTTCTTGTTGTGCAGGCTGGCCGGCAGCAGATGCGCCATCAGGGGGTTGTCCATCTCTGCGGCATAGCCCTGCGGTGGTAACAGTCAGGGTCAACGGCCAGACATGGGCCTGCATTTCTTCAGACTCCCCACAAGAGCATGGGTCATTGGGGCATCACGGGTGTATGTGTATGTGTGTCTGTTGGGGGATGATCCAATAAGCTTGTGTGTGCGTTGGGGAGAGGGTGGTCTCATACATGTGCATGTGTGAGGTGGTCCCACTTATATGTATGTATGTGTGGGGGGTAGGCCATGTACATGTATGTGTCTGTGGGGGTGGTCTGTGTCTGTGTGGTGCTCCTGAATACGTCTGTGTGGGGTGGTCCTGTGTGTGTGTCTGTAGGGGGTTCACCCTCTCCGATAGCCCCTGGAGGGTGCAGACTCAGTGGGCACTCAGTGGGCTGCCCAGGTTCTGCACCTCTGCAGCCTTGCCCGAAGCAGCCCAGTCTCTGGGCAACTCTCCCTCCGGCTCTGTGGAATCCCCTCACGCCACTGGGTGGTCTGCACCATGTGGCCATCTGGTTTCCCGAGAAGCATTGAAGCAAACCTTGCACGGGCCCATCAGCAGAGGTCCGCTCCTGGTCCACCCATGGGCTGTGGCATGTCCAGTGGGCTTGCAGGACCCTCTTGGGGGACAGGGACCCCCGGGGCCCCACTGTCCCAAGATCGGCAGCTCACCTCCAGGACACTCAGCAGCTCATCCACGTACACGCGTTCCGTGTCCAGGAGCTCGGCCATCACGTGCCTGAGGTGAGTGCAGGGGTCAGCGGGCGCCCTGCCCTCCCCGTGAAGGTCGTCCACGTCTTCCCTGAACCAGTGCCGCCCTGCATGTCCCCTCCGGATCCCTCAGGACCCCCGGAGACACAGACGAGCATCCCGCCGGGCAGCATGAGCAACAGATCTATTGTCCTGCCCGAGTGCCAGAAAGCGCCCACCCTCCGAGCCCAGGTTTCTCCTTTTCACTGTGGACGTGCCCGTCACACGCGGACAACTCCTGGGTGCCCGCGTGAGGCCGCCACACGCCCAGTCCTGTGCACCCAACGCAGCAGCCTCTCCGGGGCTGTCCGGCCAGAGCACCCACCTCCGCAGGATGGCCAGGCTCTCCTCCTCGTCGCCGGTGGAGCTGCCCCGGCCCTGCCGGCCCTCGCTGAGCTCGCTCTGGGGAGACAGGCAGTGTGGCAGCATCTCTCAGGGACAAGGCAAGCCTGCCCACTCAGGCTGGGCCGAGGCCCGGGCACGACCCCGCCACACCCACCTTGGCCCTCCTGTACGGCCTCCGCAACGCGCTGCCCTCAGGGCCGGCGTTCTCAGACCCGCGCCGGACGCCTGCATCGGAAAGAGGGGGTCGGCGGTACTGTCGCTTGGAGGGGACTGTCCAGGATGTGGGGCTTCCACGTTGGAGGGAAACGGGGCGGGAATATGGGGGGAGGGTCAGGAACGGGGTGTGCAGCTGAGGGCGTCTTGAGGACGGGCTCCAGACTGGACAGAAAACTCGTCTCTGGGCCCAGGCGAGGGGCAGGTGCCGTTCTGTGACACTCCAGGGGAGACCGGGCGTCCCGGGCTGCTGGTGAGCGGGCGGGGCGCAGCGTCGGGGACACAGCCCGGCAGAGGGGCATGGAGCGGGGAGAGGAGAAGTTTGGTGGGTGTGTGTCACTGAGTGTGCGGTCTGTGCACGGCAGTAATGCGGGTGTGTGCATCTGAATGAGCAAGTGCGTACGTGTGTATGTGACCAGTGCGTGTCTGAGAGGGTACACGCATGAGTGCGAAGTGTGTGCGTGTGTGTGTGTCAACAGGTGTGTGAGCTGGTGTCTGAATATGTCTGTGAACGTGAGTGAACGTGTGTGTCAGCGTGACAAGTGTGTGTGTGAATGAGTGTGGCAGACGTGTGTGTCTGTAAATGAGTGCTGTACTCGCGAGTGTGCGCATGTGAGGGAGTGAGCTGGGCACTCTCAGACCTGGGGAGGGGCAGGGGGACTTGCTCAGCGCCTCGGGCCGGGGGGCGACAGGCTGCACGGGCCGCGTCTGCTTGGCCGCCAGCTTCCTGAGGCTGGCCTGTCTGCGGTGGAACATCTCCTCGGTGCTCTCCTGCTTCTGGAAGACCTTTTGCACGTGCTCCTGCATGGGACGGGGGGCAGGCGGCTCAGGAACAGGGGTGCTGGCCCAGCCGCTGACGGGGGGCACGCAGCACTACCCAAAGGTCTCAGAGGCGTATGGAAGGGGCCCAGGTGTCTGCCTCTGGGTGTGGGCCCCAGTGTGGGCCCTCGGATGTGTGCCCCGGTGTGTGCCCTCAGGTGTAGTCTCTGGGTGTGTGCCCTCGGGTGTGTGCCCTGAGTGGGTGCCCTCAGGCGTGGGCGTCCAGGTCAGCAGGCCTTGAGGAAGGAAGCCCGCCCTGTGGAGAGGCTCACCCCTCGGGCTGCCCCTCAGGAAGCACCCTTCGGGGGCTGGGTGCTCTCCAGGACCCGGCCGCCTGCCCTCTGCGGCCCACCTTCAGATCCGGGGTGAGGATGGACTCGTAGTCTTGGTAGATCCTGCCCAGCTCCTGGATCTTATTCTCTGCACCCGTTTCCAGAAACTTCTCAATCTCCTGGAGGGCGGCCTCGGCGCCATCCTGGGACTGGCACTTGTCCACGGGCTGGGAGGCCAGCAGGAAGATGCCCTCATCACACCACCTCATGGACTGCAAGCAGAGTGTTGGGGGGGAGAGCGTGAGTCTCCAGCTGAGGAGCCGTGGGCATCCGTGTGGCCACGAGAGGCTTGGGGGGATGCGGGTGGGCTATCCGCCGAGGACAGCGGGGCGGGTGGAGTGGCTGGGCGGCTGCTCTGGGTCTGCAGCGCTTGAGTAAGCCTGAGAGTGAGTCAAAGGCACGGTGCGGGTGTCGGGAGCGGGGAAGGGCCGAGGCCCGGGAGGGGCAGGCTCGAGGGGCGGAGCTGAGGGGCAGGAGTCGGGGGGCGGGCCCGAGGGGCAGAGGGGCGGGGCCGAGGACCGAGGGGCGGGGCCAAGGGACCGAGGGGCGGGGCCCAAGGTGCTGGAGGGGCGGGGCCAATGGGCTGAGGGGCGGGTTCGAAGGGCGGGAGTGGGAGGGGTCTGTGGCAGTGTAGGGGCGGGGCCAGGGGCTGAGGGGCGGGGCCTGTGGTATGTAGGGGCGGGGCCAGGGGCTGAGGGGCGGGGCCGGCCTACCGCCTCCAGGAGCCGGTGCAGCTCCAGCGACTGCCCCAGCAGCGCCGTCCGCCTGTCCAGCGCGGCCTCGACCTGGTCGCAGACGTGCCGCAGCTCCTGGCACTTGGGGCGGATGGAGTCCACGGCGTAGTGCTTGGTGCCGATGAGGCGCTCGCCCTCCCGGGCCAGGGCCTGGGCCCGCTGCACGGCAGCCTGCACAGACCCCGCAGGTCAGCCGGCCGCGACCCCCACGCCGCCCCCCGCCTCCCCCGCCGCCCGCAGCCCGCCTACCCCCGACTTCTCCCTGAAGGCGGTGAGGTCCTTCAGGAGGTGCTGCGCGTGTGCCAGGCTGTTGCCCACGTCGTGGAAGGTGGCGATCTTCTGGGCCAGGGTGTCTAAAGCGGCTCGGACCTGACAGCGGGGCGGAGGGGCCGCGTGAGCCCGGGCCCTGGGCGCCCCCACAGCTGGGATGGGCACGGCCAGCGCGGCAGACCCAGACCGGAAGACCACTCAGTCCCCACGGAAACTTCCAGGGCCTGGGGGCTTCGGAGCAGCACGCCGGGGAAGAGACTGTGACTCCCGTGCAGAATAAAGTTGGGAGCTGGGGGCGGGAGGAGGCTGGGACGTGGCCTCCTTACCCCCGTCCCCTGGGCCTTCACTGGGCACAGCCCGGCTGGAGCAGCCAGGAGGGGCCCTGACCCGCTGAGCACCCCTCAAGGAGCAAACGAAAGCGGGCGCTCGAGCAGGGACCATGCCAGGATCAGGGCTCGCCGGGGCCCGTCCCACGGCAGCACACGGCTCTCGGTGTCGCCAGAGCAAAGGCCGCACCAAGGGCCCTCCATGCCCATGTGCTGCCTCCACCGCCTCCCTGCCCAGCCCAGACAGGCTCCGACCAAACTGCCCCCTGGCAGGGCCAGACGCCCCAAGTGCTGGGACACCCCTCAGGACACAGCCGTCCGTGGGCTGACCGTGTTCCCCTGGGCCCTACCCGCCTCCAGGCTCAGCCACCAGCTCGCCCGCGAGGGGCATCGGTCCCCCCAGCCCCCGAACCTAGGGCGGGCAAGCCGACCCCACACCGCGGCCCACCTCGCGGAAGTCCTGCTCGAAGTGCCGCAGCTGCAGACACTGCTCCAGCTTCTGCTGGTGCCGGGTCCAGAACTCATCAAAGGCTGCCTCCGTCTCGTCCAGCTGCGCCAGGAGTCTAAGGGAGGGGGTGTCTGAGCGGGCACGGGGGCCCGGGGGCCACGTAGCTCTGACACCACCAGCCCACCATGCCCAGGGGAGCTTCTCACCCCACACGGGCACCGTCACGCTCCAGGGCTAGACAAGGGCACCTGGGCGGCCCAGCCACATGCAACACGTGCCCAGAGAGAAGGCACCGGCCTCGCATCTGCTTCCAGCCTCACCTCTCGCCCGGCCTCACCTCTATGCTCTCCCTCACCTCTACACCCTCCCTCACCTCTGCACCCGACCTCACCTCTGCACCTGGCCTCAAATTTGCTCCCAGCCTCACCTCTACACTCAGACTCATCTCCACACCCTCCCTCTCCTCTGCACCTAGTTTCACCTCTGCTCCCGGCCTCACCTCTGCACAGTGCTCTCATTGTCCAGCTGGTCCTGGTTCAGGCTGTGCTCGGTGTCCTTGACCAGTGGCTCTCGAATGCTCTCCAGGATGCTCTGTCCCTCCTCCTGTGCCAGCTTCATCTCCTCCTGCCAGAGAGCACGGTGCCTGCTGGACTAGGATGCCCAGTCCACCTGGGGGCAGTCCTACTGTGTGGGGCCCCTGCGACCCGATGCCTGAGGCCCCCGCTCCTGGGAGGGGTGCCGGGGAGCCCCACTCACTAGCATGGCAGAGCAGAGCTGGGCCCGGGGGCCTAGGATGGTGGACAGAGGTAGAGAAGTGAGGTCAGCTCTGCGGAGGAGGGAGCTGAGGGTTCTCGGGGGCCAGTGAGAGGGGCCATGGCATAAGGGACACCAGGACAGGCCCCAGGGGACACTGTATGCCCCGGAGGTTCTGGGGCCCAGGCCACCCACTTGGGTGTGCTTCCACCCACAGCTCCACCTCCTTGGGGGTTCTGATGACCCTCACCCACAGGACGCCACAGGCCCATCCCCTGGGACCCCAGAGACCCACCCCCGGGACCCCAGAGACCCATCCTCTGGGACCCCACAGCCCATCCCCCAGACCCCACAGGCCCATCCCCTAGGACCCCACAGCCCACCCCCCGCGACTCCACAGGCCCATCCCCCGGGACCCCACAGGCTCATCCCCCAGGACCCCACAGGCTCATCCCCCAGGACCCCACAGGCCCATCCCCCGAGAACCCACAGGCTCATTCCCCCAGGACCCCACAGCCCATCACCTGGACCCCACAGGCCCATCCCCTGGGACCCCACAGGTCCATTGCCCGGGACCCCACAGGCTCATCCCCCAGGACCCCACAGGTCCATCCCCCGGGACCCCACAGGCTCATCCCCCAGGACCCCACAGGCCCATCCCCTGGGACCCCACAGGCCCATCCCCTAGGACCCCACAGCCCACCCCCCGCGACTCCACAGGCCCATCCCCCGGGACCCCACAGGCTCATTCCCCCAGGATCCCACAGCCCATCACCTGGACCCCACAGGCCCATCCCCTGGGACCCCACAGGTCCATCGCCCGGGACCCCACAGGCTCATCCCCCAGGACCCCACAGGTCCATCCCCCGGGACCCCACAGGCTCATCCCCCAGGACCCCACAGGCCCATCCCCTGGGACCCCACAGGCCCATCCCCTAGGACCCCACAGCCCACCCCCCGCGACTCCACAGGCCCATCCCCCGGGACCCCACAGGCTCATCCCCCAGGACCCCACAGCCCATCACCTGGACCCCATAGGCCCATCCCCTGGGACCCCACAGGCCCATCCCCCGGGACCCCACAGGCTCATCCCCCAGGACCCCACAGCCCATCACCCCGACCCCACAGGCTCATCCCCCAGGACCCCACAGCCCATCACCCCGACCCCACAGGCTCATCCCCCAGGACCCCACAGCCCATCACCCCGACCCCACAGGCCCATCCCCCGGGACCCCACAGGCTCATTCCCCAGGACCCCACAGCCCATCACCTGGACCCCACAGGCCCATCCCCCAGGACCCCACAGGCCCATCCCCCGGGACCCCACAGGCTCATCCCCCAGGACCCCACAGCCCATCACCCCGACCCCACAGGCTCATTCCCCAGGACCCCACAGCCCATCACCTGGACCCCACAGGCCCATCCCCCAGGACCCCACAGGCCCATCCCCCGGGACCCCACAGGCTCATCCCCCAGGACCCCACAGCCCATCACCTCGACCCCACAGGCCCATCCCCCGGGACCCCACAGGCTCATCCCCCAGGACCCCACAGCCCATCACCTGGACCCCACAGGCCCATCCCCCAGGACCCCACAGGCCCATCCCCCGGGACCCCACAGGCTCATCCCCCAGGACCCCACAGCCCATCACCCCGACCCCACAGGCTCATTCCCCAGGACCCCACAGCCCATCACCTGGACCCCACAGGCCCATCCCCCAGGACCCCACAGGCCCATCCCCCGGGACCCCACAGGCTCATCCCCCAGGACCCCACAGCCCATCACCCCGACCCCACAGGCCCATCCCCCGGGACCCCACAGGCTCATCCCCCAGGACCCCACAGCCCATCACCTGGACCCCACAGGCCCATCCCCCAGGACCCCACAGGCCCATCCCCCGGGACCCCACAGGCTCATCCCCCAGGACCCTACAGCCCATCACCCCAACCCCACAGGCCCATCCCCCGGGACCCCACAGGCTCATCCCCCAGGACCCCACAGCCCATCACCTGGACCCCACAGGCCCATCCCCCAGGACCCCACAGGCCCATCCCCCGGGACCCCACAGGCTCATCCCCCAGGACCCCACAGCCCATCACCCCGACCCCACAGGCTCATTCCCCAGGACCCCACAGCCCATCACCTGGACCCCACAGGCCCATCCCCCAGGACCCCACAGGCCCATCCCCCGGGACCCCACAGGCTCATCCCCCAGGACCCCACAGCCCATCACCCCGACCCCACAGGCTCATTCCCCAGGACCCCACAGCCCATCACCTGGACCCCACAGGCCCATCCCCCAGGACCCCACAGGCCCATCCCCCGGGACCCCACAGGCTCATCCCCCAGGACCCCACAGCCCATCACCCCGACCCCACAGGCTCATTCCCCAGGACCCCACAGCCCATCACCTGGACCCCACAGGCCCATCCCCCAGGACCCCACAGGCCCATCCCCCGGGACCCCACAGGCTCATCCCCCAGGACCCCACAGCCCATCACCCCAACCCCACAGGCCCATCCCCCGGGACCCCACAGGCCTACCCCCAGGACCCCACAGCCCCACCTTTGCCCGGTCCCTCTTCTGAGCATGGGCGCTCAGCACGGTGCTGGTGGCCGGGACGTCATTGGGCAGCTCCGTCTCGGCCAGCTCCGTGCCGAAGCTCTGCAGCCTCTGGGCTGTCTGCTTGACTCTGAGGGCGAAGCTCTCAATGGCCTGCAACGGGGCGCAGAGGTTGGTGGCCGCCACCCACCCGCCACCCACTGCCCTGTCCCAGCGGTGGGGAGTGCGGGGTGTAAGGTGTGGGGGGACTCACCGTACGGTGGCACAGCCACCTGGAGTGGCAATAGTCCAGCGTCCCTCCCAGGTCCTCGGTCAGCTGGGACTTGTCGATGTAGCCGTAGAGTTCGGGCACTGAGCTCAGCATTATGACCTGGCAAGGTGGCACCTGAGCACCCGGGACTGGCCCTGGCCTGGCCCCACCCCGCACAGCCCCTGCCCGGCATCATGGCCTGGTTTCTGCCCGACCCTCCCGGGGACAGCCGGACTGCCCGGGCAGGGCTGCAGAGTGCGCAGTGAGGGAGGACACAGGCCGCCCTCGGGCTCGCGGGTCCCCGACTCTGCGAGAGTGTGGGTCTGGGTTGGGGCCTTGGGGGGCTCAGCCCAAGTCCAAGGCCGTCCAGCAGACGCGAGCACCTGTGACACCGAGTCCCTGTGAGGGATGGGCGCCTGCAGTGACAGTGCTGGGGGCGCCCAGGTGCACAGGCCCCGCAGAGGTGCACAGAGGCCTGGACAGAGGGACCCCGCAGGGACCCCGTGACCCCCTCAGGACACCAGCTGCAGCCCCCCACCCTCCACACACAGGCAGAGCCATCAGTGCCCCGAGGAGTCTGGCCCTGGTGCCCGGCCAGGGCAGCCTTCTGAGAATGTTCTGGAAGCAGGGCTGCTGGCTGTGTGGGAGCAGGGGCAGACTCACCGGCACCTTCATCTTAAAGTCATCTCGATTGAACTTGAAGGCGAGCTCAGAGAGTGTCCGCTGGAAGAAGCCCGAGGGGCGCAGGACCAGGACGAGCTGCAGGTTTGCAGGGAAGGAGGCCTGCGGGCGGGAGGCGTGTCTGGGCACCCGGGGCCACACACTCTGCTCGGGCTGCCACATGCGGGTAGCCAGGGGGCTCTGGCGCAGGACAGGGTCCGGGAGGAGCCCCATAGACATGAGCTCCCGGACACACAGGGGCGGAGGCTGCTGAAGCGAGACACGGGGCTGTGGGGTCAGGAGGCGGCACCCGGGCACCCGTCCTCAGCTCTCCACAGCCCGGGCACCGACACGCCCCTCAGCCAGGCCTCACGGGCGCTACAGGCGGCCAAGATGCAGGCAGGCAGGAGGCGCTCGGGAGACCCCAGAGCTGTGATCGGCCAGGGGGAGCAGCAGGGCTTGTCTCCAGGCCAGTGAGGACAGAACGGGCTGGACCTGGGGGCTGTCCTGCATCTGCCCCGCAGGCCGGGGTGGGTCAGTGGGCATGCCCGCTCGTCAGAGTGGCACTGTGCCATCTGCTGGGTCCCCACTGCTCAAGCCCGACTCAGGGGCTGGGCATGATGGCTCGTGCAGGGCCAGCTCCTGCGTGCCCTGAACCAGCCCAACGGGAGCTGCGGGAGTGTCACTGGCCACAACAAGCTGGTTGAGGGTTTGGGTGTCTTTCTGGAACCAGCTCGCGCTCGGGGCCTGTCCGGGGAGACCTGGGCCTGGGGCTGAGCAGGAAAGGCGGACAGCAGCTGGCAAATTCTCGGCCCCCTGCTCGGGGCCTGGGGCCATGGACAGGCCATTTTCACGAAGCAGGCACCAGGCCAGGGGCTCGAGGACTCGGGATGTGGTGGGAATTCCCCGCTCTGCTCAAGGCCACGCTGATGGCTGACCCGAGCCTGGGGCCTGCTGGTGACTTGCCATGGGAGTGTTTGGGGCCTGAGGGTGACCGCACAGGTCCACCGAGCCCAGGAGACTCACCGTCAGGGTCAGGCAGGTGGCCTGAACGAGGAGGCGGAAGCCTAGCACAGCCTCAGAGCTGAGGCGACCCCCACCATGCAGCCCTCAGCCTCGCCGGCCCTGCCTTCTGGAACTCTCTACAGGCCTGCTGGGGTGGGCAGAGGGGGAGGAGGTGCCCTGCGCGCTGGGTCTGGCCCTACCCGCTGCTGCCGGAACTTCTGCTGAACCCTCTGAGCAAACACACGCTCCAGAAAGCTCCACCATCCACTCCCAGCCCTGGGCAGCAAGCGGCCATGCAGGCCTGAGCTGGGCTCCTGCCCCTACTCTACTCCCAGGGACTCCCTCCTCCTCTGCCAGGAAGGCCTCCTGATTGACATCCTCGCAACAGCGCAGCGATGCCTGGCTCTGCCTGACTCAGGGGCCAAACGGCAGGCGACCGGGAGGCAGGGCTCCCACACACGTACACGTGTGCTCAGATGTGCTCACACGTTGTCACAGGCTCAGGTGTACTCACTCACATGCTCACTCTCATGTTCAGATACACGCAAGTGCTCTGGCACGTGGTCACACATGAACACAACCAGTCACACATATGTGCTTGCTCATGCATGCTCATACACTCACAGGCATGTTCACCCAGGCCACATGGAGGCACGTCGACTCATAAAACACGCTACTTGCGTTACACACATGCTCACACGCACTCACAGGCATGTCCACCCCCACGGAGACACGCCTGCTCCCACATGCTCCCCCCCCCACACGATTACTCCTGCACGAGGCTCATAGCCACACAGCACACAGTCACGCCCACACAACGCACATGTGCATACATGCACACGCCGTCACGCCGCACACGCCCCTGTTCAGACACATGCAGCTGAGTTCAGGGGGCCCCTCGGTGGCACCTGCTGCTCTGGGGGCCCCGGCCAAGGCTGCACTGGCCGACTGACCCCTCATGCTCCCTGCACACGGGACCGCGCGTCTAATTCAGTAGCTCCTGAACGCGAAGATGCCGCCTCCTCCAGGGCTCACTCTGCCACCCAGCCGAGCCGGAGCACCCAGAAAAGGAAGAGCTCCCTGTCAGACGCTCGCACACGGACCCACACACGGCGGCTAAAATTAGCGTCAGGGCCCCTGACGTCACGCGGCTGGCAGACACCTCCACAGCGGAGCTGTCACCAAGACCCCCGGGAGGAGGCTGGCCCAGCCCACAGCCAGCTCACGGGTGGCAACTCTGCCCCAGTGGCCACCAGGCCGGGCACCCAGGTAGGAGGGGCTGGGGAGACTCGGGCAGGGGGCGTGCTGGAGCCCAGTGGCATTTTCAGCCCAAACCGGGCACGCTTGTGAGGGCAGCCGTCAGGTTCACTGGGATTGGAGGCAGAGGGGAGGGAAACGCTGTAGGGGCTTGTCAAACTCCACAGAGAAAGAGCACTTTACAAGGAGTCCACTGCGGCTGACTCTGGGCTCCTCCAGTTCTTCTGTCAGCACCTTGCTGTGGGGGTGCAGAGCATGTGTCGGGCTAGGACAGGGAGAGCATGACCCAGCTAGGACAGGGACGGCACAGGCCCAGCCAAGCGGGGTCACTGTTCTGGCACTGTCGCCATAAGATGGGGGAACTGGCAGCAGGGCTCTCCCTGGGGGGCGCAAGAGCCCCCACCCGACCCCCCTGCCCTGCCGTCTCTGAGAGTGGGGGCCGAAGGCACTGGGTTCTGGGGCTGCGGTTCAGAAAGTTGGGTGCAGCCGGCAGTTTCTCCTTCGCAGCCTCCACTAAACCTCCTGTCCTCCCACCTTGGGTGCTGACATCACAGCGCGGCCCTGCTCCGAAGAGGGGCCACGGGAACTGGGCAACCATAGCCAACAGGCTGATGTGTGGGCAGGGAGGGGTGGCCATGTCCAACAGGACTTGGCAGCTAAGCCTCGAGAACACCCCCCAGGCACATGTACACACATGTGTACCCACAAGGCACATACACATGCACACAAGTACACACAGCCTCAAGCACACGCTGAAGCACAAGAATTCTTGTACACATACTCATATACACATACGTGCGACTCACGTACACACATGTACACACAGTCACATACACATTCATGTACTCACGCACGTGCATGTGCTAATGCACACGCACTCGTGTACACATCCATGTACACACTCGTGTGTACACTCATGTACACATTTGTGTACACACTACACTCGTGCACACACCAAACTCATGTACACATACTCATGCAAACACACAACACTCATGTACGTGTACACAGCACACATACAAGCACACCCTTCATGCAAAGAGCACACAAGCACACAGGAAAACCCACATGCCCATTCGTGCATATTTAAGCACATGTATCCAGCTGCATGCACACAGTACACACACAGCCCATGCACACAGCGCAAAGACAGGACCACATGTATGCAGCACGGATAACAGCCACACAGGTACACTCACCTGTGTGTGTTTAGACACCAATCTCCAAGTGGTGTCCACAGCAGCCCAGGGAACCCCAGAAGGCGTGGGGTTCCCATGCCCCCTCCCGCTGCCTCAGGGACCTGGCAGCACTCCCAGAGCAGGCCAGGAGAGGCTGGGGGCCACAGTGGGAGGGCACTTACCGCGATGCGCAGGATGGACGCCTTCACCGAGGTCCATCTGTCCTGCCTGCGGTCTATGACCAGGATAAACCCCACGCCAGCATCTTGCAGGCTGCGAGCAGGAGAGAAGGCGGGGAGTGGGCGTGGGGGAGCCGCAGCCCCCGGGGCTCAGCAGGCAGCTGCCCCGAGCTGCCCTCTCCCGGCGGGGCCCGAGCATTTCCTGGGCCCGCGAGACCCTTCCGAGAGGCGCAGCACTGTCCTTCCCAGGCCAGCCATGCAGGCCCCTCTGGCAGCGGCAGCTCCGCCCGCCACCCCCAGGCTGCTGGCATCCCTGTGCGCCTGCGTCACAGACACGCTCCCGGTGGCATTGCCACACTTCCGGGAGCCGATCCGAGTTGTCCAGAGCGTCAGGAGCACCGGCGGGGCCAGAGCTGAGCCGAGATCCCTGGCGGCAGCCGCATCGGGGACCAGGTGCCACTGAAAAGCTGCCGCGATGTGCGCCGGAATCTGACTCAGCACGGGGAGAAGCCAATGGCGTGGGGGGGGGGGGGGTCAGAGCCAGCTGCGCCAGCCTCTCAACGGAGGCAGGCAGGAGCCGGGCACCGTGCAGCTCCCAGTGCCAGCACCAGCTGGCAAGGCTGCAGGCGTCTGCAGGAGCCTTCAGGGGGAGGAGCTGGTGGTGGGGAGAGGGAGGGGCGGCTCAGGGCCGAGCCGGGGGCCACGGGGGTCAGGGCCGTGCTGGGGGGACATGGGTGAGCTCAGGGCCGTGCTGGGGGACACGGGGGGTCAGGGCCGTGCTGCGGGGACACGGAAGGTTCAGCAACGGCAGCATCACTCACGGAAGGTTCAGCAACGGCAGCATCAGCCAGCCCCTGGGTGCTGAAGGTGCATCTACGCTCCATCAGCACCTGCTGTGGGTGCGGGACCTTGACCAGGGACCCAGGCGCTGGTCCCACTGCACACTCGGGGTCCCCCTGTGCACTGCACCACGCGCTTGGTGGGAGGGCCCGAGAGGTCAGGGTCGCGGGCTACGGCTTGGGCTAAGAAGGACCAGCACCCGGGCTTCGGGCTCTGACCCAGGCTGACCCTCGCAGGAGCCCCTTCCCCACCTGCACGGAGCCAGGGGAGCCCAAGAAACGCCGCGTGTGGCCCCGAAACCAAACCAGACTGACGAGGAACAGGACCGCTCTGCCGGCCGTGCCAGAGTCCCTCAGATAGTGGGCCGAGCCCAGCAGTCTGCACCGAGCCCAGGGGCCTCCCAGACGGAGGAGGGGACTTGGCCCGGCGAGGGGCGGAGCTTACCCAGGGCGAGGGGCGGGGTTTACTCTGGTGAGGGCGGGGCTTAGCCAGGGACAAGGGGCGGGGCTTCCCCAGGGTGAGGCTTACGGGGGCAAGGGCGGGGCTTACCTAGGGCGAGGGGCGGGGCTTTGGCCAGCTGGGAGACTTGGTCCTGGCTCACACCCGCCCTCCTTCTGGGACCTCAGACCCAGACGCAGACCCAATCCCAGACCCGGACATAGACACGAACAGAGACCTGGGCAGAGGGCACAGGAGCCACTGACAGCCAGTCAATGGGCCTGGGGCCGTGACAGCCGGGCAGCGGGGACCAGGGCTACGAGCCGGGCAGCAGGCCCTAGGGCCACCGACAGCCCGGCAGTGGGCACTGTTTTGCCACAGCCGAGCCCAGGGAAATGGCTGAGCAGGGCTGGCAAATGCCAACAACACACTTCTCGTGGTGATGCAGAGAGGGGACAGAGAGGGGACTTGAACATGCACACAGGTCACTTTGTGTCCAGCTCCCAGTCACAGCACAGCCCAATCAGCAGCCAGGCCCCTGCTCCGAAGCTGAGTGCCCGGGGCCAGTACAGGACATTCTTACTGTGCTCAGCACAGCCCAGGGGACAGGAACGACCAACTAGCTCATGCCGGAGCCATGGGTGAGGGGCCTGAGGGCACAAGCCACTGGCTTGATGGGCCACCTGGAGGACAAGTCAGATGGGTGACAGGCTATGTGGATGAGGCCACATGGGTGAGAGGGCACGTGGATGGCTGGCCATGTGGGTAAGGCCATTTGGGTGAGAGCCCACGTGGGTGAGAGGCCGCTAGGATGACAGGCCACGTGGGTGAGGCCACATGGGCGAGAGGCTGTGTGGATGGCTGGCCATGTGGGTGAGATCCCACGTGGGTGAGGGGCCACTAGGAAGACGGGCAGGTGGGTGAGTGGCACAAGAATGACAGGCCACGTGGGCCACATGGGTGAGAAGCCACAGGGTGAGAGGCCCTGTGGAGATCCAGGTAGGGCTGCTGCCCACTTGTCCAAGAATCAGAGGCGCAGGGTCCCAGGACAGAACGTAAATGACAATCATGGTGGCAAGATACGCAGGGACCTAAATGCTCAAAGGAACCGGCTGCGGGCAGGGGTGATGGGGAGGGCACAGGAAGGGGATGGTGCCGGGAACCGGAGCTGCTTCACAGGGGTCCGGGAGTGCTGGAGACCCCCTCCCTCCCCGCACGGGGTCTCCTTCACCCCCTGGCCAGGGTCCCCGGTCAAGGGCTTTGGTCACCCCCGGGTAAGCACACGTGATTGTGCATCAGACACATGTACCTGCACATGCGTGAGTGAACACACGTGTGTACATGTGCACAGTCGGTGGGTATATGTGGAGGCATGCGTGTGCATGTATGTGTGTGCCTTCTGTCTCAGCTTCAGTCTTCACTGGCCACCACTGTGGGCACTGACAACCCTCTGGAGCCTGGTGGGCAGGGGACAGAGCTGGCCAGAGGCCCCGTCCACTTGCTCCCGGGAGGCTGGGGGAGCAATGCCGACCCTGGCCATCAGGTGGCAGCACCCGCCTGGGAGATGAGGACTGCGGAGGCCCACAAGCCCGTGAGCATCCCTCACTGAGCAGTGCTCCCCAAGCACCGAGGCACGACACACACATGGGTGCAGCTGCCCACGCCAGGCCCCGGAGGCTTTCAGGGTCTGCTGTCTCAAGACAGTGGGAGGTGCTGGGGACACGGGGCTCAGTGGCCCCTAGTGCTGGCCACATGGGCAGGGACACAACCCTGCAGGTGAGGGCAGGAGGCCGCTTGCTTTCCCAGCTGGTGGGAGCAGCAGTGCTCGGAGCCCACCCACCTGTCCACACACCTGCCTGCACACACGCATACCTGACGCCCTGCTGCCCACACACACACCCGCACTCGCACGCACACCTGACACACACACAACCTGCACTCATGCAGATGCACACCTGCACACTCACACACCTGTACACACATGCACACCTACAGACACATGCACACATACCTGAACACACCTGCACACTTGCCACCTTCCTGCCCATACACATAGCTGCACTTGCACACACACCTGCACACACCTGCACACCTGCATACACATGCGGACACACCTGCACACATGCACACCTGCACACACACGCTTAACTGCCTCCCTCCAGCACACACACACACACCTGCACACACACACCTGCTGCCCACCTGCCTGCATACACGCACACCTGCTGCCCTCCTGCACACACACAGACACATCTGCACACACACACCTGCTCCCCTCCTGCAGACACACAAGCACGTGCACTGGCCTGCCTGCCTGCGGGCACAGCTGCACACACACTCCTGCCCCGCAGACCTGCATGCAAACCTGCGCCTGCAGGCCCCCCCCCACAGCCGCACCTGGGGATGCTCGTGAGGTAGGTGAGGACGTTCTGGAACTCCTTCTCCGGGACCTCGCCGAAGGCCGGGTAATCGGGAAACGTGATCACGGGGCTGCCGTCCTGCCCGCGGCCACCTGGGGAGACAGAGCTCAGTGCCTGGACGCCGTCCAGCACACGCTGCACATGCTGGCCTCTGGGTCGCGTAGATTCCAGGGGCCCTGCAGGCTCTCTGCTCCCGGCACCCTGGGCTGGAGCGCATCTGAGTGTGGGCATGGGACAAGGGGGTGCGGGCAGGCCCAGGAGGCTGCCGGGAGCCCGGTTGAACGTGGGGGTGCCGTGGGTGTGAACGATGGCTCGGGGCTGTGTGCACCATGGGGCGTGGGGTCTGGTGTGCGTCTGTGACCAGCCCCTTCTCTGTTCCCAGGTCTGGCCCGCGGTGGCCTGCATGCTGAGGGAGCACTGATGGCTCTGAGTGGGCAGGAGGCCACGGCACCACCACCCACTGGCCCCCACACCCATCACGCCTGGGTAGGAGGCTGTGGGATGCAGAGGGCACTGTCCACAGGAGGCCGCCGAGAGCTGCAGCGCCTGGCAGAGTGGCACGGGTGGTCTCAGTGGTGGGTCAGAAGCTGGCCCTCGAGTTGGGGAGTGGAGGGTCCCAAGGCCAGGGTTTGGGGCAGGAGAGAGGGTCTCCATGCCTCGACAGTCTGTGGCTGCCAGCTGGGGGCACCCAGGGTGGACTGTGCCACTGGACAGGGCAGCAGGAGGCCAGTACAGGAGAAGCCTGCTGTGGCCTGACAGTGCCACTAGATGGGGCAGCAGGCATAAAATAGGAGGGGTCAGCGGTGGCCTGACAGTGCCGCTGGACAGGGCAGCAGTTGGGCAGGCAGACTCCTGCATCTGTGCCACACAGCTCTCCGTGACGGCACAAGGATGTCCAGGCAGGCAGGTGACCGCTGCCTCTGCCGGACGTACCTGACAGATAGGCGAAGCGCTTCCTCAGCTGGTCCTGGATGTCGGCCGCGCAGAGCGGCGAGATGTCCTGGTGCATGATTTCATCTGCAGAGAGAAGGTGGCGGTCACTGGGCTGGACAGGCGCCTGTCTGCCGAGCACAGACTCGCTATCACAAGCACGCCACGGGGCGGGGCAGGACCATGAGCACACGGCTGGCCGGGTTCCACCCCGGGCACCACGCAGGGCCCTGCCCCGGGCAGAGCCAGGAGTGAGCTGGGGTGTCCCCAAAACCAAAAGCACAGGCTCAGGGGACGTGGGGACGTGCAGGGGGTCCTGGCAGCTGAGTCCTCACTGCTGTGCTCCCGGTACCTCTCAGGCAATGCCACTGGGGGCCCCCAGCGCCCACGGGAACCCCCAAGCCACCCCCCCACCCCAGTGCTCTGCAGGCGGCCAAGTTCTTTGCCCTGTTTTGGGGGTAGAAACAGAGCCAGCCGTGGTTCAGTGACTGTGCAGGGAGGCGAGGGGAGCGCGGGCACTCTGTCCTATGCTGGCAGGAAGCGGGGTCCCCGCCCCCGGCAGCCCCTCACAGGCGGCTCTGTGCACATACAAAGCCCCACACACGGCCGGCCCCGAGCCGCAAGCACAGACCAAGCAATTACCCGGCCGCACCGGACATGAGGAGGGCTGGAGGGGGGTGGCTACAAGGCTGTCCAGTGTTCCTGTGCCCTAGGACCCCGGGGTGGGGCTCTGGGGACCCCCAAGGTCACATTCGGGGCAGCTCAGCTCCGTGGCCCACTGGACTCACACTCACCCCTACTCAGCAGCCGCCTCTGACTGACCCTGTGGCCATACCCTGGGGGCATCACCAGGACAGTCGTGATGTTACCCTGTGGGGTGTGTCCTCAGCCTCCACCAACAGCAGGCAGAGAGCAAACAGGATCCCAGAGGGGAGCACCCCTGCCCCGCGGCCACAGTTCCCTTACATACACCACCACCACCACCGTCACAACTCCCCAAATGGCCAACCAATCACAACCCCCAACCTTGACCCCCCCCCCCCCGTCACGGCCCCACGCCCGACCCCCAGTCATGGCCCCCACCCCAGCCCACGGTCACGGCCCCCTTACACCTGTCCGCCTGGGGCACCTGTGGTGTGACAAGGGGGTCACGGTTGACCCACAAGAGAGCCCCACCCCAGAGGGCGCAGGAACCCCCACCGGTGCAGATGAGGGTCCGGGCAGGAACCCAAGAAACCCAACTCCAGCTGCTGCAGCAGGGACTTGCCCAGAAGCCTTTGCGATGGGGGGCTAGGGTACTTGGGAGGAACGGGGGGAGGATACCCAGGGTCCAGAGTATCTGGGGGCAAGGGAGAAGGTTACCCGGGCGTACAGGGGACCCAGGGGGTCTAGGTTACCCAGGGGGGCCAGGTTACCCCGGGGGTCCAGGCTGCCGGGCGCTGAGGTTACCTGGAGTTGAGAATGCAGAGACTCTGGGGACCGGGGGCCACTGGGGCTCAGGGGGCCTCAGTGGCACTGGCAGGCTATGAGGAGCCGATGCCGATGGTCCCCGGACAAGAGCGTGGAGCTACTGAGCCCGACTCTACCCTGGTGAAAGGCCCGGCTCAATGCGGGTCTGTCCTCATGGGGGGTGGGCGGCCTTGCCAGTGACCAGCAGCTGCTGTGGAGCAGTGCCCAGGCCAGGCCAGCAGCTGCCGGCACCCACAGGGTGCCAGGGACCTGCAGAGTCTCCTCTGGAGAGAGAAGGGCTCCTGCCTCAGGCGAGGGGCTCGGGCGGACCCGGGAGGCAGAGCAGTGAAGGACGCAGAGCCCAGAGTGTGGCACCAAAGCCCAGAGTCCCAGGGAGAGGGACCCCCACAGGCCACGGCAGGAGCAGCAGGAACCCCCAGGCCTTTTGGTGGCCAAACAGGACTGCAGGGTCGAGCCCCCACAGGCACATTTGAGTGTCCTGTGAGCTCAGGGCATGCAGCATGGATACCCGCAGGACCTACAGGAACCCAAAGTCCTTATCCACAAAATCCTGCATACCAAACCCTGCTGCCCAGATCCCACACGCAAAGGTCCCTGCACACCCAGATTCGACATATTCAGATCCCCACACAGATCCCACACACCCAGATCCCATATATCCAGATCCACTACACAGATCCCCACACACTCAGATCCCCCCACACAGATCCACACACTCAGATCCCCACACAGATCCCACACACCCAGATCCCCACATACCCAGATCCCCACACCCAGATCCCCACACACCCAGATCCCCACAATGAGATCCCACATACCCAAATCCCCACACACCCAGATCCCCACACCCCAATACCCACATACCCAGATCCCCACACCCAGATCTCTATATCCAGATTCCACACACCCAGATCCTCAAGCAGATCTCCACACACCCAGATCTCCACATCAGATCCCCACACACCCAGAAACTCACACACCCAGATTCCCACCCAGATCCCACCCACCCAGATCCCACCCCCAGATCCCTCATACCCAGATCACACACACCCAGATCACACACACCCAGATCCCCACACATCCAGATCCCACAACCCAGATCCCCAAGGAGATCTCCACACACCCAGATCCCCAAACAGATCCCACAATCCAGATCCCTATATGCCCAGATCCCATATACCCAGATCCCCACACACCCAGATCTCCACATACCCAGATCTTCACACCCAGATCCCACACACCCCAACGCTCACAAACCCAGATCCCCACACACCTAGATCCCCAAGCAGATATCCACACACCCAGATCTCATATACCCAGATCCCACATACCCAGATCCCCACACACCCAGATCCCCACCCAGATCCCACACATCCAGATCCCCAAGCATATCTCCACACACCCAGATCTCACACACCCCAACGTTCACAAACCCAGATCCCCACCCGCCCAGATCCCACACAGCCAGATCCCACACACCCCAACCCTCCACACACTCAGATCCCCGCACCCAGATCTCATATACCCAGATCCCACATACCCAGATCCCCACACACCCAGATCCCCAAGCATATCTCCACATACCCAGATCCCACACACCCCAACGCTCACAAACCCAGATCCCCACACGCCCAGATCCCACACACCCAACGCCCACACAGCCAGATCCCACACACCCCAACCCTCCACACACCCAGGTCCCCGCACCCAGGTCCCCACACAGCCAGACCCCATATGCTGACGTCCCCCCTCCTATCCCTGCACACCCAGCTCCACAGTTGTGTGCTCTGGGGCACTACCATGTTCTGATCTGCAGTGGCGAGTGTGGCTTCCACATCCCAAGAACACACACCACCTGGCCCACAGCAGTCACACACGTGTCACGGCACTGCACACGGCACGCTTGTAACCCCACTGGTGTTCGAGACAAAAGAGACTTTTCCTTTCCCCAGAGAACCGGGGGACAGCTCGGCTGCTGCCCCCCCTGCCCCACACCAGAGCTCCCTGAGAGGCAGGCGCGGACGCGTGGCCAGGACCAAGGGGCCAAACAAGAGCCAACAAAGAAGCGCACGGGCCCACTACCATCACCTCCGGCAGCATGACACGGCAGGAGTAGACACCGGGACTGCAGGGGACAGAGCCAGTTCCTGCTTCTCAGGACCCAAACCCACCTCCCAGGGCTCTGAACTGCCCCCCAGTCCCAGGGCCATAGACGGGAGAGAGGCTGTGTGTGTGTGTGTGTGTGTGTGTGTGAATGTATCTGTGTATGCGTGTGAGATAGAAATAGAGACCTCACAGGAGGGACAGAGGAGGATAAGAAGGAAGGAAGGAAGATGGAAGAGAAGGAAGGAGGGGAGGGATGAAGAGAAAGGGAGGACAAAGGATAGAATGGGAGAAGAGTTGGAGAGAGAGGGGTAGAGAAAGGAGGGGTGTAGGAGGATGGAGAAGGGTGGAGGAGGAAGGATGGAGGAGGAGGGAGGAGGGACTTAGGAGGAGGGATGAAGGAGGATGGAGGATGGAGGAGTATGGAGGAAGGATAGAAGAGGAGGGAGGAGGGAGGATGGAGGAAGGATAGAAGAGAAGGATGGAGGAGGATAGAGGAGGAGGATGGAGGAGGAGGATGGAGGAAGGGTGGAGGAAGAATAGAAGAGGAGGAGGGATGGAGGAGGATAGAGGAGAAAGGAGGATGGAAGAGGATGGAGGAGGGAGAAGGAGAGAGGAGGATGAAGGAGGATCGAAGAGGAGGATGGAGGAGGGATGTCGGGGGCTGAAAGGGGCTTGGGCTGGACGGTCAGCAGTGGACGTGATCAGGTGTATCAGAACCTCACTGATGTCAAAGCAACAGGTCAGTGGCATGTGACCCCAAATGAGACCCTGCTCGAAGCCAGCGCGGTGTGAGGTCACGACCCCAAGCAGGATGGAGGAGCAGACAGGCCTGTGTCCAGCCCGTGAGAAGCCTCACTGGCCGGCACTTCCACACCCCTCCACTCTCCCGAGGAGGGAGCCGCACACACTGACCCCCGAACACACCGTGGGAGGTCCCAGGGGGCCTGCTGACCAAGGGACACAGGCCCTGCAGTCGGCAACAGCCCTGAGCCCGAAGTCGCAGAGTGACACACGGGCGTCTCTCTCCAGTGGCAGCTGAGAACCATCGCACCAGGAAGTCACGGCTCAGAGCGAACACCTGTCCACGCACACCTGTCCACACACCTGCACACCTGAGCCACACACACTGTCCCGCACAAACTGTCCCCCACACACCTGCCCCCCACATTGTCCTCCATACTGTCCCCCACAGTCCCGCACACGCTTGTCCCGTGCACCCCTATCCTCCATATACTGTCCCGCACACACGCTCCTGTACACACCTGTCCTGTACACACTGTGTGCCACAGTTCCCCCCCCCCCTCGCAACCTGTCCCACACACTGTCCCACTCACACCTGCCCCACACAGTTACGTCTGCCTTTAAGGGACAGAGTGGGCTTCGTCCCCCCGCGTCTGGGCCTAGAGCCTTCCCGGGTGCCCAGGGACCGGACAGGCTCCGCATCACCCTGGAGCCCGGCCAGCAGGATGACCGCAAGGCCAGAGCCGACTCCTGCTGGGGGCTGCCCCGGG